GTGTCTGCTCTGTCTTCATGGCAGGCTGTAATCACACAGTTGTTAGTCTTTGGTAAGTAAGGTGGTAAAATGTGTTATATTTGATTGTTTACCTTTGGGCATCCATCTTTGACAGATAGCTCTCCCATCATCGCTGCATTAAAGAGAATAAAGTCAAACCAGCTTGTGTCAAAATGCCAAATGTTGTGATATGAACCCAGAGCAAATCTGACAACATGTCATCGCCTCTTTCTCCCGTAAGCGGCTCAGTCTGTCACTCACTGAGGCAGCTGCTCTTCAAAAGCCTGAAGTTACTATTTAGCACACTACAAACTGGCTGGGTGCTTACAAATGCATCACCCACAAAAAGATGCTGCCTTACACTTTTCCTCTCCCAGGTCTGCGTCTCATCAGTGAAAACAGTCATTATTTTTGAGGCAGCTGTGAAGCAGGTCACGCTGGTGTCAAAGTATGAAAAGTGATAAACAGCAAGTCAAAATGCACCTTTTTAATGTATTCTTTGTACTTCTGTCAAGATGCTGTTTGGATTTCTTCCACACGAGCGGCAGTGAGCCATGTCTAATTCGGTTTGAAAAGCCTTACAGATTTAAAATATGCGATTCTTCACTTTACAGCTTTCACACTGATAAAGAGGGAACCGACGGTTTGCAGAGCGGCTCTTTTCTTAATGTGATAATAAAATTTCCAGCTTAATATCTGGGTCACTTCATTTCTAAAAATACTGTTTCGAGCAGAAACAAAGCAGGCTCTGTCATGAGGGCACCCACCAGAACTGATATATGGCAGATTTATGCTGCAGCACTATCCCATTAGAATAAAAGCATATGCAAATTGTAGGTTATAAAGAAGCAACAATTTGTGTTATTGCATTATTTTTTTTTTTTATTGAACACTTGGGAGACTTTCAATACACTATGGGAAGAACTTCTCAACAGGTTTGCAGAGTTGTTTTTGATGAATTGTCTCAGCAAAGATTGGCTGGATTGTTGAGTAGGCATTTATATTTGTATTGACTCGTGAGCATGTTCCTCTAAAAAGCAATGAAACTCCTAGAAGCCTCATCCCCATCATGTTGGCATACTAGTGTTAGAATTTAGCTCAGAGTTTATTATATCAAGAGGTGCTAGCATGGCTGTAGACTAGACATGTTATCCTGTATTTTTTGATTCAATAAGGCAGAATTCAGGAGAAGGACCACACCTCTTCCAGTATTGAAACCATAGACTGTATATAGAATGGACGCCGTTTACCTCCTCGCTAGGTGAATCCACCGTGAGAACAGCACCCTCTGGTGACGGGCTGCAGTATATAGGTGGTAAATCCCGCCTCCTCCAGCAATCCCTATGAAGCTCTAGACAAACTTTAGAAATTTATTACACAGAACAAATGTTTTTCCTCTGCTTGCGATGTTGACATTTAGTTACAGTAAGACTGGTTTGTGCTCAAGTCCTCTTTTTTCTGTACAGCTCAATTTTTAAAAGTTATTAGGGGGTTTATGTTTTCTATTATTGACACTTGATACAGTCTGTGGGCGTACATAGATTGCGTAGCTCACCCAGGGAATACGCTGTTTGAGCCGAGTGTCATCACAGCGACTCTTGGCGACTTTCCGGTCGAATGCGTACAATGCCACTGCACAATGTTGGTTTCAGGAAATGAAGAACAATCACGGTGATACCGAGAGCTTTTTGGCTTCAAATCCGTATACTGGCAGAACGAAGTTGTCCATAGTATATACAGTCTATGTTTCAAACCTAACCCTCTCCTCGTCTTTTGCTCTCACCTTTTGTGCAAATCCCCCCATCCATTTCTATTTCTCTCTGTTTCATGCTGTCCTCTTATATCTAGGGCCCTAAAGGGATTTATTTGCCCAGGTACCTCTGCAGATCCCCAAAGAGGTTTACCACAGACTGACAGCAAACTATTAAAAACCAATTAAATTTCAAAATCATTTCCAATATGATCATTTAATAAGATGTTGACACGCCAAACCATTGATGGGGCAACCCCTTAAAGTAGAATGTAATTAGCTATAAACCAAGAAAAGGATAGCAACAGAGATAAGTGGGTTCCTGAGGTTTAGATCATCCTTCAGGGTAAAAATGGGTAAATTACAGCTAAAGAGACTTTTAATAAATTCAGGAAACTTACCAGTTTTGTAGTTTCCTTTAAGGCCTTTTAATGGGTTATGAAGCTACATTTCAGTGTATTCCTAATGAATGAGGAGGGCTCAGTGATCACTGTATATCACTCGTGTTTCATTTCAGCACTACAGTACTGTAGTCTGAAGCTCTGCCAGGTTTTGAAGTCATGATCAAAGCCAGCGGATCCCAGAGCACTAGCAAAGTGTTTCCTCATAACAATATCCTCTCATCAGGTAGCTGCAACTTCAGGTATATGCAGAACATTTTCTCCCCTGGTTCAAAGCACTCAAAGTTTGCATTTTGACTTGTTGACCCAATGTGCATACTAAGGACATGTTTATTTAGACTACTTTATAACGATATGAAGACTGTCCTCTCACGAGTCTGAACAGAGATAAATCTAGTGTCTGTGTCTGAGCGTGGGCAGGGCTTTGACTTCCCGATTGCATTTTATTCAACCTACCTGCTTGGACCTGCACATCTGAGCTCCATCTACCCCTCAGCTCAACAGAATGTCAACCCTGGTTTTCTGTCTGCTTATTGCCATATCATTGCTCAACTGTAACAGCTGGCCACATCTCAGGCCTTTTTTTTTTTTAAACTGATAGTGTCATACTGTTTTGTGATCTTTGGCTGTTGTTCCTCATCCTGTTTTCCCTCGGTCCCTGGAATCATCTTTCGACCCCACCTGCCTGAAAGTATGACATCATAGTGTGCAGACAGCGGCTGGGACACCACAGCAACTGACTGAGCTCATTTCACCAACTCACATGTAATGTAGCATGCATTCAGCGAGGTCTACTTTCTACTTCTTGCTGTTCACACTGAGTGCTCATGGCAGGCCAAACAGACCCTTAGGCCACTGGGAAAAAGTCCCAGTGCTCTCTAGGGTATCAGCAGAGTCTTAAAAAGTCTTAAAATGTCTCGAAATGTCTAAAATCAGATCATTTTAATTGAAGGCCTTGGGGTCTTAAAAAGTCTTAGGATGTCTTAAAACATCCGAAATCCAGTAATTTGAATCTTAAGGCCTTAAAATGTCTAAAATTCTCTTAAAATCTCATAAAATGTCTTTATATGATTTTGAAAGGTCTTAAGAATGTTTTAACTCTACTTAAGTAAAGTGCCATAGGAATGAAGATTGATTTGAAGTAATGTAAAATGTTCTGATTTCTCTTCATTTCTCTATCAACACAGTGCACTACGCAGCAAAATACATTTCCATTCCAGTCAATGCTCCATTTTATGGCATTGGCAGACCAAATGCCAATTCGCCCCAAATGTTGTTTTGAGCGTCCAAAAATGCAGAAAGACACCCACCCGCTTTGGCTGCCTGACTCCTTGTCTTGAATTGAAAAGTCTCCTTTTAACCATCAATGTCAATGTTGCCAATAAACAAATATATTTCTGACACACTGTATGCAGGAATCTGTTTGCTGATTTTGAGGGATTGTTTCCTATCCAATGAAACAGATGTGTGAGATGTTTGTCTACACTTTGAAGCACCAATATAGATGATAAAGGAAAAGCAGCTGTTGCAAGACAATCCATAAAGACAATGACTTATTTTCAACAAGGCAAATCAAAGAGCAGGATTTTTGGTGGCACCTGTGGCAGCCAATCAGACTATATAAAGAGGGCTCATGCCACCTCTGGCCACTCCCGTGACCGTGCCCCTGGTGCTGGACTCCAAACTTCTCACTGGTCAGCCATCTTCCCCTGTCTTCTGCAGATTGGAAATCATCCATAAATCTCACTTTTTTATTTCCTGTGTTTAACGCTGCAACTCCAAAATCTCTGCCTGTGTTCTGCGTCGGGGTCTGTATCAAGGACTGTACATTGATGCAAATACGTTAAAGCTTGTTATATAAATTAGCCAGCCACTTGACTGATTTTGAGCTGTATGAACTCTTAGGTTGGTGGTTGTTTGGTGAATATGAAGGTACAGCCAGCTGGTTGCTGAGGCAGAGAGACTGGAATCAAGAGGAAACAGATGGCCCGGGACACGTCTGTCCGAGGTAACATCCTGGACTCTCTGACGCCTCACCATGATGACATCTAGCCAAGAAGTAGACCTCAACAAAACCCCTGTAAAGCAATTGTGTTTTTACACTTCTGTGTGAACCTTTTTTATATTCATGTCGTAAACTGTTTTCAAAGCTACAATGAAATATGTAACATCTGTCCCTAGATCCTTAGAGATTAAAAGATGTGACTTAACACTGTGGTTTTCCCACTGACAAGAATTAATACATCACTGCTATAATAAATCTCCTGCTTATACTCTCTCTTCCTTCCCCTCTCCTTCTTATTTTAGCAAAGTGGGATTATTCATTTGGCTTGAAGACAAGGATTTAAAAATACTGAAAGCACAGACCTTTTTATGGAGTTGTTTGTAGGATTGCAAGAGTTGTGCATAATTAGCTGATCTGCAGACACAGACTCTTGGATATCTATCGAAGTATTCAAAACCTGTAAATTAACATCTGTAAACTCAACATGCTTTTTAAGATCTCTCCTTGCTGTATAATACCCATGCTTTCATGCATGCTCTGCGTCTCACATCTAATTGCAAATGAAGGTTAAATCTACACACACTGCATATCACTGCATTTTTCTACAAGGGAAATTAACCCTCAGTCTCTAAGTTGCATCATGACAAAGATTAAAAAAAAAGCGAGATGCACAGGATGGAAAAAAAACACAAGTAGTCATTGTGGTCGCTCATTGTGTAAGGAGCTTCCCAAGAACCCAAAGTTCTTCTGAAAAGCCTCTGTGCATGATTCCTATCAAAGGTCTGGAGGGAGAGTAGATAGTGAGGAGTGGCAGAGGAGGAGGAGAGAGAGAGAGAGAGAGAGAGAGAGAAGGATAGAAAGAGAGAGAGAGAGAAAGGACAGTCGTGCATTTACGAGCAGACACCCACATGCAATTTCTCACTAGACACCCACACACACTTCCTCACATTTGCTGCACACACACACACATCGGAGCACCTGATTTGTAGCCACTCTGTTTGGATCTTCCCATGCCAAAATGCCGTCCTGTGTCTGGCTCTTGGCTCTGTCTCTGGCAGCACTAACAGGTAAGAAGTTGCTCTTTATTCTTGTATCCTCTCTGTGTCTGCTCGGTCAAGTCTCTGTGATCTAAGAGGAAGACTTTTATCAAGCCACTGTGATCACTTTCACTTCTTCTATTTGTTTACGATAACAAGAGCAGCTGTGAAGTGTCTCTAATGTAAAACCAGATCAAGTGTAAGAGTTTTTTTTTTTTTCGATGGCTGGATTTAGTTTGATGGTTTCAAGCTGAAAAATCACTCACAGCTAAAAAAGGCAGCGTAAGAAATTACCATCTGCTCTCTCGGCTTCTTATTGGTATTTTCTCTGCATAATTTGTGACTTAAAAGGAGACAGCAGCTCTGTTTGATATGCCTCATTTTCTTCCAAATCATCTCTGCACATTTGCACGATCTTTACTGATTGTGTTACTCTAGTTGGAGGACCTGCGTTTTCATGACATTGATTTCTGTTTTGCACGGCTGCCTTGTCTGCTCTCCAAACTTGTTCTCTCTTCTTTTCTGACCAGAAGTTTTAGCCGCAACAATTCTCAGCTTTCAAGTTGAACAGATCTGCTGGAAAATCAGTATCTAGAACAAGATTCACATGATTAGTCTCCAACAACAGGGTCTCTCTTTTTAATCCGAATACATGCCTACTTAGCTCAGCTCGAGCGACACTTTCCAAAGTCTCTGTTTCACTGCATGCTTCTGATTTCAGGAAACACTGCTGCTGCTGTTTTGTACGAGAAGTCGGAAAGGAACTGCTCCCTGTCCCCACCGGTGAGAGGAAAAAAAAATGGGAATAGCGTAACTTTGACTTTGACCACTTTTGACCGAGTTAATTTTTAAAAATGAAGTTGTATCACTGACCTTACAGATTTCACACAGTCATTTCCCAAACTTATACAAGGTGCATGAGTTATATACAATGAGAGTGAACGATTACTGCCCATGTGCCGTGGTTAATGATTACAGAGTGAGATAGGAAAAGGGATGAATCAGCAGTTCTTAAGGTTTTAATTAAATCGCAAGACTATTAACACTGTGTCTCTCTCTCTCTCTCCTTTTTTTATCTGTGTGTGTGTGTGTTTGTTTCAGTACCTCCCCAGCACAGCAGTAAATACCACTCTCCAGCTGCAGGAGTTACGAGAGCGAATGCGTCCCCTGAATATCTCTGCCTACATTATCCCTGGCACTGATGCCCACCTGGTACATCTGCTGTCCATCATACTTAATTTCTGCCGGGTTTAAACCTGGTGTGTGCATGCATGTGTGTGTTTGTATGTATGTGTGTGTGTATAGAGATACTCACCCTCTCCCCCCCCCCCCCCTCAGAGTGAGTATATCGCACCACGTGATGCCAGGATGGCCTTCATGACCGGCTTTACAGGCTCCGCAGGTACAATCCTCATCTTCTTCACCCCCTCCCTCCCTTCTCCTCCTCCTCCTCATCATCATCCTCTTCCTCCTCCTCCCCATGATTCAACTCCCCACGTCTGAGTGCCGCGGTCATGCAGCTCCTTTTACTTTCATCCCACATCCTCACTATACAGCCTTCCCCTCCTTGCTCACTTAGTTTCATTGCTTGCACTCGCCGCATCAGTGCGCCCTATCATCCATCAGCGTTATCCTCTGCAGAGTAAGTCCACCATTAAATTATGATGTCTATTCCTAATCCAATTACAATGAATAGAATTATACATAACATCCCCGTTCTTAACTGTTGCATGGAGGGAAAAGAGAGAGATAAATGTAACCCAGTTAATTGGAGTTACCAAATCGAACTTACACCAAACTCCACAGAGAGAAGCCACAATTATTTAACACCTTTAAAATCAGACATGCAAAATTTAGATTCAGCCGCTGTTTCATAAGAGTCTTACGTGAGGATGTGGACGTGGAATGATAATGTCAGCCCTGATTATACTCCCCTTCTCTGTCCTCTGTGTGTTTCTTAAGCTTCCTGTTTCTATCCACATGCACACTTTCACAAGACTCTCCACCCCACCATGCATTGTTCTGACTCAACCCTGACATTTATAGACATTCGTAACACACTGCCACTGCCACACTCTCCCTAACACAGCTGCTCTGCTGCCACTCCCCAGGAACTGCCATAGTTACCCCAACCAAGGCCACTCTGTGGACAGACAGCCGATATTGGGTCCAAGCTGAGAGACAGCTGGACTGCAACTGGGAGCTGGAAAAAGACGGTAGGGGGCAAAGTTAACATTAGGACTACTTGTTTTGACAACGTAGGACAAATGGATGCCAGGGAAATATTTGTGGATTTGATGGTCTCATATAAAAATATCCTGACATGCTGCACCCACAATTACAGGATTTACATGATAAAAATAGTCCACAAACAACAGAACTAAAAACGCCCCATGTTTTGTCTTTGAAAACTCTTTGAACGCTGATCATATGATGACGACTGGTTGTTAAATCAACTTTGAAAAATGTGATAAACCCTCCACAAGCCATTAAAAGTAAAAGTGCCTAAACTGTAGTTGCTCCTTTCATAATTCAGCAGCTCTCGGCTGATGTTAATTCCCCACCTAGAGGGCTGGTTTGTAAAGCATGAAATTGAGAAACACATTATCTTTTATTGTCAGTCAAGGATGCGTGAAGTCAAAGAAAGTCTGGGACCTCGACTACAACTCAGCACTGCAAAATGAAACAAGTACATAAGACAAACTGGGTGTAAGATGATAATAGATGTTTCAAAATCTGAACTTGAATGAATGATTGATTTACACCTACAGTCTGGCAGTAACTGGATATCCAGCTGTTTATATTTGGTCTGAGGAAAATCAATCAGCTTTAAAACTTTGACTGTTTATCTACTCAGTTACACTCTTGTTTAAACTTTATGTTGATAAATATATTGATTTATATCAACTGAACAAAAACATGGACTGATGTATTTCTACTTCTGATTCAAAAGTTTTTCGATGCACACCACAGACATATTTCTCTGGAGTTTATCTCTTGAATTAGTTCGCATAAGAGCTTGTTGGCACTTCCTCCCCGCTAAGTTATTCCTCCAGCTGACAGGTGCAACATGTCAAGGTGCTGATTAAACTGCATAATGTTGCAAGATGACAGATGTTGTGAGTGTGAGGTTAGCTTCCTGAGTGCTGAAATGTTCACTAGAGATTTTTCTTGTTAATTAAGTTTCATTTGACTAACATCAGCTTCCAAACACGAGAAGCTGCATATTTTTAGTTTTGGTTAATTACTTTGGATTTTATTTTATTTTTTTCTGTATATTTTATGTGAAATCTCTTGTGAGGAGTTTGTAGCTGATTATAAAACAGGTTGACCGTCTCTGTTTGACTTACAAAAGCAAAGAGAGCACCGTCAACAAGAATAGTGACAGTTTCTATAATGTTTGTTTGTTGGGTGTGTGGAGTTTGTCTTTTCTTCCATCTCTGCTTGTAATTCTTGCTGGTGCCCTCATGTACGCCCTTTAAACTTCTAAATATAGACTCAACATAATGCAGGGTCTGGCTTTAAAGGGATATTACGGTGTAAAATTAAGCATAGGAGGTGTTCTGGTTTTCATTTTTAGTACTTTTTCTGGTCCAAATAGATAAACCTGCATTCCTCATACGCTGGGGAAATTTGCAAAATAGTATTGAGCAATCATTTATCAGCAGGCTTTGAGGTATGCAAGAAAAACAGTTTGTATGTGGAGCAACAGCAGACAGATTGGTCCACTAATCTGATATCTTCATGCCAGTGCAGCCAACAGTCTGATCTAGGCCCTGCTTGATAATGTGTCTCTAAAGGCCATTTTGTTTTCTTCACCTCTTGAATACAGATTTGACAAATTTTGCATTTTTCAACATGATGCTGCAGTTTCCACAATCTAAAGACCCGTAAAGTGTCAGTAAATCACAAGCACAAGGGAGGACATCTTTGCTGGAAGTCATTTTAGAAGCAATTGTTGAAAAGTTGGCATCCTCTTCAGAGACATTTATCACCTGTCGTTGTCAGACGATTAAAGAGAATGATTGCCCAGAGGTTACGAGATTGACTTTCATGTTTCACTGCTATGCGAGTTTACTGTGCGCTCCTACTAAAAATGAAGAAAAATGAATGCAGTAGAAAGTAGCAGGTGTAATTATCAGGAGCAGTTCAATTACAGGAGGGTTTTCGGTCTTTCAGTTGCAGTTCATTAGGCTGTGACTTAACTGTAATTATATAATACATCTCACCGCTCCATTGAGCTTGCACTTTTACCACTTTGCTATAAAACTCTTTTGGGCGAGAGTACTTTGTACACAAACACTCACTTGCTGCTTGGATACCTCATTCTAAGCTTCCTATAAACTATTAGAGAGTCCGAAATATGACGTCCAATGGTTCAAACATAATATCGTTGTCATGTTACAACCTGAGAGGGTATAAAATGTTGTGAGCCGCTTCTTTAAATATTAGGTTTTGATCAATTTTGCTGGCAATCAGTTTCAGTCTCATTTTGTTTTTTTAGCCGCAGTAAACAAACATTTTGAATATCATGATGTTAGAAAAATATAACAGGGATAGATTTATTCTGTCAGATGCTCTAAAGTCAATAATAACCTGACAACAATCTGCCATTTGTGATGTTCTCCAGTGTCCATCATCAGTATAGCAGAGTGGCTCATCTCCGAGGTTCCATCAGGAGGCGAGATCGGCTTTGACCCCTTCCTCTTCTCCCTACGTGAGTCTCTCCTCTCTATCTCTTCTGTCAGTCTTGGTTTAACATCAATAAATTACTCACTTAAGTAGATGGAAAATTGTTGATGGAGCCTACAGTCGCCACACAGACTGTTTACTTGAGATTGATCTGCGTCTGTGTGTGTGTAATCATCTGCAATTTCCTCCATTAGAGACGCAGGAGAACTACAATTTGAATCTGGAGTCAAGCAATCGCAGCCTCAAGTCCATCCCTGATAACCTGGTGGACCAAATATGGACTGCGAGACCGCCCATTCCTCCTGACAATATCATTCACCTGCCTGACAGAGTCATACGTAAGTTTCTTTAAATGTGTTTATATCTCTGCTGTCTGCTGGTCTGCCTGTTTGCTGCCCTTTTAACTCTCTATCTAGTGCTGATAAATACCTGCAAACACAGAGCGATAAGCAGCTCCACAAACACAGCTATAAACAGTTGTAAGATTTTATGGCAGATCATGTTTAAGTGATGGAAAAGGCTCCTAAAAAGGAAGATCATGAGCCAGATTAGTGGTCTCTATGGACCCAGAATAGATTAATGGAACTAATGGAGCGGCTCATAAGTCCAGTGGTGTACCCAGGCTGTTTGAGGAGCAGGGTAAAAACAAAATGCCTGCTGTATGTCATGAGGCACTTGGACACAGAGGGTTATGATCAACAAAGATCTGCCTGTTGCAGCATTTTGAAGACTTTCACTTCTTCAGGTTTTTTGTCTCTGTAAATGTAAGGCACACTTCTGGCCTGTCCTACAAAGAGTGGGGTGTGAGGGTCCTTCCACAGGAAGTTTAAGCATTTAGCATTCAAACTCCTGTACTCCTGTAAAATGAAACAAATTTATCATAATGTGTTGTAATCAAATCAAGGGATTTACTGCCTGTGTGAAGAATATGTAAGTGATATTTGATTTGAGACTGAGTGGCTAAACCTATTTCAAATATTGACAGAATTTACAGTAACACTTTACTTGACGCCTATCTCTGTAATGCATGATAAATATACATGTGTTATAATCACGCTATAGCACTGTATAAACTCTAGTTATAAACACTCCTGAATGATCATAATGCTTTATAGCAATAAATCATAACATTATAAAGCATTTTATAATGACTTACAAGGTCAGGTATTATAATGTGTTATAACTGTTAACAACTCACTTACAATGCCCACATAGATAATGCATTATACATATATTTATCATGAGTTATAATTTGTTTATAAACTTGTATAACTATCATTATAAACACTCATTAATTATCATAAGCCTTTATAACAATAAGCATACCTGACCTTGTAAGTCATGATAAAATGCTTTATAATGTGTTATGATTATTGTTATAAAGCATTATGATCATTTATGAGTGTTTATAACTGGAGTTATAAGTGCTATAATGTGATTATAACGCATCATACATATATTTATGAAGTAAAGTGTTTCCGAATTTCTGATTTAACAGTTGAGTAAGAAAGACTTTCTGCAGCATTAAAGAAACCTTGTATGGCAATCTATCTCTACCAAAGAAAGTCGTAGTTATCCATCAGAACATTTTTCCATATTCTATTCAAATAGTCTACCTAAGAGGGTGATTTTTGACATTTCTTTCTTATATCAGCTGAAGTGGCACCCAGATAGCACTTTGTTTTTCACTGAAATGAAACATGAGGAATAAGTTCAAATCATAACTTAAAATTCTGTTATCAATGTGTCTGTTAACAATAATAGCAGTCGTTTGGCTGCTATTCTGCCAATAACACCCAGCAACTCAAAGAAAGTGTTTTTTGCTGCATTTTGATGAAAATGGTCTGATTTCAGTGGCTGAAGTTGGTGGCTACTGTTGTTGTTGAATGTCAGCATGAGAACTTTTGCTTAGTGTTAATTTAACACTAGCCAACGTTTTAAAGCCACATCAGCACATGCACAAGATCTAACAAATACATGTTCAGTAGTTTTGTGTCTGTCCCTAATGACTAAAATATACAGTATATCTACACATGTTTTATGAATTGATGGTAAAATACAAGAAAACCTGACCCTCCAACCCATTCTAGCATAAAGTATTTGTCATGGAAATAAAAGTTAAAGGTATATGTGTTTGCAGAAAGGTCCTGGCAAACCAAAGTGGAGGACATAAGGAATCAAATGAAGGACAATCCATATGAACCAACAGCTCTTCTGCTGTCAGCGCTGGATGAAACAGCCTGTAAGTAACCTACACATGAGAATTATTACTAAACAGCCTCAGAGACTCTCTGAGAAATGTTGTTTATATGTGTTGATAATTATTTTCCAGTTATAAAAGAAACATCAGACAGTTACTGTGAATATAATAAACACATTATTGCATCTCTCTTGTTGATTGAAGGACTCCTGAGCTGCAGGTCTCATAAAAATTATTGGGTCTCCCTTTAATGACAGCAAACAGAATAAGTCTCATACTTCGTAAAATGCAAACAGAGTTCTTGGCACTGCAGTATGTGGGAGGTGATATGTATTAAAGTGTGCTGATGTTTACTGCCGGGGTTTGTGTATGTTTTTTATTTGCAGGGCTGTTTAATCTGCGTGGCAATGACATCCCATACAATCCTTTCTTCTACTCCTACACACTGCTCACAATGGATCAGATCTGGTGAGTTCATTTACAGAGAAAACATGCTGTAAGGACTCTTTTCAAAAGCCCTCCCCTTTGTCCCTTATACTGCACGCAGACTGAACCAGTAGACAACACTTAACCATACACATAAAGCACGCAAACTACTCCTCCGTGACCCACATCTTGTACTTTCCTTTTACCTCGTCAACCTCAGGCTATTCCTGCACACGGACAGAGTTTCAGAGGAGCTGAAGATGTACCTGAACGCCTCCTGTGAAGGGCCACTCTGTGTGCAGATACAAGAATACGACACTGTCCGAGACGTACTGAAGGAGTATGTGGCCCGGCCTGGTATCAAAGTGTGGATCGGCACAGAGTACACAAACTACGCTCTGTATGAGCTCATTACACCAGAGGTACGAGATGTTTGATTTAGTTATGTTGACTGTACAGGATAATATTGCCCTTAATGGAGCTCCAAGAGGGGATGTTGAGTTATCTGATTGTGGCAGTTATAAATCAAACTTGCTCTCATTTGTTAGTAAATGCCAGTGTTGGTCAGTAATGTGCCGTATTGATTAAGTAAAGATTGGTTCAAGGTATTCCTTTAAGATTTAAACTGGGACTTTGCCTGCAGCTCACACACCCTCTGCTGGGCAGATTAGAGGGGTGCGCCCCACGTTGCATTTAAGGGAAATTCCAGTGTAATATTAATTTAAAGTTAAACACACTGTAACACCAAGGTTATACATCTCCTCGAGAGATGAATGTTGCCGACCGCTTGCTTCTCTAGTTATACCAACTTTAGTAACGACCGCACGATAGTAAAACACAGTGGTCAAAGGAACCGTACACAGAACTTAACCAAAACGCCACTCTATAGCCACAAATAATGCTCAGAACAGCACCTAACTTCATCAACAGGACATATAGGGTCCTAGCTACAGCACTAGCCACCAAACATCTTTGTAGCTTTGCCTAATTTCTTTCGCAAAGACACTAAACACAACTCACCCACTCTCCTCCAGCAGCCGCTTGTTTGTAGCAAGGCCTTCAGGCGGATTGATTACAGACTGCTGCGGGGGGTGACGCAGCTCAAGGAAGAACATTTATGATCATTACTTTATCATTTGCTTGAAGTAATAATCACCATATTAATCATTTTGCACTGCAGACGCGGTAGCTCTTCTGCCTTAGTGTCTTGGTCTGATTGCATTTCCATGAAGAAATAAGCCAGAATATCCTATTGAATTGTGATAAGCACTGAAAAAATACATTTAAATCAGTTTCTTCAAATGAAAGTGTTATTCACCTACGTAATGTGACAGAGTGAACCTCCACATTGCTCTAGTTCGAATATACTTCTTTTTTTTATCAGAATAATAAGCAAGAAGAGAGTGTACAGCCACTGCACAGTGACGTTATGTTGTGCATGCATGAAAATTATCTTCTCAACGAGGAACAACTTGTGCCTGATTATCTGGAATACACAAGTGAATAACTTGTTCCTACATGGTGATTGTTTTCTACCCTCACGGGGCTTCAGGGTCTCTTCTGCGCTCTGCTCCCCTACAATGTGATAATCTGTTAATGTAGTGGTGCTGTAGACCAGCTGCAGTGAGTCATGACTGGTTGCGTGTAATAAATATTTTGGACATGTGTTGTGGAGTTTTTAGCACTCGGCTAATCAATATTTTTATGTAAGGCGTAGATCAAATGAGAACTCAAATTTTTTGGCAGAATCCTCTCCTCCTGAGCTTCACGGAGTGTTTGAGGACAGAAGGGAAAAAAAACATTTTTCTAACTTTTTTGGTTGTAATCTTCTAAAAACCTCAACGGATGTAAAAAAATTTCATATGTACTTTTCATAATTGACTTTAAAGGGATATTCCGGCGAAAAATAAGGTAAGGGTCAAACACCCCAACCGCTTGCTTCTCTAGTTATACCAACTTGAGTAACGACCGCACAATAGCAATACAGAAAGCCACACGCTCAACCAAAACGCCACTCTATAGCCACAAATACTACTCAGAACAGCACCTAACTTCATCAACAGTACATATAGGGTCCCAGCCATAGTACTAGCCATCAAACATCTTTTTACTTTTGCCTAATTTCTTTAGCAAAGAGACTAAACACAACTCACCCACTCTCTTCCAGCAGCAGCAGCTTGCATGGAGATCTCAGGCGAGTCCATTGACTGCAGCGGGGTGACGCAGCTCAAGGAAGAACATTTTTGATCATTTCTTTATCATTTTCTTGAAGTAATAATCACCATATTAATCATTTTGCACAGCAGACTCCATAGCTCTTCTGCCTTAACATCTTGTACAGCCACAAAAAATGTTCTTCCTTGAGCTGTGACACCCCACAGCAGTCCGTAATGGACTGGCCTGAGGTCTCTCTACAAACAAGCGGCTGCTGGAAGAGAGTAGGAGAGTTGTGTTTAGACACTATCTCGACGGGATGTCTAACTCGGTGTTACTGAGTGTTTGACACTAGTTTGATTTCACTCCGGAATATCCCTTTAAGGGGGATGCTGTCCGCTTTATAAAGCATATCTGATGTTTGTCTTCTGGGAGGGTAGCTTGCAAAAAATGTAAAAAAATTAAGTGAATTAGAGGAAAAGCTATCTTTGTGTTTTCTCACTTCTAAGCAGCAAAGCCAGGTCAAATCAAAAGTTTCCTGTGAACAAAACAACAAACTCATTTAGTCAAAATGCTCTTTATATTTCGGAGTTTAGGGGTAAAAATACTCACAAATGTTGCTTTAATACTAGAAAAGTCTTGTGCTTACTTTTTGTTTGTGTTCAAGGTGTAAAAAAAATGTATAGTAATGAATAACTTCTTTTGTGTTATTGTTTTTGCATCATTCAGGAAAAACTACTGACGAGCTCCTACTCTCCTGTGCTGACGACTAAAGCTGTAAAAGATGAAACTGAGCAGAGGATCTTAAGGGACGCTCATGTATGTCCAAAGTCTTGTCCATGCACACCTGAGCACAAATTAAATCTGACAAAGAGTCACATTTGTCTCTGTTTTCTGCAAAGCTGTATTTGGTACTTCAGGTATGAGAGCAGACTATTTACACGAGACCATTTTATCCCAGGAAATCATTCATCAGTCCTCTCTGTCAGACTGGGGGACATTTATGAATTGTTTTCATTGAGGGTTCAAACACCTCAGTGAACACGCATGCTGATGCATTTATCGCCCTGTTCACACTCGTCTGAACTGCGCCACAACATTATAATGTAAATTGACGGCGTGTAGTTCTCGGGTTGTTTGTGATCGATGCAGAGACTCTGGAGGTGACCATGTCTTTGTGACTCTGTGCAGGTGAGAGATGCAGTGGCAGTCATCCAGCTGCTGATGTGGCTAGAGAAGGCGGTGCCATCGGGGAAGGAGACGGAGCTGACGGCTGCAGAATATGTCAATGAGCGTCGCAGGTGAGTGCACACGAGAGAAATGAGATTCAGGATTCGCTGAGCAGAAAGTCTTTGCTTGTTCATATACTTGGGGGAAATATATTATTATACATAGACCCAATTCAAAGTTGCTGTTACACTTCGTATAAACATAATTTACAGAAACCAGAAAGACAACAGAGGCCCAAGCTTTGAGACGATCTCTGCAAGCGGACCCAACGCTGCACTTGCCCATTACAGGTAACACTTTTTCACATGTTCTTCTTCCTTTTGTACAAATATATTTCTATTTCTATGTTTGTTTCAGCGCACAAAATCTGAGTAATAACAGCTCACTTGATATGCAGCCACAGTTACTAACAAAATTGAAAGCATAATTTCATTTTTTGCATTAAACTTAGACTATTTAAAACTTAATTTGTTTACAGTTTCAGTCTCTTTAACTTGTCAAAGATTATCTAAAATGTGTTTTTTGAGGCCTCTATCGATAGTTTTTATGCCTATAATTAAATGTTGCTTTAAATCTTTCATTGGTGTGTTCAGGGGAACTGCATTTTCAATATTTGAGAGCGTTGGAGTCTGGCTTTTTCTATAGTGACAAAGAACAAGGGCACACCTATCAACATTTTATAACTGCAAAGACAATCCTGGTCAAATACACTTTTAATTGTCTATATTTATATCAAATGGTTTCTTTTGTTTGTTTTTTTTCTTTTTGGAAATGTAAAAAAAATACTTTAAACTTAATTTCTGAGGGTTTTTTTTTTTTTTTTTTTTTTTTTTTTAAGAAATAGGAGTTTCAGTTTGGATCAGTCTTAAGTCGCTGATAAGGGGTAAATAAATTAAGTGTGGGAGTTTAGGATCCTGATCATGTAACTGCACTGTTCAGTGTGTTGAACCTGGTTTCTTTGTCACTCCACTGTCTCACCACTCATTAGTCATTTGCTTTACTCGAGATTCTGTCTTAAAAACACCAGAATTGCTTTAAAAAGTACACATTGGACTCAAAAAACCACCTGAACAGTGAGAGTCTCTGTTGCCCCCGTCTGGCAATAAGTGTAATCACAAAAATACAGATGCCTTTGACGCACATTATGAAAATGTTGGAAAGTCCCAAAAAGTACACAATCTCTAATTCGTCTCTGAACACTGAGTCTCTTTTTATCTGGAGGATCATGTGTTTTTTGGATGCTTCTGATTTTTCATAACTCCCAGCAGTTGCCAAAGTTACTCTCCATTTCTGTTTGGAAACCAGTTACTGCTGATAAATGCTCCTTTTCATAATGTTTGGACAACATGAGAATATCACAGCAGATAACAGAGTTAAACACTTTCCTGTGAAATACAGAGAGGGAGGTCTCATCTCACTGGACTGGACTGTGTTCACTCACAGTTTATCTCTTATACTCCCGCTCTGATGTCTGCTTTGTAAATTGGTCAGCAGTGATGTAAATTGCCATCAGACAGTAAATGACAGTTGTGGATACTTCCTGTTTTCTTTGTTTAGCCCCACAAAAGAAACAACCCGAACGTTGACGGTTGATGAGATGTACCTGGTTGACTCCGGTGGCCAGTATCTGTGAGTAAAAACACGCTCTGCTCAGTTTCACATCACAGTACTTGAGTCTGAAATGAGTCACCCTGTCTCTCGCTACCATCAGAGACGGCACCACAGACATCACCCGAACAGTTCACTGGGGGACACCTACAGCTATGCAAAAGGTAACACATATTACACTGCAGAGAGGGTGTGAATGGTTGAGGGGTTGTTTACGTTTCCAAATAGTCTAATTTCTTTTCTCCTGCTGTGAAAGATTGGATCCCTCTGGATTTTTATGAATTAAATGAACCTGTAAATTTGATTTGATTTTCTTTTTTTACAATCAATGGAAGTTTGAGTGATATTCCCGTAAAAATGTTTAATCCAACACAATACCAAAGTTCTTTTCTCTTCACAGGAGGCCTTCACTCGAGTCCTCATGGGAAACATTGAAATATCTCGAACCATCTTCCCCTCAGGAACGAGAGGTGGGGAGTAAAACAGTCACACGTACTTAAAAATAGTCCAACCCTGAAGTTCAGAGTTTCACCACCAGAGAGCCCCATTTCCTAATTTAACCATGTTTTATAAGCAGGTTTTGAACAGATGAATTACAGTAAAATTTTAGTGGCAGGGTCATTGATCAAAGCCCTCTCTTATGTTGTGTGTTTCTTGACCAACAGGTGTAAATATGGAGATGCTGGGCCGGAGAGCATTGTGGGAGGTGGGTCTGAACTACGGCCATGGCACAGGGCACGGTGTGGGAAACTACTTTGGAGTTCATGAGTGTACGTTTCCCTATTTAATGAGTGAAAATATACAGCTCAGTGTGAAACCGTTCTTCCACGCACTTAGATCCTCATTACTAAAACACATTTTTTAAACTTGAATCCACTCAAAATGAAACCAGATTTTAAGGCACTTCTGTTGTGATACACGGAAGATCAGAGGAAACATCTTTACAGTGTTGCATCATTTACATTATCACAGGTGGGATCAATGATGTTTTTAGTACTGGTTATCAATTTTTTACATTTAAGTGTTAGCGTTGTAACCAGAGATGGGCATTTCAAGCAAAAAAAAAACAACTACTCAATTGTCACTGTATACTATTCAGCTATTATTGGAATAGTCCCCCCACCAGTAAGATAAGAGATAAGATAAACCTTTATACATCCCACATTGGGGAAATTTGCAAATTTGCTCTTGAGCCCACACATTAGATAATAGGGACAGAGAGAATGACAGTGTCTGTACTTCTTACATCCATGTTAAGAAATTATCTACATATGCTAGTTTTACCTGGTAAAGTTTGCTCTTCACCTCCCTCAAAGACGTTTCCTGCAAAGCATGTTAAATCACAACCCACCCCAAACTGCAACCACATCAAACATAAAGAAATACTCCTTAGTCTCCCTTTACAGTTTCACAGAAAGGCGTATTGTGTTGTCTCCACAGTCTTAATTACAAAGAGATTCTCATTTAACACGGAGAAGTGGTAAATCCTCACTCTGGGGAGGTTTATGCTCTACATCTAAAGACAGAGAAAGATTAGTTTCTACTCAGTGGATTTAAGCTAAAAACTTGTTGCCGACAATGACACGACATAGCCTAACAAACAGAGTAATCTTAAAAAATCATTTCCACAGATGTTTTGTTTCCATTTTTAATCACTATGTATAAAATGAATAGAAATGTGCTGGTGCAGAAACTCTGCAGCAAAACTGATATTTTTTATGTTTCTCCAGGGCCAGTTGGTTTTCAGGGCAACAACATTCCCTTCAAATCAGGCATGTTCACATCTATAGGTACGTTTTAAAATATTTTTTTTATATCAGTTTTAGATTTAAAAAGTGTATATATATAGGATAAGATTCTTTTAATGGTTAAACAACTGATACATACTGATAATGTTCTTTTTAAGAGCCTGGGTACTACAAGGAGAATGACTTTGGCATCCGGATTGAAGATGTTGCTGTGATTGTGCCTGCACAGACAAAGGTATTTACACTACTGACCAAAACTCAGCTTCATCAATATTTTAGAGTTATGATACTGATTACCTGCTTTTTATTCAGTTAAGAATTTCATTCAATGTGTGCTTAAAAAATATAATTTCAGTGTATTAATGTGTCTTTTCTCCCCTCAGTATGGTCATAACTACCTGACCTTTGACACCGTGTCATTGGTCCCATATGACAGAAAGCTGATTGACACTTCTCTCCTCAGTGCAGAGCAGGTAATACTTTAAAAGATGTTGTATTCGATATCTTAAAAATACCTACGTATCTTGAATTCTGTTTCACCGTATTCTTGTAAAAGGAGGAGTTAGAAAGTCCCGACTAAAAATGCCAACCAGATACCCATCAACACTAACCTATAATAAAAGTTTACTTCCCCAAAGATACGTAGGTTTCCTTTTCAAAGTTGTGAACACCGTTGTGTTCAAGCGTGCGTGACCTCCCAGACTTCAGCTCTAAGAGCGCTTTTCTTTAATTTGCAAAAATCCCCTATTACACTTCAAGCTCCTCTGCAGCTTGAAGATCGAAACAGACTTCAAGAAAAAAGAAAACCACGTGTGAAATCATAAGCTAGGTTTTCGTTTTATTCAAAGTGAAAGTTATTTCCAGGAGAATCAAACACATCTCTTTATCTTTGGATCAGTTGCCATTTTTCTTAAATTTTTAATTTTTCTAAATTAACCCCCAGCCTGCCACATCTAAGAATCAAGGATGGTTGACTGAGAACAGGGTCCTTGGTGCCCCATGAATAAATTAATAAAATGCAATTCACTGCTGACCCCAGAGACCACGCATAATAAATTACGTTTGTGTGAGTAACTTTGGATTTATGCCTTTGGCTTGTGGTAGAGTATTGTTGTGCCGTGGTGTTCTGTATCTGGACTTCTAGTGTAAAAAGTCATACTATTTATTTTTTGCTGTCACCTGATTAGTGTTAATAGCACGGATAATGGGGGACCCTAACAATAATCCCTGAGGAACACCATATTTGATCCTTGACTGCAAAAAAATTACATATTTCAACCTCCTGTTAAACAATAATGTTTCATTGTGTTTTAATACCGTGCTTTTTTTAAATTAATCAAAGTGATCTCGTCTTCTCCAGCTCCTTTGGCTGAATAATTATTATGTGACGATCCGGAAGCTGGTCGGTCCAGAGCTGGACAAACAGAAGTTAAAGGCGGAAAAGGACTGGATGCTAAAACACACAGAACCCTTCGCTGCGTCTGGATCTTCCACTTCTGTCTGCTCCTCCTCTCTGACCCTCATTGCTATGACACTCACTTTAATCCACAACATCAACTGAACGCCGTCATGTCTCTGCTCCCACTTGCACACAAACACTAAGCCTATGCAGTCTCTGATGAGCAGCTACACCAGGTTGGGAGATGCACTGCAGTTTAGCCTGTTTTCAAATGAAAGGATGTACGTGTTGATTTATTTAATGGTGTAATTACAAAGAAAATGACGTATATTGTGTAAAATATAAAGTTATCTTTTATGTGATTTTTGATGTTTAAGTCTTTTGGTTATTAATTGGATATTTGTATAACCTGCTGATATAATTTCTATTTTATTAAAGTAACACTCTTTGAAACAAAGCCGTGGTCTGATCCGCCAACTTTGACAAAATCCTTAAAAACTTGACCTTTACTTGGTATGATATCAAAAAGACGGATTGATTGAATGATTGATTTTGTTTAGATTGCAAATGTACACCTTTATTGATAAGGTGATTCTTGGCCTGTTTCCACACTATCTTTGTGTTTTAATCACACAGAAAAGTGCTGGTCAATATTCATTGCACTCTCAGGACTTTCTTAATGCTTTCTGTCCTAAAACTCATAAAGAACTTGGTAAAAGGGCTTTAGGGTATTCTGCTCCCTCTGCCTGAAATTTATTGCAGAACGACTTGAAATTCACAGGGTTAGTGTCACTAAATGCTTCTAAATCTAAAATGAAAGAATCTTTCATTGTTTTAGGATTACCTGGTTGGGCAACTATCACTGAGATGTCCTCTTATTATTAGTTAATACTTATTGGCTGTACCGTGGTTGCCTATGTGTGTGCAACTTAATGTTTTTGCTGCCATCTGCCAGTGTGTTCCAGTGTGACACTAGTGTCTGCACCAGGAGTGTTAACTGAAGGAAAAGATTGATAGTGTTTGCCTTTACTGCGGTATGTTTACTCAGAGTTATGCTAATGCCAGACCTGCGTGATAATCAGTCATTACTCCATGAAGTTTCCTCATCCATTTGAAATTGGGACACTATATTAACGTCAAGGGTTTGGGCGTTGTGTCAGCATTAACTGTTGCGTAAGAGCCTTGTTTTTAAGACATCGTCCTAAATCAGCTGGCCTTTTCTGACTATGAATAATCCTCTTTTTTTTTTTATTATAAATGAAAGCTTCAGTATCAAGAACATTGAGTTTTTTCCCTCTGATATAACTTTGGATGAAAACCTATCACAATTTTGAGTAAATGATCCAAACAAAGCGAGCTGAAAACACATTGGACTTTTACATTTCTGCCTTAAAGCTCCTGTGAGGAACTTTCTTCTGTGTGTTGAATTTGCAATATAGTAATGATCTGTCATGTAGTCAATGATGTTAGTTGCTTTTGTACACCCAAGAAACACATCACTGTTCATTTCAGCCCATTTCAAAACCTCTCAAAAATCCCTTACTGTAGCTTTAAAGTACTTGATAGAACATATCAGTCACAGGATTGAGGGGTACATCATCTCATCATAGATATTCAGATTTCTGGCCTTGTATAGATCGCTATTAGGGTCATTTAATTCCAATATTTGTAATGGCAAAGTTAAAGGTTTACAGTAATGTAGCTGAAGTTAAATTTGGTCGCAGAATACAATTTAACACCTACAACATACATTATTGGTGCTAAGTGAAGCTTTTACATATGTAGCTAAAGGTAGCTTGATGTTAACTGGTGGTATAGATCATCATATTAATTTACCATTTCAAACAATAAACTACAAAGTTAGCAGTTTTCTTCTGCAACATGTGGAGAGCTCATGTCCACAAACAGCTGCTTGGCTGGTACGTCTTCTCTCTGTCAGCGCATCTGAAAGGTGCGAACATGCAGCCCCACACCCTGCGTCTGCGTATTCCCCTCAAACACGTGCAGAACTCAGGGCACGTGGAGACACATCTGAGAGGGACTGCTCTCAGAAAAGGCAAATTCATCCATATCCGTGTGTGGGTGAAAAGGCTCTGAAAAAGAGGAACAAGAAGTATGAGATCATTGTTCTCGCTAATGTCTCTTCTGCTGTTGTATCTTGTGTTTTTTAGTTACTGTTAAATTGCAACATCCCTACGAGATGTCACCACTGTTGGTCAGTGTCCTCCCACAAAGTACAATCTAGTAGAGTTGGTTTACTTAAAAGTACCCTGAGCAGTGTTTTGCCTAAATATTAAGTACACCATATGCCCTAACCAGCTTTTTTTTACAAGGGATATACAGAGCGGGTTTTGGAACAATATTTGAACTTCTGTATGATTTAACGTTAAAACCCTGCCTCTTCTTCTGTTGGCACTTTCATACCTTCACTTTCATTGTGAGACTCATTGTGTTTCTCCATCTCTCATCCACCTGCTGCTGTAGTTGTGAGTGACACACTTACTTCACAGATTTACTGGTGTGAAAGAAAACCTGCATTTTAAAGTCTAGAAACCAGAATGTTTCTACATTTCTATATTTCAAGTATCAAATGTCACATTCAGGTCATTCCAGTCAGTGTGGCGTTATATACTTTTTGCTCTATTACATTCACATAGTAGCAGTAGTTATGATTAATTACGATGATCATTTTAGACAGGAAACAATTTCGACACCAAACTGCTTCTTACACAATGATACATTCAGACTAATCCTGTCCAATAAAGGTCATGATACATATCTGAACGTAGCTTTTAAGAGACAGTTTGCATAGATTACTTTTAAGAGGGGCTATGATTTTATTTTTCGTCTAAAGCTTCTTATCTGCTTTTTTATATGATTCAAACTTCAATAAATTCACAATCTATTTCAGGCTGCTACTGTTGAAAACCCTAGTTTCAGCCTCAAGCCACTGTCCCTTTAAGGCCCCCACATCCAGCATTCTAGGAACCAGCATTCTTGAAGCCTTCTTCACTGTTGCCATGTGACAGTCACTGTCTGGTGATGTTACAATTTGAGGAAATCTCATACTGGTCATGCCAGAGCACCCTGTTGTCCCATTTGAGGATCACCTAAACACACATTACCCTTGCTCATGTATGTTACTGATGTCCAACATTTTAACTGAACACGACCTCTTTAACCTTTACTCTTTTTCATCCTACCATATAAATTTACTGCAGGAATAACTCAAATGCATCACCTTTATTCATAGTGTAATGTTTTTACAGTGAAGCATCCTTTCTAAACAATCTGCCCTCCATATCTCAGGTGTTACTTTCCATGCAGTGATGTGCAAACAGCTCAGTTTGTTGCCGGCCCTGGCATGTGTGGCAGGAAACAAAAATAGGGCACCCTCCTCTTCTCATGTGGTTTTCTTCCCCTCTCGAATAACAACCTAAACTTGACTGTATTTTGTACTTCCCTCTATGCCAGTGTCAAACTTGTCCTGCACTCAAAGACACACACACATTTTTGTGACTCACTCAAGTTTTGTCTTCTGTTTTTTTTGTTAAAGTGTCTGCATGAGTTTGTTGGAGCATCTTAGTGGTCATAGATGGCCCTCTGTTCTTCAAATATCCTGTCTATTTGACAGTAAGTGATGTTGTTAAGGCAGCCGTTACCCAGTTTCTATCTGTGTTATATTTAGTTTTCTTTCACTTCCATACTTCAGCTGTGTTGACAAATGAGCTCTCATCTGACAACCGCAGCTAAACAGCCTGTTAACAAATAAGATGTTTTGCACTGGACATTGTGAGCCCACAGCACCAGTCTGGCAACTCAACACCTGCAAGTTCACCGCAGCTCAATTTTAAAACCGCAAAGCTAGAAATGCTGTAGTACGGGCTACAGGAAATAATTTAGCATGTATTGATGTCAAAGGTGACACACTTTTAAAATGACTAATGTTTCTTTTCAGAGCTCTAATCTGACTGTGGAGTTGCAACAGTCAATGAGGGGATAATTTGTGAACAAAATCTGCAACAGATTAGTCAATTTTCAGAGCTGAACATTTGATACGATCAGCTCTTCCAATGTGAGGTCAACCAATTTTCCAATGATTGATAATGGAGTAAACTTTTTGTGTTTATGGTTCAATCAACTTGTTTTTTAAATACAATAATATGTGGACAAAAGTCTACTTGAGTTTTAAGAAAGGTTTCATCATCTGTTTTACGAGCAGAGAGTCTGTGGCACTCAGAGCTGAGAAGTTTGTGTAAGAAAAAAAAAGCCACCAGTCTATGTGTCACCCTGAGCTCTAAAACAGGGTTTGACTTTTTCTGTTTCTGTGTGGCCACGTGACTTCCTCTCAGTTTCTGCACTTCTTTCGGCCGCTGCGAAGCGCAGCTCTAAGCTCTACCTCCTGCTGTGTGTTTTCTCATCTGACATCTCTGGCAGTGACAGCTCAGTGACAGGAACCCTCTCAGATTAAACCAGTGTGTTGTTTTTATCGTCAAGCGACCAGAGGGGCAAGAGGACCAAAAATGTTGAGGCGACGGCCTTCCAATGCCTCGGAGAAGGAGCAGACGCAGACGCAGACAAAGAAGAAGGTGAGCTGATTTCTTTAGTTTGTTTTGGAGCCGGAGGAAGGTTTAGAGTTTGTTGTTTGTTTGTTTTTTTAATGGGCTTTAATGAACGCTAATATTACACCCAGATTATAAGGAGGTCTTTTCCCATAATTGAAAGAGTTGGTGTTTTCATTGCAACATTGTGCACAGCTGTCTGTGTGTGTGCACATCTATGTAACACAGGATGTCTGCTGAAGTTGGTGCAAACTGTGGTGAAGCCGAAAGAAACCACACAAACACACACACACACATACACACACACACACACACACACACACACACACACACACACACACACACACACACACACACACACACACACATCCACCAACACTTGAAACTTAGTGCAGTTTCTTAGTTTCAGACTTTTTTAAACAACACTCAAGCTTGAACATATCTCTCTTGCTCGTTTGGAGATGTAGAGTTCCTCTTAATGTACCGGGGTGGAACTTTGTTCTGTAGATACACTCTGAGTCACAGAGGACTCTGCGGCTTCTGGTACTTTTCTGGTCTCCAGCTGCCACCATGAGAGCGAGTCCACCTACTCGTCACCAGTACCTTCATTTTCCAACCACATCTTGCCTCGTGTGGTGTAGCTCATACCTCAGCATTACACTTCTCTGCTTTCCCAGCAGTTATCTCCTAAAGTGAATCTATCACTGCAATGAGGCTGTGAAACTGAATGACTCTGGGACACGAGTGGCTGCTCTGAGATCATCAACGTTAAAATGAGATTGGTTTTCTCTGAAACTTTGCGGGTCAACCTGCGGCAGGAAAACAGACATTCACATCATAACAAAGGTCGTTCACTGCGTTGGCGGCCTCTTCAGAAGGAGCCTTTTCTGACGGCAGGTCTGCAATGATTGGCTGTCGGCAGTTGCTCAAGCTTTGCCTGTTTCCTGTGGTTTGATCTAAGATTGAAGACAAAGCGATAAGATAATGCAAAATGACATGCAGTTATATGGAAAACAAGTCTAAGAATTTCCATTAGAGATAAGAGAATATTTCACAAATGGAGGATTATGTAAAAGAGGCGAAAAGTTTTAATCGTATGCAGATGATATTTATCTTAATTCACTTGTCATCTATTGCCATCGTCTCTCATGAAATTCCATTTTCTCGCCAGTATTTTACCTTTTTGATTTTGTTAATACTGTTTTACTATATTTGTTTAATGAGCATTACACTGATCTGGGTAGATTTGAGGGGATTTGTGATAATTTACATGAAACTCCTTTAAATTATGTTATACTACGTCATATTTATCTATGTGGTGTGAGTGAGAGAACTGCTGAATCCAATATCAAACATTTGTGAGATTGTATAGATTTACTGTGGAGTAAACAGCTCACCATATTGTGCTTAACTAGCTTGATCATAGCTTCAGCGTTAACCCCACTGTTAGCTCAGTTGTTACTTTCTGTGTTAAAACTTATTACTCCTCCAAAAGTGGGTGTGAGATTTGTTCTATCATTCTTTTGTTACCAGAACAAACAGGCACGCTGGAGCCAGAAGTAGATGCTCATGGGTCAACACACACGGCAAAAGATAACAAATATATTCCCATACAGCGCACAGACCTGTAAGCACAAGATGCAATAATCACCTTTGCTGTGCTACAGAAATATTGAGTTAAAAGAGAGAAGAATACTTTTGCAAGAATAAAAAAATCTCACACATGAACAGGTCAAGATTAACAAAGAGATAAGTTGTCTTGCTTTGTCCAAAATAACCTAAAAATCCTCCTCTGGAGCTTTAAAATTAAGTGAAAAAGAAAATAGATTATAAATCGGAGCACCACAACAGCTTAAACCAAATTTTACTTTCATCTCCTGTTTTTTTTCTTCATGCAGGGGACCTTCATTTCCGCATTAGCATTTTTCAAAACCTTTTGCACCCAAACTATAAAACTATTTTCTGTCTTTGCTGAATTCAAGTGTCAGTCCTAAAGGTGCAAAATACAGTTCATATCATAAATCTCTACCTTTGTATTTCTTGCCAAACTGTATCGCTAATTTGTAAATCTCTTTTTTTGATGCAACCACACCACCATCTGAAACATGCAAATACTTAATGACCCAGATATGTGATTTATGTTGAAACCTATTTGTGAAAAGAGACTACTGTTTCTTCTGAGTCATCTCACTATGGATTTGTCCTTTTCACACATTCAAGAGATAATAAAGAGAGGGAGAGTGTTGCATTTTAACCACCAAACAGCAGACTGGCATGTTTTCACTGTATGTGGTTTCAGACTTGTCACTGTGCCTTTACTGTTACTTAAAACTTGGCGACTTATTATAAAGTTTTAAATAATAAAAATGTGTGTTTACAGCTCTCTCTGCAGAGGTCCAGCAGCTTCAAGGATTTTATGAAGAACAAACCCACGTCTCCTGTTACTTTGGAAAAGGAGTTACATTTTGAGGAGAGTGTGAGTATGACTCCCTTCAAAAACGCACACACACCTCATCGCAAACAAACATAGAACCTACGTGTTTAGGAAAATATGAGTATCTATTTTCCAAGCTCTCTTTGTTTGAAGTTCCTCTAGAAGAAACCTAAGAGCCAATCAGAACTGACTATCAGTCACGGCTGTTACAGAAGTCCACGGTTCGTACTTCCTGATTCGACAAACTGCTGCACATATGGGTGGATGTTTTGACACACCAGGCAGAAGTTCAGAGAACTTTAAAACCTTTCCTGTAAGTTATCTCTGAATATGAGTGGAAGTTGGAGAAATAAGTGTTGAAGAGGAGAGGAAGTAAGAAGGAGAAGCGTTGCACGGTGCTCAGATGACAGCAGCGTGCAGACAGGATGTCCTCTGCAGCGTGAGCCAGTCAGGCAGAGAGCCTGAGCAGAAAGCATTTAACCAAGAGTCTGAAGATCATACCCCAGAGAGTTTAGACACTTTCCATGTAGCCGGACGTTTTATTTCCATACACAGCTGCTGCATCCTTCTCTATGTCATGAACTATTTACAAAAACCTCTCTTTCAAGTAGCGGACACACTTTAAATACTGATAGGTGCAAAAAAAGTCTGAAAAACTTAATGCAATATGAGAATTTCAGCTATATAAAAGTAACTTTTATAAGTTTTGTCTGCTACACTTGAATCTTTATGAAAGTCAAACAGCTATCACCTCTAAAAATAGGCCTCTGAATGAATGCAGTGCTGTCTCTATATGTGACAGTGTTTCTGCACCATTTTCCTGTACAAATCACTGAAAACTCGACCTCTGTGTCCCCACACTGCAGAGCGCCTATTGTCTCGTAAAAAACAGAAATATCATTAGCTTTCATTACTGAGCCCGAAGCCGTGTTAGTGTTGTGCTGCGGGGGAGAGAGGTGCTGCAGGGAAAATTGTGTTTCCACACTGTCGGCCACAATAAAGCACAGGTGCTTGTTTCAGTGTGTGTGTGAGTTTTTGTGTATGTGTGCGTGTATCAGTAGTATGTGTGTAAACCAGAAGAGAAGAAAGGTGAGGGTGTAGGTTTTGTTAACTCCTTAGGGAGTTAACCTTTAGATTAGATTAGATTAGATTAGATTTTCCTTTATTCATCCCTCAATGGAGAAATTAAATAGCGATACACAACATACACATTCATATCAGGTACAAAATAAACAAAAAATTAAGATAAACAACTATGAAAAAAAAGAGAGCACACTGCAAAGGAAGAACAGTATTAAAGAGAAGTATAATATATCAGTGTCAAAAAAATACATATATCATTTTTTTATCAATTGCAAAGTTTCAGCTGATTTAGCGCTCAAATTTTACAACGTGTTAAAAACATATTACATGTAGTTTTTGATCTTCTAACATCTGTTGAGAATAAATTAAAGCACGTGATTAATTTGAATTTTCATCACAGGTGAAAGAAGAATACGCAGCAGAGGAATCCATGAAAAGTGGCAGCAAACTGGGCAAAAAGTGGCGCAACGTCATCTCACGCACAATGACCCGCAAAACATCCAAGATGGTGCAGAAAGCTCTGGCTGAAGAAGGGGTGAATGCAAATTAACCTGTGAATCATATATGAAGATCTCAGTGTAGAAATGGAGACAAGAACACAGCCAGTCATCCTCACATGGCGCTGTTGTTGTTAGTTTCAAAAAGACTTCAATAGCTCTATCTAGTGGACAAATAGCTGTACTGTTTTTAAACACTCCATTTATTGAATCAGAAGCAGATCTACTTTGGACTTCCTGTACTGTTTTAACACTCAAATCCTCACCTGCAGCTTTTAAAATACTCATGAATGTGAAGAAGTGACTGTTATTTAGGGAGAGAGAAGGTGAGGGAGGGCTGGGGTGGAGAGTCGGAGGAATAGTAGGGATACGGCTCAACTTACCCCTCTTCTATGGTCAACTTACCCCATACACAGGGTAAGTTGACCATAGGAGAACGCTTTTTTTTGGCATACTATAACATCAAGACAGTTATGTTTACACCCATTCTGTTGGTTTGCAGGGATGCACAACATCTTGAAATAAATGCAGATACACTAGTTAGAGACAAAACTAAGATTGACTTGATGTAGTGATCCGAAATATGAAAAATGGCTCATCTTACCCCGCTCTCCCCTACCCAAGATCCTGACAGACTTTTAGTTTAGACTATCTACAACAATCGTACAACACAAACACAGGCGCCTCTGTTTTGTCGCTAGATTAAGTGAATCCAGGAAATTATTTTGAGCAAAACTGCTGAAATTCACAGATTACAGCTTGTTACGTGTAAATATTTCATACTTCTTTGTCTCCTCTTTGACAGTTTACTGTCAACAGATAAGAAACTTAAAAAGTGTTTTTATGAGTACTTTATGTAGCTGCTGTTTTAACAGTATATAAATGGAATAAACTGAAGCGTTAGTGTCAGTTCAGCATTATTAGTTAGATAAACTGAAGGTGAACCTGTTGATCTGACCTCTGACCTCTACTGTCATCCTCTAAATCTGCAGGTTGAGAGCAGCGAGGAGCTGTCTCCCGTCTCCCCTGATTGTCCTCCAGATCTCAGGGTAGGACAGAGGACGTCAGTGTGCTCCTCAGGGTCAGAGGACACCCCGTCAGGCCCCCTCAGCCGCCAGCTCTCAGGCAGTAAGAGATCATCTGTGCAAAAATAAACCTTGTCTGTCTACCCTCGCTACAGTACATAATCTTGCTTTCAGGTGGAGTTACTGCGCACTTTTTAAGCCTCTAATCTGCCAAAGTGTAAAAAAAAAGAAATCTTCAAACTGGGTCCACAATCCTTAACCAAAACTCTTAAAGCCATATAGATATCTGAATGGTGTCCATGTATCTTGAATACAGAGCGCCAAAAATACAAGGATGTCCTACTACATCAGGGTGCATTTTGCAATATGCAAGCCAGCTGCTTTTTTGGGCGAATCTGACCTACTTTCCTCTGCCCGGTGGAGGATTTGAGTGGGACTGGAATAAATACATGAGAATCAAAGTTAGAGGCACATTGCAGTATGTCTCAAGAGTATGAACACTTAAAGCTAAGAATGGGTGTAAATGAGGCTTATGTAACGGCACAAGATAAGATGGTTGCACTGTATGTTTTCTAGAGAGCTAACATTTTCTTATGTCACTCTGAGAGCACTTTGAAAAACAAAAGCTTTGAAAATGAATCTGAAGAAATGCAAATCGAGCATCACTCACATAAATCATTTCAAGCATCAGCGGCTCAGTCTCAGTCTGACTCTGTTTCCACTTGGTTTTCCTCAGACAGTGACAGACAGAGCCTGGACAGCGGATACTGTCAGAGGGACAGCATGAGACTGGAGGAGAACGGCGTCTCTTATAACGGGCCTTTCTGTGGCCGCGCTCTGGTCCACACGGACTTCACTCCCAGCCCCTATGACGTGGAGTCGCTCAAACTTCAGGTGAGTCTCTTTAGGGCCTGAGGTCTCTTTCGGTGTCCTCCTGGGAGCTTGTTAACTTACTGAAACCAAGAGGGTTGTGTTTGATAATGACTCTCCATGCTTGAGTTTAAAGTGCATGACCCATTCCTGACCGCCTGTTAAGTAACAATCTGCAGTGATTGTGTCACAGCATTGCAAATTATATTCGAGTTGGAGGTTATTGAAGGATTATTTCTTCGCTTTCTTCACACAAATCTCCACCAGTTTGATTAGATATTTGTTTTAAGGAGTTTGCCTGTAGTCAGCTCAGGAAAGGATCAAGAGTTGAATCTGTTGTGAGGTGTTTTTCATGACAACTAAGCGTGTATCATCTCTGTTGTGTTACAGAAAGGAGACATCATCCACATCATCGAGAAACCCCCTGTAGGGACCTGGACAGGGAAGCTCAACAACAAAGTCGGTTCCTTCAAGTTCATCTACGTCAACCTGCTGCCTGATGAGAGCCCCCCCATCAGGAGGAGACGCGGCAACAGCAAGAACAACCGAACCAAATCCAGACCTAAAACCCTGGAGGAGGTGCTGGACAGCATGGGTCTTAATGTGAGCCACACACAGTTTTTTCATGACGTTGAAATCATCGTATTTGTGGATATGCATCTAAATGTTCCTGCTGTTTCGTTTCAGGAGCTGATTTCTCTGCTGTCCATGCACGGTTTCCAGACTCTGGAGGACTTTGCAGGCCTGAAGGAGTCTCACCTCAATGAGCTGAACATCACAGACCCAGAACAGCGCTCCAAAATCCTGAACGCCTCTGAGCTGCTGAAAGACTGTAGGTTCACAGCCTTCACAGCAGCTTTGATCTAAAATGAAATAATGATGTTGCACTTTTTCTCAACCGAAACGTCAAATCCAGAGTCTTAAACCAGAAAAGAAAATATCCTCAGTAGCTCATCTGAGAGTCACTCTGTCAATCAAATGTCAGGTTTAAGCAGGTTTTGAAATATTCTCAAGAGGCAAAACTTTAGGTTATATTTTTATTTATTATTCGCTTAATTTGGCAAAGTTTTATGGCTCAGTTGGACAGTATTGCACTCACAGTTTATTGTTAGGCTCACAAGAATGAAACCAGAACTGTACTTTACTGCTGAGACCAATATTTGGATTGAGACAAATTGGAGCAATGTTGGAAAAGGAATATTAGACCTTACACACCAGTTTTAGTCCTTTCAAACAGTTTTATAAAAATGATTTTTTTCTTATTATCTGTTAATTTTATTTTATAATTGTTCATAACTTTTCTAAAAGATCTGGTGAATTACAGTGTTCTCATTTTTGATTATTGTTTGTAAATTAAGCTATATACAGCTACGTACTGAAAAAAATGTGAAATTTAAAGGTAATTTCAGGTGAATTTTGGTTTTAAAGGCATTCATATTCACCAAAAAAAAAAATCATTGAAGGAGACATGATAAAGGAAAACAAACCTGAGCAGTCAATTTAACCTCCATCCATCAAGAAAAAGTGCAAGATATAACACTTGTTGTAAAATGCATACAAAGATAAACACTGTGATGCACAAAATAATATAAAGGGCCTAAGTTTATCTCCAGAAAAGCCTGAAGCCCAACAACTTCATATTTGACAGCACCCTCTGTGAGTGTGAAAAGCACTTTTTAAAGCCAACCACTGCAGTCGACCTGTCCCAAAACAGCAAGAAAACTCAGTGTATTCATATAAAACAGACATTCCCTGATTAAATTAAACCTTTCAAAGTAAAAATAAGTGATTCTCTTTGTCCCTTACAGCCGATGATGAGTCCGAACCAGAAGAAGAAGAAGAAAAGAAATCTGTGGAGGACTCCAAAGAACCACGGGATTCAGGCTGTTTTGAAAGCTCTGAAAACCTGGAGAGTGGACCAAAGACAGAGGAGGAGGAGGAACTCCAAGATAAGGAAGCAGCAGAGCTGCAGACAAACCACAGGGAGGAGGACAGTGTGCAACAAAGTGAGGAGCAGAAGAACAGAACAGAAGAACTGGAGGCCGTGCAGGAGGAGCTGCAAGAGCTGACAGTGGATGAGGGATAATGAGGCACGGAGAAAATACTCCAAATCCTACAACTCAGTGACTCGGTGGGCTGAGGCCTAATGACGTTAAGATGTCATTTTTGGAGGGAACACTGTTGTCTTCTACAACAAAACTCCAGTATCAGGATGAAACCTGTGATGACAAACCTGTTGTCATCAGCCACAGTGAGGTACCTGTTTGTGATTATCTTTAATTTTTTGTCTTATTGAACATTGTTTTGTGTCATTGTCTCTGTCATAAAAGGTAATGTAGGTGTTTTGTGCAGCCTTGGTCTACATTGAATGTGAGGTGATTTTCATACAAGTACTTTTGTAAGCTGCATTACTTTGTTTTTGGACGGTATACTGTGTATGCAGGGCACACTGTTGCTTCCTAAAACAGAAATCCGGTATCATGAAGACTTTCTGTTTTCCGACAGGCATCAGCCGCAGTGAGGTACCTGTTTGTGATTATCTTTAATTTTTATTTTTCTTAGTTAACAGCAGTTTGTGTTATTGTCTCTGTCATTAAAGGTACTGAAGGTACATTTAAATTTTCTCTCTCCTGTCTTTATGACCATGTCTTAAATATCAGTGCGCACAGTCTTGGTCTCCCTTAAATGTAAGGTGAGTTTCACATAAGAATTTTTATGAGCTGCATTATTTGTTTTAAGATGTCATTTTTGGAGGGCACACTCTTGCCTCATACAACGAAAATCCGGTTTTCGGATGAAACCTTCTGTTTGGACAGGCAACACGTTTTGTTGTCATCAGCCGCAGCAAGTTACTTGTTTGTGATTATCTTAATTTTGTTTGTGTTACTGAACATCGTTTTGTGTTATTGTCTCTGTCATAAAAGGTACTAAAGGTGCATTTAAATTTTCTCTCTAGTCTTTATGACCATGTCTAAATGTCAGTGTTTTGAACAGTCTTGGTGTCCCTTGAATGTAAGGTGATTTTCACAGTAGTTTTGTGAGCCGCATTGCTTTGCTTTAAGTGTTTTTGAGGAATGTAAACAGTACTGTAAATAGAATTTGAATAAAATTTTCTTCACTTTGAGGCCAATTCAGTTTCATTGAGCTTTTTGAGACAGAATTAAAGTAAAACCTCCCTTAACTTTCTTTCGTGCAATAAGGAACCTTTAAAGTTTAACACAGAAATCAAAAAATAAATAAATAAAAAGAAAAGAAAAGAAAAAAACTACCCCACTGCCCTCTCCTCTCTTAAAGCCCCAATAGATATATAAAAAATAACTAATACTAATACAAATGAAACTAACTACGAATAAAATGTAAGTTAAAGAAAGGTAGGTTATACTGTTAGACATGGGGGAGAAAATATCCATGAAAACTGTTCACTATCTGCAGCAGGTTAAAGAAAGTCTGCTCTTTAAAGACCCACTCCAATGAAAATCATGTTTTTCTTGTTGTCTACAGTTTATATGGCATTTTTTGGTGCTACAGGACATATCATGAAAAAATTAAGAGCAAAATTGCATTTCTGAGTATTTCTGCATTTAAATGGCTGTGAACCTCTCACAGACCCAAACCACCGGTTCAGACACAGTGGGATTTCCTATGTCACAACTCCAAGCTCCGCCCCCAGTGCCTTACTCTGCAGGCCAGATGCAGAGAAGTAGAGATGATGATTGTGGAACAAGCATGTGTGTTAGTGGATTGCAACGCTCATAAGTGAATTGTAGTATTAGCTTTCATCATGCCCCCAAAGACATTAGTGTCAGAGGGCTGAATAGCTCCTATGCTACCTGCAACTTTTACTACACCGGCAATGTTAGGCTGCAAGCTAGCGTAAAGAGGAGTGTGCAGAGTAGCGCTGTCGCTGCCCACGACTCAGGGCAAATTGCTCATGAGCTCCTGGAGCTCTGCAGAAGAAAACCCTTAAAATGACACAGGTATCGTGATTTTGGCTAAAATTTCATAATCACTATTTAACGACCACTGAAAACACTTTAAATAATTAAAAAATATGAATGGACGGAAATGAGATGAAAAAAAATACAAGTATAAGAATGGGTAACTCTTTATATGAACCCACCCCTTTTAATTCATCATACGCACTTTATAAATGCATTTATAAGGTTTTATAATACTCAGAATTTATAACAGCTGAAAACAATGATTGTGAAGTTTCATAAACAGTGAACGTAATGCCTTATAAAGGTATGATTTATAATGCATTATGTCTTGAGGAAGAACTTCCAACAGCCTCTTTTGAATTCTGGGTTTCATAACTCCATCAACTTCAGACACTTTTAAAGATTCATAGGAAACTCAAACAGTAAAACATAACAAACTCGTCCTTAATTTTGCTCCAGACAGAGGGTGTTTGATAACATCTGAATATCTTTAATCAAACGTTTCAATGATTTTTCTCTTGAATTTTACATTAAGAAAAATATTTTTTGTATTACAAGTTTTGTCAGATGTTATGTTTGAATATATAAATGAGGCAATATCTAATTAAATATGCACTATTTTGCACACATTTCAAGAACTGAAACCTGAACCATGGATAAATCCCCTTTCAAAATTCTTGTTGGATTTTGTTGACATACTAGAGTCAGGAGGGGGGGTGGAGGGGACTTTGGATATCTTTTTATATCACTCTGTAAATGAGAATATACTGTCAACACCCCTAAAAATTCAAATGTCGGCACTGCCCATGGGACACTAGTTGTTCTAGCAATCACTTATCTATCATACAAATATGCTAACTAGAATATTAGATGGTCAAAACATGTATCAGGTGCCAGTTTTCCTGGTCTAGAAGGAATACAAAGGAGTAACGGTCATTTTAAGGGCCTGAAGAAAACACAATGCGATATTTTAATTTATAATGGTGTTGACAGTATTTTCTCATTTACAGAGTGATAAAAGGAGATATCCAAAGTCCCCTCCTCCTCCCCTCTGACTCTATTATGTCAACAAAATAAAAGAAGATTTTCAATAAGGGGCTTTATCCATTGTTCAGTTTTCGGTCCTGGAAATGTATGCAAATAAGTGCATATTTAATTAGATATTGCCTCATTTATATATTCAAACATGACAAAACTTGTAATACAAAAAATATTTTTCTTAATGTAAGTTATAAACTTTATGAAATCTCATGGTGATATCTGTTCGTTAAGAATGTTACCCTATTCAGCTGGGGTGTCTCCCCGGGCTTCCTACCCATTATGGACGCCATCGTGAAAATGACACCTTTCTAGAGGTCAAACTTTGGTAAAATTTTAGTATGTTATTAAGAACATCTGATAATATAAAAAAACAGCTGAGAAACCTTCTGTTAAATCTTTTTTTTGGGGGGTCAAGTCACATTTGCAACTGACTAACAAAGAAAAGCTCTTCTAAGAGTCCAATAATAATCAGACAATATTGTTTATTTACCAGACACATTGATCATGTAAAAAGAAGTGAAGTAAATTGAATGAAATACATAGAGTCACAGTGTTGATACTTAACAAAGTGAACATAAATAAAGAGTTCCATCAATGTTATATAACTCTATCTGTTTACATAATGTAATAGATTGATCAGAGCATTCAGATCTGACCACTTCATGGCATTTTAACACAGGATTCATACATACAAGGGTTACACTTGGCTCCACAGTCTGCAAACCTTTAGAGCTCCAAAACAACTTTTCCTTTAAAATCAGCGTACTTACACAGTTTCAACACAGACGTCCCTTCATTTATTAAATATCAGTCCCATACGCTCTCATGGGGACAGCAACACAGAGCAACCAAATACACCCAACCTCAGTAGATGCTTTCCACAAGAGTAAAGCTGGCTTTGTTAACTCTTTAAAAACTGATTTGGGTTTGAAAAGTTTTCAAAAGAAACACTCAGCAATTTGATTTTCGTTTTACTTCATTGACACAATAGCATTTCACATTTTGAAGCATCCTTCAGAGATAGGCCAGTTAGAAATTCTTTCTTTACATGGTTAAAAGATTTATCAAGACAATAAGATTAATCAGTCAGTCCATAAACAGATAATTGATCAACTATTCTAACTGCCAATTTCTGTAAAGACTAAATCTGAATGTGGCAAGTTTCAGGTTTCAAATGTAAATTTTTGCAGATATTTTGAGTGAGTAGAAGAATTTTAAGGATCTTGGACGAAAAAAAACTATTAAGGTGGCAAATTTGAACATTTTTGTGATAATATATCCTTCAAAATTGTTTCATATTATCAAAAAAATCTATCCTTAAACACTCAAATGTCTGAAAAATTGTTAACCCAAATGAAACTTATCCACATACAGGTTTAAACAATGAAAATAGTCCATCAGCTCTTTCCTCTCCATGTTTCAGGAATGTCTGGAGTAAAGATTTTAGAAGATCAGAGGAAACTGTGACCCCTTTGAGTCCCACAATAAATAATGCCGTATCTGCTGCGATGCCGTACAAGAATTTCTACACAGTTGTATTTCACAAATACCTACTCTGTCTCGCATACAACACAATCACTACGACAAACTCTCGCTACCAGCTAACATCATTTAAATACTAATTATGAACTTTTCTTCTGCCTCTTGCTTGTCCCCTTTAGTGATCTATGACCAAAACAAAAGAAACTCTCAGGCAGCCACATTACAGGCTCTGCTCTGTCTGAAATCCACAGACCCGTCAAAATAAAAGCATCAAGTGTCTTTCTCTCTCTGCCTCGGCTTTATTCTCGGTGATAATGAGCCCACCACAGACTGCTGCAGCTCGGGGCCTCGGGCGTACTGTAGGAGTAACTGTCACAGCAAAGATGTAAGGAGAAGGAGGAGGAGTTAATACTGGAGATGTGAGGAGAAGAAGAAGAGAGGATGCAGAAGAGGATCATCTCAGGAGTTATTTGCAGGAGGATGTGCCTGAGCTCACAGGCAGCATCATTAACAGTGTCTGTCTTTATTCGCCCCACGAAATAAATTAAATAAAACATTCCTCGTTACCAGCGAACAGAGCGGTTTTCAGTAAGTCTATGTACAGTTCAACAATGGCTTTGCTTAGTTTTTGCTTTACCAAGTCACATTAAAGTGGTTCCCAACTTTTGGCGCTTTTGACCCCCCTCAGAAGATAAAATACTACATCCTACAGATCCAAAAAATTCAGGATTTTCTTCTTCTTTTTTTGGGAAATAAAACATACATGTGAAAAGAGTTTAAAGAGGAGTTTACTCTCATGTTTAATTTGAATTATGATGCTACATTAAGGGGATAGCTGACTCAGCTCAATATAAAGTCTGAAAACAGAGGCAAGTATCTAGCCTGGCTTTGTATAATAATAATAACAAAAAATTAATGTTTGTGCTAAATCTGTGACAAAAAAGTGAAGACAGAGTTCCAGATATCCAAGAAATAAAGAGGCTCTATATTTAGAGTAGAGAATGAAAAATTTTTCACCTGACTTTCTGCAACAGAGGGAATAAAATCCTTTGAATGTCCTATAACCCCCTTGATTAGCTTTAGCCTCCTAAAAGGGGTCCCAAACCCCAGGTTGGGAACCACAAGTCTTCAACATTAGCATTTCTCATTTAACACTGTGTCAGCGGTTTAAACGGATCTGTAGGGCTTCTCTGTTAGTCGACCTCAGTTGCATTTGATAAGGCACTGTTAACTTTAGTGTCTACTATCATCAGAAGTCAGGCCTTCTTTGCACTCACACATCGAGCTCTGGCAAAAGGATGAAGTTTCTCCTGTATCTCAGAGCACCGACATCGTACTACAGCTTCGATTATACAAAAATGGAAGGAGAGGTCAAGATCAGATCACTTAGAAAAAAAAGAAAGATGCACAAAAGTAACAAAGTCACTGAATGCAGCAGTATCAGAAAACAAGGTTTGCCTTGCCTGGAAGGATTTTTTTTTTTAGGAAATATCTGATCTGAATATTTGCATGTCCTCCTTCTGCCTAGACATCATGTGTACACACACACACTCACAGCTGTGACCCTTCTCATAACAAAGCTGCTGGTCCAGCCTGAACATGGTTTGCATAGGGCATGTAATGAGCACACAACAGAAAACTGACTGTATTTATGATGTTTTACACATGTCCAGAAATACAATGTCTCGGCCAAACACTTGCAAGGAGTATATTGTACTGGCCTTTCACAATAAATGTCATTATGCAGTTTTACAGAACAAAAACGATCAGAGCAGCCCACAGATGATCTCTGTGGGGATGTCGTATGCTTGGAGTTTTTTCCTCTGCAGTTTTTTCCCTGTGTGTCTTTTCCATGCAGTGTTCAGGAGACAGAGGAAGCTGCTGACTTTCCTTTAAATCCCTGCCCCCCCACCCTGCAAGAGCGAGTGTCAATCAACAGCTCTGCAATGTCTGGAAGAAGGGGAGGGAAGAGGAGGAGCTGCGGCAGGAGCTCAGCTCTCCTGGTGGAATGTAAGGCGGGAATAACCCGCACAGTAATCACATATTGATCATGGATGTTTCAGTTCCAGGATGTTGGGGGAGGGGCTATGACGAGACCCCGCCCCCGATATGCAGCTAATGGATCTTGTCCTTGACGACGGAGGTTTCTGCATCGGTCTCGGGTGAAGCCAGGGGTGGGACTCTCTCGACAGGAGGGTGCTCCTCTTTGGGGGAGGGGCTCTTCTCTGCTGTGTCAGCGATGCTCGGCTTAGCATCATCAGGTGTGTGCTCATTGGGGATGAGTGGAGCGGTGGTTTTCTGTAGGCAGAGGACAGCACGCTGAAAAGATGCAAGAGCCACTGGTGACACACTGAGCCACAACAAAGTGCAAAAACAGAGCTTGTGAACTTGGATGAACAAATAAATGATGTCGACCATGTAAAAAGCCTCAGATTGGTCCCAGATCCTGGTCACAAGATTGATTATTAATTAGAAAAACCTCTTCCTCTCTCTAATACTCCCTGTAATTGGTTTAGAGTCTGTTTTATGTATGCTCTGGATTCACTTTCCCAGTGCTTTACAGCCTCAGTCCATTTTAATGGGGATGTGTGACTGGGCGGTGCAGTGTGTGTGTGTGTGTGTGTGTGTGTGTGTGTGTGTGTGTGTGTGTGTGTGTGTGTGTGTGTGTGTGTGTGTGCGTGTGTGCTCTCACCGTGGTTTGTGGCACTGGGTTGCTGCTGCTGGAGGATGAAGAGGAGGAGAAGGGTGCATCAGGCGTTGCAGAAACAGCTAAATCCTCCTGCATCAGTCCTCTTCTGTCCAAGACGCTGCAGAGGGAGACGAGGCAATCAGTCACTAACTGCATCCTGATCGTTACTCACCAGAACTCAGCGCAGGAGAGACATCAATTACAGGAGTCTAATCTATCACAGGCTCTGATACTAAACTTAGTGATAACAGCAGGAATAAAGAAAAAGACATTAACTTGGACATGACGATGAATATAACAACAAGGCTGTCAGATTCTGATTCAAAACAGACGTTTCATACAGAATAAATCAACCAGCGTTAGCCGACAGACTTACCTTGGATATGTTGGCCCACAGAGTACTTCACAGCAGTTTTTGATGATGTTCTTGTGGCTGTACGGGTTCTGGACACGGTTTTTCCCTGACCAGGATCCTTTAATCTGTTCAGATCAAAATGCACACAGCACTCAACACCTGGAATAAAACATTTCCAAAGACACCCTGGATGTCTTACAGTCCTGCTCTGCTAAGTTTCAAACTGATTTTTCCTCAGCTTATACCTTATTTAAAAGGATGGCTCCATTTTTAGATGTTATTCCCACAGGCTCTGCTTTGACCTACTAAAAAGGATGTCGTCAGAGATTTAATGATTCCTGGTTTTAATGGGAACCCAGTGCCAACGGGTACAAAAGAGCGAGCCAACTAGGGGTTAAATTTACTTTAATAATTTATTGAAAATCTTAGTATTCACACAAAGGATTCAATCCACTGTGAATAAAGTCCTTTTACATTACAAGGTGTGTGAAGTAGTTCAGTAGACTGTCACAGAAAAGGAGGCATGATTTAACCCCAAAACATCAACTTTTAAAGGGTTGAAAATTTACATTATATACACATATACTACTGCATCATAACTTTATACTTTCTCCTATTACTGTCTACTCTCTCGTCTCTCTCGATAAACACATACAAGTTCAAACATAAACAGAAAAATAGTTGATTTTTTTTCATCTTCATTTTCATTTGTATTTTAAAATTTCTACGAAATTCTGACACTGATTTATTTTCTTTCATTTTGGGATGTTTGCAAGAGTGATTCTCTGCTGAAGTAGTAGATGAGGTCAACAGATTTTTTTTTTTTGGCTCTTTGCTTTGCCTCTCAGGCTACACACAAAACCTGAATTAAAGCCCAGCCTAACCACATAATTTTTCAGATTACAGTGATTACTTAACCCTTTAATGCCTGAAACCACAAATTATGGCCAGAAAATTCATTTTTTTGGAGCTGAAATGTTTATTTCACTTACTGCTGAAAACCAAAAAAATCAAAATGTCCTCAAAATTTAACAAATATATTTATTTATCAAATAAAACTGATAAACCACAAGAGGACATTTTTATCATTTATTGGACTGTATTCAGGTGTTTTTTTAGTAATTTGTTGATCATATTGATTGATAAATGTATCATAAAAGTTTGTATCAAATATGATACAAAAGGCAATTAAGACATTTTTAAAACAACAACCATACATTAGGTACAGCACACCTTTGACTTTTTTGTCCTTTTATCAGAGTTACTGTGATATATAATACAAAAAAATATTTCTATTGGGCCCCAACAGATGGCACAATGGTGCATGGACTATACTTATCTAACACCTTTCCAGTCGTCTGACTACTTTAAGTGCTGTTACACCACATATCAAGCGATCTCTCACGTACGTTCATACTGAAGATGTAGGATATTAGATAATTCAACTTTATGAGACACTGGTTTTCAGACATACAGTCATTAATGTATCTGGTGTCTGTTTCTGGCACAATGAAATACTTCCACACAGCTGGCACAATTAGCCTGTGTACGCTGTCACTGTGGCCATATAATTAATGCATCAACTTATCAGCAGAATTTTTCAGATCTGCCACCACCAATAATTAACTTTTTAAGCTGTTATCTGCCAGTACTGACACTATGCTAATAATATTGTGCATCCCTATTTCACAAGCTGTTTGCAGAGGCTTTTATGTTAAGTATCCATGAGCATTGGTATTATTTGGCTTTGTCACTCAGGATTAATTTGGGGTTCATCGTCTCGCCCAAAAGCACTTCAACATGTGGACTGTAAAAGCAGGGATGGAACTGCCAACCATATGACTGTGAATCTGACTGTACCATCGAGCTACAACCACAAAAAAACATGCAGAGGAGAACATTGACTCAGAAAATTGAATCCCACGCATAACTACCAACAAAACTAAGGTTTGTGTGCAGAGCAGAGTTTGCACCAACTGACCCCACAGCAGGACAAAGACAACCGCTCTTATTTTAGGTGCGGTGGATGTAGGTCAACAGTCTCCCCAGGAGCTACTCCGGTGCTGCATTCGAGCACTTTGTGTGCGTGTGTGTGTGTGTGTAGCAGACACAGTTGGCAGAGCATATGTCATCCTATGGGAGACCCAAGCAGCTACAACACTCAAGGTGCCTTCTCCTGTTCGTCCTTGCTCCACCCTCTTCTCCTCTCTTTCTCTTTTCTCCTTCTCCCTACCACCTCCGTGCCACACCATTTTTTCTGGCAGCGTGCCTGGCCCCTGCAGGTATCGATGCATCTATTATTAGGCCAATCACAGATACTGAAACGGCGAGGCTGACAGCCATTTGTTTCAACTCCTGAGCAACATCATCCTGTAGGTGCACATTGCAGAGCTTCAAAAAGAAAAAAAAGGAGGCCAGACATCCCACAGGAAGGAAAAAGATGAATAATAAATTAATCATTACAACAAAGTATGAGTGCACTCTCTTGCTTTCAGCCATCCAGATCCTCCCACCACATGCACTCGCTGTGCTGCTGCTGCTGCTGCAGCTGCTGCTCTCTGCTTCTTGTCAGAGCCTCTGCAATCAGATCAGAGCTAACAAAGCCTCTGTAAGGTATACATACAGTTAACACTCCTATACACAAACCGACACAACATAAATTACTCCCTCTGTGCTTTCATCCACCTCTCATCACTTACTTTGCATTAGCCCGAATGTGTGTGCGCTGACTAAGTAAAACAACCGATAATTTTTCTTCCACCTAGCATCAGAAGTTTCTCCTAAACGTAGCTGGTATTCCAGTCAGAAACCAGGATCTGTGCGTAGATCTCCTTTTAGAGGTTTTCTTTAAAGAATAGCTCAGGCATATTTTTAGATTGTCAGACTTTGGTGGGCTGTATGGAGTCCAAGCAACTGCTGCTTTTAGTTTCAAAGCATTTTAAAGCCAATTTGTTGTATGAGCAGAATAAAACTGTTCTTGCTGCATAGGCCCTGTTTTCCTTGTAAAGAGATCTCTGGTTGCAGAGTGGCTTTACTGGAGGAAAAAGGATGTATTAAAATTTAAACCACAAGCAGGAAGGCAGAAATCTCTCCATGTGGTCTTATGTAAAGTCTGATAAAAAAGAGGAAGTACAAACAAATGTGAAATCAGAGTACAGTATGTCTTGTTTGTTATAAATAGATCCTTTTTGTACTTCAGTTTATTTTCTTTTTTATTTGAGTTAACAACGCTGCGTTTGTGTCGCTGTGTTTTACAGTTTAATCAGTTTGTTATACAAGCAGCAGAGGTGTAGCAGCCCTTTGTCCTACAGTACTAAGTGAGGTGGTGCCGTTGTCAAGGAAACAGCTCAGTGGTTTTAGACCTGATAATGTTAACATGTGTGATGTATGTTTGTCTTTCCACTAACATGAAGCCATACAACCATAAACATCCACACCTACAGTAAATCCTTGAATCTGCACTTTTATACCCTGTCAATCTTATACCGTCTGCATTTATGTTTAAAAATAATCACTTTAAGCACATTTAACCAACTGTGGCTTTGTATCAAGTAGGCCTGAGACTTTTGTGAATTAAAACAGGTCACTTGATAGCTGGTAACAACAGGCAAACATCCAAACTAACTAAGTAATATTACCAATTTCTTTTCTTTCCTGGGGATTTCCTATGTCACAACTCCAAGCTCCGCCCCCAGTACCTTACTCTGCAGGCTAGACCCATAGAAGTAGAGAGGACGATCCCAGAACAAGCATGTGTGTTAGCAGATTGCAATGCTCATAAGAAACCCAATTATGATATTAACTTTCATCATGTCCCTAAAGACAATAGTGTCAGAGAGCTGAATAGCTCATATGCCACCTGCCACTTCCACTACACCAGCCATGTTAGGCTGCAAGCTAGCATGAAGAGAAGCGTGCAGAGCAGCGCTGTCTCCACACACGACTCAGAGGCGAATTTCTAATGATCTACTGGAGCTCTGCTGAAGAAAAGCCCTTGAAAATAACACAGGTAATGTGATTTTGGCTAAAAACTTAATAACCACAATTTAAAGACCACTGCTAACACTGTATGTTGTAATATAAAAAAAACGATCAGAGTGGGACTTTAAAGCTCTGGCGAGGAGTTTTTTGACATTTATGAAATAAAGTGAAATTAATATTGATGGCTTTTTATGATACCCAAAGACAGTAAAGACTATCGGGACATGAAAAATGATGTTTATATCCTAATTTTTAATGCCTAAAACTGGTGCAAAGGTGTAGGTGTCAGCTGAGCAGCTAAAGAAAACATCCCCGATTTTATACTCTTCACATTAATGAAAAATTTGACTGCCAAATCATCAGGATGAAGGGATAAGATGGTCTACAGGAGGCACCAAAATTTCTCACAGGAGCTGGCATTTATCCTCTGAGCTGATTATTTCTATTATCAATTGAAAAACGAAACATTAAGGCGTTTTTTTTTAGCTGAGAATGTCCCAAATTAATACTTTTTTATGGATTCTAGCTTTTAAAACCCTCAAAACATAACAGTCAGATTTATCAAAATAGAGTCTTTAAAAGAATATTGAACTTGTCATCTGGATGAATCTAACTTGAGCATATTGAGTCTGCTCTAAAGTACAGTATTTAAGTTCAGCTGCATCTTCAGGAGTTTTTAGACTAGAACAGAAAAACTTTAATAACAGTAACGTCACCAACCACAGAATGAGTCAAGCCTGACCACATGGATCGTGGATCATTTACATAGAGACGCTGCTCTGCCAAAACAAATACATGCAAAGTGCAGCACCGTGTCTCACAGTATAATTCAGACTATGAAAAATACAGTGATAGTCTGTAGTTATGTGATGTCTGAGTAGATATTTGTGGCTTTAAATATATTTAGCTTGTTTTAACTTGTGGAAAAAGTTGCACTTACATCCTCATTGGTGGTCTGGTTGAGGGAGATCAGGTAGGTGTGGAAGCCAGTCAGTCCCACCACCGACCACAGGGTGAAGAAACAAACCAGCACCTCCAGCACAGTGAACACAGGTTAAGGAAACCGCTACTGAGTCAAGAGATTTACATTTACAAAAGAGAAATAAATAACCGACTGAAATTCAGCTGAGTTTTATACCTGGGCCTGCTGTAATCTATCAATATTTTGCTGGCATATTTCATCAGCTATAGCCCAGTAAAGAATAAACAAAAAAAGATAGCTTCATGATTCAGCTCTCGACACTCCCTCTGGTCAGTTCTGTGATCTTTAAAGTTGTTAAATAAAATAAAGGTTGTTAAGGGCTTACATATGGCTACATAAACGCCATCAAGTCTTACAGCTAAGACTAAATTATTTGGCTGCTAAGCTAACAATATTATAAACCAATAAATGACAGATGAACAAACTCCAGCCTTGTTACATCTCTGTAAGCTTAAACCCTGACAGTATTCAGGTCTGATTTCTTCAGGGGTTTCTGTTTAGCTTTGTCTCCTTAGGTTTTTTGTCTTGGCCTCTAACCTCAGAAGTAATGGTGTCATGCTCCTTGACTCTCAAAAGTCACATTGCATTATCGCTGAGGCTGCATGTTATTATACAAATTAAAGAAGCTTAAGACTGCAGCTCGTAGAAATACACATTTTGTTTAATCCATTCCCGTCCCTTTGACTTTGAGATTTTATTAAGGCTAAAATTACACAAATAAAATCCTATTCTGACAGTCCTGATGTGCAGAGATGCTTGGCTATTATTAGAAAATCCTGCCTGGGTCCTTCTAAAGTATTTTCAATTTTCTATTTAAGGAAACGTGGACAACACGCACAGCACAACCAGGGGCTGTTTTGTGATGGACAGTCTATAGTGTAGTAAAGGATATGTTCCTGGTGTTTCCTTCAAAGTGCTCAGGAAGCCATTATCCACTGAACCTGTGAACAGAGGACCAAAGAGGGGAGTTAAAAACAGACGACTTTCTAGACATTTTGCTGCTTCTTTATTCATCTTTCTACAATAAAAAGGCAAATACCTTACTCGTATAATTTTAGTATTAAGATAACAAGCCCAGAGCTAATTATCCTGGCTAGAAACACTCTCTTTCCTCAGCTTTATGTCCTCTCCCTGACTGAGCTTTGTTAAAAGGAGGAAGCTGGAGGACAAAGAAAATAGAGGAATCATGTCAAGCTGTCTGTTTCTGTTTCTGTCATGTCATGCTCCAGGAAAAGCCTGGTGTGGGTAAGGTCATAGTTTCAGCACGTGTGCATGCGCTTGTATTCATACTCGTCCTTCCTGTTTTTCCACATTTTTCAAACTCGTCATGTTTCATTCTTCCACATGACGCAACCTAATGATCTTTTCCTGCAGATCAGACAGACGGGATACTCACGCATGACAACGTGGACGATGTCAAAGGTGAAGATGTAAATGGTGAGCAGGGACAGAGACATGGTGAACAGGTAGAAGTATCGGTAGTTCCTCTTGCCCACGCAGTTGCCCACCCATGGGCAGTGGTGATCGAAACGGTCTGCGAAAAAGAAGAGAGATATCTAAAGTAAACCAGAGGCTGCTTTCCAACTTTTTAGGACAACAGAGACTTTCATAATCAAACAGGAGTTAAAAATACACCGGTCTCAGCTGCAGTCTTTAGGCAAAGGCAGCTTTGTGCACCAGCTCCTCTGAACCTGCAGTCTAAATATAGTGATCACTTCCTTTTTGCCTCTCCTCTCTTGTTGTTTGGAAGAGAGCCAGGTGAAAGCAGGTCAGGGTCAGACAGACAGGAGACACGACTCTGCACTCCCAGGATGGAGTTTCACAACAATTTACAGTAAACATTGAGGATGAGATTCAAGACATGACGGTACAGTCTTTAGATTTAGATTTGGAAATAAGTGCATCAATTTTTATCCCTCAATTTTCACATACATATCTGATCAACAGCACTGACATCCTTGAAAATAACATTTCATGCATTTCCCTAAAATTTGGAGGAAGCAATGTCTATCTGTAAACATATGCAGCATCATTGTTAAGGGAGGGGTTAGAGGAGAGGTCATTTTCTGCCCTTTTTGAATCAATTATATCACAAAAGTTACATCTAAATAACTGGTTTCTATTCCCTGGAAGGTTTTAGGTGTAAAGTCAGTCTAATAAAGCAAAATCCAGTGAAAATTTCTTCACAGTAAGATGACTAATAATTGACAAAACTCATGTTCTTCAGCAGTCTATGGAAAAAAGATAGCAGGCTATACAAACAGAAAAATGAGCTTTCTAAAAAACTGTGTTTTTACATGAAGTGTGTTAGGAGTCACACATTTGCTTGTACATCTGAGCACCACTGAGTGCAGCCTGAAGCCCTTTGCTGAGTGCGATTGTGCAACAACACTGTAATGAAGCTCCACCGTGAGTACGCCTTCGTATTAGCATATCACATCTGCAGTGGCACAACTACAGCTTTGTCACCTATACAATCTATAATGGACGGATTGGTGGGTTATGTGAACAGGCAGTTTGTAAGTGGCTTAATGGAGCTGCTAGAGAGACACTTTCTTGTTTTACAGTCAAAGATTTTAATACACAACTTTGCTTTCCATCATTTTAACAAGATGAATTTGTTTTGTGTCATTCTTTATTAAATTAGACTCAGTTTTAGTGTTAATTCAACAAACTACTTATCCTCTGTCAATGAAAACAGATTTCTGTACAGCTTTGGCTATAAGGACTTTATGTAAAAACTCATCTGAGTTTAAGTGCAGCACAACAAAAACCCTTCACAGCCTTTACTCAGTACTCATGTCAAAACTCTGAATTATACTAATAGCAATCTAGTAGCTTAAAGAGAAATCTAATCTAACCATTGAAGAATGTAAATACAATGTGAGCATCAAATCTGCTCAGAGACATAGTTATATTCTTTTACTTTACCTCCCTTGTGCAACAAACAAAGCTAAAACAACTTTCCAAACACAGACCATATCGACATCCCATAATAAACTAACCCAATAGGCCCCAGGCACAAACAAATAGAATCTATGAAATGATTTTGCAGTTTTCTGCTTTTTCTGTGAGACACAAACCTCGATAAATATTGTGAGGCTGAAGGGGAACAGATATGACTGCAGTAAAGAGAGGGACTGAGGCGTGCTGCTGTGTCATGCTTGGACTATGTGTGTGAGTGTGTGTGTGAAACTGTGTGTGTGTGTGTGTGTGTGTGTGTGTGTGTGTGTGTTTCTACAGCAGGTGGACACAGATGAACCAGTGTTCACAATGACTGAGCGTTTATTTCCTCACTGAGCCTCCACTGTCTCCTCTCATATCGCTTATGAGACTACGCTCTGCACAGACGCATTCCTCAATCATCAGCGGCCAAATCACTGTAACTCTGTAGAGTAGACTGATGACACACATGCATGCACACGTCAAACTGCACTCAAAATACAAGGCATTTAAAAACACTCACAGGTTAGATACTGCGCTCCTTTCCCTCAACTTTTGCACCCTGTCTTTTCACTGAAATTGTCACTTTTTAATCTTCGGTAATAACAATACAGAGAGTCTTTTCCCCACACTCAAATTTCTTTATCTGAAAATGTTGCACAGGTTTTGAGGATTTGATGATTGACAGCAGATTAGACTCATCGTCTTACCGACACAGTTGTCGCAGATGCTGCAGTGAGACGCTCGAGGAGGCCGGAAGATCTTGCAGGTGTAGCAGTACTTGAGTTTGACGATCTGGTTGTTGATCTGAACGTTGCGGATTCGAGGCGGGGGTCTCTGCCCTGCTGGGACATTCCCATTGGCGGCCTCTGTGGGAGAAAATCAAACTTATTAGGAAACGCTGGCAATCATGATCATGATCACACCGGAAATTGTTTGAAAAAGGTGTCAGGATAACAAACATCAGCTCCGAGCGTGAATCAAAAAATAGCACCTTTACTGGCATCAAAGCAGACACATTTTATCCAAGCTCTATTTCACTAAATTACATGCTCGAAATACTGTGTTTACCTGCTGGACTTTTATTCAAGGCTCAGCGAGGAGTGTGAGATTCAGTGACAAGGACAGGAGAAAAATAAGTTGTAAATCTTGGCAGCTCAACCTGGAGGATGTCAGTGACTGAACATTGGCTCTAGAGGGTATTGATAAAGCCGAATTCACGTGTAATCACTTCTGAGATGTTTGTACCCCGTCTCATTTGCGCCCCGGCAGAGCTTCCTAGCACTGAAACGACAATATTTCACAGGCGTTTCTTCTGGCGTCTGCAGTGCAAACACATTTTATACATGCTCATTTCTTGTCAATCCAGATTTTTTGTGATTATGTTGCACTGCAGGGGCTGTGAGGTTGGAGCGGCTGGCTAATGATGCAGGAAAGGGCGTCTGTGCTGTGGCTGGAGTCTCTCAGGAGAGCAGCTGTTAGGGAGAAATTCACCATTAATGTGCTGCAGTGGGGAGGCCTCAATGTAGAGGTGATAGGAGAAAAGCAAGCGTGCTCATTAGACTTTTTGGAGATAAATTAAGTTAATGAATGTGGTGTTTGTGGAAATTTAATCATCTAGGCAAGAGAAAAGGATCAGAACGAGTCGTTTTTGCATAAGCACATTTACAAGCCTGTATGAAAACTATCTGAAGTAAGTCTTCGGATATAAACAGCCTTTTATCTGTCAGCACAAAATGCTCTGTGCGTTAATGCATTATGAATCTACAGCGCGCGGGATTAGTGTCTTTCAGAGTAAACCGGCAGAGGATAAATTAATGAGTCATCACTCAAGGAGAATGATGCCACTCCCTCGGGTAGCAAAGCTGTGTCTGCGAGTGGCATTATATATTCCAGGAGGAAGCTTCTCGTATTAGCATTCCCCCTCAGGACCAGTCACTAACAGGCTGAGGGGGACCGAGCATCGAGGCAGAGGGAGCCTCATCAACATGCCTGCCCGGGCTCCACAATGAAATAAAACATCCATATCTGCCTCCTATAGTGGCTGTAAGCTCCCCCACATTATTAACAGTAAACAGCATCCCCAACATGTTAAAAAGTATTCTGTGAAAGAGCTGAACGAGTGGGATGAGCGCTGTCAGACTTAGCACTACGGTCATCTGCTGTAGGGTATTTAGAATAGCATATAGTGCATTTAGTGTTTGCTTGTTTTGGAGAATTTCTTAACAATGTTTAAAATCCTGTAAAATTAAAGCTAAGTTAGCATAGCTTAGCATGAAGAAGCTACCAAATAAGGGGAATCTGCCAGCATGGCTCTGTCCAAAGATATGACATCAAACTCAATTGTTTAGTTTATTGAGATCTTTGACATTGAGCATCTGGACTTTGTCTTCGACTGGGCTGCCTTAAAAATAGATTCTCTGAAACGGTTTAAGTCAAATATTTAGATTAAATGCTCATTCAGAGGAAGACTGTTCCGGACAAAGAAGCAAAAATGTCTCCTTTGGATTTTCATTTTTATATCCTTGGGCTTTTTATGCTTACACTACCGCATAAGAAAACATAAACTTATCAAACTTGCCAACCAATGCCTGAGCATTTAAATCTATTAGGCACTGACGATGGACCAAAATCTTCAGGATATTTAATTTTGTAGACTAGGAGTCTTAATTACTTATTTCTAACCAAAGCTTTTATAGATAAAGTTAAGCAAATATTTTAATTAAAAACACTTTACAGTGTTTATGGATCCTGCAAGTGCCAAGACAAAGTTAATTTGTACAAATGTGTTTTTCCAAATCTTGAAAAACTTGGACTTGATTAATCAAAAAACTAAAAGTCAAACCAATGATCTATTTATCAGTAAAAACACTGCTGCTGTGTCACCCCTGAAAACCGGGACATAAGGCCTCCTGAACAAGCCTCCGCTCAAAACAGCAGAGGCAGAAGCTGAAAATGAAGTGCTTTTATGTATATTATGAACTTGTTTTAATTGTCACTATTTGACAGCTCCATTTCTTTTTTCTTTGTTTAATAAAATAATAAATTAAATATCACCGGATTAAAAACTGCTAGTCTGAAAGTCCATAATTATGAAGAGTGCCATGGGATCTGACAGCTCCTGATTCTGACTGATGAGAAATGAAATAATCTGTTATTCACAAAAATAAATAAATGATCTGCAGCTCTTTTTTTTTTTAAATCAGTGTTAATAATTACTGCTGAGATTTCCTCCTGAAAACTATATTCAGAAGGTGTGATTCTCCCTGGATGATCATGGACACAGCTGGTTAGATCACCATCGTCATCCAGCGAACACATGAGTCACACTCATGATGAGAGAAGTGCCGGCTGCCTGCTAACCCATTCTCTGAGGACCGAGTGCCTCAGCCCCACTTTTACAGCCCCTCTCTGTCATAAGGCGAGATGGACCCCCACCCTGTACCCATCGAGAGGAGAGCGAGTGAGCACGAGTGATGGCTGAAGGACACTGTGAATCTTTAACAGAGACAGAGAGTGAACACAGAGCAGACACACAGCCAGACGGAGAGAAACAGACAGGCGGGGGGGATTGGGAAACAGCGATACGAAAATTACAAATTGAAGCTTATTCCTTCAGATAAAGGGGGTCTGTGAATTGATATTAAAAATAGAAACTGCAGTGCTTAGTGTTTCTTTTTGTTTGCAAAGGCTTTGTTGTCATTGTTCTACCGTGTATAGTTCGCCTGGCATAATGAGACAACAGGATGGACACAAAACTTTCAGCAACAAAAAGAACAACAAACATGAATAAACAAACAGCACTGAGACTGTCTGCTCTCTGCTTAATGTGTGTATCCTAAAGTATTTATGCCTTTAAAAGGTCCTCACTTCGTTGACTTATATACAGTCTCCAGACATCCTTCCACACAAATAACAACTTAGTTTAAGGTGACGCCACCCCACCTGTGATGACCTGTCATGATCTTTTGTACTGTCACCTACCGTTTTAATGGGTGGAGATAAGATGCCCGGTTGCATTATCAGCACTGATTACGTCTACTATCTACGCACACAGTGAAGAGCTGGACTGCAATCACTCTAGAAGAAGTGAGACTACTCAAAAACAGAAGCAACTCTGAAGTGCGTCTGAGTGTTATTAAAAAAAAAAAGGTGGAAGAAAATTAAATAGTGCTGGACAAGCTTTCCCCTTTTTTATTTATTATCAGCAATAAACTGACACTACAACAGAGCCCTCATCAGAGAGGCAGCAGAAACATGTGATGACAGTTGTTGACAATCACATTTTGTTATCTTCGCCATTGAGAGCAGTTTAGGACATAGTATTCTGCCAAAGGTTACTGTGATATGCAGACTGGAAGATCGTCTGATTCGAAAGGATTTTCAGACATCCATCTTGAGTGCTGCAGGTGAAACCTGGGCAGATTCCAACTCAGTTTTAGCTCTGATTTTGGTCTCCACCAACTCCTGGATTTATATGGCAATACCAGGCTCCTTAGCTTCCAAATACTCTTTTCTCAAGTTACATAAAAGTCTGGTTTTAACGGCATTTGTGGATGAGCTGATCATGTACAGAGGAATATTTGACTGATAATACCTGCTCCATGTTTCCTCAAATGATGTTGTGAAAGCTATGAGAGACTAGATCAAAGTAGTAATGTTGTGAAAAGATTAAACCTATTCTAATTATCATTATTCACACACAAGTAATGCTATAAAAAAGATTTGAAGCACTCAGGGGCGTTGGGGTTTTAAGGAGGATATTTTAAGAAACATGTTGTAGTCCAGGTAAGCGCTTCAGACTGAAAAGAGCTTAAATGCAATCTAGGTAAGTGCAATAAAAACATTATAAAGCCTGTGAAGCAGACTGTTCCTGTAACTCACCAATTTCCATCTCGATGAATGTGGCCTCCTCTGGTAGGGCTCGTGGTAGCACCCCCGGGTCGCTGAAGCTGGTCCTCAGGAGCATGGCCATCACAAAGAGGAAGAGCAGGGCAGCGAAAACTGGGATGGCAGGGGACAGATGGACAGCCAGGTATGGACACCTGTGGGTAAAACAAAGGTATCAGTTAAGAAAAATAGATGACGGTCTCTCAAAGAGGTGATGAACCGCTGAAGACATCAAAGAGGGAATTGGATATGAGATTTTTCCTGATATTAGATTCAAACTGAGCATGTGCAGAGGGCAAAAACAAGACAACGCACATACTCTGAACCCTTGTTCTGAGCAGAGGGCTGTGAACTGCGGGAGCTGCCCTTTCTTTGGACCGTGCCGAAGTCATGACCATGAATTAACAACACTCTGCCACATCCCCTCGCCTTCTGGAAGACCCGAGAAAAATTAACATAGCCCTGTTTGCCATGACACCGAGATAGGAGCCAGAGGGGGTTCAATGAAAGAGAGAGGTCCTGCTGCTCAGTTTGATAACAGATGTGAGCTGCAGAACAAAATACTGCGACAGAACAGAAACAGCAGCACCGAAGGCTTCTATGTGAAGTTATTAATACTTAAACTAGGCTGCCTCATCTCCCTCCCATGTGGCCGGGATCATATATTCATAATGCATCACTGATGTTACACTAGAGGACTGAAAGGTATTGTACTGGTATGTCGAACTTTTTACATGTCTATAAACAAAACCTCTCAGGATGATAAACTGTGCTTAATTCTACAAATTACAATCCTAACTTTTTTTCTCTGTCTGGACATAAACATGATCAAAAAGCTCTCAAATGAAAATAACTGTTATTCAAACTCCTCGGGCTTTATTACATTTATCCACTATTTTCTTTTTGTTGAAGCCAATTCAGTGTAATCAGAGCTGGAAAAGTGAGATTATCAGAAAGCAAGCAGGTCAACAAAGAGGAAATAATTATTTTCATTCATTTTTAAGCAGAACCACAAACTGCCTTTGCTCATAAATGAGAGAAAATGCTGCTTTCCCCCCTTTCTTGAAAATCACAATGAGTGGAATAAACTTGGGGAAAAACACCAAAAACGTTTCTTAAACTAGGAGTAGATAAGAATATTTAAACCTAAGGATGAGTGGCAGAAAAAGAACAAATAATTAAGTATTTTTTCACCACACAAGGTGCATCATTGTAGATTCTAATATAGCAAACGGACAAGGGCTGTTTACACATATCACATATCAGCTTCATATTAAGTTACATAACTGAGGCATCAAGGTATTTGTGTACCCAGACCTGTTTTTTTGAAGTAGCACAAATACATAATGATGTTTTTAATAATACTTTGATTCTGGTTTAGACAACAATAATTTTACCAAACTAAAAATTCTTAGAGAGACTTTATTATATCAATGTGCTGGAAAATAGAGCTGACTTTGAACAAAGACAACACAGTGCATCTGATCTTTTTTTGAACAGTTCACAGACCTGTCATATATCACTTAATTTGATTTAAATTACTCAGATCAAATATATGTGAGATTTGGAAAGAAGATAATAAAAGTGATCTTATTGGAGACCTCAAACCTCTTCCTCTTAGCACACACAGCTAAGAGAAAGTCTCAAAGTAAACACCTGCCAGTCAGCACAGTCAGAGAAAAGAGTTGACCTGTTCAGTTACAGCATATACAGCAGATGAACCAGGTGTATCAGCATACCTGAGCACTGATGAAACCACGACACACAATACACACACACTTACACACATACACACAACACCTGCTAGACTGGCCTGACCAGTTTCCCTGCAGTGTCTTTTTTCACGCTAATGGAAACTCGGGGCAGAGTTCAGATCAATAGAGGTTTCCACTGAAGCAGCCTATGAAGTATGTTTGGCTCTTTTGTTAGCGCTGAGAGCAGCTGCTGGATTCAGACTGAGGGGAGGCAGTCTGTCAATGAAGTGTAATTCCCGTAATGATGACTGGTAGGTATTCGAGGCGCACTCTATCATTACTTCCCATCAAGCCCCCGCGTCCTTCCAGGACGTGACCGTTTCCTGTGTTTCTGAGGAGCAGGGTGGTGCCGGCTCGGTGACGCTGAGTGTTCATCAGTCACCACAGAAACTGGACTTAATCAGACCCTGTGCCCATGTGGAGAAAATGTTTTCATCACCGAGGCGATCAATCAGACCACCAAATGATACCCATGCGCTACTTACTCACACTCTGCCTTTCATACTTGACTTGTGATCCTCTGAGCCTCACAACAAATCAGATCCAGCGGTATGAAGTAGCTGTGCACATATTGACTCCTCCAGAACAGATAGTTATAATTGTTACATGTCAAGTTACACATACTGTTGATATTAGCTAAGTAAAGGATTATGTTTATTCAATCCGGAGTTAGGTGATACACTGTCCCAACACAAATGGGAGGGGTCTTTCTTGTCTACCAACGCTAGCAAGGAGAGTTTTAAGTTGCCCTTCGTGTTGCTTTTGCTCCTCAGAGTTTATAGATCCTTTCGGCGTTAGGAAAAAGTATAACGTGTTTTTGATGGGCGGGGCCAACCGGACCATGAGTGTGACTTGATCAATTAACACTGACGAACAGGAGAAGAGAATCCAACCCCTACGCTAAGTGGATGAATGATTAGATGGGACTGCCAAAAGTGAGTTGGCCAGACATTTACTCTTGATTGATTGATAGAAAAATCAAGTGTGTATCGTACGGCCAAACTGAGGGCAAATAAGTTCTTAGATACCCATATAGTTGTGGCTTATTACCATGGCGATCGCACCAAGAGGGACAACCCTACCTCTAACAGTTTTCTCTAGTTTGTCCTCTACATTAGTTCATGTCCCAAAACAGAAAACGTTGCTGAGAAATCCAACAATCTCCTTGACCCTTAACAAACATCATCCATCCATTCAACAGCAAATACATGATATACGAAGAGTGGACTTCGATCTTATCACCTTTGTTCACAGGGAGTAGCAGCTGGTCTACCGTTTGATTTTAGTCATATTTGCCTCTAGCTTTACTAGCCTCCCGCTGATACCATGACATTGATGTGACATTGGCCTTAAAAGGGTTAACAGTTCATGAGAGGTTTTGACCAATACAGTATTTCACATAAAAAAAGCCAGGCAATAACTGCCAGATAACAGCTTGCTATTTGATGGGATTAAGAATTCTATCACCAGCTAGCTCGACACAAGCTTGTTAGTCAGTATTGCACTAACATCAGCCAGTCAAAATAGCTAAAGCGTTGGTTTGGCAATAATTTCTAAGGCTTTACCCAACAGGCAGCTCAGCCAACCACATGATAACAACAATGCTGTTTATATTTGAAGACATCCACAAATTTAAAGTTATTAAATATCTTTCTGAACAGATTTTGGTGCTCCACCCATTGGAAATGACCCCGGTGTATTTTCATTAACCATACTAAGGTATTGGCAAAAAATCTGATTATGCCTTCTATCAGACCTACATTGTATTTGAGAGATTAAATGTTCAGTGTTGTTTTGTCAAGGCCAGACTTCACAGCAATAACACAAAAGTATATTTCCATAATATTTTGGTCCATCCAAGACTTGGAATTAAAATCGAGTGTTTCTTCTTCATATGCTATATTCTAATTTGTTTACATAATGGGCCAGTAAAAAAACTGACACAAAGTCATTTGAGATTGACTACAGTTCCCTGAATTCTTGGAATACAGAGGAGAGAACAGTTATTGCTGAATAATGAGGCCTCAAGGCTGAAAAACCTGCGCTCAGCCGGCCATAAAGGATAATCAAAATAGAACATAATTACACAATGTCAAAGATAAGCATTTAAAGTGTTGCTTTTGCTGTGTGGAAAGAGTAAAGTACACTCTGCTGTGTGTGTGACTATGGCGGGTTAGGGTGTGTCTACTGCAGACTTTGATCCAGAGGATTTCCCCTCCTAACTCAGAACGACACATGCAGAGCGTTGAGAAGCTACTAAAGTAGAAATATCCCTGAATTCAACTTCACAGCGACAAAGCCCCTGAACCCAGGATTAATACGTCACCCTGTCGTGTCTGGATGACTCATGACATCTGAGCTTTGTTGAACATGTCAAGCCCTTCCTTGATTAATACTTAACAGTTGTAAGCTGTTGCAGATCTGCATGAATCATACTACAAATGAATTATGCACTAGCTGTGCAGGCAGATTCGCAGCGGGCCTCAGAAACAGCACTCTGTCATACACACATCTGTAGACTGTGACTTTGTTTCTGGGGCAGTGCTTAAAGAAACAAGCTCACAAACTCTACTTGCTCTTTCTCCTCTGAATCACACAGACTGAAAACCTTTCCAGAACAGAAGTTGGTTAATGAGAAGTGATAAAGATTTTATAGATACCAATGTCATGATTTTGTGAATCTATTAAATTCTTTAATTTCCTTTAGTTTTCTTTTGGGGAAAAAAAGGTATGGGGTTTTTCTTTGTCAACAACACAGATTTTATTCAAGTTTTATAACTTTCAGGGAAGCCTGGCCTCTGACTTGACCTCAGCTGATCGCAGACATAGCCTCTGATTGGTCAACAAACCAAAACAAGGATAGCAGCTGTCAGCAATACCTTCTTTTTTTGATGGTCCAGATCCAGACAGTCTCTACACTGGTTCTCTCTGTGGGATAGAAAAGCCTGTTGTATTTGACAACCATACTTATGAAGGGAACAGATTTCATTTTAAGTTGGTGTGTCGTTCTGTTCCATTTGTCGCAATGATATTGTTATCACAACAATATTGTTTTGTATACAACAACAGCATTGTCCCTGTCTGCTTTACATCATGATTTTACTACTTGGTTGGGTTGCATCCTGATGCACCATATCATGGCACGCAGAACTAACTGGAAGGCATCGATATGAGGACCATTAAGCATGGAGGCAAGTGATGTTGATGACTTGAAGTAATTTAAAGTTGTTTTCATCTGAATCCAGTTCTCAGTTTCCATCCCTACTTATGATATAAGTGAGATAAAAGTTGGTTTTTCGGGTTTTGGCATCCTCAAGCTGATACCTTCTTTACAGCTAAATGTTTTTTTTTAGCTCCACCTGAAATATCTTTAGAACAGCAATAAGTGAAGTTTCACAACCTTTTAGGTTTTCTATTTACCTCCTGTTTATTTTTCATTATGTTCTCAGAGAGTCGAAAATTCAGCTCAGTGACTTGACAGTAATGGTGCAACATGAGAAGAAGAACTATCTGGCTCGTTTAGACCGCTCACTGAACTACAAACATCAGGCAGACTCCTCCACTCAAACTGTGAAATCCAATGAAAGAGAAGGTTTAAATGAGGGTTACCCTAAAGCCCCTGAAGAGGATGCAATCTGTTGTGTCATTTAAATCAGTCCTCCTTGTTATGCAACACTTAAATACCATATGAGAGAGATGGCACATGGGTGAGCAGGGTTACAGTCCTTTTACTGGGATTAAAACTAGGATTACTGATGTTGCGTCATAGAATATGCACTAAGTGAAATGAAGAATGATGAAACATCTGATTATTTCATTGCTGCCAGATGATACAAAAATAGGGATGAAGGGACAGTCATGAAGGGAGTCTATTCAAAACCAGGTAGAAGTAGAAAGTGAAAAAATGTCAAATCTGACTCCTAGGATGGCACAAAAAAATCAAAGTATCACTCTCCTCCTGGTAAAGAAGCTTGTAGAGAACAAAGCTGGCAGATCACTGTTACTGTTAATGGAGCACCCCATCTCAACAGGGCATAAATCATGTTACTGCTCATTTAGCCAGGGCGGCTGCTTCCTGATTGGCTAATAAAGGAGACAGGGTGGGGTCAGATGCTGAGGAAGACTCTGGGGTCTGTTACAGGATCTCTTCTGACTCTTGCAGCTCACTCTACAGGCTCACTCCTACACTTAAACTTATTACATTTGCACATTTTACAAGGGCGGGTGGTCAGTCAGATACTGAATGCCTCTATTTTTGCAGCAAATGTGAGTATGAGTACAAAGAGAGGTGCACAGACAAAAAAGGAGGAGTCTGTGTTGCTACATGCACATATGCTTCTCTGGCTTCACTGCTCAGCATCCTGGGGAGGACAGACAGATGACATACTGTCCCCATGTTCCGGTTTCATCTCACTTCATCCAAGCTCCAAAGGTGGCTATCCACACGCACACATGCACGCATGCCACACACACACTTATAAACTAATACAACTGGGAACTAAAGCAGTGAACCTCAAACTGTGAGGAAGCCATTTGCTCATGTTGTGCAAAGGGACTACTAAGGCCTTTGTACATCAATGTGAGATGAAATTATAAAACAGCCAATTTAGAAGTGAAGTGGGTTTTAAAATCACCAGAAATAGGACATATAGCCCTTAAATGGATTCTGCTGTAAAGAATAAAACATGCCAGGTCCACCTACGCAGGGAGATATTTGTTTAGCTGTTCCTAATGGATCTTTCCATTGTGCATTCGGCAGCTCATTTCCGCAATTTAGTACAAATTAAAGCACAGAGAGGTCTCCCTGCACAGGGTGCTGATGGCTGGTAGTAAGAGTGAGATGTCTGCTCCACTGGCTCTGGAAATGAGCCAACCCACGCCAAGACACTGCCCTCTCTGTGCTCCTATTAATGCTATAGCACAGCATGCTGGGAACAAATCCTCTAAAGAAAGAATTCTGCTCCAAGGTGATGAACAACAGCAAAACGCACCAGAATTCATTTTGCAGTAAAACCTGTGCCTCTAAAAATCAAACTATAACTCTGCAGCTTCACTGTGTATGCTGCAGACTGTAGTACAGTATTTAATCAATGCAAAGCCTTTTAAAAATCAAATTTTAATCAACTATCGCCACTGGTGCTGGACAGTAAGTATAAATCACAGCAGGAGCTTAGGGAATTAGTCCAATTTATTGACTAGTTTATCGACAGAATAATAACGACCTGCTATTTTTAAGTCTGATCACCGGTTTGACTCATCTTTCACACATAATGACTGGAACAATCCACTCTGAGCTGTTAGCTGATACAACAACTCAGAGTCGACAGCTGTACTAATAGCTCTGTTAGGCTACAGCCTGAGTCAAGTGATAATGAAATCAAGCTGATATGCAAGAGTAGGGAATAACTAATGAAAAGATGTTTTAAGGATATGATATTTTTCATTAGTTTCACACATGCTTTGCACATGCAAGACTGGCTTAGGGTTTAGTACAACCCTGAGGCGAAGTATTTTGATCCATCAGTGGCAGTATATGATTAAAGTCAGGTGTTGTTTGTATGAATGCATAAACCTATATTGTATCTCAATTCTGACTGCTCTGACTGATAGTTGCAAGCCTCCCTCCATTCACATAGAGAACTATCTGACATGATGTTGGACCATAGGCTGTATAAACATGAAAACAGTCTCAGTGACGTCATCTAATGGTTTTTTAAGAGGTACTTTGAAGCCAAACAATGCTGGACATCATACTGGAAAATCTGACTCATCCCAGCTTTTGGTCAACCTCAAAACAAATACAAAACAAATACAGAGTTGAGGGTCCCTTAAGCTGCCTTGCATAACCTCATACAAGGCATCTACTAAAGCTGTAAGCATGTTTAGATGCAGTAAAAACAGTAATCTTAATACGAGTGTTAAGAGTCCAGCCTTAAGAGGACATATGAGGATCTGCAGATTAGCACACTCCTTCATCATCTTCATTTTCAACTTTAGGAGTATCCAGTCATGAAAGACCAATCATTTTATTGTTTTTAATGAGGCACAGAGAAGTATTTTCATATACATTTCCCAAAATTCTGATTCGACTGTACTGTAGTTCTCAAAGATCAGCTTTCTCATGAACCGCCCAGCTGTGTTTAATACACTTTGAATAGCAAGAGCAACACCCAAGACGACAAGATAACACATATCATATCAAATCAAGCTCAGACAAGATTTCTGGCACATGCTTGTTAATGATATGGCAAAAGCATTAAGTTTCCTTGGGTGGCATCATGGGAAAAACTGAATATCTCTGTGTTTGAGTCCTATATTTGGGCGAGTCATATAGCATATAAACCTTAAGCTGTTTGAACTTCTATTCAGGTCATACAGAAAAAGGATGAACCCATAATACAAACCCATAAGTAAATTTAATTACAACAAAAGTGATATGAAGAATTGCCAGGCTTATTGTTCTAACGCTGTAGAGCATGTTTGGGAATGGGCAGTAAACCTCAGAGCTTTTATGCAGAGGGCTATTACCCTGTCAGAGGTCTAAATCAGATATGTATCAACTTGCTGCTTAATGGGCGAGTTTGAAAAGTATCCCCAAGCTGTCAGGGTTCAGTCTCCACGTTAATATCCACCCCCCTGTGAGAGATAATTATGTTCTGTTGTAATATGAACGTGGCATGCTAACAACTTTTTAGCCATTAGTCACTGCAATGCCTCCTCTGGGCTCTGCATGTCCAGTGTGAGCAGTATCATCTCGGACAACAGCTGCTTCTGTCCAGAGTAGAAGGAAAGCTGGAGGCCATTAAAGTGCAGAGCAGATAGCGAAGGGAAGGGCCTGGCAAGATGTGAGAGCAGTTACTTCTCCTCTCTGCTATGCTCTGAATCCATTTGGCTCAGTAACTGCATACACACCCACAGCAAAGAGAGGTTACTGTGCTACAGGATTTTGTGCTCATCATTGTACCTGATTTGTAAGACAAAAACAGAGAGAATTAACAAAGAAAGAGATAGAAAACGAGAGTGATCAAGATGAGAAGCAGCACTGCTGTCTGATCAGCATTCAAAGCCATGTTTTTTTATTGTAAGACCCATCCTCTCTGCAGCCCAAACTAACAGGATTTGGGAGTACACGCTGCATCCTAACAGCCCAGCAGTGTTTGCAGAGCTAATGAGTGCATTGGGCCATCCGTGTAGTGACTGGCTGAGACAGAACTGCTGAGACAACAAAAATAGCAGCCTTTCTGTCTTGGAGTAGGGGCAAAAACACGGACAGCTAGGGTTATTAAATATTGAACACCTCAGTATGTGGTCAATCATAAACCTGTGCTCTGACAGAGGCTGAATATTCAGTAACCAAGGCGTGGATCCACAGTGTGTCTGGAGTTTTATAATCTTTTGACTGTTATAGATAAAGGCCGTACACAAGACTGAGGATCAAGTCACGTGAAGAGTTAGAAGCTCAACTAACCAGTATTATCAAAACATTTATCAAAAACTTTTTGATAATCTAATAAATAACTTCCTACAAATGCAAAAAAACAAAAAAAAATGTATTTTCTTTGTAATATATGTCACTCTCTAAAATCTATTATTATTTTAAAATTGATTTTTTTTTAACACACTTTGGTCTAAGCTTGCTGATATTAAATAACTACTTGTGGCTCTAAAATTGCCGTTTATATCTTTGGAGGTAAGAAGAGTCAAGTATGAAGTATTAGAAATAGCCAAACCCAAAAATATATTCGGTTTAGGTCCCAGATTGCAAAAGGCATAGAATGACAACTTAAGTTCCGGCTTGGCTAGTGTTCTCTGTTATCGGTTATTCAACTAGCTAACGATTAATTGACCAATCGTTGTAACTTCAAAGTTAGCCAATGTACCTGATTCAATATAGTATTATCTGCTGTCGAAACATTGTGGATTTGTGGATGAAAAAAGAGTCAAACAAGTCTTTGAAGTGATTTATGAATAATTTGGTGTAAGCTTCCTGATATTAAATAACTACTAGTGGCTCTAAAATTGCTGTATATCTCTTTAGAGGTTGGAAGAGTCAAGTATGGAGTATTAGAAATAGCCCAACCCCAAAATATACCCAGTTTAGGTCCCAGATCGCAAAAGGCATAGAATGACAACATAAGTTCCAGTTAGGCTAGTGTTCTCTGTTATCGGTTAATCAACTAGCTAACGATTAATCGACCAATCGTTGTAACTTCAAAGTTAGCCAATGTACCTGATTCAATATAGTATTATCTGCTGTCGAAACATTGTGGATTTGTGGATGAAAAAAGAGTCAAACAAGTCTTTGAAGTGATTTATGAATAATTTGGTGTAAGCTTCCTGATATTAAATAACTACTAGTGGCTCTAAAATTGCTGTATATCTCTTTAGAGGTTGGAAGAGTCAAGTATGGAGTATTAGAAATAGCCCAACCCCAAAATATACCCAGTTTAGGTCCCAGATCGCAAAAGGCATAGAATGACAACATAAGTTCCAGTTAGGCTAGTGTTCTCTGTTATCGGTTAATCAACTAGCTAACGATTAATCGACCAATCGTTGTAACTTCAAAGTTAGCCAGTGTACCTGATTGGAAACATTGTGGATTTGGGGACAAAAAGGAGTCTAACAAACTCTTTGAAGTGATTTGTGAATACTTTCTGGTGGGATACAAACAAGCTTGCCTCGTGGATGTACTTACTCGAAGGCGAAGAAGAGGGCGCAGGTCCCGACGATGAGGAAGAGGGTCAGGTAGAAGACACCTTTCTGCCGGGCCATCATCACCCGGCCGTCGCAGCAGAAAGTGTTTTTCCCCGGGAGCTTCTCCCATTTCCGCACCTTGCGTGTTATCATCACCGCAGACATGGTGTCTTCTGCTGGGATCAGCCCTGTTCAAACCACTTCTTACACTGTAAAGCTGTTCATACAATTGTGTGGTGGGGTTTGGCGGAGACCTTTCGCTCTTAAAAATAGCTTCGATTCAGTCCACTGCGAAAAATTCAAGCGACTTACTCAGATTTCCGAAAGATTTCTGCACAAGGCGACGACTGTCAAGCATTTTCATCTCGTTTAAGAAACCCACAGTCACATTCTCAATGTTTCCTCATCCATATTATTGTTGATCCAGGTTTCTCGTCTTTACTGCAGCATGTCATTCCCACAGTGACGAGGCTCCCACGCTGGCTGCTCCAACAATCTCAATCCTCTCTCACACAGGCGGAAAATACTGCAAATGTTACCGGAAAATCATCCAAAGGCTTGCGGCAGATGTTCACCATCGGAAGCCTGGAAATACAGCCTTGGCTGTTGCATTAGGATAGCGGACCTTGACCGATTGACATTCATATCATCTCGATAATAAATCATAAATGACCGTTAATGCGAGCTGCTCCATATTTTAGATCACGTCCGCGCTCCCGGACGAATTCATGACAAAATAAATCGAAAATTCCTGCAGAAATATGGAATATCGTCTGTATGGAAACGCGCATGTAAAGCTGTTAGATGTGCTTTTTTTCCCCGCAGGATGCCAGCTCTCGGTTTTAGTCAATGGCAGAGGGAAACACGCCTAGATTGAAGTGTCTAATCTTAAAGGGGCAGGACAGGTGAAACAAAGAGGAACAAAGGACGCAAATAAAGGTCCTGTTCATTTTACATTAATATGCTGAAGCTCGCCTCTGTAGTATTACCCGAGGGAGGAGGCTGTGAAGGAGCGTTTTAATGAAGATAATTGATGAAAGACACCAGATGCATTCATCCTTCAAGTGTTTCAAAGCTGCAGAGCACTAGAGGTAAGCACTGCAGAGGTCCTCACAAGGAAACATTTCACACTTGGACACAGAGATACATGTGTCTTATTATTTAGTGAAACTATTTCACTTTTTTAAATAACCTTGAAATCATTTGTTAAGATGCATTTAAAATGTCACTAAAGCAAGTCCCAAAAATAGCACCAAAACACAGCATCAGCATTTTTAGTATGTAGAGTATTTGATTTCAGCACAATGTTTATATAAATTGTGTTACAATAAATATATGAAACTTGATTTCATGAAAGACTGTCCCACTTTTATATTGCAGCTGTACTGCCAGGTTAATGAGTTTTTCTCTTGCAAATTTGATCGTAGCCTTTTGTAATTTAACTCTTTGAACATATCTTGAATTATGAATCTTAATCTTTAATGTAAAAAAAATCATCTAAATTAACAAACAAATGGAGCAAAGTGAAATTATTGCACTCAGAATTAAACAGTGAAAGTGCGATAAAAAGGAAATATTCAAAGTCAAAAGGGAGGGCCCTGTAACTGTCAGGAAAGCATGGATTTATTGTTTCTACTTGCTATTCACTTCTGATAATATTGACTGATTATTTCATGTCAAGGTTTAACTGGATAACAAATTTTCATTGGCTACTGTAATGGGCATACACTCAAGTACTTGTGACAAGTGACGTCATGTCAATTTTGCAATTGTTTCTGAAGTTACAGGGGTCTACAGTATTCTTCTACCAAATGCACCATATTTTTTTATTTTTCTATTTCATATTTCATGTTGTTTACAGTTTGATTTGTTGTATTTTGTTCTGTTATATAATACCCATAACCAATAATCTGCTGCACAAATGTTATGATGTCTCTGTAATAAGAACCTTTCATACAAGCAGAATTTAGACTACCAGAGGCAGCTCTCCTGGCCTATCTACAAATAAAATCAATTACTGGCAGATTTACCCTCACACATAAAACAGAACTAGATAACAACTTAATGTCAGCCATTATAAAAACAGGCACAACTTTGAGTATTAATAAGATCTTGTTACTTGCCTCACCTAATCCATTTATACCCACTCGACAGGCATGGGAGAGGGATCTTGGTGTGTCACTGACTCCAGAACAGTGGAATGCTATATGGTATTGTGTCATCCAGGTGAGTTCAGTACAGGATCATGCAATTTAAGATATTATGTAGAGCTTGTATGACACCCTCTCGTATATCCAAATAAATAAAGATCTGTCAGATCAATGCTGGCAGAACTGTGGGGGGAATGGATCATTATTACATCTTCTATGGGACTACCAGCATCAAGACATTCTGGCTTGGCATAACAGATATGTTTAAGGTTCATGCACCTGTCTGTCCCATCACATGCCTTCTTGGACATTCACTGGAACATGTCAAATCAAACTCCACACACTACTTAATGAATTTAGGCTTTCCCTCTGCAAAGAGAATCATCCTTATGAACTGGAGGCAACACAAGCCCTCATGTTTTACACTATTGGAATGGATTAGAGACTATCTAGACCTGCTAAGCATGGAACGCGCCTCCAACCTGCTCTTTGACTATGACACAAACACTCAAGGACACTGGGACATTGCACGGACATTCATGGAGAAAAGATCACTTCTATGCCAATATGCAAAGCTGTCTATATTGTATATTTTCCTGCAACCTATGCTTTCTTTTGTCATTAATATCAAGTCAAATGCTATGGGTGTGCTGTGAAGTGTGTGTGTGCATCGGTGAGAGGCATGGTTGGATATGTACATTGCAGTGCTATGCAGCAGACTTGTCATTTTGCCTTGTTTTCTTATGATGTTGGAAATCAATAAATAAATAAAAAGAACTGCTCAGACAAGATTTCTTGTCATATAGAAGCATTTAAGGGTTGTCATTCTTGTCAACACAATTTTAAAGTGTTTATGGTTCCATGTATTATCATGGCTGATAACAATAATGACGTTTACATCCGTACCAGTAAATGGAAGCCTGTGCAAAATGTCTCTCAGTGAAGCCATAAAAAGTGATATTATAATGGTTCAATATTTGCACAGTGCAGCCTCACAGCTATTATAGCCTGCTTGCTGCTACGTGAAGGCAAGAGATTACACTTTATGAGATGCACAAGGGAGGGCTGGATCATTTAGACTCTGAAGAGAGAACTGCTTCACTCAGCTTCTCCGTATAGTCTGATCTGAAGCTATAGACCACAGTCAAAGCACCTATTGTCGCCACAAGTCAGAATCACAGCTAGAGCACAGAGGGACATTTTAAAACATGAACTGTCAGATTCAGCTCCAATCAAAGTTTGAATTGAATCATGACCGCATGACAGATGAAAGTCAAATTTGTAATTTAAATTTCATTATATGAGGGAAGCTCAGAGTTTGACTTTAAATGTTAAAGGAAGTATGACTGATCCATAGTGCAGCAGTTTCATAGATTAGATTACCCTAAAAGAGAAGAATGGTGACATATTTGATATAATACCACTGATTGCACAGGGGATCTCGCCTGAGTGTGTCTGTGCTTCTAAGTGTTATACACAAATTTCACATTTAGCCTTGATATCTATCTATCTATCTATCTATCTATCTATCTATCTATCAATCTATCTATCTATCCATCTATCCATCTATCTATCTATCTATCCACACACACACACACACACACACACACACACACACACACACACACACACACACACACACACACACACACACACACACACACACACAGAGTAGTTTAATCCTCTTAAAATAATGGTCGAAGTCAATAATGAAGTTTTTCAGAAATTTTTCTGAGTTCTCTCAGAAAATGGCTTAACTCACACCCTGATACTAAAAGGATAACATCACATGACAACTGAGGATTTAGGCAATTCTACCAGAGATGGGCAGCATTATGAAGGACTGGCTTAGGGTGGGAAAAAAAGTCATTTTTGTCGAAAAGTGACATAGGACATTATTTTAAGAAGGTGATGATATATGGTGTCTCCATACTTTAGATTTACTATGCCATTTGTTTCAGTGAAACACCAGGGAACATCCTTGTTTTAAAAAAAAAAAAAAACTTCTTAAACTCATCTTCTTTTTTATTTTTTTCATAAAATCATCCTGTATCTCTTAAGAGAAGTATCATTAGGCCTTGACAGCCTCTACTGAAAATTTAGATTTTGCTTAAGAGTGTCAGAGTGTCGCCTTTTAAATTTCTTTTAATCGACTGAACAATTAATCGATGTAACAAAGTACAATGCCTTACTTGTCTATCTCTCTAATTAGAAATGTAATTTTGCTCACGGCTCTCCTGGTTTGGAGCTCTTTGTCTCCATCTGTCGACATTAGCGAGGATCTTGTCCAAACTGGTAATTTCAGTCCTAAAAATAAAGAGTTTTTTTTCCTCCAACAAAAATCATTATGGCGGAGACTAACTTTATGGAGGAGTCTAACTTTGTGATCAATTTTTAGCGAAAAATTCCAATCTCTTCAGCAGGTCAATGCTGCACCTCATACTGCACACTGTATAGTTTTCTTTTGTAAATAAAGTTTTTATGTTTTGAATAGTCCGTCCCGCATCATGATCCGACTTAAACAAGCGCTGTGCTGTAACATGCTACCGCTGTCCAGAGATGCTCATTTTTTGCCAAGTTTTCCCGTGTTCACAATTCGTTTTTGTGTCTTTTTATATGTCGTTTGAAAAATGGACGGCGTGCCCTGCCTCCGTGTGTCGCAGTGTCACGCACAGACGATCAGGTAATAAACCGCCGAGATAGTAAACAGCAAAGCTAACTCAGCTATCATCACAGGGATGAAAGACTGCGTGATAATTTTGTGTCATATTTTTTTCTATGACTATGATAAAGTTACTGTGAAACGTCTCATCCTACAGAAAAAGTCTACAATCTAAAGGAGCTCTGGACCTGAATTTCTGCCTCCTAAAAGACTCAGATGAGACAGTCCTCCTGCCTATTTTGCCCTCCTGTCTTTCACAACTTGATCTCCAGTCCCTCAGAAATATAGTGTCTCCAGACAGTGCTCTTGAAATAGTGTGGAATCAGGTAATCAAATTAGAGATTCATTAAAATACAATGAGCACAGCCAGTGCCATATTGCAGCTTTACCGTATTTCTTTGTGTGCCTTATTGTCCTCCCAAATTTGTCCACAGTCTCTGCAGGCAAAGAAGGAGAGAGGAAGATCAGCTGGTAATACACGTGAGAAAATCCTGCAGGAGCTTCTGGAAACTCACAATGAAAGATGGTCGGAGAAGCTGAGGGAAGATCTCCCCCGTAGCTTTCAGAGACATGGGGACCTCGTCCTTCTGGGAGACAACTGTTTCAACCTGCCAGTCTGGAAGAAAATAGGTGCTGGTACTGTTGTATTGGGTGTAAGAAAGTGATAAATGAGGACGTTTGTTGATTGCTTTTACTTTTTTCAGATCATCAGCTGTGGACAGCAACAGCCAAAGGACTGGGGGCAAAGCGCTTAGCAAGGATGAGTCGAATATCTAGAGATGGATTTAGGTCTCCTGTGGTGACAATGCTGTTGGGAGAGCACAGCTGGGTCAAACATGTGGACAATGGGATCAGGTAAAATTCAGTATGCCATTTTTTCTAACTTGGTTGGTCCAAGGTATGTAGATATCTGAAGTTCCTACTTCTTGTTAATCTAGATGTCAAGACTCAAATTTATTTGGAAATTTAGCTACCAATCATCTGACAAAAGACAAACCAACAGTCCACATTACCCAGTCCTAAAAGTCTCTCAGTCTTTACTGTGGTTGCTCATCTCATGAGGCTTTTTTCAGCCAGTATTTGATTGTCTAGACTATACTTTAAAACAAGGCAGGAGACCTTAAAAAGTATCCATATTTACAAAATTATCTTTTTCTTTTCAGGTATGAGTTTGATGTGACCAAGTGCATGTTCTCTGCTGGGAATATTACAGAGAAGCTCCGGGTGGCTGGATTTGATTGCAGAGGGGAGACTGTGGTTGATTTGTATGCAGGTGAGGTAACAGGCAGTGTGTGTAAGAATTTTTTCCAGTGATTAAAGAGTTAATATAGACAGGAGTATGTTTAATAAAACATGATAAAACATCCAGCCTCAGGTCCTGGCTTAATTGTAATCTTTCTTTGGAAACTGTGCCATTGGTTTTGTTTTTACTACGTCCTCATCTTACTATCTGTAGCAGGAATAAATGATTCTGGTTGTGTCTTGTGTCAGGTATTGGATACTTCACTCTTCCATATCTTGTACATGCGGGGGCCAATCATGTTCACGCCTGTGAGTGGAACCCTGATGCAGTTGAAGCTTTAAAGAAAAACCTTGAGTCCAATGGGGTGTCAGACCGCTGCACTGTTCACCAGGGAGACAACAGAGAGGTAGCTTTCTTTTTTACATGCATACAATTACACTTATTCGACGTGCTGCAAAACACAACTAAGGTTTAAAAGGAGATTCATTAAAATCAGGGACACTTCAGGGGATTTAAAGACCATCACTTCTCTGCAATTGTAAAATACAAGGACAACTGCTGATAATACTTTCAAAATAATGCGAACATTCAGACTTTTTCAGTGGGCAACTTTACCATTTGATTTCCAGTTTGTCTGATTATTATTGCCTTATCTCTCAGCTACCACAATAGGGTGTTACTAAATATTTTTTGAGAAAAGTTCATGGTATTTTATTTGATTGGATTTTCGAATTGAAATAAACAGACTTTTTATAATTTCTTAATTTCCAAACATTAGCAGAACCCCTTAAGAAATTTTAGATTAGGCTTATTTGAAAGTTATAAATACTTACAAAATCCCTCTTGTTTCTTTACAAGTTAATTTGATGACTGTGTCTCTGTATGGAGATTAATTTCCTAAAAACCATTTTTCCGTCACTTGATTTGATGTTAGGTGGTTATCTTGCACCTTTCCTACAGATTTTATTTTTCATCTTTGTAATTTCAGTGTATTTTCTTACTTAATTTAAAAAAGGAGTGAATTGTTCTGTTATAAAATGGCAACAGAGTGCAGGACCTCAGAAACATCTCAAAACTGTTATTTCTATTAGTCTGGTTTATGTGTCTCAGTTTTAAAATTCCTTCAGGCACAGATCTTACAGGTAAAAGTATTGTAAATCATCTGTTAGTGATGGGAGTGATTCCTTTTGTGCACCTATATTTAACCTGGATCTATTATAGTAATGATGAATTAGGTTTATAAAAGGCATTCGGGAAAAGAATCACTAAAGAGCTTTTTATTTGCTTTTCTTTTAGCTCCAGCTATTTGACACTGCTGACCGAGTAAATCTGGGTCTCATCCCGAGCTCTGAGGATGGCTGGCCTGTCGCATGCAGACTGCTGAAGAGAGCAACTGGTGGCATTTTGCATATTCACCAGAATGTTACCTCACCGTTTCCGAACAAAGCAACTGTTCCGGCAATCAATGATGCCAGCCAGAGGGCTTCTGGGAAGAGGGCTGACATAGAGGTGTGGCAGGCCTGGGCCAATGACACAGCAAACTGCATCAGCTCTCTTTTAAAGGACACCACTGGTGCAGCATGGATAACTAACATCCAGCACATAGAGCATGTGAAGTCATACGCACCTCATGTTCACCACGTAGTGCTGGACTTGGAGTGCCGACCGTCCTCAGCTGATGACTTCACTTAATCTTTAATACGTTTAACATTAGAACAGTTGTGTCATGTGATAATGACTATTGCTGTCAGCTGCTGATGGTTTTAAATACCTTTATCTACCCTGCACAGACTCACAAAGCTAAGTTGCTTTCTTGCCCTCTACAAATGCTGTTTTAATTGCATCAAGAAAGAGCCTGGTTTGCATATACTCTGCATTTTTGGACCATAAATCTAGGGTAAGCACTTTTATTTTCAAAAAAATTATCTTTGCAACCCAGTGGCAATCAATAAATCAAAAATGCTGCATAATTCAGATAGGTGTGAGTCTAAGAGCAAACTGTCAGGGTGAAGAAACAGGCTGAAGATTCTTCCATACATGGGGGCTCGGTGAATGTTTTCATGCATATGGTAGCAATGTGAATCATATGATGTGGCCTTCACAGTCATCAGGTCTGAGCCCATGAGAACAGCTGTAAGAGATTACGGACCCAAATAAGGGAATATCTTCTGGATGAATGGTGTTAATCCATCCAGTAGGAGCAGAGAAGCTGTTGTGGCTGATAGTAGTGAATGTTTTTATCTTTGTCAAGTATCCATATGTATCTGCTAAAAACTAAGTGTGTCCATGCAGGTTAACCCCCTGAGTTTCTGCCTGTTAATCTAGCTTTAACCATGAAATACAAAGGCAGAAGAATAGTCCTAAATGTTAAAGGCCCAGTGACCATCTGCTTTACAATTTTCCACCATTCCTTCATTTGAGCCCGGACATTAAACATGGGCGTTGCAGTGGGGTGGAAGTGGGACTGACTAACCAGAAATCCAATGGGGGAAGAAAAAAACACATTTTTGTTTGCTTTTTTCAGTCTAACTTATTACTGTCACTCATTCCTGCTTAATATGCTAAATTTTTAGCCTGCTCCATAAAGGGATTTATCTCACTACAGTCAAAAGAGCCATGTAACTGATGCTGGAGCACCCTGTCCCTCACCAAGGGAGTTGAATCAGGAAAACAAAGAAAATCACTGCAAAAGACTGAAAGTATGCCATCTAAAGGCAACAGTGTGTGTATCATAGTTACATGTCATACAAATAAGTGGTTTACATAAGTAACTACTTAGCATGCTGACAAAATTACACCACAGTGAGAGAAATACTCCTCTTCTTTTGTAGGATTTTTTTTATCTTTTACTTTATGTTTTCAATCTGATGTTGATAATTGATCAATTTTTGTAAACCTGCAAATATAAAACAAACAAAAAAAATGTTTCAGTTTCCTTAATGGAAAGAAAAGTGACAATTTTATATTCACCTTAAATTACAGACTTTCAGCCCCCAAATCATACTTCATCACTCAAACTGTTTTTGTACATAAGAATCAGTTTGGCAGAGAGAAATTTATTTTCTTCCAGCTTAAATGCTATTGATTTATTCCTTTTTTTTCTTATAATATGACATGAGATTTTATTGGGAGAATATTACAGAGATCTAAAAGTTCGCAGTTGCTCAGAATATGGACTGATGTATTGTAGCAAAGTCTCATGGGGCAATGTGATGTAAAAAGTATGTTAAGCCACATCATGATTGTTGTACACTTAAACTGTTAGAACAGCTTGATAACTGGGCATGTTTATGAAAAATTTGACAAATTCAGTATATATCAGAAAAAATATTAGTCCACAAATTTGTATGTTGCGCACAGTCTTCTGATCAGTGTTTTGCTTATCATTGTCATACCCTTGTGCTCCCGCAACACATGGACCTGTTTGATAAGTGAGGTACTCTGATTTAGATGTTTCTCCAACTTGCTTAAATGTACTTTAACCTTTTGCTTATGGATTTGCAATTCATAGTTTGTTTTTTGTTTCATTGATTGTTAGATGTGAAATAAGTCTGCTAGGAGTTTAAGAAAAGAGCTTTGGATGTGATGGGGAGGCCCATTATATGTACAGATGGGACCAAAGCATCTTGGCAACGCCCCTGTCTGCACCTATGACAAATTCGACACTAAAAGTTATTTTTAAAGGGCCTATTTTCTAAGTAGTAAAATAATATTCACTATTGACTGCATGCAATTTCTTATATTTGCAATTATACCTTCTTTTTTTTTTTTACTTCAAAAAGCCCAAAACTTCCTCGTCAAGTAGCTTTCCTCCAAAATAGCTATGAGGCACCTGTTTGCCTTGGGAAAGAAGAACAGAGCTAATAATTACACTGTTTCAATGGGTCAGATTTTCCACATCCAGCCCATTCTGCGGTAAACGGAGCTAAGAAAATGCACCTGTCATGGAAAAAGTGGAGAGGCGCTCCTGCATGTATGTCTGTCTGTCTGCAGCAAACTTTCCTTATCTTCCGGTAGCTTACTCGGGACTCCCGGAGAGCACAAAGTCAACAGTTTTGGAGACGTGCTCCAGAGGAAGAAGTGGGAGGGAAGGATTATGCTTTTAGCTGATAAGGAAAGTGAGTGAACCAGTTTATATGTACACGGAAATTTAATTAGTTGTAATGCGCAAGAAGTTTGACTGCCGCTTTTAACTGTTTGCGTTGTGTTTTTTTTAACAGGGGATCTCAAAACTGTTGCCCGTGGTGACGGCGGAGTGTAGTGGAGTGACGCCGACTGTGAACAACAGGTGCACCTTATTTTTTAATAATGAGCTGTATTTTGTTTTTGTTACCGTGTGTCAAAGTTTTCTATGCGATATAGCTGTCGAATAAGCTTGCTAAATCTTCCTGGTTTTAGTTGTACAGACAAAAATGGATGGAAACTGTCATTCTAGCACGAAGCGGACAAACGTTAGCGTTAAATTGGTTACATTTTCAGTTGACGTAACGGTAATTAGCTTCGACGTCCAACCGTTGGTTTGCTCATATTGGTTTTCAAACTTTGAATCTCAACACAATTATCTTCAGATTTATGACTTATAAGTTTGTATTCGTCCAAGTGACGCTGTTCGCAGTTTATAGAAGCTTTAATAATGTTTCTAGCAGACTGTCAAGTGAGCATATTTTAACTGTATTCCTGTTATATCCTCTGTTTAGTGTTCAGAAAGGATTAGACTTGCTTGTAGTGCACTGTCTGTCATCTGTTCTAGACGCATGCGCCATTTCCTGGAGGGTTAAGTTTTAGCCAGGGCTGTCTTGCAGGTATTATCAAATGCTTGCCCCCCAGGCATTCAAACAATGAGGAAAGAAAGGTCTTTGCATGCTGTGCTTTCTCACCCTTTAGCTTCCTAGGAGGCCCATTTCCCTTCACTTTACGTTCCTTTTGAGGAAATTCTAATGGAGCAGAAAGTTTCAGGTGAGAACCTGACAGATGACAAGCTTGATGTTGGGCTTAAGCAAATGGTTAAGCTGCTCAACTCCACCCAGCTCTCTGTGTCCTTAGAGGGTGGGAACCCTGCTTGATAGCCAAGTTCGTGTTGTTTTTGCCCGTCCTATTCAAAACAACCTTTCACCCGGGCAGAGGCTTTCTGCGGGATTTTAAATTCCTTCAGCATCCTGGATCTTATGAGTCATTTTTCATTATGGCAGTGCAAGGTTTGGCCAAAAGAGATGTAGACTAATTCCTGTACTCATGCGACAATGAAAACATCTTTAAGGGTCAATCTCTGCTAGCTTTGTGGTTATTTAGTTTCCCATGGGAAGTGCTTTTGACTGATGGACTGAGCTGGTGAGGACTCCTGGGCTTAAAACCTTTCCATCACTGGGTTGCTTCACTTTGACTTCACAGCAAGAGGGACAACAGGGGAAAACTTTGCTCAGTCATCTATAATCGATTTTATGAGGATTACATTGTTGTTGCTGCCGGTCTGTATTTTCATCACTTCATGGCATTGAGTCATAAAGTTCCTCTTTTTCTACTTCAGAGCTCTGCTTTGGTTGTTTATGTGAGATCATAAAGCGACAGGCTTCTCATGAGGAAAAGGTGTTTCTCATCCCTCCAAGTTTTTGATCCAGGCTTCTTTGCAGTAAATATAGAATTCAGGCACTTCCTTATATTCTGTTTGTTTTTGTTTTTTTTAATTATTTTAGGAGTTTTTCTCTATGCAAGAGCAGCTAAGCTGAGCCAGTAAACCTGCACTGAAGAATCTGAGGTAAAGGCACCATGCCCCAGCCTGCAAACATGATCAACGTTGGCTTTCTGTCTGAGGCTGAGCAGTCGTTCATCCTGGAGGTACTGCGGCGGGATGAGGCGCTGAGACAAGCTGAGGAGCAGCGTGTGCGGTGAGTGTACTAAATCCTCTTAATTACAATCTCCACAATATCAATAAAGGTATCAAAAGATGAAAGTTATTTTTTATGTATTCACTTCAGTTGAAAATAAATGAATAAGTAAGTGAAGTATGAGTTCACTGAAGTTGAGATTTAAAGATACTGGTAATTTTTTATTAAATTGTATGTTAACTATTTGCCCTACACTATTTTTCTTTTCTATTCTGTGTAAAATCAATTTGGCCTGATAAATAAAACTCTTTTATGTATCTAAAATGTGTGGATACATCCAGGCATTAAAAGCCTTTCTGTATCATTGGGTGGCTTTAAAGGGAAAAAAATCTGATCAAAACTTTATCTTGATCTGAAAATATTTCCTTTCCACATGAAGTCAGAGATTAGATAAAAGTTACATGAGACATGTCAGAATTATGTTCTAAAACTAAGAGAAAAGCCTGAGGGATAAAAATTTAAATTTTCAGAAAGATGTTCAAAGTTGGGTGAAATGTTCATGTAGATACTTAAAAAGAAAAAAGCTAAGATCATATTATTACCCTCATGGCTATGGCATATAGTTTTTAAACTTTAATGTCAAGGATTAAATCTAATTTGTGAATATACTTTTGGGTGATTTTCTCTCAAATATTCAGATAAGATGTTAATAGTTGAAAGTAACTTTAATCTCTCTTTTTTGTCATAACTGATTAGTATATAGGTTTATTATGACACAATTTCACACAAATGCCTAATGGTCAACTTTGCTGTATCATTATGATTTCTTAGAACTCTTTTTTTGAGCCATTACCATCCTTTTCTTTATCACATAATATTATATAAAACCTCAACAACATCAGGGGATATTTTCTTCAAAATTTGTTTTGCTTTGTTTTTTCTTTTTACATGTCTAAGAGAACAATGTGATCCACAATGGATTAGTGGACAATCTCCCCTCCCTGTACCCCTCACATACCTCTAGGAAGGGTCTACTGACAATCACATGCTCTGCAAAGAAACAGAAAAACAGTGAGGGAGACAGATGTTCTCTGATATTATGTTTTGGCTGTGAATGTATTCAAAAAACCTCTTATGTCTGAAAATGTCTTTCTTATGCTATTGTTCTAAAATTAAACAATTTCGAAATCCACATCCCCCCTTCAGACATTTTTTCACTGAAAGATGAAACTTACAACTTCTTTTGTTTGCTGAGACACACAACCACAAGGCAGTTACTCTGGTTTGTGTTCATCTCTGATGATCATGCTGAAACCCATCAAAAGATATGATCTAATTTCCTGTAGGCTTTCTGTGTTGAGAAAACATTACGCACTGAGCTAAAATATGTGGCAAATTCAATCAAAGATATAGAGAAGCAGATATATCCTCTTTTTTTCAGGAAGTGTAATTTTTAACAAAGTATTGGTACTGATGCCCAGCGAATCACTTGGCACAAGTAGCAAAAGTATAAACCAACACCCATGCCTAGTTCCTGCTCAGTGTGGAAAGATGAACAATAGAAGCTGGTGACGTACATATTGTTTTTACAGTATATCTCATGTAGAGATTGTGTTATTAAAATACTTAAAACACTTAAAATACACAAGTATCACTATTGATATTATACTCAAGCAAATTCTCTATTGATGAAACTGTTTCCTCTGTTTTAAAGTTTGTCTGCTCTGAGTCAGAACTGTGAGGTAAAGTCAGCTGTACTAAATCTAATCTTTCTTCATTTTTGAAAACATTTCCCATAGCAGGCTTTTTGTTATTTTTTTATGTAACAATAATTTTTTTCTAAAATAGTAAATTGTATTTTCTATTTGATTAAAGTGCTTGTTTCATAAAATGTCACATTAAGTTTTCTCAGATATCCGAGTATTTTCTCGTGTTTCAAGGGTCAAACAGAAGGTGAAGACATAAAAAAACTCACAGAAACTTCAACACAAAAGAGTTCAATAAGGTCAACTTTCCCAGTTGTTACTTCTTTATTCAGTATGTGTATGTGTGTTCTCAGGAAGTTGAAGACAGAGCTGCTTGATATCAAAAGGAAAGGGGCCAAACGTGGCAGTGGAAGATACAGTGAGCACAGTTGTGGCCGTTGCCAGGAACCCCTGAGTCGACTGTCCATTTCCTCCAGCCAGTGTCAGATGTGCAATCACCGAGTGTGTCGCAGCTGCCGAACAGGCCTTCCTGGAGGATCTTGGCTCTGCAGTGTGTGTGCCAAAGAGTCGTAAGGGCCTGTTTTTGTTTACACTTCCTTTTCACTTGTAATGATATTTGTACAACATTCAAAACAATTTGTCTTTAGGGATTAACAAAATTTCCTAAGCCAAAAGTTCTTTCAACCCTGTGATATGGCCTGATGCATGATGTAATAAAAATCAATGATGTGGGATGACAATGTAGTAAAAAGCTTATCTCACTTACTTCAGCCATCAGCCCAGATAACTTATGACCGTCATCAGTTTCCTCAAACTCTTGTGAAGTTAGTTGTCAGCTATCTGTGATTGACATGGTCCATGTGCTTGAGGTTCTGTCCGATGAATTACATTTTGGCTTACTCACTGTGAATGTACCAATAATTTTGGCTCAGTGCTTCTAAAATGTGTAATCAAGATGAATCTACAGTGAAATGAGCAGCACTCCTGACAAAATAACAGTCTGAAAATGAATCAGTTTTTAAGACTATGCCTTTAAGTGGTTTGAACTTGTAGTTTAAGCTGCAGTAACCTGAATAAAAAACAGCATTTATGAGAAGCTGTTTAACAGGATGTTGATTCCCTGTAATGAACCAGGATGATGTATGAGGAACTGAGTGAATTTGTTTTAGCTTTCATGAACAATGTCAAGATTTGACCAATTTATGACAAAAAAAGACTGAAATAGTTATCACATATGTAGGCAAGCAAGTAGAAAGTCCAATATCCTTAACACTCATCATGAAAATGTCATCTGTAGACCAGATATCTATGAGAACATCCTCAAGAGGATGTTTGCCCATGTGCAGTCAGATGGCCAATAGGAGCGCTGAGGTGATGTAAGCTGGTTTAGCAATGGACGAACACCAACAACAAGATGTGGGAGACTGTTGTGCAAGCTATGCTTCTGTTTTTTCACTGGTTTTAGACAGTGATTGCAGATGTTGCACTGGCAAACAAGTATTCCACTTTCTTCTGTACATCTTGTCCTCACAGACAGCTCCTTCTGAAGTGGCTTTTAAACAGGCTGCTCTCACTTCACTTCAGTCACTACAGGACACACACAGTGACAAGAAACTTGGTCTGTGGTATTGATTGTGGCAGATTAATCTTAAAAACTGCCAATTTATGTATGTTTATGCTGCAGAATATCAAAGATCTCACATCACAGGGCTTAAAGCATGACAGTAAACCATTAACTTTTTACCAAATCTGTGACTGTCTAATGGTCAATTCAAAATCAGAGCAATAAAACATATTCATTTTTGATTTTAGGGATCTAAAGAAGATGACGGGTGAATGGTTCTACGACCAGAAGGTGAACCGTTTCTCCACGATGCCTGGGCACGACTTAGTGAAAGTCTCCCTGAAAAAAGACCCTCAGTGTAAGTTCAGGAAGAGGAAGTAGGTATCAGCTCTATAACCAGGAATGTAAACAGCTCTCTGTCTGGGCAGAATGAAATGACCGCAATCACAAGAATGTCGCTCAACAGCAGATGAGAGCAATATTAAAAGCTGCACATGAGAACATGAGAGCTTTTTGTCTGGTTTCAAAGAGAGATTTAACTTTATGTTTTTGTGACAGCTAAAAAGCGTGAGACAGCGGGGGAAATGCTGTTGAAAAGTGCTGAAATAAAACCAGATCATCCCACGCCTGTGCCTCGAGCCAGACCGAAGAATCCGACTGAAAACAAAGGGTGTGTTGTCAGTCTTCACATCAGTTTTATCAGTTTTAAAATGTTTTCTGTCAAGATTTTCCCATTACAAAGATTCAGAGCTGATTAACCCTTTTCTCATTTTCTTATTCTTGACAGTCATCAAAGCAATTCATCAGGATCGATAGCTTCAAGGGAATCATTTGAATCCAAAGAGGACGTGGGGTCAAAGCCAACACACAGTGACACAGAGTCTATGGAAAACGCCAGTATCAGCACTAAAATTGACACTGAGTCTCGTCATGTGACCCCTGAGCCACCAAGGTAAACAGCTGTAGTTATTCTGAGGTGCTCATGGTGACGTCAAACCTCAAAGCCACAGTCTAAAGAGGAAGTAGAGGGTTTTGTTCAGGTCAGGTCTCAGAGTATTAGACTAGTCTACTCAGGATTCGTAGACCTGAAATTTTAAACTTCATATTTACTCCTTTGAGAAAAACTGTAAGTGCTACAGTGTGAAATCTATTTGACTTTTTACATTGTTATTATAGAGAATAACAATAAATCATTGTAGATGGGAAGCAAAATTTCAAGATCATGAAAAAAACAGCACTCTTGCAAAATCATTGCCCCATGCATCACCACATTAATACTGAAGTATTATCACGCAGGAGGGGGGTCCAACCGCGTCACTCCAGCCCAGATGGATCCAATGTTTCCAGCCTGACTGTCCCAGTAAAAGCAAATACAGTAATGAATGACACCACCAACACAGGAGCAAACACTGTACAACACGTTCAGGTGACTCACTCATGTTTCTCTCTGAATCCATTTCACCCTCTCTCCTGAGACTTTGACTCTCTGTTCTGTCACTTTAGGCCACAGAAGTAAAACCAGCCAATCCAGATTTGGAGGTTGATCGACTCTTCAAAAAGAGCATCAAACGATCCCCACGGCCTCCTGGTCAGCATTTTAACTCATATTTTTTGAACGTTTTGCGCCCAGTCTTGTAAAAATATTGTGCAGCACGCTGCCGGGCCTAAGATCTGTGTGTTCATAACAGGGTACGTGTCATCTTTGGACCTGCGTGATGGACTTGGCGCATCAGAGGCATCAATGGGCAACAGGAGTCGTTCTGTTCCCGGGCTTGACGTACAGGTGAGTGGTATGAAGAGCGGTATTTTCTTTACTTTTTCACTGTTTAGAGAGAACCTAAAAATCCCTGTATGAGTTAATGACATGCCTGGTAGAGACCAGTGTTTGAGAAATAAGTAAACTTCAGCTCCCTAAATACTTTCATTTTAATCAGTTAGAGGTTTACCATGTGTCCAAGATTGTCAGTGGATGAGCAGCTAAAAAGTTATCAGTGTGAGTTTTCTTCCTGGGGTCCAGGCAAAAAACATCACACAATCACAAAACAAATCATACAATACAGTACAGCATGATCAATAATAAAATTTTGTAATACAAAAATAGCAACAACAATAAATAAAAAAACAATAACTTGGAGTTTACACAATAATGTTCGTACCAAAGATAAAAAGAGCAATATAAAAATAGATATATATTTTTAGCAAAAATGAAACAAAGAACCAATGGCCTATAATATACACATTGGTGTACCAAAGACAAACAATATTCTAAGTGACGAAAAAGTACCATAATTAATAAAATATGAGAAAGCAGAAAAAATCAAAGTTAAGCCTCTGTCTTGAAAAAATGCATTCAGGGTTTTTTTTTTCTCGTTTTTAGTGCTGTGTTTACTCTGTTAGTTGTCAGAAGTTTGAAGTTAGCAAAAAAAATGTTTTCTTATTGAAGGTTCAAATACGTCAACCTTGTGTTTACAGCTGTGTTTAAATAGCTGTAAACTCTATTTAAATGTTATCATTGAAGATCGTTGATTCATCATTTAAGAATACACATTCACCTATCCGCCCTTGAAACTTTGCATACTTGTTTTTAATTATGTGCTTTTCTTTATACTGAAGTTGTTACTGCTGCCTGCATGCAGACGCCACCGTTTTGTATGATCAGTAATTAAATGTTTGTTTTGATACCACAGGAGGATGGGGAGGAGGATGAGGACATTGACAGCTTGGTTAATTTCCATAAAAAAACACTTGCATCAAGCTCCTCCAACTTGCAAGGCTCACAGGTAAAGTATTGATGTGCTTAACAGGCGGCTTCAGATCTCTAAACACTCCTTCAAGAGCAGCTCATTACGACTCGCAGTGGGCAAATGGTGTTAGATTATCTAAACAATCATCATAACCTCAGGATATCCTCCAGCAAGTTAGGAAGTGCAAAAGTGATGTGTAAAGTCTACTCAAGTGTTTCTATGGTTACCAAAGTCTCAAAGACAAGCAAATATAAGGTCAGCCAACTTTCATGCCGTCACTCTGGATCTAGATATTTACAGAATTATCCAGATTTCTGCTAATTTGATTGTTCCAGACCGACTCTCCATTCCAGTTCAAGCATTTGTTTGTTTTGTTTAATTGCTTTTTTCCATGTTTAAGTTTTTCTTCATCTTTTTTTCCACTGTGATCCACAGCATTAGCTGATCAGAGCATGTTTCCTCTCACATTATCCATATGTCAATATTTGGTATTCGTCAAGCTTTGAGCAAACAGAGGGATTACATAAAAGAGGTGTATGTTTTTCTCTCCAGAGTACACTGGGCAGCATGATGAGTATTTACAGTGAAGCAGGAGACTTTGACAGTGCAGAGGTGAGTGGAGACATTGTCTTCTCCTTGGGCTACGTCGAACACACCCAGAGCCTCCAGGTCTTCATCAAGCAGTGCCACGGGCTGGCTTACGGCGATACCCCTCGGCAACTTTCCAATCCGTAAATATCAGACACTCGTTTTTAGAACTTCTTACTAAGGAAAACATACACGTTGGCATTTATATCAAGCAGCATGGTAGACTGTGGCTCTAACACATTTTTCTACTGCATACTCACCCCTCAGCGATGTTGACACAGCTTTGATCTGACTCGATAAGAGGTTACTGTGTTGACAAAGTCACCATAATCACATCTCCGAGCTGATTACTCAGCTTCACAGGAAATTGAATGCCAGCAGTCTGTTTTGGAACATTAACCCTGAAAATACAGCAGAAGAGAGAAGCCCTTCCTGGTAGAAATGTAAACGTTTTGTTCTGTCCTCGTGTTTCAGTTACGTCAAATGCTATCTGCTCCCCGACAAATCTCGCCAGAGCAAAAAGAAGACGAGCATTAAGAGGAACACTGTGAACCCGGTTTACAATGAAACACTGAAGGTAAAAACTCAAACTGACACCTCTTTTACAACTGTTAGCCTTATCCTATTGACATTGACACCACATGACAATAACAATGACAATAACAATGGCCACACCTGCCGACCTTACGATCGATATTGACACTGCACACTAGAAAAGCTGTTCTCAAATATTGATTTTGGTCCTGGCCTTGGCATGTAGTTTTAGCTGAAACACTTTGACATCCGAAACTGTTGCCAAGGAAATTGGAATGAATTTATTCTTCGCTCAGTCCTGCTCTAGAAGTTTAGATTTAAGAAGCTTATCATCCTCCTTCATCGTTTATTTGAACTTATGTTACCACCAGAGCAAAAATGTTGAATAAATTTCCCCACCTCTGTATCAACATTGAGAGATTTTATACATCATCTTTTCTCTTCCTCACCTTCTCCCAACAGTACTCTATTGGTCGCTCTCAGCTGTTCACCCGCTCTCTGCTGATATCAGTCTGGCATCACGGGCGCCTCAGCAAAAATACTTTCCTGGGAGAGGTGGAGATTCCTCTGGACAGCAGAGACCTCAGCTCCCCTTACGAGGAACGAATGGCCCTCCTGCCAAAGGTAGGTCTGAGAAACCTGACCTTAATCTGCTACAGCTAAACTCAAATATGTATTTTTGATTTACAAAGAGCGAGGGGTTATATTTGATGTTTATTGTTGTTTGTTAATTTGGTAGAAATTAGTATTTTTCCCTCACTATGTTGGTGTGTTTCTGCGTTGAGAAGTGCATTTGCAGGCATGTGATGTTTGCTTTGTTGTTAACTTGGGTCTTGAGTGCACTGAAATTGTCGTGCTTTCTCTTACAGGCATCATATGCTGTGCCGGCCTCTTCTTTTGTTCAGAACAAAGGAGAGTTGGTGATCTGTCTAAAGTACATCCCACCTAAAAAACCAGCTGCTGAGAAAGTAAAAGGTAAGACTATAATCAGAGGACTGCATTCAGTCTAGTCTGAGTTTGATACACTTTGCCTTTTATTTTTTAAGAATGCCTGTCTTGCTTTTCACAGGAAAAAAGGATGCAGCAGAGGAAGGCGGAGAACTGCACGTCCTGATAAAAGAGGCCAAGAATCTGAGTGCAATGAAACCAGGTGACACCTCAGACAGCTTTGTAAAAGGGTAGGTGATAAAACTACACTCCCTTTTTATAAACTGGCTTTTGTCTCTTTATGATTAATGCTCTATTATTTTGAACTTCAGATACTTGTTCCCAACTAAAGCAAAGACCACAAAGAGGAAGACTCCGGTTGTGAAGAAGAACCTGAACCCCCACTATGACCACACAATGGTGTACAAGGATCTGACTCTGGAGCAGCTGAAGGGGATGTGTCTTGAGCTGACGGTGTGGGACAAAGAGGCCATGTCGAGCAACGAGTTCTTGGGAGGAGTCCGACTCAGCTCTGGAAAAGGTAAAAGAGTAAAAACGTTTGTGTGGATCAGCGTAAGACGACTGTGACTGTATGATTGTAGGCTGTGATTTTACACCAAACAGTACAAGTTCATTGCTAAGTATGGACACTGATGGCATTGTGTCACATTTTATCTGGTTGTTACTGTTCAGTGTTTACAACTGGGTTTGGTAATCTGCCAGGGTGGACAACATTTTGCTTTTTCTGTGACATAGTTGTGAAATTAAATGCTATCACTGAGCACAATAGAGAGAGATGATTGCCTCTTCAGTACTTTTAGTTTACATGTTAAAGCACAATTTCCTTTAAGTAGAAGATGCTTAATTTTAGACTTTTACCTCATTATTTGGGAGAAAGATTAACTATCATGAAGAGATAACACACTCTGCACTAATGTTGCATTCACTCTATAATGCTCACTCCCACAGGCACTGTCAAAATTGGAAAAGAGGATGTGGAAATGGACTCAGTTGGGGAGGAGGTCAGTCTGTGGCAGAAGATGATGCAGTACCCTGATTCATGGGCAGAGGGCACTCTTCCACTGCGCGCCTCGATGGAGAAGTCCAAGGACAAATGAGGCCTGCGGGGGCCTGATCCGTGGAAAACATCACAGTGACTAACATGGAAGGATGCAATGGTGTCTAACCAATGTGGGATCATTTAAAACTATTTTATTTTGAAGGTTTTACAGCCCCAGAAGCTGATAAAGGGGGCCCAACAAACAGCATATCAGCTGTAAGCAAACATGCAGTTTATTGGCTCTCTGAGCGCTTAACATTTGGTCACACCTGCTGCACTGTATGTGGTTGAGCGGTTACCTCATCTGAGCAGCAGACCTGTGAGAAAATGTGCCAAAGTTTCTCTTGAACCTCTGTTTTTTTATTTTTGATGAGCATTAATGTAGTCATTTTATGTTTTTAAAATTCAGGATAGATTTAGTCTTTTAATGGTTTTAAGTCATGCACAGCACTTCCCACAAAAACACTCTCACGTTATATTTCCTCTTTCTTCTTTTATGTACAGTCTCGTACGTAAAACAGTAAACGGACACAAAAATTCTGGTCTTGCATGTTACAAATTGTGCACATTTTTAATATATACTATTGTTCTTTACATAAACACTGTAATTTAAAAATGATATATTTATACAAGTTTCTTAAGAAATAATAGAATTTTTCTTCTTGCTGATATGAAAGTAGATTTTTGACTCCTCAGAGTGTGAGCAGAGTCGTGTATAACAAAATTTTATCTTTATTCCGTTCACTCAATAAAAATGGACAAAACTAAAGAGATGAAGTGGCCCCTCTAAAGTGTTTTTCAAAAGTTAGTCAATAGTTTTAGTTTTGCATTAAGTCTTAAATTTTGTAACAGTTGCCCCCTTAAAGAAATAACCCTAACCGTTTTTCATCCTGCAACAAAGTTTATCAGTCTGACTTCCTGACTATGTTTTTACTTGACCCGGTCGGCTTCATTATCTGGTGCTATCTCCATTCTCTGCCTCCTAATCTACATGATAATCTGATGAATAGACAACAGTGCTCGTACTTCAGTGTAGAATAGTGATCACATTTAGACTAAAGGAACTGCCCTCTTTCCTCTTAGTCACTCATTTGTCCCTTTGGACCTCTGGATTTGGCTTGCTTGTCAGTCCTCATCTCGTATTGGTAAAGCTGATGAGTTTTTCACTGTGGGAACCAGAGTTGTTTATTCAGAGTTAGTCACAGAAGTCTCTGTGGAGCTCCAGCCTCTCTCTCTCCTCTTCATCCAGCAGGAAACTATCGATGTAAGAGAACAGCTCATCTGATGCCATCGGGACGATGAAGCGCTCTCGGTCCAGTCCTAGCTCGTCCAGCAGCACCATGCTGAAGTAAGATCTGGAGATCCTGAATACTTGTCTACAAATGAACACAAATCAGAAGTAAGACTAGACGGATTGTTTTTTCACTGTAGCTTATGTGGGTAAATTGATCTGATCCTGCAGGATTGAAGTAGCATTTACTTTTTTTAAACATACAATGTGTAGTAATAGAAATATTTAGCGATATCTAGCTGTCAGATTGCAGATTAAAAAGCTCCCGTGCTCACCCCCTTCTGTCAGTAAAGCGATGCAGTATTTCCTCAGCTCATTTACAGCCACATACTTGAAAAATAACCCCTGAGAAAGTGTCTCTTGTCATGAATCCACTGAAACAGCACTCAAAGAATGTGCCTGGATGTCTTACTACTCTAACTCAGCAAAAAGATTTGGTTCTTGGTGGAAAGACTGAAGGTTTGGAAAGAGATTTTCCAGTCTGGAAAAACTCAGCAGTGCAGTGCCCCTCACTCTAATTGCAAAGTAGATGGAAAAATCTATATCTCTGCTCCTGTGGGATTAATGGCTCCTTTTCAGCTTGTGTCGGGTTTAAAATGTAGTGGGAGTTAAACTATTTATTGATTCTACTTGGGGAAAAAATCTGATGTTTACAGTTAAAGTTGTTCTGGCACTCCTATCAAAATCCCATTATCCCAACCTGGGTGAAGTATTTTACTATAATGATGGTACTTTTCTGAACAGTGCTAATCTTTCGAGTGGAAGGCTACATTTTTACTAGAAGGTCCCTGACATTTAAATAGTGAGAAGAACAAACAGGAGCTCTTAAAGAGAATAGGAGTTATATAAAGCCATTTCAGGATGGAAATTTTGAAGTAAACTAAAGTAAACACTCAGACACAGACATTCACCACCATTACCTCAAACCCTCGATGACTTCAGAGCTGAACAGACTTTCTTTAATGCGTCCCGTTTCACGAGGTGGGGAGCCCAGGAGCTCAATCACAGTTACATGTCTCAGGTCTAATCCACAGTCTGCTTTCTAGCCCAGAAAAGGAAAATAGATGATGAGTTTGTTGTAGTGCATACAAACTTCTATGAAACTGCCAAACTGAGGTCACTGATATTTTGTTAGCTGCCAAACATCTCCTCACTTGTATCATGACGTTCTGCATCTGGTAGTCTGGGTCAGTTACGTTGGGTGCAGACAGGATCAGCAGCCTCCTCTTTTCATAGAACTGATCCAGAAGAGCTGAGGCCGACTTTACATCTGATCTGATTTCCATCGCTGCAAACACAAAGGGTTACATTTGTATCCTGCGTTACCAGCTATTAAAAAAAAAAAGAAGTACATCTGCAACCCCACTTCTAAAAAAGCTGGGACGCAATTAAAAATGGATTTGACTGTTTCTCCAAAACTCAAAAATCAGGCAACTGGACTGTGTAGAGTCCTGGCCCACTAATATTACTAATATTAGTAGATTAATATTACTCTACACAGTCCAGTTGCCTGATTTTGGAGTCTTTGAGATAACCATGACCTGGATGAATGAGAATCTACATGGACGATTTGACTGTTTGCAAATCATTAAACATTACATTTAAATGAAAAAAGTGAAAAGACAACATTTCAAATGTTAAAACTGAACGCTTTATGGTTTTATGTAATGTGAAAATGCATTGCGTGGACGGATGAACATATATTGCTCCAAAACCTGTATGTATTGTTTCTGTTCCATCTTTTCATTTAAACCTGTGATGTTACACTCTGGAAATCATTTAAACCTTACATCTACATCTACAGGTTCAGACATTCTTTTATTAAAATATTGCACAGCTTCCCAACATGTTTGTAAGTCAGGTTGTATTATGTTCATACAGGTGCAGATAAGCAGGTGTGTCACTTATACTCACGAAGACACTCAGCAGGGCTTCCATCCCAGTCACGGCTGAATTGGCAGACACGGCTGGATGTCCCCCTCAGTTCATATCCTCCGTCACAGTGATAGTCGCACGTCGCACCGTAGTTATTCCCATCAGATGAGCAGGTGAGATAGCCGTGCATGGGTGGAGGCAGGATTGTGCATCTTCTCACTGAAAGGAGTGCAGGGTAAATCTAGACCTGTGAGTGATACTTCTCTCTTCAGGAGAAATTGCAGCAATTAAACTCATTCAGGTAAATACGGCCACTTACCTTCGACACGTATAATAAACTTGCAGGCAGCTCTGTTCCTGGCTTGATCGTACACTTTGTATCTGATGATGTTGACTCCTTCTTTAAAGTCGGTTCCTGGCTCTTGGCCTACTAATATTATTCTATAATGAGATAAGAACAGCAAAAGAGCCTTCATTTATGGAGCACCACCTGTGTGTCAAAGTCCTCACTGTCCACATTTAATTCCATTTTAAAATGAGCAGAAAAAGGAGGGACATACTCAAGGTGTTTATCTGCAGTATCTCTTGCAACAGGCCGATCCCAAGTCACCTCAGCTGTGAGTTTTCCAGGCTCTGCAACCTTTAGTCTGGATGGAGGACATCTGATCTTTGGAGGATCAGTGTCTGAGAAAAAAAGAACAGTCAGGAAAGAAACCACAAAGAAAGCAGTTCCAGGTTCAGTCCAAAGCACAGGGGTAGGAAATGAGCTTGTTTTTGTTTCACTCTCAGCCCTGAAAGAGTAATGAAAAGCGCATAAACTACATATGGCCCAGATTTTGATCCACATAATGGTAGTAAAGTCAAACTTCTTGTTTGTTCGTGAAAGTATCAACCTCAGGGCTACTGGACGGATATATTTGCAAAATAAAACCTGAATTTGTACCTGCACAAACTGGCTGCACTCCACTCCATATACCTCCAGGCTGACATGTGCGTGAGTGTTCCCCGTCAACAAGATAGCCAGGATCACAGGTGAAGTCACACCTAGAGTCCACCATGAAGCCATGAGTGCAGGTGTATCTGCCATGTGGGATAAGATCCAGGACTCGGCAGCGCATCTCTGAAGAAACATGAACATACAGAGGGTCAGCGTGTTAAAGCCAGAGCAGTAAACAGACTGATATTTACAATATTTCATACAATGTATATATTTATATTTATTTAAGCTCTTTAAAGTCGTAATGTCCACATACTACGGCAGAAAGCAGTCCCAGACCAACGTCGGTTAGGGAGGCATTGAATTGAGCTCTTCCCCAGCAGTCGGTATCCCCGATCACAGCTCATCTCACAGCGGGTGCCCAACGTGCTGCGGTACGCCCCACCTCGGGGTGAGTGACAGGACACCTCTCCATTGGTCAGACCAGGAGAATGACACCAGTGTGGGTCTGCATTTAAAGAAAAACAGAGCACAGATGTACATGTGGAGCACACATTGTGGAAAGCAAGAACTGGTGTGCTATCTGTCAGAAACAGTAGGTAGAGGCCTGATGTTGATATCAGCTTGGAGTTGCCTGCCCAACAGATGTTCGATTTCACACTCACCTTTGTAGTCCAACTGAGGGGTGTAGTATTCCTCCTCAAATTCATTGTAGCCGTCATATACCGTGGTGCCAGAGCCAGCTGAAAAAAGGAAACAAAAGTCAGATATGTGGGAACAGAAAAGGCCTCTGATCGACTGAATAAAGTGATTTATTCAGCTTCTGGACACAAAGAAAGGCTGGCATATTCACAACTCCTCACACAATCTCTTTTCCTTCTCTTCCTCTCAGGTTTCCGTCAACACAAGTTCAATAACACTCCAGTTTAAGGACACCTGGATTTACTATCAGTGATGCTAATGGAAACTCCTTTAGGGTTTGAAGGAGAGAGGAAACATAAATCATTGAAATGGACAAAATAGATTCAGCTGTTTCTTTTTTTGTGAGATACCGCTGAGTGTTTATGTAGGAGCAGAAAGTGTTGGACTTTGTTTGTAGAGTCTCCTGGTCTTTTGAATCAACATTAGCATCACCACAAATTAGGTCACTCAGCTAACTTGGAAATTTTCCCTCTTACTCATCTCACTTGTGCGCTGAACTGTGGCCTCCAATCTTATTTCTTTTCTATAAATTTATCTCCGCTTCCCCCATAAATGCCTTCTACTATTATCCTTCTTTCTAAGGAGATGGGATTCAGGCACAAAACCCCCTTTTCAAATCTCTTTTGAAAGTGGCTTCATGTTTAGAGCTGACTGCCAAACTTTCCAAACTTTCTGTCAACCTTCCAGCCCCGTCTTAAGTCCGTCTCCATTTTCAGGCAGCTTCTCTAAACCTCATTAACTTCACTTTAACACAATTCAAACTATAATCATGAAATACACTCAACTTTCCCCCTCTGGAATCTGCTCCAGAATATTCCAATGATGTGAGGATTATGCGTATCGTCAGCATTTTTCTCATTATGAGCCGGATGTTCCACTCAGTAACATTTCCCCAGTCCCCCCCACAGAGAGTTAGTCACAGAGAAAACAAACTCATCAGTCTGCTGGTCTGCACTCCAGGCTTTAGTTGAGACATTTTCTCTGGTGAAATGCACCATCATGCATACAGCAATTATAATGTGTATTTTAAGTGACATGCCACTGCAGTGCTATGGTTACATGGCACATTCACAACACTACTGCACTTAAGTAAGGCTGTCCTGCTTATTTTGATATATTTTATACCAATATTACACCAAACAAGGTGTCAGTTGTACAGTTTTGCTTTACTACATGCTTGTGCAGCATTACACCACTGAAACACTAGTAGTATTGTATCAAATTTACAAGCATATGGCTTCAGGCGCTTTATGAAACATCAGAGTTGCAGTTACATAGTAATTTCATAATTTACGATATTGACCATCATTTTCTTCAGTCTCAATAAAGTCAAAACTAAAAGCCTGTAGTTTTTTATTACTCCACATTGCATAGTTTGGTATTTTTGCAAGACTCCTGAGTTCACTATAAAACTGCTAAATTTTGCACCTTTTAAACTTTTCCCTCCAGTCCAAATATGATAAAAAAAATATGGATCTATGTAATTTTTATTCAGTCTATGGTTGCAACTCAGCTCAAGATGGTCCCCCTCAATACTGGGAACCAAAGGACAGCCAATATGATAACTCCAAGTGCTGCCTCTAGCACAAATGGAAATGGGTCCTGTGTTAGGGTCTGCACTGACCCGTTTTAAAAGAAATACTTAAATAAGTTTTTTTCCATCAAGACTTTTTGACTTTGTCAGGAACCTCTATTTCAACAAAATAAAAAAAATTAATTGATTAAATTGTAAAATGCTCTTTTTAAAATTATGGCTCTTGTCGTGTTAGGGTCGCTGTTGACCCGGTTAGATCAATATCTAATAATTAGAGCAAAAACCAAAATCATAAGTGCACTGTCAGGCATCACACTGATAATCAGATCCTCTTCCAATCATGTGAGATTTAGGAAATTCTCATTTTGACATGTTTTTCCCTGCACAAAAAACAACATCAGACAAGTCCAGACATGTGAGATCAGTTCAGTATGGATGTCTGTATGAGGGGTATACTGACAAAGAAAGGCCCAGAGGACCACAACAAAAACTATTATAAACAATTTTTTCATGGATAATGAAGCCTAACAAGGTAACCTAGAGATGAGAACCAAATTGGATGATAGAGAATTGTTTTTAGTGTGATTTACAGCTGATTTAAGACACGGGTCAAAACCGACCCTTAACATGGTGGGTGCGTAGTAAAAGCTAACAAAGGAGGAAGGTTAAGTGAAGGCTATAAATGCATCTTGAAAACATCTTTAACTTTTAGGTCGTGCATTAGACAATGAGACATACTGTGCATCAGACACCACTCACAGCGCTGAGACAGACAGCTATAGCAGGAGTGAGTCACAGCAGGGCAAGGTGTGTTTAACAAAGAGGCTTCATGTATCTCTAATGACAGAGATGAGTTCATGACCAGCAGCCTTTTAATCACTCCATTAACATCCAAGGTTAGACAGAAGGACTGTGTTTCTGGGTGGTTTGAGCAAGATGCTTGGCCTGGAGGAAAGGGGGGTTCCCTCAGTGATTAACCAACAGTAAGTGCAGCCAATCTGTAATTAAAGCGAGCAGAAAAGCACCTGAAAAAAGGAACAACAGCACTGACTGGATTCTGGCCAGTAGCATGTTGGGAAATGTTGTGAAGGAGCTGCATCCAAACTTTTCATCCCCTAGGGGAAGAGCGGGCCCCATTTGCATTCAACCAGTCAGCCTCAAATATTCAGCACATCTGCATCTCATACAAGTGTTACCGCTCCTAAGATGAAGGTATTTCCAAACCACAGAGAAAGGATGTGGATATTTAAAGGAATGAAGCTGTCACTATCAATAGGGAGTTTTATTTTTCATTTTGGTTAGATATAACAAACACTAAATGACATTTTGATGGGTATGGCCTGTCTGAAAATATTACACAAGCATTTTCTGTTGCAAGTTCATGCCATGTATTAAAAAGTACAACAATTAAAGCGTTAAAATGTACAAAATGTAGACTGTAGAATGTTTGTGCAATGCTTGGTTTGACAAATAATTGAAGGCCATTGTAAAGAATTTGGCAAACTTAATTGTACTTCCTTCTGAAGAAGCCTATATTACATATATATCTGAATTTATGCTTAGAAAAAAATTCCAAACTTTACTACTTAGACTCACCTGACAAGAACAAAATGAACACAGCAACAAAGAAGCAGGGGGGCATGACAGAAAAACAAAGATGATACTCCGGAGAAATCAGAACTTGTTGCGCAGGGTTTTTTTTACAGATCCTCTTATCAAAAAGTTGCAAAAATGAGTCCAGAGAAAATGAAAAACACCGACTGAAGACTCCAAGGCGTCTCCTGTATTCCCCCGTTAAAGACGAGCACTCTCTGGTTTCATCCGAGTCTCCTCAGTTTGAGAAAATTGTGATCTTATTGGGTCACCATCAATGTCAGAAATCCACTGGGTGGCGCTCTTGTTCTCTACGTGTACATTTATTTCTGCGCTGAATATGACAACAACAGCGACATTTGATGGAGACCAACTTCCTCTACAGTCCTCATGAAGATTACCTGGGACTTTGTTCTAAATGTTTAAGGCGACTTTACAAATACAACTTTGTAAACTACGTTTAAAGCGATTCAGGTGAAGTCCGTCACATCGTCACACAAAAAAACACATTTAATCATAAAGTTAGACAACATCAAACAGAAAACACCATACCTAACTTCAAAATAAAAGACTTTTTTTTTTAAGTTTCAGATTTTTTTTTATTTGCAGAGTAAGGATTTATATGAAAGCAAAACAAAAGCTAGAATAAAACGCTATAGGTTTTTTTCTCATATTATTATCAACAAATAGACAATAAATGTTACGCAAATTCAAAATGAACTCTAAAATACCACCATATTGATAAAATGATTAGTATTAGCACCAAAATAGCTCAATGAAAGACAGTCTTGTGACTAAAACTAGAATAGATAAATGCTAAAACACTTAAAGTTAATGATAAAAAATTTAGTTAAATGCAAGACCAAAAAGGCATGTTTTCAGTTTGCTTTTAAAATCATTACGATTAGGTTCAGTCCTCAGGTCTTCAGGTAAGCTGTTCCATAGACAGGGCCATAGTAATAAAAAGATGCCTCACTGTTTGTCTTGGTTTTAACTTTAACTTTATATAGGGCTATATATTATAGGGCTTTAAAGATAGTTTAAACTGGAAAGCAGGATTAGGTAGTATGATCTGTATGAGCGCTAGCTTGACAGCCGGGATCTTCACAGCTGAAATCTGTTTTTGCCTTTAGGAAAGTGAATGTAGGTTAGTGACGACACTTCCCCCCTCTCTTTCCCAGATTCATCCCGAAGTTTTTTTCGCCTCTCCTGGGCGCTGTGAAGTGAACTTTTCTCCCCTTCTTTTCCCCTAATTTAAAGTAAAAACAACACCTAAAAGCACAACAATGTCGCCGCCGTCTCGACGGCTTCAGACGAAGCCCGTGATAACCTGTTTGAAGACTTTCCTCATCTCCTACAGCCTCATATTCTGGGTGAGTTGCTGCCTGACATGTAACATAATGGGGGACAACAAGCTAGAGGAGCAACAATGAGCTAAAAGCGGCCGAGGGGCCAGAGGGACTATCATCTGCTCAAATCACGACAGCGACACACACCGATGTAAATGTCGAGAAAGATGTGAAATAGATGTTAAAAACAGCTGAACTGCCGTGTGTTTGTATGTGTCTTCACATAAAGAGCCACTTGTTGAAAACGTACCGACCGTTGGAGTTGCCGTTAGTGTTCAGATTTATCCACCTAACCGAATCTCAAAGTGCCGATTACGTTCATTACACGTCACTTATAAAAACATTACATTCAGGTCATTCATGAGAAGCGAGACAAAACCGAAGATCATATACAACACAATTACGTCGATGAAATGTGATAGAACTTGTCTATACGGGAAACTGTTAATCGACTCACAGAAATGAAATCGGTAGCTACTTTGATCAGCGATTAATCGTTCAGGCCATTCGAAAATCGATATAACGCCTTTCCCCATTCACTTCTGATCAATTTTTATGATTACTCTTTCTTTGATACTGTGATACAATCAAAACCCAATGAGACTTAAATGTCATTAAATAAAGTAAAGATGAGTTGGTTTTCAATGAAACATATTTAGGTTTTATTCAAACGTTTTAGGAGAGCAGTTCTTGATAAAGTACATAGTACATAATACAGTTATTGACTTAACTGTGGAACATTTCTGGTTGTAGTCTCAGCTAAATGTCAGGAACATTTCAGTGAGCTTTCTTTCAGGAAAAATTTGGCGATGAAATGTGATAGAACTTGTCTATACAGAAAACTGTTAATCGACTCACAGAAATGTAATCAGTAGCCACTTTGATCAGCGATTAATCGTTTTTGGCATTCGACAATCCACATAGCGCCTTTTCCCCTTCCTTTGATGATCAATTTGTATGAGTACTCTTTTCTTTCTTTGATACTGTGATACACACAAAGATACAATAAAAACCAAATGAGACTTAAATAATGACATTAAATCAAAATTTAAAGATAAGTTGGTTTTCAATGAAACATATTTAGGTTTAATGAGAGCAGTTCTTTATAGATACAATTACTGACCTAATTGTGGAATATTTCTGGTTGTAGTCTCAGCTAAATGTCAGAAACATCACAGTGAGCTTTCTTTCAGGAGAAATTGAGCTGTTATCTTTTTTTTTAATCTTTGTACAGAACAAACAGCCATCTCGCCCTGCTGTTGCAGCTGAAACAAAGTTCAGTTTAGTGCTTTTATCTGGCTATTTATTGCTCTCGCCTGGTTTAGCTGATGTCTCGCCTCAAGGCTAATGAGTGTGTGGGCAGTCTTAAAGTAAAGGTAGAGTGCTGATTAAACCTCAGGCTGAGTGTAGTCAGGTAAGCCAGGTGTGCTCTCGCTCAAATGTTTACAGGTACAGAAGATATCGTACGCATGGATCAGATATCTTCTGATAAGAACCAATTGGCAGGGAGTTTATCAAATTTATAAGACTAGACTATACGGTTTGATAGAGAATACAGTGTTTGTCAATGTTCCGTTTAAACTCATCTTTTTCTTCTCAACAGTGTTTCCTCTCTAGAGAGCAATCTAGATTCATGACTTGTTAAATTGTATTCCTGATCTGCCATTGATATATCTGTTAACAGCTGATACAAACCAAAATTTTAATATTTGAACTGATGTGTAAGGAGGGCCAACGTGATTAGCTTGTATAAAGTGTTAGGTTTCAGTGTCGCTTAAAGATCATTTGATTATTGATTATTCTGACATCAGGAAAAGAGATGGAAAAAAAACTACCACTACTTTAAAAAGTCCAGGTTTGTGCCTCTAAGCTGCTTTTTATCAGCTTATCAATGATCCAGAACCCAAAGGTGGAAATTATACTTGCATCAAATTGTCTTGGCTGAGATAGGAGTAAACAAATGTTTTTCTCTGCTTGAAAAAGTGGAGGCTTTAATTGTTTTTCAGTAGTTAACCAGTTGTTACAGTTATTTAGGGCCCTGTTTCTTGGTTCATAAAACAGAATTAAATAAAATGGAGCTGCCTATTAGGAGATTCTTATTCTTGTTATTTAACCTGTTAAAAAGGGAGGCCGTGTAGTGTGCTTAGAAAGTAATTTATTCATCTAAAATAGTCAAAAAATGTCTGATAACTATTGTGATGCATATATGACGAATGTCTAAATGAAAAGGCTGTAGGAAAAGACATTCAAACGCTCTTGTTCGGGTTCTGGAGTAAGTGTAGAAAGGTTAAGTTATCTAAATTAACAGCCTTACTTCACCACCCACATAAACCTCAAACTGCTTCAGTCCACAGACCGGTGCAGGAGCGTCCTCTGTAATGATGGAGTAGTTTTACTGATGTGAGATGAACTTTTTAGGAAAGGAACTCTGATGTAGTTTTTGTTTATTTTGTCCATATGTCACTCTTGTCGTTCCTTTTTGGTTACTTGAAATAATTGAAGGCAAAAGCTAAACTGCACACGATTTAAAGGTACATTGCCAAAGGTGTTCTATAATTAAGCTTTAAATCTTAGGCCCTGTCCAGCTTTCTCTTTGTCTCTTTGATGCCGTACTCACCCTGCTGTCCTCCTCAGGTCACAGGCGTGATCTTGCTGGCTGTCGGGGTGTGGGGGAAGGTGAGCCTGGAGGCCTATTTCTCCCTGGATGCGGACGAGAGCACAACCAATGCACCATATGTCCTCATCGGGACCGGAGCCACCATCGTTATTTTTGGACTGTTTGGCTGCTTTGCTACGTGCCGTGGCAGCCCATGGATGCTCAAACTTGTGAGTGAGGCGGCAGTAGGTCCTCTCACATATTCCTTGATAATTCGACCTCTTGTAATCATTTGTCTTATTCTCGCTCCCTTCAGTATGCCATGTTTTTGACCCTGGTGTTTTTGGCTGAGCTCATAGCCGGAGTCTCAGGCTTTGTCTTCAGACATGAGGTGAGTTACTCAGCCAAAACAACACTGTGTTCATCAACAAATGGATCAGATCAGCTTAATGAGAGTTTAATCTTTTGTGTTTTGAATCCAATAACAGATCAAGGCCAAGTTAGATACTGCCTACAAACGGGCTGTGAACTCCTACAACAGCACTGACAGCAGCAGTGCTGCAGTCGACGCCATCCAGAGGACTGTGAGTGAAAGCTGTTACAGCACATTAATGCTGTTAACTGTATTTGACATGGTTCTCTCTGTACAAACCAAAGGAATCTAGTTTATATAAGAAGACTTTAGGTTTACTTGAAACAAAGCTGAAACAAGCAGTGAAATATGCCCCTCACCTTACTGTGGGTTTAAACTTGAGAGCATTTTGCTTGCGTATGGAAGAGCAGATGTTTACCTGAAGGTGATCCAAAACATCTGGAATGACGTCACTCATAGCAAAAGAGCAATTTCCTGCTTTTTCTTCTCTTATTTTTATTTTGATTTGTCTCAATTTGGTTGTCGTCCCTTTTTTCGTGCAGTTGCATTGCTGCGGGGTGACAGACTACTCTGACTGGAACACAACACGCTACTTTCAAGACAAGGGAATCCCAGCCAGCTGCTGTAAAGACAGTAACAACTGCTCACTGGACATGCTGAAGGACCTCAACAAGGCTAAGACAGAGGTGTATACCCGGGTGAGTTCACTGGCATCACTACTTATGGGCTTCAATGTTTTTGAGTGTAAAATTGCCTGTTTGTGTAATACTTTAATTTTCCTTTGCTTGTTAGGGCTGTTTTTCACTGATGACCACTGTGATGGAGGCTAACCTTGGGATCATCGCAGGGATTTCCTTTGGAATAGCATTCTTCCAGGTACGCCTCTTTCTTCTTTCTTCTTGTTTCCTCTGTCCTCCCTGCTGGTTACTTCCCTGCTGTATACAAGAGTTATTGGACAGAGATATGAATCAAAACTTAATCATATCAAAAGACTCCGCTCTGCATTTGTCACAAGCTCTGTAGACCTTATCAGTTCTACGATAAAGTCTATCATATCCTGGGAGTTTTATTTTGAGTCGTTTCATTTGAACTAAATCACTGGTGCAGAAATGCCAACGATCTGATGCTTGCAGGGATGGCAGAACATGCAGAGAGGTCTGAAATTTTGCTAAACTGGACCAAAGCAAAAAAATTAAGAGGAGATTGTTTTGGTTAATGTTGCAGGATCATTTTTTGCTAGAGTAGGGAGATCATTTCCATCACCAAGTACATTAGCATCACATTAAAGCAGAATGAAGCACTTGTGACTGACTTTAAAACACACTGCAGCTTCTGCAGGACAGTCATTTTACTCCTCATGTGAAACCACCCAAACTTTGCAGGTCCTGTTCGCCAAAAACAGAAATCTAAAGCTGAAATTTGTGTAGAAATTAGCAGCATGAAAGCTAGTGAACTATCTAAACCATTACTAGTAAGACCAAAACATAAGCAGCGGTCATGTGGTTAGCTGAGCCGCACAGCCTACGTCATTCCCTGTCAGCTAACTTAAACACATTGATGATCCCTCAGGTTGGTACAGTCCTCAGCAGAACAGAGTCTTGTGTAGATTTGAAGGAGATACTCGTGACTATGGAAAGTTCATTGACTTCTGTTACCCATTGTTTCCTCTCCTCTACTCTGCTAATCCAGCACAGAAAGCTGCAGGAGACACATTAATCAACAAAGCTGTCGATCAATCATCTTTGACTATTAAATAGCTCATTAAAACCCAGGTTTTGGGTACAACCGTTCTTCTGTGGTAGTCATATTTTTATTTGTGCCCTCTACAGTGTATTTTCAGGCAACAGCAAAGATTTGGACAGACACTTATTTATAAGTAAAACTACAACTAAAAACAGTCAGAATGGCCTTTGCTATTCCCTTGTGGAAAACACGTCAAGTTCAATGTTGAATGGAAGTTTCAGGCAAAGTAAAAAGGCCTTAAGTATCCGTGAATGTGATGATCAACATGGCTTTAGAAGTAGCGTTAGAGAGCTGATAGTTTTTGTCCAAAATCAAGTAACTGCTGGAAGTAGCCGTCAGAAGATGGGTACACTGTGGTCAAAAAGGGATGGACATGGTCAGCAACAATACCCAGGTGGTCTGTGGTGTTTACACGGTGCTTAGTTGGTACTAAGGGGCCCAAAGTGTGCCCAGAATATGGCCCCCACACGATTACACCACCAGCAGCCTGAGGCAGGATGGATCCATGCTTTCATGTATTTTATGCCAAATTCTGACCCACCATCTAAATGTCTCAAGTGAAATCCAGACAGGCACTGATTTTCCAATCTTCGAAGTCACTTAAATCCCCTTTCTTCCCTCATGTGATGCTTGGTTTGAGTCGTCTTGTCCACGTCTACATGCCTAAATAAAGTTGCTGCCATGTGATTGGCTGATTAGCTATTTGTGTTAACGAGCAACTTAACAGGTGTACCTAATAAAGTGTCCAGTTAGTGTATATTTCTTTGCCATCTTAGCCTCATTGTTCGCTGCATTTGTGAAAAACAGTGACATTGGTGGCTATTTGTCTTCATTTTCTTTAATAGGAGTAAGAAAAAATGATGAATCTTGTGTTTTGATGTGTCTGTTTTAACACTCTTTGTATTTCTTCTTAGCTCATCGGGATCTTCCTGTCATGCTGCTTGTCTCGATACATAACCAACAACCAGTATGAGATGGTCTAACAGCAGCGTTTCCACAGGTAAGCCTTCTTATGCAGAGATGATTCAGTAATTCAAGGTTAGAGGTCAGAGCGTCTTAACTCATCATGTTTTTGCTCTGTCTTTACAGGTCATTGACGGGCAGCTCCGGATGCAAACAGAGTGAAAAGAACCTCCTGTGATTTTTAGATATTGTGTGTATGTGTTAGTTGATGTTATTTTAGAGAGGGAAAAACACTTGCTGCTTGTTCTTATATTCAGTGTCACCAATGAAAAATGAGCGAAAGAGGGAATCATGTTAAAGGGATGTTGTCTGCAGCTTGGTTTGACCAAAAATTATAGAAAAGGAACTTGAACTTTTCAAATCACTCCGAGGATTAAAAAGGATTTCCAGTTAGCATAGAAGATGTCGTTTAGTTCCAACTCTTTAAAAGTGCCAACTTTTCTATTTCGCTGTGGCCTTGTTAAATGCAGCTGCCTTACTTTGTAATTTGAATTAGTCTGTAGTTTAGCAGATTAAATCTAGATGAGAAAATGTTTCATGTTGAACTTCTCGGTAACACTAAGGGAACCTTGTGTGTGAACTCCGAATAAGACTCAAAGATGGATAAAAGTATCCAACCCTGAACCAAGTCTGTGGGATAAAACCAGCTTTACTGACTCTGTAGGCCAGTATTGTTAAAAGCTTTCATTCAGTGTGTGCCAGTAAACCCGGCCAACTTTATATGTCAGTGTTAAGTTGTTATTCTTTTGTGATGCATGTGAAATACTTGAAAAAAAATAAAGATAATATTCAGTATCTTTACTGCATGTGCAGCTTGAGATTTGTCTGTCTGATTCAAGAAATTATAAAATGGGTACACGTTTTGATGAACATTATATGGGTCATTGATTTTTTGACAAAGTTAATTACACTTCCAGTAGTTATGTGCTCACCACAAAAAATTGACTATTTTAAATGTATTTGTTTGTGCTTGTCTAAATGTGCATACCAGCCATCCTTAATAATAAAACTCATATGGCCCATTACAGTACATCATATACCCAAATTAATTCCCACCTTACAAATGTAGCTCAAAGTTTCTGGTTTGTCAGGTAGTTTAAAGACTTGTGAAATGTATATTTTTCCTATTTCTAAACTTTACAAATTAGCTTCAAATAAGATTTTTAGACAAAACATCAGATTTTTTTTGTTCTGTATTTGTGTTCAATCCTTTTAGAACATTTTAAAATAAATAACATTTTCCAGGGCTGTCTGTTTGTCCTGGTTTACAATTAAGAAACCTAATGTTAAGCCAACTTTGGGAATTGTTAGTCATGTATATCTGACTAGCCTAGATCTTGATTTTTTGACGTACTTAGATACAACAGAAACAAAACAACTGCAGAACAGGACAATCCCTCACAATTTTGCACTCTTTACCAGTGTTGCTGAGAACCTAAATGGAAAAGTATTGCATTTTGTCCAAGCTCCACTCCATACTGGACAATGTCTCCTACCTGACACCCTCAGTCAGTAGTCTTCACCTGGGCTCTGCTCACTGTTATTACATTCATACGATTTTACTATTTGTGTTTTTTATAGTGTAAATACTTGTATATTATCTCTATATTTTTACTTATTTGATCTATCATTTATCTCCTCTTTTACTGTATTTGCACTGGAGTACTGTGACAAAAGCAATTTCCCCCTGGGGATTATAAAAGTATTTTTGATTCTGATTCTAAATTTGGAAAAAAAGATTTTTTAACATTAAAATTTATTTAAAAATTGTAAAACAAAAAACCGCGATACTTATGTGAATCGATTTTTCTCCCACCCCTAGTTTAAATACAAAAAACCCCAAAAACAAATAGTTTGAGAAAGTAAGCTAAATTTTCACATAATTTAGGGGCTTATCCCTCATCCAGAATTTTTTTTTTTTTTACATGAGTAGATTATCTGACTTGTGGTTTTACTACAGCTCAATAAAATATTTTCTCTGTGAGACACTAAATTCTCCTCAGACTGCTCCCCTAGTGGTCTGCCTCACTGCAGTTACCTTCAAGCGTGGAAAAAAAAAGTCACAGGTGTAACTAATGACATTAATGATGTAACTGAAAGCCTCACCACTGATTGTCTCCAGAAGATACACCTGTGCTGAGCCTGTCTCAAACCTCTCAAACCTGCAAGTCTTTGAACACCTGTGTAACAGAGGAGGACACAAATCCATCAGGTAAGACCCACAACTTTCTGTATTTAAGATAAAAGGATCAGGCAGTGTTTGGGTAATGTGCTGTAACTGAAAAATGAGAGATAGTTCCTGATCTGACCGCCAGGTGGCAGCGCTGTGTAATGAAAAAGACAGTTGCTCTGATGTTAGGAGACAGAACTAAAGCAGAAAACATAAAAGAAATTCTGTTTTATCAACAAAAAGGTGAAAACACACCTGATTCTCAACGTGCCTCTGTGCCAAGTTGCATCACTGCTGCCTCCAGGATACAAAACGCTGGGAAAAAATGTAATAATGCGGCTAATAACAGGCAAATACATTTGATTGGCAGCTGTAATGTCGTCTCTCATTGGTGCGTTTCGGATCAGCCGCTATCAGGGTCCGCCCTCATCCTCCATTTTGTCCAATCGACTCACTTGAAAATTACAGGGAAGGCGGGATTTCTAATCTTATTCAGCCCAACCCGGCTTGTTGCTTATAAAAACCCGGCGCAGTTACCAGAGAACTGGGGAAATTTGCACTTTCCTTCGCAGCAGGTGGAGCACAGACCCTGAGAAGACGTAGTTTGTCCAAGCTGCACGACAATAAAGCGTTTCCTCAGGTTGCATCGTGCTTAAGGTCAGTCTGCATCCTTTTTGTTCACTGGTTTGTAAATGTTTTTTCTGCAGGGGGTTTAATTCCAGGAAGTCAAGGTCATACTGATGCTGTGTTAACACTAAAGAGCATCAAATGTAATTGTGTTGATTCATGCAGAAGTCGTGCATGGTTACATTCATGCAGCTCAGTATTGTGGTGTTTCTGGTGCAGGAAGTCGAGTAAAGCTCAGTGAGTGAGGTGGGAAATTAGCTGCATCTGTTACATCAGATTTCCTGCAACTAGGCACTGCTCCTCTGTGTACAGCCATCTTTGTGGGGACCTGACTTTCTAACCTCTGAAGTGGAAAAAGTTGACTCATATTTAGAGTTTTGGTTTAGGTACACGTGTTGGTTGCTTTTCTGTCAGTGCTGCCTTGTTGAGAACCCAGTATATCTTCAATCTTTTTGTTTCGTGGGGGTTTTGTCCACCTGTCCTGCATCCTCATGATCTCTTTCTTCTCTCTTCTCTCTGCAGATCAACCACCTCCAAAACACCATCAAGCACTTCCCTTTAAAAAAAAAAAAAAAAAAACGAAATCTCAACCTGCCAACTAAGCCCACCAAAAGCCTTCAAGATGATGCAGATCAGCAGCGACTCAGTCAGCAACAAGCACTCTCTCATCAATGTCATGCACCGCTTCATGGCAGCCGCCAACAACATGGACGAGACCATCATGGTGCCGAGCCTGCTGCGAGACATGCCTCTGGAGGACCAGGCCAACACCATGGAGGTGGAGCCCAACAATAACAACAATAACCACGAACCGCCCTGTCCCAACAAGCAGAGGGACATGTATGAGCACTACTTGCTCCTCAAGTCCATTAAGAACGACATGGAGTGGGGCCTGCTGAAGAAAGAGATGACCAGCGGCACCAGTTTCCTGGAGATGGCAGTGAAGCAGGAGGAACAGCAGCCAGTCACCAGAGACCTACCCATGGACGACAACTCGGACCTGGAGCACCAGTTTCATTATCACCTCAGGGGACTGTTTGGAGTGCTGTCCAAGCTCACTCTGCAAGCTGACGACCTCACCAACAGATACAAGAGAGAAATCGGAGGAGGAAACTTCATGAGATAGAAGTCACTTCCTGCTTTGTTCCCTTTTAACTTTTTTCCTATCCTTTCCCTGCTTGACTTGCACATGGGATGTGTTGAGAAGGGGCCCAACATTTCTATCTTAAAGAGCCCAACGGACAGTAAACTGGCCAGGGTAACCACTTTGTAACCTCTCTCACTCCTGAGTAGTGACACTCCAGCTCTCTTTCTGTTCCCCAAACTCACCTAAAGCCAGTGACGCCGGCACAGTTCCCTCTGAGAGCAGAGGCCGCCTCGTGTGCTCGGTGGAGGTTTATTGAATCTGTTCCCAGGTCCAGATGAAGCACAGCTCTGGTTCATGCAGAAACATGTCCTCTCTCACCTCATTTTGGTCGTTAATTTTCAAGTTGGCAGTTGATTTGTTACCAGGTTGTGAATAAAAGTTTTCTGACTGTAGGAGAAAATTGAATGCTGGTTATTCTGTCCCTCCTGTACATTTCTTTTTAAAGCTGAGCTGAAGGGCTCTTAACCTGCAGAGGTTTTAAATCTTTCCACTGTAACATGGCGTGCCTTGACTTTTGTATACCCTCATGCCCTGTTCAGTTTCTCTGCCCACCGTCTGACTGCTTTAATGGTTCAAGGTGTTCATAATGTAATGATGCATTTGTTGTCCTCTGTTATTTCAAAATCAATTTTATATTAAAGTGAAAATAAATGAATAATTTCATCATGTTGTCTCAGAGTTTTGTTTGTGTTCATGCCTGGGCAGGACTGTGTGATGGTGAATTTGACATGACAGGAAACCGAAGCTTATTTGTTTGTATATAGTTGAGCAGCTTTATGTAACGTTGTCATGGGATTTAAAGTGCTTTACTAAGGATTTACCTAAAGGAGAACATCTTAAGCGATGTTGCAAAACGGGTCACGGCTTCCAAGCAGAATTAATCTGGAATACCTTTTTATTGCTGCTGTATGCAAATAGCCAGTTGTGCCAAAAGGCAAATCACCTTCACTGTTTTAGTAGCACTTAAGAGCACCCTGCAGCTCAATCGCACTTTGGGGTGCAGTGAACTACATATTTGCCAAACATTTCCAGCACGTGTCTTCCAGACTTTGTACAGTCCAACTCACTGCAACAATTAGTTACAATTTTACTGCATTACTCACTAGCATCCAACCTACTTTTAAGATTTTTCATCTCATGTCTCTCACATTGCAATGTTGCAATAAAGGGTGTGAATAATATGAGGGCTATAAAAACTGTAGATTATATTGACTCTTAAAACGTGATCAGACTTTGTTCTATTGAAACATTAACATTGCTGGGAAAATAAGTCACGTGTTACCCGAGGATGAGCTTTGAAATCTCTGAACAGGATTTAAAGCATGTCAGTCCCATCATTCTGCAGCTTTGTCATAATAAACATGTCAATAGCATGTAAATTACCATTGTACGTTGTTCAAACTGGTTTCCCTGTCCAGCTGCCTATACCCATCACTGGGTAAAACCCTCCCCTTAGCAACAGTTCAGCCGAAGCAGCCAATCCGGTTGCAAAGGTTTTTTTCCCCCTTCTCTCAAAGGCGCAGCAGTGATGAAGAGATTGTAGTGTGATGAAGGGCATCCAGGAAGCAAGAGGAGGGCAGGCATGGTCAAACAAAATGATGCTCCTCTGACCTGCAGCTGCGAGCATGCCAGAGCTGGGAGTTTGCATAAAAAGTGCTGCGTGAGCCCTGCAGTGAACAGAGCTGCAGCCTTTTTTCACTCACAATGGCCCATACAAACGGCTGCAAAACAAAATGGCTGTGCTGGTCAGTGAGCCTCAGCCCACCCGGGTAAAGTGGGTCAGCTACACTGGAGACAGCTGGCCAGGCATGCGTGGATGGATGAGGGGTCTCTAGTCTTTTCAGTTTTAAAATGGATCTGAAGTAAAATTTTAAGTCACTAATCAATTAAACTTAATGTTTTCAAGATATTCCACCTTAAATAACAGCTAAAAAAAAATCACCAGTGAACCAGCTCGCTCTTTGTTTTCAGTCTTTTTGTTAACCTGAGCTAACCAACTGATATCTGACTGAGTTACTATCAACTTATACAGCACAAAGAAGTCTGGATGTTTGATACTCGAGAGAAATTGGAAGTTATTAAATTTAATGTTGTTGTATTTTCCATCTTCTAAAAAGGATATTCTGGCGTAAAATTAATTTAGGGTCAAACACACCATAACACTAAGTTAGACACCCCATCAAGAGATGACTGTTGCCGACTGCTTGCATCTCTAGTTATACCAAGACCGCACGATAGCAATTTCCTCATGGAAATACAATCAGACCGAGACGCTAAAGCAGAAGAACTACCGTGTCTGCAGTGCAGAATGATTAATATGGTGATTATTACTTCAAGGAAATGATAAAGTAATGATCATAAATGTTCTTCCTTGAGCTGCGCACCCCCGCCGCATTAGATGGACTCACCCAGAGGTCTCGCTACAAACAAGCGGCTGCTGGAAGAGAGTGGGTGGGTTATGTTTAGTCTCTTTGCTAAAGAAATCAGGGAAAGATAAAAAGATGTTTGGTGGCTAGCTCTATGGCTGGGACCCTATATGTACTGTTGATGAAGTTAGGTGCTGGTCTGAGCATTATTTGTGGCTATAGAGTGGCGTTTTGGTTGAGCACATGGCTCTCTGTATTGCTATCGTGCGGCCGTTACTAAAGTTGGTATAGAGAAGCAAATGGTTGGCAACATTCATCACTCGACGGGGTGTCTAACTCGGTGCTAGACAGAATATCCCTTTAACCTTAGGACACCAGATAAGTGGGCTATCATAGAAGCGCAGACACAGATATGCAGTGATAGTGCTCCAAATACCAGCTTGCAAATAGTAGGCCAGACACATTTATGAGCTCAGGAACCTGCGACAAAACGGTTTCGCCCACGAAGTACTTTACAGACCTGAAATGGCAGAAGAGTTTGAGAATGTGTTGCTTTAAACACATCAACTGTTTCAAAGTAAAGTCTATTCTTCCAAACAGCTGTAAAATTTGATGTATGAAATACACTAAAAGCTTTATAAAAATGAGGACATGTCAAAGTAAAAAGGGATTTGGTTATTGCAAGAGTCATTGGGTTCAGGCTAATGTGACCGACAGACCTTTGGACGGCGGGGACTTCTGGTGTTGAAAGGCATCTTGAAACTTTGTCGGGTTTTCTTGGTCTCTGTCCCAACCCGTCTGCCAGCATGACAAGGCTGCGTGATCACACTCTTGGCAGACTATGGCAGTGCCAGCCTTCTCTGACTCCACCTAAGCAGCACTGTCTGTTGGCCAAGAGCTGTAAAAGTCCCCTCTGACAGGTATAAAGCACCAGAACCTCACTCAGAGCTGAGATTATTACTTTATGAGAAGGTCAACCTGACACAGGAGCAGCCGAGTGACTGATGAGGTTGATAACACGGTCACAAAATTAGTCTTGTATTTCATTCCCTTTTGCGTGAATAAAATGCTGAGTATCAGACTGCCCCACCTATACTCAGTTTGCTGTTATTACCCAGTCACCTCTCTGCGGTCACAGCACTGCTCCCTGAGTAAACACCAGGGTGTATTCACAGCTATATTTGTTTTAATATTAAGGTATGCGCGGGTTAACCCTTGTGTTACAAGTGAAATCAAATAAAAAGGCATTCATACGTTAAAGTGTAGGAAAGTGTGCAGAGAGAACTACTGCTCTAGCTGGTTTCGGCTTATATGGGGTGGTTGAATGAGCCGCTTAAAGAAGTCACAGTGACTGCTTTAGTTTGATCAGCTCATGCAAAAGAAACTTACAGTTGAGGAAAAATTAGATATTCAAAAAAGACATGAAATCAAAATCTTAATCCAACAAGATCCTGAAATCTTGTTGAATTAAAGAAACTGAATTTGAAATTTTAACTTGGCCATTACTTTTTTTAATTTAGTCACTGCACACAAAGTTGAAACTTTAAATCCCATGGATAAAACCAATAATCTTGACGATATCGAGTTAATGCCTGTGCAGTCACAGTCTATTGCTAAATGAGTAAACACAGCACAGTTTGAGGCTATGAGGTTTGCTGTACGTGACCAGTCATCCCTTTGCAGCATTTTCGAGACCCTGGATTGCAAGTTAACCCATTCTTATAACACCAAACCAACGACCTGGTTTTATTATTAGACCCGGGCCTAAGTTACCATGAGCTCCTTGAAAAGCAGCCCCATAAACCTAATCTTTGATAGGCTATCTGCTCAGACAGAGGTGGGGCTTTTGTGATGACTGTTTCTGCTTTTATGACATTCAACGAGACATTAGAGATTATTTTTTCTCTTTGAGCCAAAAAAATTATCAAATATGGACCGCTAACAATTTGCTTCTCACTGGAGACAGAAATGGTACTTAAAGGGGAAGTTTATTTTATTTTAGTTTTATTTTATTTTGAAGTGGGGTAGGTACTTTTGAGGTACTTTATACTGTATTTATTACCAACAGGGGTTCCCAACCAGTTCATCTCTGTTATCAGAGTATTGGTTGGTGAAGCAGCTTGTATGAAAAGCTAATAACACCAATGTTGGCACAAGTTAACCTGATAATAAGAAAAATCGTAATACTTTCTGCACCCTGGACCGATCCCATGCATGCTCCTCTGTTGCTCTGTTCCTTTCGGCCACCCTTGCATGAGGCAAGCCTAACCTGGACACACCCCTGCAGATGTCTAAAATACTCAACTGCAATTCCTTTTTATGGCCACAGGTGCCACCAAAGAGACAGAAGCTGAGACATTTGAGGAAAATACTTTATTGTTGATGAAAGTTTCCCAAACTTAAGAAAAAGTCACAGGCTAACCAGAATAGTAAAAGGTATTAGCAACAGATTGTAACAAAACTAAAAGAACAAAAGATCAGGATCGGAATAATAATTTTTTTTGTCTTGTCAATATTTTTAAACCGTCAAGACATTAGCAGCATTTTAACTGTCTTATTTGCAGATCAAGTGTAAGTTTTGTACAAAACACATTTCTCTTAAAAGTAGCTTATAATGTTTTCTTCTCCACTGTGCATCTGAGCGCCCCCTATATACACAGTCTATGGTCCTCAAGCCGGTAACTGGGATTCAATCGATCTACTGCCATTTTTTCAGCTTGTCTCTCCTAACTCTGTTAATAATAATGACATAAAAAGACAGAAATGACAACGTTTAAAAACTCTTACTGCTGTAGAAAAAAATAAAACAAGAAGGACTAGGCCTGTCTATAACTGCCACAGCACCCTGTTACATGTGAACTCCTGCTCCTCCAATTGAGGAAATGCCCAGTTTGTGTTTGACTTGGTCCCAGGGTAACTGTTGTTTAAGAATAAGACAAGTTTGTTGCCGTGTAATCGGGTGAACGTGACCTGCATGCAGTGGAGTTAGCGTTGCTTAGCATTTGCACAGTACAAAACTGTCCCGTGTGAGAGACTGTGAAGCCCACATCATTGTGTGTGGGTTAGATACACAATATGCTGCCTTGTGCTGCAGCAGTAATGACAACCAGCACGCTCACTGATGACATTAGGACTTCTGCTTACGAGAGCTGCATCCCTGCAGAAAACTCAGACCTCTTCAGAGAGTCATTTGTGTGTTAATCTTATTTATAAGACATAAAGTTCCTCCTCTCACTATGAATAATATAGTAAAGGGGAAAAACAAATGATTTTATGACTTTAACCAGATGAACTGAATATAAGGAGGATCAAGTGTGTTGTTTATTTTTGTGTCATTTCATGTGATCCTTGTTCTGTGGTTAGTTAAGATGCTAATGTGTAGCATCATGTCTGAGTTGGTTCAGCTGCAACAAACAGCTTAAACTGGTTTGATTGGCGTCTGAAGTGAAGGTTTAGTATACAGCCAAGTGCTTACATGGACCATGCACAGAAATGTTACTGGACTAGCATGAGGAATTAAAGGGATATTCCGACATAAAATTAATTTAGAGTCAAACACAACGTAATACCGAGTAACACCCCCGTCAGGAGATGAATGTTGCCGACTGCTTGCTTCTCTAGTTATACCAACTTTAGTAACGACCGCAGGAGAGCAATACACAGCGGTCTGGAGAGCCATACACAAACCTCAACCAAAACGGCACTCTATAGCCACAAATAATGCTCAGAACAGCACCTAACTTCATCAACAGGACATACAGGGTCCCAGCCATAGTACTAGCCACCAAACATCTTTTCAGCCTTAACACAACTCACCCACTCTCTTCCAGCAGCCGTTCGTTTGTAGCGAGACCTCAGGCCAGTCCATTACGGACTTCAGCATGGTGACGCATCTCAAGGAAGAACATGATCATGATCACTACTCAATTATTTCCTTGAAGTAATAATCTCCATATTAATCATTCTGCACTGCAGACGCAGTAGTTCTTCTGCCTTAGCGTCTCGGTCTGTTTGCATTTCCATGAAGAAATGGTCATAAATGTTCTTCCTTGAGCTGCATCAACCCCGCTGCATTAGATGGACTCACCCAGAGGTCTCGCTACAAACAAGCGGCTGCTGGAAGAGAGTAGGTAAGTTGTGTTTAGTCTCTTTGCTAAAGAAATCAGGCAGAAATCAGGCAAAGTTAAAAAGATGTTTGGTGGCTAGTGCTGTGGCTAGGACTCTATATGTACTGTTGATGAAGTTAGGTGCTGTTCTGAACATTATTTGTGGCCATAGAGTGGCTTTTTGGTTGGGTGTGTGGCTCTCTGTATTGCTATCATGTGGTCGTTACTAAATTTGGTATAACTAGAGAAGCAAGCAGTCGACAACATTTATCACTCAAGGGGCTGTCTAACTCTGTGTTACGGTGTGTTTGACCCTAAATTGAATCTACGTCGGAATGTCCCTTAAAGAGTAAATCCAAGGTTAAGGTTATGGTGGACACGTGCAGCTTAATGTGGAAAAATCTGTTTTTAGGAGTTTTGCACATATGTGTGAATACAGCTGTACAGAGGTTTGGTCTTGGTTAAATCTGTAGTCAGTACATGCAGAGACTTGTTTCTGATGTTGTTTAGCCAACTATTTCCTTTTGGGCTTCAGTGCTCTCACTCAAAATCTGCTGAGCCAAGCAGATTTTAGGGTTTAGGGTCAGAGCTCCCCCTCTGTCCTTGCCCTTGTCAGGTATTAGTGAAACAAAATTACCCTGATCTGGGTTCAACAGCTAATAGATATTCTTCATCTGCCAAAGGATTTGCCTCATAGCTTAATTACAAGTTATCTCCCCTTCTTAGTACGTCTTTGTTTGCCTTGTTGTGTGGGTAGCAGCGCCATGGTAACCAAGTGGTTACAGCAGGCCAACAAGCTCGTTTGCACGTCACCACTCCTCCTTTCACTTCCTTAATCCTGCCCCCCTCTTCACTGACAAAATTGGACATGTAGATAATGTTAAATGTTGCATCACTTTAAAAAGAAACAAACTTTCCTCTTAGTCAGACAGTCGAGTAACAGAAAGCACAAACTTTAACATTATGATAAAAGACGACACATATCATGGGACAAGGTGTTGTCTGGGATTAGATTGGGTGAGAGCTTAAGGATAATGCTGATCGGTCTGTCTTGCAGTGACATAATGTGCATTACCACATGTACTGTACCAGAGGACACATTTGAGGTTTGTGAACTTTACTTAAGTACTTATAATTACCCCAGCTCCTCTTAATGTAAGAGAGTTTTTTTTTCTTCAACTTTTTTATACTACTTTTATTTGACGAGTACAAATATTAGTTATTGCACAAACGAAGATTTTAGAAATGAATAACACAACGATATAAAGATAAGATACGAGATAAAAGACACATTCGAGATTAAAGTCGAAATTTTAAAAAGTTGAAATGAAAAAAATCGCATTTTGCACGAAGGCCAAGTTTGTCGTTTTTTTTCTTCTGTAGAGACGTAAATTTTAGGCACAGTCTTTTCAGAGTCCGATTATGACCACAATATGTGTTCTTGTGCTAAAAGAGCAAAGATTTCTTTGTTACTAAATCCAATTCTAAAGTACAGCTTTACAAACTCTTCTACAGAGGACACGTTGTCGAGTGACGAGTGACAATGCTGTTGTCTTTATTTGCGTCGACTTTAATCTCGTAATTTTTACTTTAATCTCGAAATTTCAATTTAATTCACGAAATTTTGACTTTATTCATGTCGGCTTTAATCTTGAAATTTCAACTCCAATCTCAAAATATAAATTTTTGTAATCTCGAAATTTCAACATTATTCTTAACATTTTGTAATCTTGAAATTTTAAATATAATCTCAAACTTTCGACTTTATTGACATAATTTCAATTTTTCTGAATCTTGAAATTTCAACTTTAATCTCCTTCCTGTAATTATTTTTTCCTTCCATGTGGCCCTCATCCTCTTTTATATTCATCGTAAAAACTTTTATACTTATGTAAAAAAAGAAATAAATAACACAACTAAACAAATGATCATACACTATCAACTAAGCCTAGAGTTGTTGTATAACAATAGAACAATGCAGCTGGTATATGCATTGATCAGCAGCAACATTATTCTTCTTTCATTTTAGTGCATGAGTGAACTGGATACAAGTCTATAACACTTTGGTTTTAGCACACTGAAACCTGTTATATAAAACAGAAATGTGCACATGCTGATGTTCTGAACGTTCAGTCTGTAATAATTCCTACATTAGTCTTTGGATTTTTGAAGAGGGCCTCTGTGTCAAACTTTAAAGTAAAAAAAAAAGAACATTTGAAGTATGTTCTCTGAGTGACTGGTTACTGTCCAGTCTTGCAGTCTCAGCTCAGCCTCGGGTCCTTTTGTCTCGTCAGGATGGAGAAGCAGATGTGAAGTCGGGAACACTGTGTTCTTTTTCAGGCGAAGGCTTTCCCACTGAACCCCCACACTGAACATAGATATCCCCTCCCCACTACCAGCTCTGTGCTTCTCCGCTCCTCTTAATGACAGACCTGAGCCCACTGATTTCTGTGTGTGCTCTGCTTTTAGGAAAAAGGAATCAATCAGCGTGTTGTTTGGGTTACAAAGAGCTTCTTGGTGCTGGAATTTTCTTCTCTGAGACAAGAGGAGAAAAATACTGATTCAAGCACAATGAGGCCTGTTTTGTTTTTTCACTCAAGAAACCCCATCAACCCAGAATGAAACACACCACTCCGCCATCACTGATGAACCCACCACACCACGGCCAGTTTGAGCGCTCTCTCTCTCTCTCTCTCTCTCTTTCTCTCGTATAGGAGAGGAATGCATGAGGTTATGTAAGAGAGGTGGGTGTGGAGTTCAGCTGGAGCAGCTTACAGCCTGACACAGACTGTCTCTGAGAGAGGCAATCCTCTCAGCCTGCCCTTGTCTGCTGCACGCACACACCCACACACACACGCCTATAGCTCAGTTTTCTGATAATGTAGGTCAATACAACCTGCTAACCTGCACACAATGTACACATACGTTTAAAAGTCAGGATCAGGTCTAAGGCTTTGTGTGTGTGTGCTAGTTCTATACCACCTCTGTTTTTTTCATGTATGTAGCTTAAGCTTAAGTCATGGCAAAAACCTTCAGGGTGTTTCTTCGGGAGAGTGTTTTAAAAAGCATGACTGCTCTAAAAATCAAGCTTAGAAACTGTGTTTGCAGCAGAGGTCATAAATCTAACGTACATTTTTGCAAAAGTAGAGAGGTACAATCAGCAAAACGTGTTCTAGGTTGAAAAGCAAAAGTGCTGATCAGGCAGAATTGTATTTCACTGCAGAACTGGGAAGGGTACTTAAATATTTGAAGAGCGACAGTCTGTTACCTGTCAAGCTTATATATTCAACAGCATCTTCTGAACGTTATATTCAAATATGGCCCATCCTCTACAGGTCAACGACCCTCTCTTCCCTGATATGTGCTCACGATCAGGGCACATGGCTCTTCGTAGATTCCCGCCCTCAAACGTTGCACGTTGCTATTTGCTGATAGCTACACACCCTCCACTTGAAGGGCTGACACCCAGAAACGTCCTGTCCCAAAATAATAAAGTATAGATAGAAGAGACTCTGTAGATAAAGACACAGACTTTGAGCGATTCCTCCAGTGATTCAGAGTCCATACATTAGTTTTTCACACGGAATATACTAAATATATACTGTGAGCACTAAAAGTATAGGTACTTGTTATGCAGGATAATAGGTTTTAAAAGAGTATATCATTATTATTATTATTATTAAAGGATTAGTCAGCTGGTTAGACTTATAGATTGGGGACTGACATGGGCACCCTACCTTTGATTTCTCTTCATGACCTACAAAGTAAAGGACATGAGACGACACTATAATGACAGGACTGGTTAGACTTATAGATTGGGACTGACATGGGCAAGGGTTTCCAGGAGTGTAAGTGTAATAACTTGAATTCTTAGAGCTGCTAAAGCAAAAAACAAACATAAAGAGGCTTGGCTTACTTTACTTCTGTGGCCAGTGGCAGCATGGTGTGTCCTGGTCTGCACCGTGACCAGCCGGCAGTTTTGACTCCTGGATCCCTAGAAAATTATCCTGATATTATCCTGTTACTAAACCCAATTCTAAAGTACAGCTTTACAAACTCTTCTACAGAGGATGTTGTCGAGTGACGAGCGACAATGCTGTTGATTCATTATCATTAATCCCGACATTATGATTTAATTCATGAAATATCGTCTTTTTTGCACAGACTTCAATCTCGTAATTTTGACTCTAATCCCGAAATGTTTATCTAATTTACAAAATTTCGACTTTATTCATGTCGACTTTAATCTAAAAAAATTTGACTTTAATCTCAAAATTAAATTTTTTTTAATCTCGAAACTTCGTCATTATTCTCGACATTTTGTAATCTCAAAATTTTGACTTTATTGACATAATTTCAATTTTTTGAATCTCCAAATTTTGACTTCAATCTTGAAATTTTGACTTCAATCTCGAAATTTCGACTTCAATCTCCTTCCTGTAATAATTTTTTTTCTCTACATGTGGCCTTAATCCTCTTCCATACTTATATGAAATATTTTCACCACAGCTGTAAAATCAATGTGAGAAGTTTAAATACAGAAGTTCAAAGTACTGTAATTGCACTGACGGTTAATGTATCACTATTGTTCAGCCATAGTTCTGTGTCTGGTCCTGAGTTTTCTGTCATTATCAGGTATCCAGGTGATAACAATCAGGGTCGTCCCTCTCTGCTGAAAACCAGCGCTCTCTGTGACACCGTCAGCAGGTCGCACAGCGAGACAAAGAGACGAGTTCTCTGCAGGTCAGCACCTGCGTTTGACTCGGACCGGCTGCTGCGTTTAATCTGATCTGCAAGACAAGAGAGAGGAAACAAAGGCATGACTGTGTGTGTGTGTGTGTGTGTGTGTGTGTGTGTGTGTGTGTGTGTGTGTGTGTGTGTGTGTGTGTGTGTGTGTGTGTGTGTGTGTGTGTGTGTGTGTGTGTGTGTGTGTGTGTGTGAAGCCCTCTATTGTCTGGCAGCTTTGGAACCCCAGAAAACCCCACAGGAAACTGATCTGATTTCTAACTTCACTGTTTGTTTAGAGCAGAAGATCATGTTTTATTCTTACAACAGATGATATTTCGGTTCAAATCTTAAATTATAAATTTAATTTTTGGTGTAAATAATTGACATGAAATTGGACATAAAATCAGAGAGGCAACTCAGACTATTTTCAACTTCACTTACCATTTTGTATCAAACTCAGAATGTGGACTTTGCTCTGTTTCCAACTCTGGAATTTCGTAGACAAGTTCAGACGGGCTAAAATATCGTCTGCATTCATAGGCAGCCCCGACTTTGACCCTCACACTGAAAAAGCAGCTGCTTTCTGACACTTAAAGTATTGTTTTTCTTGCACTAACACTTGGTTAAGTCTCCATTTAGCCAACAGTTTCACATTACTCCACTGACACTGGGAGAAACTCAGGAGAACATGTACAAAAAGTCAGTAAACACGGACAGAAACAATGCAGAGGTCAAAAAACTGTGCGTCATGGGGAAGGAAATGAGGAGGACGCATTAATGAGACCCCATGGATTTACACATAAAGTATCTGTAACTTGTTTTACAGTCTTAAATGCTCTCATGGCAGTTTCACTAAATAAATCTTTTACACTCTAATTTTTCAAAAATGTCATTTCACTAAAATCCGGCATCCTGCAACACTTCAGCTAACTTTACAAGCCCTCTAAAATGTTGGTGATCACATGTGGAACACCAGGTTTTGGACTCCACACCATCAGGATCATTTCATTTTTGTTTGTTGTTTTTTTATGGCTGCACAAGACTAAGAGCCTTAATGAGACGATTCATTATCATCTTCATCGATCAGTTCAAGTCAGCTTTTATTGACAGTAATCCTCTCAGTTTCCTAGCAACTCACTTTAACTCCAACGTGGACGTCTTGGAGGACTTCATGATCACATGAACTCAGTGGATTGAACCTTAATCTTCCCGGTGATCAATAATTCCTTTTAAAGGTGTAATCTTACTCTGATGGTTTAACAACATTTTGTGTCTCAACTTTAACTCCAAAATAAAAACATTTATTATAACTTCGCAACTTTGGTATTTTTTGTTTTTAAGCTTTTTGGTGTTTTTATTTTACAGAATAAGTCAAAGAAGTTAGAGAGTGGACAAAGAGAGAGTAGGGTTTGACATTGGGGAAAGGAGCCACAGGCCTGAGGCATAACCTCCATATATGGGGCACTCGCTTGGACCCCGAGGCCACTGGCACCCCTTTGTCTGTACTCTTTACGCTTCGTCAGATGATCCAGCTCCTTTGAGTTCTTTGACACAGACTAATACTTCAGCTGATTCCATCTCTTATAATTCAGCCAACAGATCAACTTCTTTCAACTTTGATTGTTCTCCGTGTTTTAGCTCGATAAAAACTTGACTTGAATTTTGCTTATCTTTTGTGCTTTCAGTTTTTTTTACTGGCCACTGAAGAAGCTGAACTTTATCTGACAAAATAAACTCCTAAACATGTTTAAATTTACAAAACCAAAGCTGATAATAGATGTTTCCTGCAGCTGAGAGAGTCCAGTCATCTATTTATTATCTATCTGGCTCATCTCTACCAGTTTGGGGGAAGGGGGATCTTGCCAATCTCACTAGACAAGAGGCAGAGTTCAACTTAGACAGGCTATCAGTCCATCATGGAGACAAGAAAACCCCCAATCACTCACATTCATATCACAGGCAGGCTCGTCTCTCTGGACTAGGGCTGGGCGATAGAATGAAAAAGATATATATTGAAAAATAATTTCCCTCAATATCAACATAAAACATGGTCAATATGCTTTTTGATAGTCTGCATTCTGCCATGTTTAGGTAGAGGATACAAAAAGCCAATGAAAAGGGGAGTTGCTCCAGGTCCACGCCTGGGTCTTTTTCATCACCTGAAGCAGCGCCACACTGCAGAGCACACGCAATGCAAAAGGTTACAAACCCTGAGTGGAGCAAGGAGCCCACGCCGCCTGTGTAGCCAAGACAGCTGTAACATTCAGTCTGCTTTCTCTAGCACAACACCTTATGACAAAACGTGGAAGAGACACAAAGACCTCACAAATGCAGTAGCTCATTGTATTGTAAAAGACATGCCAATAAGCACTGTCAAATTTCATTTTTTATATGTGACATTCATCGATATCGACTGATATGAAAAAAATATATTGTGATAAACTTTTTCCCATATCGCCCAGCCCTACTCTGGACCTATAGAGAGTACCTGGGGAGACCCTACAAAGAAAGGTCCGACCAAACCGAGCCACTTTACTCTGAGGCAACACTTCTAACTACTGCACAACCATGAAGTCCTGGTTAATAGTCTTCCTCTAAATTCCTACTGTTACCTGGTTAACTGTACAAACTGCAAATCCGTCCCAATTTCAGCCTGATCTCATGACTGTGTCCATGTGGCTGGACTTCTTGGCGGCCTACAGGCTGGCAGAAACGTTTGCTGCATTCAGAAGCTAACTTGGATGACTGGAAAGGGTCAACCTTGGTGCAGAATAGCAGAGGCCGATCATGACGGCGCTATTTCTGCAGTTATATTTAGAGCTGTAGAGGGGAAACGATTAGATCAAGTGTTCTTACCTTGAATCTTTTTAGAACATTTCATAACAACAAAAGTAAAAGGAATTTGGCACATTGCTTTAATTCTTGGTGAAAAGTTCAATGATTTAAAGGATTTTTTAGGAGAGGGATGAAAAGACATGAAACAGCTTCCTCTGAAAGAAGGAAAAACATCCATCTAAATCCACCTGATCATAACAAAAGCGCTCTGTTTAGTCTCTCTCTGAATAAAAGCAGATTTGATCTCTTAAACACTCCTGAAACATCCAAGAGACACTTCAGACAGATTACAAGATTTACTCTCCTGCATTTAAGATGCTGCTCAGCAGCAGAACGCAAAAGCAGGAAAACAGGCTTTGTCTAACGTGGACTGAGAGAACAGAAAGGGTCTGGCCGGAGTCTTAGATGTGAGCTCAGTATGCAGGACTTCCCTCTTCTGCTTTTTTTCCTCTTTTTTTTTCTCCTGAGCGGGCCGTTACATAACCTTACCTAAGCACCATTAACAACAGTCAACAGAGCCAACTTAAGAGGCATTAGAGGGGCTAATTTTCATAACAAATAGTGTACAGATGGGCTCAAAATAATCATTAACAACCTGGAGAGGTTTTGGAGGCTGGTTGGGTATCCCAGGGTCTTTTGATTCAGATTTAAACAAAGGTTCTGGTTGGACAAAATAAAGAAAGATTAAAGGAGTAAATACAGAAAACATCCATTCCCTAAGCTTAACCACACACTTATTTTGATGTAAACACAACATACATTTTAAAATGTTGCTCTGCTTTAAGTCCCTTTGTCTCCATGTAAGGACCATTCTTCCTCTTTTCCATGTCAGTCAGTCAGTAGGTCTTGTTGAGACTTGCCCTCGTTTTTAACCAATCACAACCTCTTGCCCTACAACAGGCGGACCAATCAGCGGTGAGTTATGACAGGGGCTTGGTGAATGGGGCGGCCTTGGCTGTGTTTAACTGCATGTGTGATGTAATAGGGTTAGATTTACTGGGCAGTCAAAATTTCCCAAGACTCTCCCTTTGGAAACATGATCTCTTGGAAAGGCTTCAACCGTCTGGACAAACTGTACCCCAGGAAACTCAGCCAAAATAAGTTATATTTAATTATTTTAACACAGCACTTTTAAACATTTTTTTTTTGACTATTTGGATTTCTCCTCCAAATATACATCTATAAGTAGCTCTTAATCTGGTCAAAAACTGAGATCTTGCAGAGAAAAAAAGCATACTATCAACGCTAAAGAGGTGACGCCCACCAGCAGCAGCAGCAGCAGCAGCAGTGACTGAACTCCAGTAACCCCGCTGAGCCTGCACAGGTTACTCTATGGTTAGGACCATCTGTACCATGAGGCCCTGCGAGGGGGAACGACTGCTATGTCACATCTCTGCACAATGAAATGTCTCGCTGAGACTTCAAACAGGGGCCCATATGCTCTGGGGGAATATGTAAAATTACAGTTATTAAAGCAAAAACAGGTTTTAGTGGAACCGCATGAAGAAATATGACCGTGTTTTGACTATTCAAATTTCAGCGATAAATTACTTTAATTGTGGCTCCAAATAGAAGATAAATTCATCTTCAGTCTGAGTGAAAACCACTTTTTTCAGCATCTCGTATGACTGATGAAAGGTGTCTGATCTTTTGTTTTAAATGATTATAACGTTGTACTCAAAATTTAGAAAAATTTGCATTTTATGTTTAAGTGTTTGAAGTGTTTTGGTCCCCGAGGGCAGACATGGACAGCCGCATGCAGTGTGTGCTAAACAGAAGTAGATATATCTCCCCGCTGTTTGGCTCCGTTACATAACAGCATGAGGCTCCATCATGCTATAGCCACGCCGTTTAAATGTCATCGTTTCTAATAGTAGTAATATGACTTCCATACTTTGATTTCATCCTTTTTAAAACGTTAAGACAGTTTTTTAAAACCTCTTATCGGCATTATTTTTTTTATCATTAAGGATGTAATTTGATTTTAGTTCTTTGAGGTCCTTTAAAATGTACTCTGTGTACTCTCTGTGTTTAAAAGAGAAAAGAAGAAAAGGTTTCAAGTGTGAGTAGACACTGAAAAGTTGACGTTTTGATTTTTGATGCTCCTAAGAGCTCAAATATGAGTTTTTATGTGTTTACACCTGGAGCGTTTTGATTTTTTCCTTTAAACAAACAAAAAAATAATAAAATGTGAAATGAAATTCTGAAAACCTGTTGGTTTCTTAGATCAGACATAAGAAGAGAGGCAGAAGATGTCAGTTTAGGGGTTGAACATTAACAGAGTCACTATCATTGGTTCCCTCTAGTGGATAGAGTTCAACTCTAAACAACTTAAAGCAAGTCTCCTTCAGTCTGGTTCAAAATGAGAGGATACTGTCCACAACTAACTTCTGCTAAAATACAAAGTCTAATCGAAACAATGAGAGGGGGGTCATAAAGTCATGAAGCTTGTACAGTAACGTCAGGTACTCAGAAGTTACATTTTAACTTTTAACACATTGTAAAAGGAAGACTGTGATACTGTTTCCTCCTCTGAGAAGTTAAAAACTTTCACCAGAGAGATGAAGCTTTACGGTTCAGACATTTAAGTCTACCTGCTGATATAAACAGAGAGGGAGCTGTACTTTAAAGTATCATACTCAGGACTTAAGATTTTAAAAGGAAAGCATCCTCAAAGGGCGAAACAAAGAATACTGAAGAATAAAAAAATGCACGACTCTTATCAGTAAAAGTTCTGTCCTGTACTCAGAGGATGAAAAGCAAAAAATCTTAAACTGGGACATAGTGGTATTGAAGGGTAAATGAGGGGGGAAAGTCTCATCAAATACATTCAAGTTTACAGAAAGGTGTTATGTGACCGGACAGACAGGAAGTTAGAGCTAATCACAAAAACAACTGTGACATGGTCATAATAGCGTCTCAGGCGTAACAAAATGCTACAACCCGACTTGTTGCCACTCCATTCTGTCGAGACGTGCTTTACCTTTGACTTTACATTGTTTTTGACCCTAAACCTGCTCTTAGCCTTGAATGAAATAGTTTGATATATAAAAGGACCAATGACCTTTGGCTATCATCAACTTTAGTCCACTGTCACCTGAATGTAACTCCACTGAACATTTGTAAATAAACCTGGAGACACCCACTATTCCTCAAATATTGGAACTGGTCTGTTATGCTGGCCTAGATAGATCAATATCAGTGGAAATATATTTTTCTATTACCAATATTTAAACTTGATTTAAGGAAACTTACTGTTGAAAAAAAAAGTACTCAGTGTGGGCAAAGATCTGACCAACAGAGTATGCTTTCACTACTTTGCTGCACAAATCCTGGTTGACTTTGAAAGTTCCTGATCAATCCACTTAGAGGGTCTGGTTTCATTTCAGCTAATATATGAAATTTATACTATATATGTATATACTGCAGCAACAACACTGGAACCTAGGGCTGGGCATTAAAAAGATAACAATATATTTAGAAAATTAATTTCCCTCAATATCAATTTGAAACATGGTCAATATGCTTTTCAAAAGCTGGCATTCTGCCATGTTTTGGTAGACGATACAAATAGCCAATGAAAAGTGGAGTGGAGTTTCTCTGGGTCCGCTTCACACTGAACCAATCATGTTCTGAATTAGAACCAAGTAGCAAACAACTGCATAGTATCAGGCTGCAGCTACACACAACCAGAGTACTTTAACATGTGAAGTCAACAGCACTGTTGGTGAGGAAAGAAGAAAATGAGTTCAATATGAAGGCTCAACAGATGAAGACATCCTCGACAACACTGGCACGAAAACGTCAGAGGTGTGGAGGTATTTTGTTTTTTTAAGGTCCGACATGAAGCAGAGTAATGTGCACTGCAAGTTATGTCGAGTACATGTTCTGGGAAAGTCAGATCTTTTTTTTACCACCTGAAGCAGCGCCACGCGGCAGAGCACGGGCAATGCAGAAGGTTACAAACCCAGAGTGGAGCAAGGAGCCCATGGCGCCTGTGCAGCCGAAAACAGCCGACCATTCAGTCCGCTTTCTTTATCACAACGCCTCACAACGTCGAAGAGACACAAAGAATACACGGATGCAGAAGCTTATTGTATTTCAAAAGACATGCTACCAATAAGCAGTTAAATTTCATTTCTATATTGTGATATATATCGATATCCACTGATATGAAAAAAACATATTGTGATAAACTTTTTCCCATATCGCCCAGCCCTACTGGTTCCCTTTCTAAGTATAGCTGCATCAATGTTTAAACTGCTCATGTGGGTTAACAGAACGATCCTGATCGAGTCAAGCCCAGATTATTGTCATTGTTTTGTGTGCTTTTTACCTGAGGGACAAACCATCTGTGACTGCAAGACAGAAAAGTCATATTTTAAGCATCTGCCCTAAACATTAAATTAAACTCTCACGATAGGCCAACTGACAAAACAGAGAAATAATATCTATGATCCACAATCATGCTTTATTCTTGTTGATTTCTTATAAAAGAATCAAATAAAAGTCTCTTCAAAACCTCACACACTGCTCAGTCTCAGTTCTGCTGTATCCCATTTTCTTTAACTAAACTATACTTCTCTTTACACCTTTAGTCTCTTCATCTTAAATATCTTTTATTAGTTTGTGACTTCAAACCAAAACATCATTGATTGTCAACACAAAAATCGGTCTTAGCACCAGTACAATAAAACTGTACTTTAGCTGTTTTGAAATACTGTTTGTTTTTAAATGAGGGAGGAAAATCTGAGAATAAAGGGATCCTAAGTACATTTTCAAAATGAAGCACCAACCATACAAAGCGCTTTCTTTTCATAGATAGGCTTGTCAGATACACAAGAGGTCAAATATATTAATGACTATTAAATTAAGCACAACAAACAGTGTAAATAAAACACTGCAACACAAAGCACTCTGGGATCTGGAAACACCATATCAGGACGTAAAGAGGGGCGAGTCGTGGCTGCAGATTCGAGGGCGTCAGAGCTCCTCAGACACAGGATCGGACTACTTATCCTCTGAAAGAGAGATCCACAGGATTCTGTATCAGTTCAGGAGTAGAGCATCCTGGGAAATGGAGACCACTACAATCTGTCCATTTCTGTAAACAAACTCTCAATGTGAAGGTCCAAAAATTCACGATTTAACTCTGCAAGGAGGGACTCTCGCAGCAAGCGTGGTGCTGCCTGGTCTGACTGTGAAATGAGTGTGAGAATGAATAAACACAAACTGTTAGGTCCAACCAGCAAATGATGAGAAAATGGAAATGAGCCTCTGAACTGGGTGAGTGATTCTGTGTGAAGATTATGTGCCGTGATCTTCTCTCTGCAGGTCTCCACGTCTCCCAGGCTGACGGAGAAATCATCCGGGCACCGCGGCCTCCCTGACTTAAGCTTCACGCAAGAGTTCCCCCGAGATAAAAGCCTCGGATTTTCTCCCTCTGGAAAAAAAAAATGTATAGCTTTCCCTCGGAAACGAAACAAAAACTCCTAATCATAAACCATCGTTTGCCACTAGAATACATTTATAGAACCAAATGTGTTCACCCTGATGGCAAGATATACATATACACTACCATGTACAGACATAATCCATAAAAAAGGTTTGCTCAATAGCTCTCCTGTATTCAAATAAACCTAGAGATAGGAACCTGAAAGCTGCTTTCCAGCACCGACATCTCCTGTTTGCAGCTCTATGTGATCATGTGATCACCTTCTGTCTGAGGTCAAAGGTTAAAGTGGAGTGTCAAGTCATTGCTGGAGTTAAAATCCTTGTAACAGCGGACGGAGAGGTTTCCTTTCAGCTGCTTCCCGCAGGGAAGGACTCAAAAAGGCGACAGTTTGAAGGGAGGCTATCGACTGCGAGGCTTCCCTGTGTTCATCAGTGTCTCCTTCTCCTCCTCCTCCTCTTCCTCTTCCTCCTGAAGGATGTGGATGGAAGAGCCCAGTAGTCTCTGAAGCTCTGGTACGCATCGCACCAGATCCACAAGTCCCTCTTCGTCCTCTTCCTCGTCTGTCTCTGCCTTTTTCTTGCCTTTGTGAAGTGAAGCCAAAGCCGAGCTCACCTGGCTGACCGACACCTGCTTCCAAAGTTCCGTGCGTGACAAGTTCACCACCTCCAGGTGAGGGTAACGCGCCCGGAAGATCCGCTCCGACATCTTCAGACGCTTCAAGACATCGGTTAGGAGGAACCAGTTGCAAAACCTGTGACGGAGAAATAGCCCGAGACTATAATTAGAAAAAGGTTAAGATTTGTGAATTTACCTTACATGAACATAAAAGTATCCTCAAACAAACATAAAATGACCCGACTGATCACATAAAGGAGTCTACTCATTATTGGTAAAGATGAAAACACTCTTCTCTCTTCATTTGTCTTTTCTCTGCACTTTAAAGACGTGCGACTTTGAGGTTTATTTGTTATTTTAAGCGATATCACTTTGAGGAAATAGTAATAAAGATAGATTGAATTTATATAGCACCTTTCTAAGATCCCAAGGTTACTCTATAGAGGGAAGTCATAAACTGATAATATAAACAATAACAATAATGATACTTATCAGATTAAATGACACACTCTCACATGCGGGTTTACAAGCTGATCCAGGTCAGACTAAAGACTTGAGACTAGAGCGGTCTTTCACAGTCTTTCACAGTAGTCCTGCAGCGTATCATACTTCTGTGAGACTTCAGTATTCAGTCTCTGTAAGTGTTGATTTAACTGCACGCTTGTCTTTAAGGCTGTAACTTGTGGTTCTATGTTGTGTGATTCTGACAGCTGTTTCTATTATTGTGTTTATGGATCAGATAGCAGACGGATTTTTGATAAAGACGTTTGTTTCCTGGACTCTTGTGTCTCTATAATGAGGTGACACAGATGGGCTGTCTGAAAACACTTGACCCTGATTGGTCCAAACCAAAAACAACAGTTATCAATACGACGTGATCAAACAGGACATTTCAAATCTATCTGTGGAGAATCTGCACGTTTCCCCTCAGCCTGTTGACGTTCGGGAAAATACGTGACCTGGCACATCCTGTCATTACCGAGGGTTACCCTTTTAACAGTCACTTTGTTTATCAGGTCTTGTCCTGTTTTGTTGGTGTTCAAGGCTGACTCACTGATTATAACGCTAATCTACCTATAGGTGCAAATAAACTCACTTTGAACCTTGAACCCAGAGAGCAGCCTGAGGAGCTCCGCTATGTAGAGCAACATCCTGCACGACACGAGTGCATCCTTTAATCTGAATAACCACAAAGTAATTTTGACCATAATCACCTTAATGATGATGGTAAAGTTATGACATAAGCCTCATTTATGTTTTGAGGTGAGTCAGCTGCTCAACATCCACTTTACATTATTATTTACTTATCCACTGGGATCCCATTTTTGACTAAACTCCCAAGATACTGAAATCCCAGGAGGCTTATATCTGTTACTGGAACAGACCTCATCCTTTTTAAAAACCTTTATAATCCCACAAAAAAAAGCATCTTCAGAAAAAAACATGTGAAAAGAGGTTTGTGTATCTTTGGACCAAGTCTTCATCCTTTTCTAATATTTCTTCCCGCGGTATTTATCAGTCTGAACTCACCCTTGCGTTAATGAAACCTGAACGTGATAACAGGGAAGGAGAGGCTCAGAGGAGAACTCAAACAGAAGGCAGTCTTTGTCAGAGTCCAGCTCAGTCTTCCCCGTCCTGTCCTCCTCCAGATCCTGATTCTGCTCCGACAGCAAGAAATCCCAGCAGGGCTCCTGGTCTGTCTCTGTGAAGGAGAGTTCAACAAGGTCAGAGGAAGAACGCACCGACAGGAAGGGTCTGAATGCCCTCTAGTGGACAGTTTGTTTATACCACACCGGTAAGATGAGTTACATGCGACCGTGAGCACTTTTGGTGATTTGTGTCACAGCCTCTAGTTTATTTCAAGGTTCATCAAGACACAAGACAGCAAAAAATTAAGTTTACAAGCAACATATTCTGATATGTTAACTTCTTTTCTCTGTTGGACAACAACAAGATGTTTCTCCAACCCTTTACTGATAGGAAAGCTTTGTGTTTTCAGTGATAGGATTATCTTCGCATGACCAAGATTGAAGTCTGTGTCACTGATTTATCAAACAGAACAATAAAGAAGGACACAGTGTTTCCTAAAGCCAGATAATTTGTCCTTTATATCAGCGGAGGCTCTGGCACGATTTAATCCTCTCCTTTAGGTCTCAGAACATCAGAGAGACGTTTTTCTGTTTTTAATTAACAAAAGACAAATTAGAAAATTCACATAAATATATAGATGATCAGAAAATGTAAAACTAATGCTGTGACTTCAAAATACAGACAATCAAACACAACTTAAACAGCTGCTATGGGAGCGTAAAGTACATAAACCATTAACAAGCAGAAAACAGACGCAGCGTGTTGTGAATAATTTGGTTTGGGAATAAACTAATGGTGTGAACTCAAGTTAAAGAGGAATGATTTGCAGTAAATAGACTGTAAAGTATTGAGTGCATTCTTGGTGTTTCCAACCACTCAAAGTGCTCCAACATGCCACGACACATTAACCCAGTGGTTCTCAACTGATGGGTCCCGTCACAAAAGCGGGTCGCGGACGCGTTCTGGATGGGTCACAAACAGCTGGTCAAAAAAGTAAATACTAAATGTGATATTTATTGGATATTTGATATTTTCTGTATATGAAACTTCAGTAGTTGTCGTCCTCATGTTGTCCCCTTCATGTGCTCTGAAATACACTTTACTCAATCTCAAGATTAGAGTCTTTAAAGGTTTTTTTTATTAATAAATTAAATTTGCTTGATTTGAATTCTATAAAAGTGGGTCGCAACTTAAGGACCGTGGGAAAATGTGGGTCCCAGAGTGAGACCTGTTGAAAACCACTGCATTAACCCCTTCAGTCCACATTCACACACTGATAACTCAGAGTGGCCTGCCAGTATTTACTGGACCTGTCAAACAATGAACTGTTTTAATCAGGATTAATCGCTGCTTTTCAGTGTTTATTTTTAATGCAAATCCCTCCCAAAGTGAAATAATTGCAGCCAGATAACCAGTTTAGAAACAGTGAAGTTCACTTCTATGACTCAGTTTCATCCACAGACTCTGCAGACTCATTGTGATACAGTCCGATAATTTGCACCTGTATGTTTGGCTCTTTGGTAGTAGCTTCAACTAAAAGTACTTCAGTGATATTAAATCTGTCCGACACAAAGTGCATATTACTTTTCACTTGTCAATTAAGGCAACTGAGAGCTTTTTAAGTGAAATGTGCCTTTAGTAAATGTACGGTGATGTTTTCCATCAAGCTGCAGCAGGAGTCTGGAAGATACTGCAGAGACAATAAAAACATTGCTATTAACGCTTTAATGCTGGCAGCCTAACTATAAAAGTCTGTGAAAAGGAGAGAAATAAATGTAGTCTAAGGTTGTCATACCTCTAAAAAAATTTTTATGATCCATCCAGCTAAATCTAAATGATTCTAAAAACCACAGAGTAGTATTTGTTATTTCTGCTCTGGGATTTTGGGGGCCATAATTCCTTCATGTGTGATGGACCAGTTGACTGAGAACTGTTCCCAGTCATTGCGAGGATTTGCAAGGACTTCATTCAGTCTTTTTTTATCTTAAAAGGTGGGGTAGGCAGGATATGAGGAAGTGCCAGTTTTTGGGAGAAATCTTGAATGTAAACACTACCCCTCCCAACCAGTTTTCCCCTCAGCTCCTTCTCTCTGTTCCAGCAAGCCCTGCCCACAAACAGACACTCCTGTTCTTCGTATCGTTTCAATTAAATTCAGATATAATGCAGATAAATACTTCAGATAATTACAAATGGAGCCTAGTCAATGTGACAGTAAAAAGCATCTGTGCTACTGTAGATGCCAACGGACTTTAGCAGGACCTCTACAACTAGGATAAATTGACATACTCCAGGACCCGAGGTTAACAGTTTAGAAGCGCTACAACACGCAGCAGGTCCCGTTTGACAAGAAACACTTCTGTTACAGACACTTGGCTTGTCCAGCAGAAAGGTTACAGGGTCAGTAAGATCCTGAAACGTTCTCCATTGTTTATGCTATGTTGACCTGACTATTTGGCTCTTGCCTGGCTTTTGAAGCGCCCATTATTCCGCCAGAATCTCCGGTATTTACTTCGTTTTCCTTCTTGTGTCAACAGTCGTGGTCAAAGGAGGATTGAGACAATTTTCTGTATTTTCTGGTTGGTTTCTACTGTCCGATATTGTAGCACGCTAACTTTGTTTGGGCTCGTGAACGACTCGGAGGAGCAGCGTCTGCCTCACAACCAATCAGGTTGGGGGAGGCAGAGAATGGCTTTGTCTACAGTCAGAAAGAGCGAGCCGCTCAAAAAATTATAAATGTTGACTACGCAGACATAATAAAACGCAGCGATATTCTTATATTACCAAATGTCATCAATGACTAATAGCTATTGACTGATATAAAAAGCTTTTTTGTATATACACCACAAAAATAGATGCTTCTTCAACGGATTCCTGCCTACCCCACCTTTAATTGTTAATTGTGTATTATTGTAGGGATATGACAGCATGCCGGGCATATTGCAATAGGATGTGGCGTGAACCTGTTGGGGTATGAGTGTAAGTGGATAGTTGTCAGGGTTAACTTTCAAGGATGATGCTGAAGTAGAAAGAACATAATTATCAGGAGGAGGGTTGTTTGCTTGCTTAAATTTGGAACATCTGGAACAGTATTAGACGACAGTACACAAATGTCACAAGACTGATTTCCCGCCAAAAACAGCTCTACTAACTCAGGAAGTGTGGGAGTTGAAGGGCCAGTTAGCAGAGCAGCGGTTAAAAATAAAGGAGAATTTGTGATGTGCCGGTGTCCCACTGCTTCTACTACAACAGAGACACACATTCATTTTTAATATTTTCAATTTTAAGAATGGTTCTCATCAGGAGTGTATCCAGTTTACTTCTGTTTTTAACATTAACTACCCCGGTGCACCATTTGAACCACCATTGACTCCTTAGATCAATAAAAAGAGTCCAGAGTGACATCGAGCCTTTCTGTCGACCCCACCTATTACACCCTGTCTTTAAAATGATCACTAATTCATCTACAGAACTTCAAACACAAACTTTTGTGTTTGTGTTTTTACATGTTTCTAACAACAAGCTAAAGAGGACACTTTCAAATGTGGACTCTGAGGCACATGCCAAATAGACTTTTCTAGAAACTAGGACCTATTATAGTAGGAGGAGGAGGAGGAGGAGAAAAAAAGAGGGGAAAAAAAAACAAGCTGAGATGTTTATTCTTGGTACAAGGACTGATCAAAGCTATTTTTGTTGTTAAACATATTTTGTCTTCACGGTTTATCCAGAGAGCTGCAGTCCACTTCCTGTTTAGTCTCCCTAAATGTTTCCACTGAACTCTTAATCCTGTTCTCCCTGAAATGGATAACTGGCTCCCTGTGGCTGTTTACAACACAACACTGATGCTGGTACACCAGGCTAACACCCCTTTATGTCCCAACAGTTGAGCCTGAGCCTGGCCAACACACCAGAGTGATTTCCCTGCGGCCACCTGCTCGTTTGTCCAACAAACCTCGACTCAACTCCCTCACAGCCAGCGGAGGAATGAGTTTTCTACCATCAATGTTTACAAACTGAAATAGCACATTTGATTGATAAGCGGCCTGATGGATTGGCAGGCAGAAGGCAGCAGATAGAGAAACTATTCCAAGGTTTCTTACCAAACAGGGAGCTGCTGTAGAAATCCCAAGGTAAACTCGGATCCGGATCCTTGCGGCCTTCCAGGTCTGTAAAATATTCTGTGAAAAAAAAAAAAAATGTATGTTTTACTTTGAGTCACTTTACACGACAGCGTGGGTTTGTGTAAATGTACAACAATGTGAAAACAAGTCAAGAATCAATGCTCCCTCGTCAGGACCCCAAAAGTAAATGAGTCGAAGTTGCAGTTTGTCATTGTGATGTGCCCCATTTCGCTGTTGTCTGTGGACTCCCAGCGCAAAAAGAAAAGTGGGCATTGTGGCTGTATTAGCTTCTGAGCCATGATCTCTTTATTTACCTGAGACTCACGAGTAACACACTCGGGTAAACACCGGCTCTGCAGCCAAGTTGATAATAAAAAAATAGCACTAGCGGAAAAGTGTTTGCTGATGTTTCCTGACTCTCCAACAGTCGGCCAAGAGCCGCAGAAAGAAAATATAGCTCCTGCGTTATTAAATTCATTAGGCTTGTTGACAGCAATATCTGCAGCGCTGAATGTGGATGTTTAGGTTCTTCACACATATTCAAGGGTTCATCTCTTGAGCTGTAATATTTGCTTTAAAAAGGGTGTAATATTCATAACATAGGCTGTATAAAATGGTAGATGATATGACAGCTCCCCAAAAATGAAGCCAATAAATTTATGACAGAGCAACTAACTCAAGATTAGGGCCCGACTGATTTGTCAGCGAGCCGATTAAATCCACCAATTTTAGCCCGTTTGAGACTAATCAGTAATCGACCAAAACTTGCCGATATTTTCAGAAATTAAACGCGGAAAATAATATTCAGTTTCATGCCATGTTACGCCATTTGAAAAGTTCCCCCGACTTATCCTGTAGATGGCGCAGCGACCTCATGACAATCTTCATCCACTAACTACCTCACAGCACAGCAGAGTGACGGATCTGAAGCAGGCAGCTGCAGGGACGCACGGAGGAGAGTGGTCCGCCTCAACGGTAAATAAACCAGTTTGTGAAATACACAATAAGTCAACAAGTTTAAGTTCAACTCACTTCACGATGTTCCCCGCTGTGCTGGTCTCAGTCACGCCGAGTTAACGGTGAAGCACCATGTAACATGCAAGCTAAAGTTAGAGTTGGCCATCTGTTATTAGCCTTGCTACACTGTTAGCCGTGCCAGTAACGGTAGAATAAACAACAATAGACATTACGTGATCGAGCTACTTCTCTTACCGAGGCAGAGGTCTCCAGATGAGACCTCTGCGGGGGGGGGCATTTTTAGTTGAAAACGCTTTTCTGGTCCGAGTTTGATTTAGGGGATTGTTGTAGCAATAAAAAGGATTTGAAATGAGTTTTCTGCCTTTAATTCTTTAAAGAAGTGTTTGAAAAGCACAAAAGCAGCCACTTGTTTTAAAAAATAAGTAAATATGTAGATATATTACTTGAATTAACGAAATTTTTAAACTTTTGTAAAAAAAAAATTTAAAAATCGTCCGATTAATCGGTAATCCCCCCCCCCCAGTCTAAAAATCGAACCTTCAAGAGCATGTCGTTCTTTAAAGCCATCAGAAGCATCAAATAACTGAAAAGGTGTCTAAAAAAACAACAGTTTGGACTATAAGTCAATGATGTTTCTGGGAGAAAAAGGCCAACAAGTTTCACAACGCAAAATATCTTTTTTTAATACTGGAATTTTTTGTTCTAATTTTCATGGGTTGTTTTGGCATTCCAGTCCTTTCCTGACAAGACTCGCTGACTTTTATTTAGAAACATGCGCATACCAGTGTGGTCATGACTCATCAGCCCTCTCTCTCTCTTCTCTAACTTTTCACAGAGGGAAATTAAGCTGATCTTTCCTCACTCAGGGGGGGTAATACTGTTCGGAGGAATTTGGCAACACACGAAAAGAGAGGCTAAATGAAGGATGGGCTTACCTGTAAGGAAGGTCTTCATGCTGGGACTGTGTGCCAGCTTGACCGGCGTGTGTCCGGAGTATGTGGCCAAAGTCGGGTCTGCGCCGTGGTTCAGAAGCAGCCAGACTATTGGGAGGTTATCGCTAGCAACAGCATCATGGAGTGGCCTGAAGACAAAACAAGCAAAATACAAAAGCCTTTTAGTGAGTGGACAACCTCAAACTGAACCAAAATCTACTTCAACTACTGAGGGGGACACCCGATTAAAAGCCTTTGGTTTGTCAGGGCCACAAAGTCATGCTGCGGCATTGTAAGAATATTAAAGCTTATCACACTGAATAAGAATAAAGGCTTTAATGAATGTTAATCAAAGTGTCTTAGATCCTTTGAAATGACAGAATCCCCTCACTGAAGAGCACCTGACAGCAACCAATATACCTGTTGATGACCAAACCTACCTGTATCGATTTAAAACCTTGTTGTGTTGATAAATCAGATGACTGAGTCTGCTCCAAAAGTGTTTTAAATTAGATAAATAATAAGTTTGCCTTTTATTTGAAAAGTTAATTTTTCTTATCTCATTAATAAAACGTTAAAGTCATCACAAGCAATCCAGGTCTCAGTTTTCTCATGTAATAGTTCACATAATATAAAACAAAAACATCTATCTGGACTTATCGGGTCAGTGTGAATCATCTTAAGTCTACTTATTTAAACTGATAGAAAACACAACTTGCTGAGTGTGATTTTTTCCAGTGAAACCTCACCGTGTTCCATCCTGAGCACTGCAGTTGACGTCAGCACCGTATTTCAGCAACATCTGGACGATCTGCGTCCAGCCTCGAGAGGAGGCCTCATGGAGAGCTGTGTAACCAGCATTATCACGCCGATTGACCTCTCTGATGTCCTTCTCAAGACAGTACTGAACTACATCCTGCAGAGCAGAGGTAGGAAAGAGAGAATGAGTGACACTGACATGATTCGAAGGGGAAGTACAAGCGTGTCAGTAAACAGGTGGATTTTACCTGATAACCCAAGCGTGCGGCACGTTGCAGCAGAGTTTCTCCAGCATTTTTATTGACTATCAGTCGGCGGACTTCTGGAGGGATGGGCTTTTTCGGTGGAGACTCTGAAATGTTGCTTTTTCCTGATGAAACCTTCTTATTGGGTGGGGATGATGGCACACTTTTTGGAGCAGGTGGAGGGCTGTCTGTTCTTTTAACGTCAGCACTGTCATCATCTAGCGGGAGCGAGGCAGCACGCTTCCCCAAACAGCTGCGTTTGGTCTTCACCTTTAAGACAGATTTACTGTTAAAAGCACTGTGTGTAAAATGGAATCTGTGTAATACACTGCCAAGTTAGAGCAATGACTTCCACTTATCAAGGACCTGCGCGGTATAACTCCGGCTGCCCTCATAAATGTGACAAACACAGCATTTATCTAGCCACAGGGGGGCACTGTGAGCTAATATATTCATGGCCCTTTGTACTTCATTCCTATCAACCTTGTATGGTTTAAGATAAACTGCGAGCCCGCAGCAGCATCAGTGAGCGACTTACCCTCTGCTCATCATTGTCACATAAGTGCTTGCTTTTGAACTTCCTCTTTCCTGAAGGCTTGTCAGCGCACTCAGGAGATAGATCACCATCCTGATAACGGACTGAACCCGAGCGAGTGAACGAGGGTCTCCGTGGGGGAGGCTCTGGACTGGGAGCAGTGGGACTTGCACACTGTTGTGCCTCTGGAGCTGTAATGACAAATCATATCCAAGGTTATGCTAAGTACTCCTTAACAGGTGAATGAAATGAAAAAGCACATTTCTTTTGATTTCTCCCATTTCATCAGTGCTGCTGACACTCATCTGCAGAGCCAAACTCAGAACAGGAGATATTTTAGGTGCTGTTTCAAGCCAACATCAGATGGTAGAGAGCTCTACCTGGCCTTCACTGGCCTTTGGTTACCCATGTTGTGTGCTCAAACTGAGTAACTGCTGTCTATGATCTATTCTCTGTTTTTTACAGTCACGTCCTCTGGATTTTGAGCAATTTCCACATGCAAATCTTTTCACATCATTGTATTCACATCAAGTCTGAAGTGGACACAGTTTCACCTCAGGAATATACTGGAAAAACTGTAGGAATCTGCCCTCCTCATGATTTTGATTTTTGTATTTCTGTTGATCCAATTAGTATTTCAGTTGCAGCATTATTCCAATGTCCTCTTTATGCTTTTTACATGTAAATGTCATGTATATGTTTTCATTTGTGTTACCAAAGAAGCTATCAGCTTAAATACAGTCAGCTTAAATACATTTTTCTTAACACCATAACAGATATTTGAAATGAACCAGCTGGGCCCACAGAAACCCACTCATATTGTCTAAGTCCACAAAGGTTGATTGGTATCTAAAAAAAATAGTATAACCAGCTGTAACATTGAGGGTAAAAAAAAAAAAATAAAGAAAAGAAAAAATATTAAACTAAAAAATGTAGGAGATCTATGTGCCTGTATTTTCACCGAAAAAAACTGAGGTTCCCAGATTGTGACCTCTGTCAATGATACACATTCACTTCGAACAAAAAAACAAATCTGCAAAAACACAGCCTGAATTAGTCAGTTCATTTCCATATTGGTTAAACTCACTGAAATCAGGTGGACTAAGCAGATCAAATCACGCAGTGATGCCGCTGCTGTTCAGGACAGACATTTCTAAAGAGGCATCACACACAAATGTTCAGGAATCATTGCATGGTGGCTGCATAATTGTTCCACAGACGAGAACTGGGCTGCAACTACTGTGAGTACAGATTCATCCATCAGACCGTCTTTTAGTCAGTGATGGTCAAAAATGATATCATTCTATCACAAGCCAAATGTTTGTCACTTCATCTGGCCAGCAGCCAAAAGTAACTAATTAATAATGGTATTATTGTTAAACTGAATAACTCAGGCTTATTTGTGAGATTGTTACCAACTAACAGTTTGTGATATTAAGGCTTTAATATAACTGTGTTGTAAAAAAAACAACAAAAAAAAACGTTTACTTAGAGCTTTAGCTTTGTTCAACTTTCAGTATCATAAAAATCAAATCTTGATTACTTGTCAGATAATTCTGATCATATTTGGCGGATTCATAAGGGAAGTTCAATAATGGGAACAGCTGTTGAAAATCTGTATCAACCTGGTGTATACAATCCTTGGTCTTATTTACTGTAAAAATGCTTTACCCTGTGACCCATCATCCATTCAGCTGCATTCTGATGTTTGTCATTGAAGTAAGGGTTTAATTAACTCAGCATTGAAACATTAATCAAACTCTTCAGTCAACCTCTCCATTCTGCTGCCCTGAGTTATGAACACTTAGAAGAAACAAATCAAGTTTGGAAGTAACCTTCTTCACTCTGTAATTCTCATTTTTTAATCGTGTCTTAAAGCAAGAGTTGCACCTTTCATTGAGGAAATTGTTGAGAGGCAGTAAAGTCAAAACTTGACAGATCTCCAGAGAGACACTTGTACCTGCTGGGATCCCGCTGTCCTTCCTTGTAGGGTCAGACTCTTCACGGTGTTCTCTGTCCTCCAGCTTGTCTTTGTCAGTGATGTAATCTCCAGTCTGGTACTTTTTACTACGGCATCGTCTGCGTTTCTTGTGGGCCGGCGCCTCACACTCTGCGCCGCCGGCCTTGCCCTTGCCCTGAGACCCTCGCTCTGGTAGAGGGTGTGAGCGAGGCCTCCCTCTTGGACGCCGTGCTGGTTGGATGGGGCTTTGAGGGGGTGAGAGGGAAGTTGGGGGAGGGGGCATCGGTGGTGTTGGGGGGGAAAGAGTTGCGAAGCCCCAGAGGTCGAGTCGAGCCTCGTCCGTCCGCCGCCGTCCTCTCCTGAGTCTGGGGAAGGAACTATCTGTTTGTTCGGTCTCCTTGCTGGATATCGCAGAGCTGTTAGGAGACGCTGGAGTGTCGACACTTCGAGGGCTGCTGCTGCTATCTATAACTGCATAAAACCACATATCATCATTACACACAGGTCTACAGAGACTGGGAGATCAAAAACTGCCAGTGAGACAATGTGTGACTTTTTCTGTCTGCTTAATACACAAGCTACTGTACTACCAAGGCTGACTGCAGGCTATTTATCTGACAAACTAAAGCTGTGAGATCCCACAGTAATCCAGCTGTGAGCACAATAAAAGGCTTCATATCTGACACAAACTGAAAGCATTGCAGGGTTTGTTTTAGATATCAGAGAGGAGTAAATTTAGGAGATTACCTGGTTTCTTGGGAGTCGACTGGTCCACCTTGTTGGGACTGATCTTATCCCTCAGAGTCGGTTCTTTCCTCTGAGGAGAGAGCTTCCCCGCTGAAAGACTCTGCTCCAGCACAGGTGCGCACTGTTTCTTCTGCTGAAATACACGGGGGACATAGTGAGCGTGCGGTATCACAGGTTATTGATCACAAAGGTATCATGGTGATCGAGAGCGCCACAAGCCCATGGGAGTTAAATCATGGATTAATGTCATAACAGGGAACTCCATGAGGCTAATCAATGCTTAAGAAATTTCAAAAGATTTTCAACTTTTTTTTTACCTATTCAAATGCAACCAAAGGGTACTTTTAAGATAAAAATAAACTACAATGATTAATTACCTTCTTCTGGGGGGACACTTTAGTTGGGGTGTTTTCTGTGTCTTGCTTTTTCTTTCCTGGAGTCTTCTTCGATGGTCCCGTCGGTGGCTTCTCCTTTGCTGGCTTCTTGGGGCTGCTTTTCTTTTGTTTGATGGTGGCAGCTTTAGCTTTGGTCGGCGACTCCTCTTTGGTTCCGTTTGTTTTCTTCTCAAACTTGTCGCCTCCTTCGTCACGCTGGCCCGCCAGAATAGATGTGACCATACCTCCTAATTTTTCACTGGGAGGAATTTCTGCTCCTGTATCTTTCTTTGATATCTCCCCCTCTAACACCTGGGCTAGTTTGCTCTCCATTCTGTTCCCATTGGTTGATGCGTTGCTCCCAAAGAGAAGAGGCTGGCCAGCAGGCTTTGAGGAGCTCTGCTTCGCTTTGAGCCCCTTGTGTTCTCCGTCAGTGGTGTTTAACTCAGTGTTATTCTCCACAGGCTCAGTCTCGTGTCTCTTCAGAGCTTGAGTTGAATCTTTTGATGGTACACTGGCCCACTTCTCCTTAGACCAGTGTGCTGGGTATTCAAATGAAGAAGTGTGTTTATACTGGGTGTCTTTGCTGCTGGTAAGTGGACTGAGATCTGCTTTTCTAGATCCAGCAGGTGAAGTTTGAGGATTTCCCTCGCCTGTTAAGGAGTTCGATTCAAAGGCTTGCTGCTTTACGATGGATGCCAGATTAGACAAAGGAGACTTTAATTTCTCCCACTTATCATCCTCAGGTTTGGACGGGCTATGGTGGGCACTCTGAAACTTCGATCCTTCTGTAACTGCGGTTCCTTTAGTCTTTGGAGATCCTTGTGGGATTTTCCTCTGAGCAGATGAGGCTTGGTGAGGATGATGGGACGGCTGCTGCCAAGCTGGATTGACAATGGTATTAGAGTAGGGCACTGCTGTTTTACCAGGTCCAGATATCTGATGAACGTGAGCGTTCGCTGAGGCTGACAAGGCAGTTGATAGAGCTCCTTTAGAGGGACTGCTCTTCGTTATGGCTGTGCTGGTGTTTTTAACAGGCTTGACACTGTGACACTGTTGGTTGCCCTTCATCAGACAGGATGGCTTCTTTCCTCCTGAGGCCAGATGTTCTCCTTGGTCAATGATAGAGATAAACTCCTGTTTCGCAAAACTCTGGAATTCATCCACAAAAGCCCCTTTACCATCTTTGCCCCGCAAAGTAGACGCCAATATGGGGCTTGCCACGCCGACGTACGTTCCAGGGATGTTTTTGATGTCTTGTGAAGGTCCCTTGCCCCAAGTTGGTTTGGGCTCAGGGATCTGGTGATTCTGAGGTCTTTTTATTTGCTTTTGGTGAGATCCATTTCTGTGGGTGTTGGGGAGGATAGGGTATTGCACAGCTGGGCTATAAGGGGTAGAATGAGTCCTCTTTGAGTTTAGAAAATCTCTCTGATTCGACTCATTATTGTGAGGCTCATTTGTTGTAACTGGAGGGTCATTTAGGCATTTTGGACGTTTTGATTTCGCAGACAAATCAAGAGGTACGTCTCTCGGTTCGACTGAGCAACGAGTATTATCCTCTGAAGCAGAGGAGGGTGTCGTAAGAGAACTCAGAGCAGTCTTGTCTATGCTGTTTCCTTTCTCTACATGGTTCAGCAGTCTGCTCTGTGAGGTGATGCTGGCCAGGGCAGAGCCACAGCAAATAGCAGCAGTAGGCGATAGCGTGTAGCAGGTGGGTGCAGCAGAAGTTAATGACGGGTGCTGCAGTGGTAGGGCAATGGCTGGTGAAGCTACCACTGACGCTAAAGACTTATGCTCTACCATGGATTTGGTGTTCTTACTAGATGAATGGTTAGGCTTTAGTTTTGTCGTTGATGCTCCTGCTTTTTTCTCTGCAGCCGGAGTCCGGCCCACGGAGAATGGATAGGGATAGGTCCGCATGAGAGGTGTCCCTCCGACACCTGAGCTTTGAGGCTGGATTTCTTTCTGAAACTGACTGGCTGTGGCTTCTCTCAATGCTGCAATCTGACCCAATGCTGGTGGAAGAGTAATTTTACAAAGTGGGGAGGAAAAATTGGTGGAAGGAAGGAAGGCAACCGACTGGACCGGCTTGAACATGGCGGAGCACTGAAACCCAGGTGCGACGCTTTGCACAGATTGTGTTTGGGAGACAGATTTCTTTGTAGTTGTCATGTTGCTGTGACACGGGTTTAGTGAGTCCTCCCGGCTGACTTTTACACCACTTGACCACTGAGATGAGGGGAAGACCACAGCTCCATCAGTCTTGAGCTTGGGAGCCTCTGGCCTTTTGTCTGCTCTCCTGTCTGAACTGGTGAGAGCTGAGCCAGACGTTGGTACGTTGTTGGGCTGTTGAGGTGGAGAAAACTCAGAGTTGTGGTTGTAATTGCTAGTGTCCAGGCAGGCTTTTGCTGTCTTACAGTCTGTTGTTGGAGTGGTCTTGTTTTGCTGACTGAAGGTAACATCTCCTCGAAACTCGAGGGGGAGCGTCTGGGGGGGATTTCCCACCATACTAGCAGACGCTTTATTTGGAGCACTGATCTCTCTGCTCACCGTGCCTCCATCCCCTACATTCATTAGTGTGGGATCCACCTGAGCAATAAGAGGAGTTCATTAGGGCAGTGTTAATTAGATAAGAGAAAAGAATGCTCTAATCTAGTAATCTAACAATAACGGAAAAAAAATTACCTGCATAGGTGTTTCTTTAACACAACATGCCTCAGGGGGGAGCTGAGTCCGTCAGGTGAGAGCTTCCCTTGAATTACAGTGATATGCTGCAGAACAAACAAGAAAAAGAACACTTGATGTGATCACCTTTAGTGCTGCTGGGACTGTGTTTGGAGAATTAAGACCTGTTCTGTGCAACAGTAAATGATTCAGAGTAACCAACATTGGGAAATTGAAAGCTTCCTTTCTTTGAGACAGGGCTCGAGGGCCAGATGTGTTACAATTTCCGCAGAGCAGGGAGACGATTCAGGGTAGCAGAGAGAAGTGAGGCAACCTGAAGAACGGTACGCTGTTCCTTTCAGTTTTATTTGTTTGCCACAGGGAATACAAACAATTCATTTGCATCGATCAATCTCGCAGGTGAATAATCTTAAGTAAAAATATGGTAATCAGTAAGTTAAATGAGACTTCATTTATTAGCTGTAAATTGGACAAATATTGAGCCCACATGCCCCTGGATGAGACAAGACTTCCATTTCCTGATAAAATGTACCACCTCTCGATAAATTAGGTGCATGATTTTTAAATGCTGCTTAAGTTTGCAACTTTTCCTTTGAATGATTTGAAGAGATTCCTACCAAACAGATTCAAATCCTCTGCAGATACACTCAGAACCATATCATACCAGATCACAGGAGAATTAATATCTGAAGAGGCAGTTCCCTGCTTACTGTTATTAATTTCTTGCTGTGCAGTCTGTATAAGAAAAAATAAACACAGATACAGCAGGAAATAAAAATATCTAGGCTGTATTTGTATTGAAAAAGTAGGTCTTGATCAAATTTGATGACTTTTCAATCAGGTCTCCTTTTAAAGATTCGTTCTTGTGCCCCTGTGGCCCCAGGGTCAGCACTGGGAGGGAGCAGCTCAGCAATTCCTCCATGAAGCAAATCAGCTGTGACTGTTCAAATGATCTTTTATTAGTAAGCGGCTGCCTCTGTGTGTTATATTCAGATAGGGGTGCAGCACTGAAAAGTAGATGACTGAGAGTGACTGAAAGTTTTCTGCTGGACCATCATCACTGGATAGATAACCACCCCACCTCAGTTCAGTGCATTTCAATAAGTGGATAGCGTATCTACCTTATTTTCCTCAACTGGAAACTCACACAGAAGACCTCCCCACACATACCTTCCTTTCACCAAACAATGCTGAGCATGCAGACCATGATGATGAATAATACACAAGGAGATAATCTGAAAACAAACATTAGGAATACTCTCGTATACACTGGCGACACACGCCAGAGCAGCTCCTGGTATGTGGGTAGAGGTGAGCGCAGGCGAGCGCATCTGCAAGTAAATGAGACGACTACAAACAGGCAGCATGCGATAAAAAAAAAAATCTATGTCAAAGCTTCACCCCGGAGTCAGTGAAACATAACGAATATGATGCACATAATGACTGACACGACAATCTCTGCTGGAATCTGCGAGCACAGCCATGCAGATAGAGAGATAGCGCTCGGTGCAAGGAGGCTCTTACATTCATTACCATGGACAACAGTTCGCTTACAGCTAGTTTGTCTTTGTGCTGCGATCATACCGGGTCTACTCCGCTGCAACATATGAATCCATCCGCTCTGATGTAGGCCAATAAATGCATGCTGTAGAGTCGAAGACGCCAAATAATTCTGCTACCGGAGAGGAATACTTTAGCAACACGGTCAGATAGATCACTGTCCACAAAAGGGCACACGTCCCACATGCGTGCTGTGGCAGTGGGGCACTCTGAAAACAATGTGCTTTTCTGTGATAGAAACATCAGCACGGAAAAACTCTGGAGAGCTCCGGGTCTATCTCTCTCTTTCTCTCGCAGTCACCATAATGAGAGCATGGCACCCGGCTCTCAGGTGATGCAGCCTGAAAGACGAGGCACTGGTCACAATTTTTGGAGGGGAGATGGAAGACAGATGTTGGGTGGGTGGGTGGGGGGGCGTTTAAGAGATGGGACCACTTCCACCAGTGACACAATGTGGACAGTGTGTCATCTCCGTCTGATAAGCTAAGTCAACATCACACAGAAGAGAACAAAACAAACACAACTCATCACCTGCATACAAAAAGTCTGCATGTGGACAACTAATCAATTCCACTGATAACGGAGGAAAAGGCTGCTGTGAGTTACAAACAAGAGGGCAGGGTGAGCTAACTTCATCTACATGGTCCTGCCGGAGTGTCCACAAAAAAAGGGGGCAAACATATTCAACTCCACTGACCACCTCCACCTCCTCCTCCAGCTCCCTGCGCAGCGGAGTCTCCGCGGAGCCCGTCTCGCACCGCTCCACTCCCGGCGGTTAGAACATGTCGAGGCGGGCTTCTGTAATCTAACCGTTGGACTGCTCCCGTCTCTCGTATCGGCCTGACTGACTGAACCGCTCCGGCGTTGTTATAAAATGACCCCACCGAGCCTCTCCTCTCCTCTCTCCTTCAAAAAAAGACTCCCCCTCTCTCTCCCTCTCCCGAGCTAACAAGCAGGCGAGATGAGGAAGATGTCTATTGACACAAACAGTTACAAACCAGCTCGTCCAGACGGCATGTGAACGACGAACCAGGTACGGCTCGGATACGGCCGTGTCCAGCCTTTCGCCTCTCTGCCGACCGCGGCTGCTGCTCACTAATCTCGACGGTTTTCGGTTCTAAAAGTCCGGGGAGGGGAGGGCGGAGAGGGGCGGGAGGGAGAGGAGGAAGAGGAGGGGAGGAGGGGGGTTCGTCAAGACAGTCCGTTTCGTATCGCCAGTCTCCAGTCTGGTGGGAGAGTGAGAGAGAGGGAAAGAGGGGCAGAAGGGTGCTCGGTGACAACCATGGGAGATGTAGTGCTCGGCTATCCACGCCCAGGATTAGACGCTGGAGAGGCTGGGAGGGGTAAGGACTGCAGGTACCGGCATGCAACGCGAGCTCCAGCCGCTCAAGGGGAATGGGGAGGGAAAGGGTCGCGACCAAAGAGTGTAACGGTGCGCTAAACTGAAAAAGCTTATCAGGGTAACGAAGTAATAAAGTGTATTTCCTTCGAGTATCACTCCGCGGATATTTGAGGGTGAGGTCAATTAACAGAGTCAGGCCACAGGGTGAGAAGTGCTATAAGAATTACCAAAAAACGTTAAGAGAAAATCATAAATAAAAGAGAGTTTAGGAGAGGTTTGGGTCTGTTGCAGAGGATTTAACACGAGGAAGAGAGAGAAGAGCTGCTGGAGGCTGTGAGCTGCAGGCTGGTGGTGCAGCTTCAGGAAGAAGATGGGGGAAACACTAATCCCTCCTCTGCTGCTGCTGTGTGGAGGATTTCCAAACACAAAACTAACCCTTAGACATGTTATCTCTCAATCACAACAAGTTTTGGTCATTAAAGTGGATGCCAAGAGAGTATGTTCACAAACACCTGCCTGGATTTAATCTGAAATACAAAACAAATTCTCAAAGACCAACAGTTCGTTCTTTACAACAATTCTTGTCCTTATCCTATCAGCAAATCTAGCCTGTGAGCTTATTTTCACTTTACTGTACAGACCACAGAGCATATGAAACTGCGTTCCCTTTTATTGTGGCTGTTAACACCGAAAATCCACAATCAACTCACAAAAAGCAACACACGCAGAGATGTAACAACCTCGCACAACTAGAATCAAGCTGATCAACCTTATCGTGGTCCTTATGACTGACTGTCACCTACTTTTATCCCACCTGTAGGTCTATACAAAACCAAATAATAGTAAAGTTTATTCTGGCTTTAGCTCAGGCCTGAGGTTTGACAGTCTGCATGAATTCTGTCATCAGTAGACAAAAAAAGAAAGCTGCTCATTCTGCAATGTTTCTTCTCTTTGCTGTCCTTCATTTCTTGCAGTGCCATGTGTCAAAATCACACTTCCTGTTGGTATCAGGTCAGGTTTTAACTGGATTAAGACACTTATTACAGAGGAGTGGGTTTAAGTTGAGCTGCGAGCAAAACGACAATCCAGTAAAAAGACTATCAAGATGACCAACAATTGCTTAAAAACAAGTCACTTTAACCTGTAATGAAATAACCACAGAAGCTCACAGTGCGAAGCCAATATTTTTTCGAAATGCAGACACACACTGAAGATACAACAGCTCCAACAGGACCCATAAAGGACTGTTTTTGGATGCATTTACATCACTTGTGATAGATCAAATTTAAAAGCACTTTTAAACCTAACTTTCTCTTTAAACATGAGCATTGTGCACACCGTTTAAATGCTCTTAAGCAAACATAAAAGTCCTGAGAAGAACATGAGGACCAAGAGTTCATGTTTAAGTTGTCTGAAGACTTGTTATTTTTATTTTAACTTTAGCCCTTAAATCCAAAGCAGTATCAAGATGACCGACAATTGCTTAAAGACACAAGTCACTTTAACCTGAAATGAAATAACCACACAAATACGAAGCGAATTATTTTTTTAAACGCAGACACACTGAAGATACAACAGCTCCAACAGGACCTATGACAACTGTTTTTGGATGCGTTTACATCACTTGTAATAGATCAAATTTAAAAGCACTTTTAAACCTAACTTTCTCTTTTAACATGAGCATTGTGCACACAGTTTAGATGCATTGAAGCGAACACAAAAGTCCTGAGAAGACCATGAAAACCAAGAGTTTATCCTAACTTTAGCCCTTCAATCCTGAGCAGTATCAAGATGACCGCCATTTGCTTAAAGACAAAAGCCACCTTAACCTGTAAAGAAATAACCACACAAATAACCCCTGAAGATCATTATTTTTCCTAAACGCAGATACACTGAAGATACAACAGCTTCAACTGCTCTATAAGGACTGTTTTGGATGCGTTTACATCACTTGTAATAGATCAAATTTAAAACTACTTTAAAACCTAACCTGCTCTTTAAACATGAGCATTGTGCACACAGTTTAAATGCTTTGAAGCGAACACAAAAGTCCTGAGAAGAACATGAAAACCAAGAGTTTAGTTTAACTTTAGCCCTTAAATCCAAAGCAGTATCAAGATGACCGACAATTGCACAAGTCACTTTAACCTGAAATGAAATAACCACACAAATAATCCCAGAAGCTAATTATTTTTTTAAACGCAGAAACACACTAACGATACAACAGCTCAAACAGGACCTGTGACTAGGACTGTTTTGGATGCATTTACATCACTACTTATAAAACCTAACTTTCTCTTAAAACGTGTGAAATATGAGCATTGTGCACACAGTTTAAATGCTGATTAAGTCCTGAGAAGAACATGAGGACCAAGAGTTCATGATTGAAGTAGTTAGATGAATGACAACACATCTACAATGTCCAATCACACAAAGACAGGCAAAAGTTTGCAGCATCAAATCCGTCCCTCAGGGGGTTTCAGCACTTTCTGATCCTCCCTCAAAGATGAACATCTATTTCTCTCAGTTATTCCCTAATCACATTTGGACACTGTGTTTAAGCACTACAGGTTACCCTGCTCTGTAATTAGGCCACTTGCCTTACCTGAATCCTGAAAACAGCGCAGGCCTGCTGTTTACAAGGGTATCCACTCCTCTAGGCCAACAAATTTCCTACTTTTCTCAACACTTGTGGTGGTGGTGGTGAGGAAATGACCGTACACTCTGAGAAACGCACATACACACACTGTGGAGCGAAGCTGATGTCGTCGTGTGACTCAAAGAGTTTTGTTTACCACCGTGCACGACCCGTGTCTGTGCAGGACAAGCGATCCTGTCCGTCCGCAGAGAGCAGTCCGTGTCTGAACGAGCTCCAACTGTTTCGCTGCTCGTCTATCGCGGAGAGGATCGGTGTGAGTGTGAGTGTGTGCGTGTATATGAGAGAGAGAGAGAGAGAGCCTGTAACATGCCCTTCGCCATTCGCTCAGTAATGGCTGCGTGCAGGCAAGCCAAATCGTTGACAGATGGCCAAACGTGAAATTGGGAAACCAGAAAAACGCCGATCAGTTACGAAAAAGAGGAACGGCGTGGTGATCCGCGTCGGCGTGGAGAAGCGGGAGTAGCACAAAGTGGGCAGCTGACACATCGCATTGTGTCTGAGCCGGGGGTAACCCGGAGACCTCAACGACCGCGCAGGAGCTATCCCGGTAGTGACCGGCTGCTCGGGGCTTCACCAATTATAGACGAGTTTTTCTTCACGGGCTCCTGTGCGTGAAGCAGTGGGGTTACACTCAAACTTATTATGCGTGCATTTATAAAACCCCTTCTCTCAAGCGGGGATGTGGTGTTCCGCACATGCACTATGACAACTGCGATAGCACACATGAAGAAGGCACGTTGTTTATTTCGAAGGCCTGATTGTGTGTTTTTTTAAAAGAGCATGTCGTCTCCAAAGTGAGCTTCCACGGTCATCTATCTGAGAGTCACGCTGGAGATTATCGACCCTGTTTAGGCCGCCATGGTTTACGGCGACGAGGATGTCCCGTCTAAGTTGGTGGTTCACCTGGTCAATACTGAATGTCGAGGCTGGGAGGCGGCGAAGGGGGGTTGAACGCTGAGTGAAACATCAAGCGCATTTTTCTTCCATTTTGCTCCAAGTAACGCATTTTCCCCTGCCATAAATAAACGCGAGGCGGGATGGCAGCCGATCACAGGAACAGAGGAGGGTGATGTTCTTGTTTGCCAGGTTAATGGATGGCCCGATGCGCCGTCCACATGATGTTAAATATGTGTCTGAAACGAAAACGCATCACTTCGTAGGATATAGTTACCGTGTCAGCGTTTGGACGGTTCTACCGCATCCACAGCAGCCACGCATGGACAGCAGACCCAAGTATGTCATCTCGAAACACAACTTGTCTTGTCCATACATGTGACACGATCCTACATAATGCCGAGGGTGAACAGCGAGACGCCACCGCAACTACTGCTGCTCCTGCAAGACACCGACAACTCGAAAATACAGATATCCAGGTCAAAGTTTGGCAGAGTTTTACTCGCCCTCAATAGCGTTGTGCAATGCCCCCTTTAATGCCCCCTGCTCGCCCGTAACGCCTTTGTTATTAGTAATCGCATGGTATTGCACCGTCTTACCTTGCGCTCCGAGCTGTCTACAGTCACAAAGCCTGCACACAGCGCAACAAGCTATTGTTGTCTGCACGGAGTCTTCCGTGTGGGGCCAGGGATGTGATTTTCAAGTAGAATGAATACAGTATGCAATTTTGGCTTGTCCTCGCGATCTTCCCTTATTGCCAGTTTTCGGTCTGCAGCAGCTGGAGATGAAAATCGCGCACCCTGGGTCCTAGCGCCGGGTAAAGCCCTACAGGTGAATAACAAACACGCTGCTGCTCGCTGGGATTCAATCTTTAATTGAAGGGGACCTCACTGGAGTCAGATAAATATACATCTTACAGCTGGCTGTCTCGCCTTGTTTACCCTAAAGATTTAACAAATATCAGACAATCTGCTCGGAGGACTCTGCAGAAAACTGTGAAATATTCTCAGATTGTAGTCAAGTCACACTGACCACACACCAGTGGAGTTTATCATGCTGACCTGTTCTCACACTGTTTCTTCATTGTGAAGCCCAATTTATCCTGGCACAGCACAGACTACAGTTTAACTGGGACAGCAGGGGACAAAAAATAAAAGTGCTTAAAATGGAGTGTTGACAATAAGTTAAAGCTCCTATGAAGAGGGATAGACTGAGGTTCTTACTGGAGCCTTTTCATGACAAAAAATTATATAAGATCATTAGCAACAAGATGGACTTTTAAAACTGTTTTTTTAAATCTGACACTGGTGCGAGAGGGTCAGCATCAATCAAGCAGCTCAAGAAACAGCTCTGTGTTTATATTCTCGACAGAAAATATTAACAATAAATGAAATATGCCTTTGTAATGCTGCACTACTGCCTTATGGTCATGTTTATAGACTGTTTTAATTCATTTTTTATTTAGTGTAAATATTGTTACAGTATTTGTATTCATAGAATGTGTACTGTGTTTCACTGGTGCTGTCTCTGGGTTTTTTTTATTTTCCTCTGGGATTAATGAAGTATCTATCTATCTATCTATCTATCTATCTATCTATCTATCTATCTATCTATCTATCTACATTTGACAGTCAAAAGTCAGCAGAATGAGATTTTTTTTTTTTAAATAAAACGACATAAGCCGCTGCTTTGTCCACAGGGGGCGCCAAATTGGCTAAACCCATAGACTGTCTGTAGAATGGACAGTGATCAGTGAAGCCACTCCGAGAACAGCACCCTCTGTTGACAGGCTGCAGTATAGGTCATAAATCCCGCCTCCGCCAGCAAAGTTTATGGGGCTGTGGATAAACTTTAGAAATTTATTACACAGAACATACATTTTTCTCTCCCCTGCTTGTGATGTTGACATGTAGTTATTGTAAGACTGGTTTGTGCTCAAGTCCTCAAAAGTTATTAGGGGGTTCATGTTTTCTATGATTGACACATTATGCAGCCTATGGGCGTACAAGGATTACGTAGCTCACCCGGGGAATACGCTGTTTGAGCCGAGCGTCATCACAGCGACTCTCGGCGATTCTCCCACCGAATGCGTACAATGCTACTGCGCAATGTTGGTTTCAGGAAATGGAAAAAAAATGCGGAATTATCGAGAGCTTTTTAGCTTCAAATCTGTATACCGGTGGAAGGTGGAACCAAGTTGTCCATAGTATATACAGTCTATAGCTCAACCCAAAAGTTCCTCACAGACCCTCCTTTATTGAGGTTAAAATAAAGCAAAAGTTTATTACCAGACTAGCTGTATGGACCTACAGGGCAAAGATTCAGGGCCAGCATGTCACAAAGAGAACAACAACACTTCAGCCTCTGTTTTGGCAACTGCCGTCAACATGTCTTGTTCAAAAGTCAAAGACCCGAATGATTTAATCCTATTTTTAAAGATTTTTTCTCTATACGTTTCCAATCAAGACTGAAATACTTTTTTTGCTGCAGTTGCATAGATACAAAGTTATGTTTTTGAAGGTCAAGCAATTTATGTGTTTGACAGCTGACTGATTTAGTTTTCAGATAAAATAACTTGCATCACACTCAGGGATATCTTGGTGCTTTCCAGAATGGCCTTGATGGATGAATCATTGCTGTGAACATGTATGTCAACATTAGCCAATTGCTGATAAATGGATTTTAAAGGACAGAACAGAGGTGGGTCAGAGGTAACCCTATCAGGGTGAGAAGGTGAAGTTTGAGAGTGAAGGTCGCTAAATGTCAAATTATCGAAGATATCCATAGTTAGCTGAGACTTAGCTTTTGGAAGTTCTATGAGACTTATTGCACACCTGAGTCTAACAGCCAATAGCATGTTCAAAGTAATTCAAAGTAAAGCACCTCTTTCTTCTCGACACTTCACTGTCTTCTCTGCAGAGAGAGGCCAATAACAATATTGACTATCATATGCAAGCTGCCACTCCCTACGTATTATTACAGAAAAAAAGGTGCAAAGAGATGATGAAGAAAAAGAGTGACTGTCAAATAATAAATACTATGATAAATGCTGAAAGTTCTGAAAATGACAGCCTATAGATATTGATGTATTCACATACTGATGCCAAGAATTACTATATCATTTTTAAGAAGGGTCCAATATTGTCAAAAGTTCATCAGTATGGGTATGGAGGTAATATGGATGTGACTTTGCGCAAGAGGTGAGGTACAACCTACATTTGTCTTGAGTCTGTTAAGGGGATGACACATAAAAATAGAAAACCAAATGCACTAATGGGCATTTAAGGGTCACCAATTAACCTAACCAGCATTTCTCCGAAATATAGGAGGAACTAGAAATCAACCGGGAGAATACACCTGCACAGAAAGGCTCCAGTCCGCTGATATGGTACTTTATGTCAATAACTCCATCTATAAGTAAGTAGTGACAAGTTTATTTTTCCACATGTTCCAAACAAATCTTAGTGCAGTTGCTTTGAAAATCCCACAAAGGTTGGTCTATACCTGTTATAATATTTCGTGATGCATCTCATAGTGTTTTGCATAATATTCCAGGAGAGGTGAGTAAGTGTAGATGTGCGGTGCAGAAAGCTTTAGTCAGGAGTTAGACAGCCTCTCTTTATTTCCTGTGTGAATGAAATTTTGAAGGTCAGGTGCAAACCAGAAAAAGGTGTTAAAAAAGGTAGAAAATGAGCAAAGTCAGAGATAAGGTCTGTGGCTTCAGACATGGGTGTATTTGGATGAAAATCTCATAATAAGTTGGAGTAAAACAATCTTTAAATGATTCAGTGTATCTATAGCTAAACGTAAACTGTCTCTCATTACTGAATTGCTTCTTATCTCACTTTTGGATTGTAGATTATCCTGTTGTTGATGTGCTCATGTACAGTAAACAGATCAGAAACAGCTTTACTCGTTCTCCTGGCAACATGATATACAAACCAAACAAAACAAACAACACGTTACTGAAGTACAAATACTGAAGGTGGAAGAAACACTGAAGCACAAACAAGTCTAATTAACACCAGTGACATAGAAAGTGCAGAAACCTGAAAAATTCAAATTTTCTTTGTGGAATTCTTTCAGCGTTATTACACACACACAAAGATGCACACACAAACACACTCCACAAGCTTGAGATCAGGAAATCCTGGAAATTTATAAGGCTTTTAAAATTTCCTTTAACCAGTGATCAAATCGCAGCTGCTGTGAGTGAGTTCCAGACTTAGATACAGGCTCAAGACTTAACCAGGAAGTTTTGAGCATATTGGAGGAGGTACGCAGTGGGTCAAGCAAAGGTAGACCCCCCTCAGTGCAAACAGTTTACAGCTAGTTTGGTCTCTCTGAAGCTCATAGTGATCTGAGACGGCTGAACTCTGATCCCTATGCCTCAAGAGGTAATACAGGAGCCGTTTACCTGTCTGGTTCTTTGAAGGCTCTGACACAGAAACACTGTCAGAGACACAACAGCACACATCAGACTGACAAAGACAAGAGTCACAACCAAAGTACATTATATAGGACAGCTATATCCTCTGATGTGGTGTCAGGGCCATCACACATTGAAGAAACTGTGAGAATGAATTATGCAATATTCTTTCTCAGAACAACTGCAGTCTCTGAATCTTGACGGGTCACTTAACTAGGAACACTGATCTACATTTTCTCTTGTGCAGTCATGGAGATTTCAGGTTTGTGCCTCTGACATTTAAACACATCCCAAAATGATTAACTATCCAGCAACAATTCCCTTCAGTTACTCTGGATAATCTACAGACCTCACTCTGTGAGATTTGGAAATTCTGCTCTTCCTACTTGAGGAACAGACTCGTGGAAAATGTTGACAGTGAGGTCTGTGGATTATCCTGAGTAACTGGGACACTGCGGCTGACTTTTTTGAAATCTGACTTTCAAACTTTTAGCAGCACAAAAACTGTGCTCACCCTTGTTTTATGGAAATGATCTTAGAAGTGTCAGACAGGGATATTTGAAAATATGAACTTCAATCAAAATCAGCTGCAAAACTTAGAACTGGTTGATGAACGATGCAACTGTTTTGCCATGTTCCTAATGAGATCTGTTTCCCACCCATGTATATTTGTGGCCACCTATTACTGCCGACCACTTCTACGTTTCCTTTTTTTTCCAATATGAGATTGGTCATCACAATAAATGATACTCCTTCCTATGTAGGGTTTGATGAGTGACACATACTCTGCAGGTAATCAGGGAGAGAGAGAGGTCCTTACTTAAATGAGATGTGACATCTCCTGTTAACTATGAACCCTTTCATTCTGATGTTTTCAACGTTATATTTGGCAGGATCTTAATTTTAGATCGTTGCTAAGCAAATCGAGCTTGCAATTGCAACGTCATTAGTAAGACTCGTTCATATACCAGTCGCCTGTTGTGAGAATAGTAAATCAGGTAAATTATTATGAAATGCAAAACTGAGCATCTTAACAAACCCACTGCTGATCGGGTGGGTTGTGTGGGGGGTGGGCATAAAAGAATGGAGCTGGATGTAAGGTTGGAAAGTTGAAGAAGTAAGTGAACACAGGCAGTAACATAAGGAGGTAGTCAAGGGTGTACGTATTTCCACGCCCTCCACCCCCACCACCACTTATACAGCCTCATTCTGTGGAGAACACTGCAAAAGGTTCATACTATGGATGCAACTGAAATAGGAACTATATGCTTCCTATGTCAACAGATGCTCTGCACACCAGCATTTCAGCAACATCTATACAGTTATTGGACTCACAAGTGCAAGCAAGAAGAGGGCCATCATTACAGGCTGTTAAACAGAGGAAACACTGCACAGTTTAAAGTCTCACTGTACCTCAATTTAGTCACAAAGACCTTACATGAACAGAAAGAGAAAGAGGTGTCTGTCAAACAAAAACAACTATTTCTGTCTCCATGTACAAGATAAAGCAAGACCAGAAGTGGGCGTGGTTTAGACAGTCCACCGGAGGGCGTTGTGAGAAACTTTTTAGAGAAACTTTTTATTATAGCGCCCCCTCTGGGTGAAGATATAACTCATAGTAAGGATATCCCAATCAGCCCCTTATCATCTTACCCCCCTATGTGGATAAGATTTTAGATTATTGAGTAACTGCCAATGTACAAAGTCTTTTTCCAACATTCATATTTGTCAGAAATATCTGTTTTTTGTTGTGGTTGTTACGATCTCATATTTGATTAATTTGAGGCAGAACAAGCTTATACCATGTAATGGGCACATTATTTACTGGACTTTACGGCTTTTATATCTGGGATCCACCAAAGTCAAGACTGAGTAAAGTGGATCAGTCTTGACTCTGGACTGTTGTTTTCACCCTGAGCCCATTGGTTCCCTGTCAGCTAAACCTGGAGTGTTCTGTTGCATGTTTCTGCCTGAATGGCATGTCAAATTGGTTGTATTGAACACAGCTCTACCGCTACTGCCACATACTGCATACATTTCAAGAAGTGGGTTTTGCACTGTTTTCTTTTCCCCTTTAAAACTATTTCCATGCTGCTGACGTCTTAACCATTGGATCCCTCAGTTTAGCACAGCTGGTGTAAAAAGTGAAAGGATCAGCTCAAATTACTAATACCAGATCAACTGAAAATGGCCAGATGGGCTCTGATCTGATTGTTGTGATCAGGATGAGGATACTCTTATCCTACGTTAATGACAATTTAGTATTTTGTAACAAAAATTATCTTCCTGATTTCTTTTCGCTGTCAAACGTATCATTCATGGTAAACAGTTACTTTTGGAAATGTAAGGAAAGGTTGTGTCTTCCGCCGACCGTTAACTGTTAATTGCTTATGGTCTTATTCGTAGGTAATAATGCTGCGTTTGAGGTACCTCTGAAGTCAGAAGTCCAAGCTGAAAATGACGTCACACCCGAGTTCCCAGCGTTTCAGTAACCAAGTTGGAAAAAGCAAAATCGGAGGTGGAAACAAGATGGCTACATCTATGAAGATTATGTTAGCGCTTGCCTTGTCCGAATATAAGACAAGCGCTAAAATGACTTTCGGAGATTTAGCCATCTTGTTTCAGGCCTCCGATTTTTTCTTTTTTCCGACCTGGTAACTGAAAAGCTGGGAACTCGGGTGTGACGTCATTTTCAGCTCTGACATCTGACTTCCAAGGTAACTCGAACGCAGCATTAAGGACATCAGTATCAATTTCGGTCTATTTTGTAACCATCTAAATATTTCTCACAGGGGCTTTAAATCAAGCAGCTATTGTCAGACCATATATTCACTGAAATTACTTATCAATACTGGAACATCATTAAAGCTCCAAGGAGAAGTTTTAAGATGTTGATAAAAAGACTGACATTCACATTTATGTGTTTTATGACACTAAAGAAGGAGACAAGACCATCAGCGTCAAGAGAGAAAATTTCTGTAAACTAATTTTTTGGGCCTGAGACCAGCGTGAGGGGGTTGGTGTCAGCCAAGCAGCTAAAGACTCAGTCATGTCTCTACAGTTTTCCCATAGAATATTCACTACGAACTTGGACAGTAAAAGATCAGTAACATGAGATTTCTTTGTCAAAAAATAACAACTGTCAACAGGGGGCACCAAAGTTGACCCAGAGCAGAAGTTCCTTAACTAACATGAATAATTTCCCTACATCCACACACTTATCTCTCTTTCTCTCTCCTTTTAATTATCAATTTCTATCCAACTACAGAACACATGCTCCATTTGGATGAATGTATGTGTGACATTCTGATGCCAAACAAGACTTTTGTCCCCCCCAGCTCCCAACTGTCTCAGTGAGGGCAACATATTCAGAACGAACTGACAACTTTTTAATTGTATGAAGTGAATGTTATGACAAGCGAAATCAAAGTGCTATATTATCTTGCTGCAATTCACAATGATATTAATCAAATCCTTTTGAAGAAGCATAATGGATGACACACAGATATGTCAATCATGTTAGTGAATAACTATCAGTTTGGTGCAGAAAAACATATAATTTTCTGACATAATATTGGCGCTTTTAACAATAACACATCCAGTTACAAAGAGAGTCTGCACTGGCTTCCACTAAGCAAGGCAGGCAACACACTTTACACACTGGAGAGTGAGATGACTGACTGAAGCTCAAATGATCCAAAGATCAATAGCCAAATGGATGGACACACTTAAATATGGTCATATAGTTTATTTACAACAAGTAACTAAATTCGCTGCAATCTCCTAAACAGTGTAAAAATGAGCGATGCTTTCTGTTTCACCATGACACAAACGGAACAGATCCACTCATAAAAAATAAATGAAAAAAATTCCGGTGGGAAACTTTGACATCGTGTTTAACACTATTCATCTGACTGACAGACAAGGAACTACAACCTCAGCAGGTGCTCACAAAGGAAATAAAAGGAAAACTGCAAGTAAAAATGGTTGACAGCTACACAAAGCATTTTCCTAATAGAGATCGCCTTTACTGAACATTTTATGAGAGTGAAAAAAAGAGAATTGAACGTGTTTAGACTTCAAGGACATACACAATGTGTTTTTGTTCAGAATTAATGAATGTGAACATGGCTTTTGTACCAGAGCACCTTTAACTTGCAGTGTGGAAATTCAGTCTTCCCTTTCCACTCAAACTATCTAAAACATTGTCAATTTGTTTTGTTATGGCATATGACTTTACAGTGGGAAAGCTTCCCTGTGGTTACATGCATTTGTCTTGCCATAGATTACCTGTTTTGTTGTGACTATAATCCTTTCTCTGAGGACCTTGGTTTTCTTTTTCTCTTCTTCACACTTCCAGTTGCTGTAGCCTACTCTGATTCAACTACTGGTTTCACTACAGGTCAGGTGAAAACCTGTCCCCCTCAAACACCAGATGTAAACTCCTAAAATTCCTGTATACTGGGGGAGATTTATTTGATCAATTATGGTTTAACAAGCATTTGCTGAACTAGCTTTATGGCTTTTCTATTGAGTTCTAATGAGTGGCAGGCCAGACATCTCGTAAGTTTTTTTTAATTAAATTCTATGCTCAGTATAATCTAAGACACAAGATGAAAGCAACAGATTTGCTGCAAAAATCAGCAAGAACACTGTGTAACAAAGAATGGACTCTGGTTTCATTAAAACACCAACAAGATCATTTTACTCTGTAAAAAATCTATGTCAAAAGCTATGTAAAAATATGACAGATAAACGTTGTAGTCTTTTAAGAGGAATTTTGAGTGAGGAAAGAAAACTAAATTTTGCATCAGTAATCTGACAGGAGCCACAAGCACAACTAGAATATGATATGACAAGATACAATACACTACATTATGACATGATACACTATGATATATTCTGAGACGATAAATCATACAATAGGATACAATACAATTCAATACAATGTGATACGATACAATATGACACAACACAAGATGATGTGGTTCAATACAAGATATATTACAACCCAGTATGATATGTTGAGACACAAAACAATAAAATAAGATACGATTTGACACATGTTAAGATACAATACAATATTATACAGCACAATACAATATAAGATATGATACAATATGATACAATGCAATATGATATGGTATTACATTTAAAGTCAAATTCAACAACCTCAAAAGTCTACTCCGGGCATCATGACATGAGATTTTTAATTGATAAGGCAGTATTAGATATTGACATAAATATTGATGAGTCATCATAATTATTGTGAAAAATTCCTGCTATCACACATTCACACCTATGCTCACAGTCACATGCGTGCACACACATTATGTGTCAGGCTACCTCAAAGTTAGTGGCATGGACAGGGCACAATTAATTTGATTCTGCCCACATATGAATCTGTGTGTCACGTGGCAAAAGGGATCTAAAATGCAGATTCAAAAAATATTTCAAAAATAAGGGTTTCAAAGGGAAAAAAAATACTTTACAAGTGCAATAAAAAACTGCAAAAACCAATAACACAAGAAGCAGGAAAAAAAAACACTGAAGCACTGAAAATGGACAGGTAAGTAAGTAACAAAAGCGGGAAAACTAAGGAAGTACAACCAGACTTAAGACACAAGGACTGACTATTACAAAATAAAACAGGAAACACTAAAAACTGAACTAAGAAACAAAAAACAGTAAAACGCAGGAACAGGAACATAAGAAATATGAATACAGGGGAACAAGAACAACAAGGAACAGAGACACTAGGAAAAATACACAGAAAATAAAACTAATTTACAAACACAGGAACAAACTAAACCAACAAGAACATATCATGACGCTGTGTAGTAGTGTTTCAACTCTGAACCAGTGAGAAAACAAGCTCTGGCTGCCTCTCAAGGTGTGCTATTGTACTCCACATGATAAATAGATGCAGGTGTCATCCCCACATTTTCTAACGCACGCCTTACTGCCTTTCCATCACTGGCACCTCAGGAAGCTAGAGGGCTCCAATCAGAGTGACTAAATATGGAAGATGGTGCTGAGGAAGAAGATAGCAAACCCACTACAGGTAAAATAAAGACAGTCTGACATTTAGAGACACTGGGAAAGTCTGCAGAAGTTGCTTAATCTGTGCTCCAACAGTAATACACCCAAACTTCAACACAAATATAAACTAAGCTTGAGTATCTCAAAGACAGACTTGGCTGGGGAGTTGAGACTGTGATGCTTCCTATTCAGTTTTGAACTCTTGACATTTGCTTTTAAAGCAGAGACTACAGCACATACACTGGCAAATACTACTGATAGAATAGCAATTTTTTCCTGTAAATGTGATACAGCATGCAGTTCAAACACAAACTATTTTTGTAAGGGAATGTAGCTTAAGATGCAGAGGTCAGCTGTATTACCTCTCCAAATTCTAGACTTTATTGTTGGCTTACTCGTCCAATATTGTCTGATGATGGGTGAGAAAATGTTGTTTTGATGTAGAAACTAAACACTCATTTTAGATGGCTCATTAACAGTTTACAGCCCCTAATATTTCTCAGTAACTGATGCTACTGTATGCTTGAGTATGTATTAATTTTCCAAACAAAGTAATATTTCATTACCATCATGACATTAAAGGGATATTCCGGCGTGAAATTAATTTAGGGTCAAACACACCATAACACCGAGTATAGACACCCCCTCCAGAGATGAATGTTGCCGACTGCTTGCTTTAGTAACGACCGCACGATAGCAATAGACAGCGATCAGAAGAGCCATCAACAAACCTCAACCAAAACGCCACTCTATAGCCACAAATAATGCTCAGAACAGCACCTAACTTCATCAACAGTACATATAGGGTTCTAACCATAGTACTAGCCACCAAACATCTTTTTAACTTTGCCTAATTTCTTTGGCAAAGAGACTAAACACAACTCACCTACTCTCTTCCAGCAGCCACTTGTTTGTAGCGAGACCTCAGGCCAGTCCATTACGGACTACAGTGGGGGGGACGCAGCTCTAGGAAGAACATTTATAAAGGGAAAGAAATATAATTAACATCTTGGTGATTTTCTATAGATCATCCAGGCAATCATCATGACATAAATCTAAATTAACAAAAATAAACATAAATTAACAGAATATCTCGTTTCATCAGTTTTGTATCTTCATCACCTGAAAACATACTGAAATTTTGGTTTGACATTTATTGCAGCATTATTTTCTAATCTCTCAAACAATAAATTAATTAATCCAGAAAATATTTTGTAAATTTGTTGATAATTCAATAATTCAGTTTCTGCTACATTTCCTTTAAAGTTTAATATTAAGTCTCACAGTCTAAGTCTCATGTAATGATACAAATCAACTACTTAGTGTCTAGAGGTGACTCGAGCAGGTAGGGTTGAGCAAATAGTGATTTCTTTAGTGGGTGAAACATCTTTTCAGATTTTTACTGTCTAAATCAGATATTTGAAAATGTACTGACCCACTTCCAATTTTAAGTAAGCCAAATGAGCTTTTTCATTGTGGTGGTTTCAGTGCACTTGAACTGCAGGCCGAAGAAAAAGATGGGTATCAAATGTGGTTCAGCGCAGGCAGCTCAGTTGCTGAGTGACTGTAGGATGTTAGCTTGTCTGTGTGATCAACCACAGTGACCGAGACCCGAGAGAGGGTTCAGCTCGCAAACGGAGCCGAAACAACAGCAGCTCAAACGGAAAGCGGGTCCGGTGTACGAGCTGAATGACCTACTGCGGGGACTGAGGCTGGTCGGCTTCTGAACGGCAGAGACCCAAAGCAACGAATGAGAAACCTCAAACTGGCGTTACGGGAATGTTCCGACAAAAAGGGCGTGGGTATTTAACGTTCCACTATGTAGCAAAGGATCAAAACGTTGACATAAACAGTTCTTATTACACAGATTTAAAGGTAAGTGATCTTCGGGAGCGTCATCAGGTTCCATAGTGTAGCGGTTATCACGTCTGCTTTACACGCAGAAGGTCCTGGGTTCGAGCCCCAGTGGAACCAATGAATGTTTTCTGCCTCAAGACTCATTTAACTTATTATCAATTGAGAAATACTTGGACTGTCAAAACAACAACAGCTTAAACACTGATCAAATCAAAATGTGGCTGTCATCACCAGCTAAAACAGGCTGACATCAGCAGAATGTGATGGATGGTTCCTTTATTGTAAGGTTGCAGCAGCACGAGTTTACTAAAACACTTAAGTCAGTTCCAGTTGCAGAGACCTGGGTACATGACACAAGTGGTACATATTGAAGCAGGCCCGGCAGCATGGGCGGGCATTGGGGGGCCGTGCCCGCCCACTGAGTCAGCTGTGCCCACCCTGGACTAAAAGCAAAATGTTCTATTAATTTGATTTGGGGTTTGTTTTTTCCCGTCAGAGTAGTCATCTTCAATTAATCCCATCTATCTTGACATGTCAATCAATCCAACCAATCCAATCGATCAAAAGCAACGTGTTGGCCACTTACAGGTAAAGGGGGGATGGGCCGCTTACTGTGTCAAAGGTCAAATATTCATAGACCAACTCAGCGCAGCGGAAGAAAGACTTGGCGGTTAGCATTGGCGTTCTATTAAAAATGGATATAAGTATGACAACCACTGACGGGAGCAAGCAGAAGCGTAATGTGAGCAAACAGAAGTTTACGAAGTGCTTTGACAAAAGTTGTAAAGCATAGAACATCAGCACATGGAAATAAAAACAAATAAAAAACAAAAGCTCAGTTAAAAATAAGGCCTCAGAATTGAAGGTCGAATTCATTTGTCACAAGGAACCCAGACTATACAAGAACCCTACAACATAAAATGAGACCACGAGGACCAAAATAAAAACAGAAAATAGGTAAGAAAAAGAAATGTAATAAAAAAGGGGGGGGGGGGGGGGGGGCAGAAAGCAGGAAACAGGATGGTAAATATAAAAAGACGATATTAGAAATGCTAATAGAATCATAACAAAATAATAATGATGGTAATAGTGATAAAATGGAATAACAAAAATGAGCAGGAAAAAAACAATAAAATATATAAGAGGCCTAAAAGGTTAAATAGGAAAAGATTATAAGTAAAACAAAGTAAGTCAAAATAAGATTGAGGTAAAAGAGATAAAAGAAAAAAGGGAAAAAAGTTCAATATCAAAGTAAAGATACATATTTTTAAATCTTTTATATAAGGTAGTTAAGTAAATGTGATGGGGGAGAAAATCTGTTTATGTTAGGAATAAACCTCTGTTTTTAATTCCCATCTACCCCATCTAAAGTCAGTGCCCCAGTTTAGCACAGAGAATGGGTTAATCTACTGGCTGCTTCACTTTGCAAATATGCTGTTCATGGAGAATGGGAAAGATGTCTCATTATTTAGACAACATTAATGTGATATCAGCCCTGTGAGAACCCATCAAAATATGGTCCAGACTGTGTCAAAACGCCATTAATCGGCCCAAGTGATTAAAAATGTACTCACCAAATCTCCAAATGCAGTAAACTTGAATCTTTCGACCAGAATATCCTCTTGTTTGAAGCGTAACTTTGTAGTTAAATTACGGGAAATCCCTTAAAATTACCTATTTTAACTGACTTTCACGTCAATAACAGGGGACAGCAGCGCCATCTATGTTCCGACCAACTTCTGCTTCCAAATGTAGTTCCTGTCTCACTGACAGTCACGTATTTTTAAGAAATTCAATCTATCTAAGTACAAAAGGCAAATACTGCCAACTGTTACGAGGTTAGAAAAGATAGATCATCTTGTATTTAAAAAATTGGCGTTTTCTAGTTTACACAACCGGATATTGTCTCTTTGTAGGATCCTGGTGTCACAGTCATTTGTGTCCCCTAAAATGGCGAACGTAGCTGCAGCTGCAGCCGCCGCAGCCGCTGCTGCCGCCGCGAACAGAGACCCAGCCGTTGACCGCTCATTACGCTCGGTGTTTGGTAAGTTCGGTATCGGTTCGTGCCACCGTATGAACAGCGGTGCCGTTTAGTTTCAATATAACTGTTGTATTAAACTGCTAATGAATAAACGGTTGCTAACGTGAGTAGCCAGCTACTGGCAACGAGGGAGCAAAGTTAGAGTGAGCCACCTGAGCATCGAAACAAAGCTTTCTAAACAATTTCAACGAGCTTTTGGTATATTAATATTTATTCTCATACACTTTAACTTCGCAGTGGGAAATATTCCGTATGAAGCCACCGAAGAACAGCTCAAAGACATCTTTTCTGAAGTCGGTCTTGTTGTCAGCTTCAGGTAAGTGAGACATGATCATTCATTCAATTATGTTAGCATTAGAGGACCCATCCTTAACACCCAAGACACAAGTGGTCAGTTCTTTTCCTTGATCTTTGATATTTGATGATTATTAACCTCGTAAAATTATTAAAACTATCTATTAATACGAGTAATTAATTGCATTGGATTTCATAAAAGCATTTATGCCCCTTTCTCTCCAGGTTAGTATATGACAGAGAGACAGGAAAGCCAAAGGGGTATGGCTTCTGTGAATACCAAGACCAGGAGACGGCCCTCAGTGCCATGAGAAACCTGAATGGAAGGGAGTTCAGTGGTCGGGCCCTCCGTGTTGACAATGCAGCCAGTGAGAAAAACAAGGAAGAACTCAAAAGTAAGTACTGGTTTGCCCCTGGATAATGTGCCTTTGGTATTATAAAGACTTTGTGCAAAGCTTCAGCTCTCTGATATTTTTTATCTTGTACAGGTTTGGGAACTGGAGCCCCCATCATTGAATCCCCTTATGGAGACAGCATCCAGCCAGAGGAAGCCCCAGAATCCATCAGCAGAGCTGTGGCTAGTCTGCCACCTGAGCAGATGTTTGAGCTGATGAAACAGATGAAGGTAGGCTTAGTTTTTTAATCAAAAGTTATTCAGTTCCGACTAAATTACTGTTAGTCTCCTTTTACTTTTTGAAGTAAGTTGATGTCTTGAGCACTGCCTCTGCTGCTTGTGGGGATTTTTGTGACCACACAAACTGTTTGCCTGAATTGACAACAAATTATTTGGCAGTAAATTTTAGTCAATAAAATGTATCCATTTCTTCTTAGGTTTTCCTTAAAAAGAGTTTAAAATCCCTTTAAAGTCTCAAAGAGTAGTGATAAGGTTTGATTTAAGTTTATATTTCTAAGACTGAATCTTTGTTGTTCACTCTACAGATCTTTGCTTGTTTTATTTTTGGGGTTAAGAGGCAGTTTCAAATGCACAGATTGTGCTGGTTAAACTAAGTTAAAGAAGTGTTCTTTTTTAGCTTTATGTTTTAGTAACAAAATAATGCTGTGAGAATGACTTTATTTTTGTCTCCTAGAACCTCCATTTTGTTCATAAATGTACATTTCTCCTGGTTGAGATTTGTTTACTTTGAAAGAAAAAGTATGTGGTGGCACAAAAACCCAGTTTTTGCTCTGGTACTAGAATTTTATGAAGTCCAGACTCTGTTGTTATGAATGATCCCTGCACCTGGTTCATCAGTGACAGAGCTGTATTTGGCTGAATTGATGTTTCAATCCTGCACAGTGGTTTAGTCTCTTCAAAAAAAACTAATAGCAGATGTAGTGTCTGTTTATGTAAATGTAAAGCATCTCACCACTTTGATAAAGGTTTTATCTTATTAAGAAGCCAAAGTAAAATTTCAAAAGTTTAAATACAAGTTATAATTGACAGCAACACTTAAGAGTGAAGTACCAAAGACAGCTAATGAGTGAATCTATTGAACCTAAAGTAATGAAGTTTTCTCTGAAGCCATGTGCTCAGATGGTGTTTGTAATGCAGTGTTGACCTCCAAACACTCCTCAAAAAATGTCTCCCTCACTTCCCGGTCATCAGCTGCTACTCTTCCTCTCCTTTCATTATCGGAAGCTGTGCCACACAGTATGTCTGTCTCAGCCCTGCAAGAGAATCCTTATCTCTGCACATCTGGCAGTCTGCTTCATTAAGCTCAAAGAAACCCCACACTGCAGACATTTTCCCTCTGACTAGGGGAGTGTTTTGTTGCACCCAAGCTTGTTTAGATAGGACAGCTCCATATGATACCACAGATATCCCAGCACGCCTTTTGTTTAATGTTTTGTGCTGACGCAGCTACTTTAGCTTGTTATGGGCATGAATCTGAATTATCAGTAAGAAGACAGGAACCACAGCGGTATGTCTCGCCCATCAGGATGTAATAGAAGCTCTCTTTTATGACAAAACATGTGAGTTTTCTGTTTTTTTCTCTGCCTAATTGACACAAGGACATTGGGGATTGACTTGCATCATGTTTGTGATTTATTTTTTCCTCCAGCTGTGTGTGCAGAACAGCCCTCAGGAGGCGAGGAACATGCTGCTGCAGAACCCTCAGCTTGCCTATGCTCTGCTGCAGGCCCAGGTGGTCATGAGGATTGTGGACCCTGAGATAGCCTTGGTGAGAGATAAATAGCTGCTTATCGTAAAATAAGCAAGGTTAAAACAATAAGCTGTGACTCAATTATCATAGGAACTAGATTCTTTTCTGAGCTTAGCCGCCTCATGTACCCCCTTCTATAGAAAATGCTTCATCGTCAAACTGCAGTCCAGCCTCTGATTCCTGCTGGCCAGGGTGGAGGAGCGCCGCCTGTTAATCCACCTGCTGCTCCGTCTAATGTGCCTGTGTCTCAGCCTCAGCCTGTCGTAAGTAGAACTGTTTTGCACTCTTTTAAAATTAAAGTAAGATTTCCTTTCTGTTCAATGGAGTAGCCGTGGAAAAGGCTGCAATATCACAGCTCTGATGCAGGTAATAAATGAATATTGATGCAAACATCGTCTGCTGCGGTGCTCTTTGTTAAGTGGCCAGCTGGAGCGTTCACTGAAACGGGATGTTTGAGTTAGTCCATTTTGTGGACTGCGGTAAAAAGGATGGGTGTTTGTTGGATAGAAGTTTAGTATAAACATAACATGTCTTAAAGGTGGGGTAGGCAGGATTCCATTAAAGAAGCATTTTTTTTTTGTGCTACAAAAAAGCTTTTAATATCAGTCAATCAGTCCGTGTCGTTAACGTGCCCAAACAAGGTTAGCGTGCTACAATATCGGACAGTAGAAACCAACCAGAAAGTACAGAAAATTGTCTGAATCCTCCTTTGGCCACGACTGCCGACACAAGCAAGATAATGAAATAAATACTAGAGACTCTGGCGGAATAACGGGCGCTTAAAATGGAGGTAGACCGGACAAGAGCTAGAAAGCCAGGTCAGCATAAAAGACTGGGACACTTCAGGATCTTCCAGACCCTGTAACCTTTCAGCTGGACAGGTAAACCACTTTAACAAAGTAAACCAAGTGTCTGTAACAGAAGTGTTTCTTGTCATACGGGACCTGCTGCATGTTGTAGTGCCGCTAAACTGTTGACCTCGGGTCCTGGACTATGTCACTTGATGCTAGTTGTAGAAGTCCTGCAAAGAATGTGTTTGCTGGTAGTCTGTTGGCATCTACAGTAGCACCAATGCTTTTTACTTTCATGTTAACTGGGCCCCATTTGTATTAATCTGAAGTATTTATCTGCATTATATCTGATTTGATTGAAACGATATGAGCGAGGATGAGCGTCTATTTGTGGGCAGGCCTTGCTAGAGCAGCGAGGGAGGGGAGAGGAGGAGCTGAGGGGAAAACTGGTTGGGAGAGGTAGAGTTTACATTCAAGAATACTCCCAAAAACTGACACTTCCTCAGATCCTGCCTACCCCACCTTTAATATCGTACAAGTGATGTGACATTTGAGGGTTAATATCCTACCAAGCATTGTCTTTGTCCTCTATTTAGCCCAAATTTCCCTTTACAAGACATAAGAAGATAACTGACATGAAAGTATAACTTGAGTTCTATAAGGCTGTTTCCAGCAAGCCCATTTCAAAAGACTAAGACAGATAACCAATATGCTAACAGGCGAATTCTCTGAAAATGTGTCTCAAACAGTTTTTATAGTGAGCATGTTTTCTCACAAATCCTTTCAATTCATCAGCCTGGGATGCACGTCAACGGAGCCCCTCAGATGATGCAGCCCCCCAGCATGGGTGTTGTCCCAGGACCAATGCCTGTGCAAGGACCCGGACCAGTACAAGGACAGGGACCAGTGGGACCTCCAGGTAATCATCAAACTGCATGCATGCATCCTCTCATCCCCCAAAGAAAATACAACCCCAGAGGTTCTAGATATGAATGTCTGAGGTCATCCATGGTTGCTGAGCGGTGTGAATGTTTCATTGCATGAATCCCTCCTGCAGAATTAGCCCACCCGATCACAAACTAAATGACACAGCACACCCACACACTTTTTGGTCCAAAGAAGCATCAAAGTCTCACCAAACTGAACATAATAGTGACGTTTACTGTCAAACCAGCCAAAACAACATAAATACACACAACATGAGTATATTTGATTTTGTGCAGCCACGCTGTAATAGCAGTGGTAAAAATGGTGTACGTGCTAATACATTCATACAAGTGAATAAGTGATGAATCACAATCAGTCATGAATCATTGAGCAAAAAAAGCCGAAAATATACCAGTGATCTGTGATGATGAAGATACACAAAATAGGAACGCTATTAAAAACACAGGACTTTATCCACATTAAGGATCTCCTTTGATAACACAAAAAAGGCTTTATTGTCTCATTAAGAAGAGTAAGCCTCTCTTTGGACCACCCTAGTTTGTAGAAACACAAATCTGTAATCTGTGTTGTAAATTTAGACCGTTTAAAGTAATGTAATCATTAAAAAACAGGAACTGAGTTTTCAGATGTTAAAACTGCACATTTGCGTATCTGAACACAGAGTAGTGAAGTGATGAGCTTCTCCTTAGTTATTTTATTAAAAGTGTGGAAAAAAAGTTTCAAACCACCAAGAAATGTTGGATTTTGCGGCTGCCATGGCTCACTAAGTTCACTAGGTGTCAGCAGAGCCAAGTAAGAAGTTGCGTTGCCTGATGAGGAGTTGCCCATCAGGATGGACTCCTCTGTAGCAGCCTCTCACTTAATGTTTGGTTAGAGCTTCATTCAGCTGCAGTATTCACTGATGTTAGGTTTTTAAAAGTTCCCTCTCCACCTGTCTGTGTGAGTGTGTGTGTGTGTGCGCGCATCTGTGTTCATGTCACAAGCACGCTTCAGACTGCCGTTAAAGTGCTGCTGCTTTGCTCTCTTGAGTCTTGTGTCTCCTGTTCTCTTCACTTTAATGCTGGCTCAGGAAACCTTCAGCATTCTCCCACAGGAGCGTCTGGGCAAGCTGCTATCGAGCGGCCTCAAGGTATCACTGTACTCTTTCACTTCTCCAGTCAGGTCACAGAACTGCTGTGGAGAGGTCACTGTGCAAGTACATGATGGCTGTGGGATTAAGTTTAACTGTGTTGTTTGGCAGAGAGCATGCACCACTGCCCCCCAATAAAAAGTCAACAAAATAACTTAAGACATGCAATTCTTAACTATCTGTCTGTGTGATAAGAATTATCTCTGAGTATTATCTGAGCGTGAGAGGACAATAGCAGACCTGTAGAGGAAAAGGAACAGGTTTAGAGTGAGTGCCAGGAAGTTTTTTAAGATTACTGAAAGTGTTTAAGCCAAAATTAAGAGACATCACAGTGTGGGTTCAGTGATTATCGTGTCCCCACATGACCCCAGAGTTACTATAAAATGTTTTGAATTATTTAGATCTCGTGTCTGCAGGAGTTGCTGTTTGTAAAAGACTTAAGATCTAGTGAGGAGGAATCGTAAGATGAAATGACACAACCAACCAAAGCATGTGTATTAACTCAGAATGTTTGAAAGCTTAGTTTGAGTACAACAGCAGGGCAACAGCAGCAACACAGAATATCATACACATGAGAACTACTCAATGCAGGGATTAAAGAGCTGATTTTATAAGATAGGCGTCACTGTCCCTTTGAGAAAATCGTGCTTCACACAATTAGCTGCATCCACTGTCGTTTTACTTTTTTTTTTTTATCTTTATCTAGGCGATCTTTTTTCTTTTATTTATTCTTCCCTTTTTTTTAAACAAACTAGTGTACTCGTGCTGCTATCGCTTAGTAAACTCATCCTGATCCCAACCCATCGGTCGTCAGTATGGCTTGATTGAATAAAAAATACAACTGTAACAAGAAGAGTAGGAACAATAACAATAATAGTAAAATATATACAAGTAATAACAGCTGTCCTATGTGATAGTGACCAAACTATGTGATAGTAAAAACTCACATCTCAGCTGTTATTTTCAGTGAACAAAACTCTACATATGAACAAGTTTCAACCCATGTTTTAGCGCACTGTTTCAGCTTCTAGAGACAAAAACTGACATTTTGTATATAGGCCATGGCTCAGCAGTAGAGTTGGTAATTGTGACATGGGGAGGGTTTGATGGCAGGTCCCACTCTTCACATGCAGAAGTGTCCTTGAAGACACTTACCCCAAAACTACCCTCACTGGCTGCTCCCAGCGGTCTGTAGATGGGATTAGTCAATCCTGATGGACACTTTACATGGCAGCCTTCAGTGTCTTCAGTGTGTGAAAGGGTGAATGCGGCATGTAATGTAAAAGCTCTTTGAGTGGTCAGAGGACTGAAAGCACAATATACAGTATAGGGCACACTCACATTTACACCTACAGCAATTTAAAGCAGCCACTTTACAAGTGAGCATGTCTTTGGACTGTGGGAGGAACCTTCCTGTAAAAAATGCCAACCACGGCTCCACTGTGCGCCCCCAAACCCGATCTTATCTTTACAAAATGCACATTACTGTATGATAATGTACCATTGTTGGGAAATGTTGGTTAACTCCAGGTAACAAAAATACAAACTGGGTTGATGCCAGGTTTGAGACAATGCAGGCTTTCTTCCTGCTTCTCTCTTTCTCTGTGTCAGACGTCTCAGCACCATGACGCTTGACGGCTGCCAATGGAAACACACATGTGGTACTCCATATTTCGATTTAAAAATCCGGGAAGACACACCTGCCCGTCACTGCTTAACTATTTGATTGTCCCATGCCAAACAGCACAGTGTGACCTACATTGTAAATAAGCGGGTGTGACCCTGTTTATGATGCATTTAGTCTGAGTCAGTCACTGGAAATCAGACCACTGATTTATTCTTCATAATCTACGCTCTTTATTTCCTCTTTGGCTTTCATTTGGATCAAACATTCACTTGATATAAAACAAACAGCTGATCAAAGTCATTGCCAACAATTAGACGTGTTCTCCAAGTCGCCCAGTGGCTAAAATGTAATTCTCTGACAACAATGCAATCCTTTGTTTGTTTCAGATTTGTCGCTGGAAGCCTTATTTTTTTAAACTGCTTATCTTGCTTTTACTCTTTTAATAAGATTTTTCTCTTGATTTTTAACCAATAACCTGTTTTTATTTTACTGTGATATTTCTCTGCTTTTAAGATGTGGCCCTTTGAGGTCTCTTCATAGACTGTATATACTATGGACAACTTGGTTCCGCCTCCCGCCTGTACACAGATTTGAAGCCAAATAGCTCTCGGTATTGCCGGGATTTTTCTTCATTTCCTGAAACCAGCGCTGTGCAGTAGCGATGCGCGCAGTCGCCGAGAGTCACTGTGATGACGCTTGGCTCGAATATGCAATCCCTGAACACCCATAGGCTGTATCAAGTGTCAATCATAGAAAACATGAACCCCCCTAATGATGTTTAAAAATGGAGATGGAGAGAAAAAAGAAGACTTGAGCACAAACCAGTCTTACTGTAACTACATGTCAACATCGCAAGTAGGGGGGGAGAAAAATTTGGGTTCTGTGTAATACATTTCTAAAATTTGTCCACAGTCCCATAAGCTTTGCTGAAGGAGGCAGGATTTATGACCTATACTGCAGCCCGTCACCAGAGGGTGCTGTTCCCAGAGTGGCTTCACCCAGCGAGGAGGCAGACGGCGTCCATTCTATATACAGTCTATGGGTCTCTTTAAATGCCAGTTAATTGACTCGACCAATTATTCACTTAATCTCTATAGTGGACAGCTGGTCCGATTTTAGCTATTTGCTTGTGACAGCTTTTTTACTTGCTGTCTGAAGTAATTGCCCTTTTTTTTTTATCCCACATAGCCCCGAACAGCTTCTTTGTCTTTTTTGCATCAGTTTAATATAAATAAATATTAATATTCCAGCAGAATTCTTGACCCAAAGTGGATTAAGTAAAGTTCTATTGTGCAAGGCATATTCTTCCCCATATTGTCTATATTCTAAACCAGTTTTTAATTTGCATTTAGCCTTTATTTTACCAAGAAGTCCTGTTGAGATTCAAAATCCCTTGGAAGAGAGACCTGGCCAATGTGGCAGCTGGTCCGAGTCACAAACAAATGAAATCTGTCCCTAATAACATATTTAACAGCTCGAAAACAGATATTCAAAGACACATCAGGCTTTCAGGAAAAAAATTAAGGCCCCTGTCTCCAAAGTTTTTAATCTCTGGACAATAATTAACATTGTTCACACAAATAGGTGTGTATGACTGCTTATGGCGGGGCACTATAGCTAATAAAAACCTCCTGAATGTTCTGCCTGTGTGTCTCTTGGCACCTCCCAGTCACTGCCAGATCATTTTTTCTCCGGAGTTGTACCACAAACTTTGCTATTTGTGGTTTCTGAAAGTCCTGGAGAGACCTGAGCTCTCACTGGTGCATGTGAACCACAGAAGCTCTCTCTCCATGATGTAACACGCTGGCAGATGTTGAGGTGGAGACATGATTCCTGCCCTAAAAAGGCCTATTCATTCTACCTTTCTGTGTTTATGTGCTGTTTTTAGCCACAGTGCTGTTGCCATGGCACTGTGGGCAAATTTGGCTCAGCCATACACGGGTGTGACGCCCACCCCCCTCCATACTTGTGTACAGACACCATGGTCCACTGCACCTGACAGAATTTAACTTGGCCTTTTGTTTGGCAGCTAATTAAAATCAGATGTACGATTTAGAATAGTAAAAACGCAACAATTAATATATTCACTCCTGACAGATTTTCTAAAACAACCCACTCCTGCTCTGAATCAGTGAGAAATCAGCAGGCTTTGAGGTAAAACCTGCGATTTTTTTTAAGTCAGCAGTGCATAGAAAGTTTTTGAAAATTAGCAGCAAACCTAAAAAGAATCTATGACTGTAAAGCCAGGTTGAAGATGGAAAACAAGAGGTCTGTGATTCAAATGAGCTGCAACACTTTATCAGGATCACGCTGTTAAAGCTAAAGAAGCGACTTCATTTTACTTTGCTCACTCTAAGAAGACTCATGCTTTCTCCTTGCTGCAAGATAATCAGAGTCGTCCCTCAAATCAGACCTTTGATTCTGACAGTCCGATCTGTTTTGTGTATCCAGACATCACCAATCTATCTGTATGAGTTGCCATGGAAACCATGCAGGTGTCCATTTGTAAGCATCATGTCGTAGCTGTCAAACCTATCAGCACAATAAATGGAGATCCGTCATCTTGCCCACAAAGCATATGGCTGTCTAGTTGCGGTGCAGAAATCTTCTGTCACGCCGGAGAAACTCGATGATGTGCCGTGGGATCAGAATTAACTAACTACAAGCCTTGTGTCTAACTCGGATTAGAATCATATCCTCGGCTCTTTTGAATGCGCCACTATTTTTCAGGGTTTTTTTTTTTCTGGTCAAAACCATTGCCAAGATTTTTTTGCGTATCGGTTAAGTAAAAATTTAAACACAAAATGTAAAATGATAAAAGGAACAAGGAGAGTCCATTAACTCCAAGTGTTCTCAGTCTGCCCCGAGTGAACTCCTCTGCTCCAAGTTTTCCCATTTCAAGTTTGCTCAATGGTTTTTGAAGCTCCAGTCTAAGTCGGTTTTTGACGCCTCTTGTGGACAAAAAATTCCTCTAATTCCTTTGCAATTTTTTCCATACATGTTTTCTGTCTTCAGTGTCTTACGGGTGCTTCTCTTGACACCTGTATTTGTTCCAGGTCAAAGCGAAAGCAGAAACATCTTAAAAATTCCACATTATTGGCTGATGGCTTATTCTTTACTCTTGAGTCAGCAAAGTTTAAAATGAACCCACCAAAGAAAATCTCACTTTACTGCTCGCCAATATCAGGTTAAATGAGCTCGATTTCCACCTAAAGTTGAATGAAAATGAAGCTGTCATGTAACTAACACAGTGACCCATTTCGGGCTCATTTAAGATCAGAGCTTTGACATTGAGAGTCAGGAGAAAATAACAGTAATTACTAAAAGATTGTGCCCAATCAACTCATTGGTATTTTGGTATTTGGATGCTATTATACACTTGGGTAACCTGATGAAAGGCTGACACACCTGTTGTTGTACGTGATCTCTCTACATGCTTCCCATCATGCTGTTCTTGTGGTTATAGCAACAGAGTTACAGGATACAAGTAGGAAAATACTCTCATGTGTTTGAAACCTGTGACCTTCCTCGTAAATGTTGGTTAGAGACTTTTCTTTCTGAGAATGATGAACCTCATCACACGTGTGTGTTGTGACATCAGACTGGTCAGTGTGTAGTTCATGGTGTGTCTCATTTATCCAAAACAGCTCTGATTGTTTGCTGATCTTTCTTTTCTATGAAACCACACAACCTGTTATGTCTGTTTGTGTGTGAGAAAGAGTGTGTGTGTGTGTGTTGTTTTCTTTACCAGTCACAGCTTATTTGGACTGAATGAGTCATGAAACATTTCCTTCATGTATGAACAAAAAAGAAAAAAAGAATGGAGGTCCTCTGCATTGTTGAACGTTTGTTTTTCTCCTCTAAGGACCTGGAGGTATCCCGCCCAGAGGCCTGCTAGGAGATGGTCCCAATGATCCAAGAGGAGGAACTCTGATGACCGTCACTGGAGAAGTCATCGACCCAAAGTAAGATTTTCTCTTGTTTTATTATTATCATAATTACAGGACAGAATGAGTCATTTCAGGCTTACAGTATAATACCTAAACTTCCTGTTGTTTCCTTAAGAAATGAAACAAAACCTTTTTGAAAGGGATTTCACGTTTTAATAAAGAAATACACCCTCAGCAGGGCTCGACAGTGCGACCGTTTCACTCGCATTTGCAACTAAAAATAGATGTGTGCGAATTGTAAAATGTATTTAGGGGCACATGTGCGCATAAAAAAATTAGCCGAGGAAACAAATGTTTTTTCACGTAAACACCGCGGTGAAGTTAGTTTAAGGTTGGATATCTGACGGACATTCACTGCCGATCTACTGTTGTCTTCTCACCCTCCATAACGGGTAATAGCAACAGCAGCGCGGTTAAATCCTCCCTGTCAGCATCAGGTGTTGAATAAGGGACCGTCAATAAATTACTGGTTGATGTTCTCAAAAAAGGCAGTTTTCCTTCAATAGCTTCCATGTCATGTGACTGATTGACCTAAAATTGATTTCAAATTATTGTACTTATGTCGACCAATAAGACAAACATTATTTGATCAATTTTCATTCTGCCCCTAAAGTTCTTTGTGTGCTCCTTACTTTTTCAACTTAGGAGCACCTTGTGAAAAATGTTAGTGTCAAGCCCCGCTTAGAGACAAAATACATTTTAACAGCAGTGCACAAATCCCACTGTTGCTAAAGAATTAAAAATTTGGGGTTTTTAGTCAAACCTTCACAATCAAACCTGCTCAGTGTTCTGCCATTACAACACCCTGAAGGTGAGGCAGCTTCAGCAGCAGGAAATGTTTACACTTGGCAGTGTCTGTAAATGTGATTGTGGCAGCTAGGTGTGTAAAACGATGACATTTGTGATAACTTGTGTGCAAAGTCTTGTAGGTTAGTAGGTTCTCTTTTGCTATTCATTAACATGAAACACAGTAAATACAGCTAAGACTGTAGCCTGCTAGCTTCTGGGAAACAGGTGGATTCTGTTATTACTACAAGCAACATGCAAGGCTTTATTCCAATTTTGTTTCCTGCGTGTTCAAAGTGCTTAAAAGTTTTCCAGTTATACCCTGAACTCTGAATAACGGGTCATGTGTCTGTATCTTTGTATATAAAGGTAATTTGAATGATGACAGACTGAGTAAAAACTACAAACAGAGGTCATTACTTCATGTTCAGTGTAGCGACTATGCTGACCTGAATTTTGGTCACTGTCTGGGTGCAGGAGCGAGGTGTTTTTGACGCACTTCTAGAACAATCCAATGTCCAATCCAAGGTTGTTGTTGAGTTATATTTTTGCCATTTATTGATTAAATAAAAAACAAACAAAAAAAGACAAATACGTCCAACTTACTACAATGGTGTGGCTCGTGATGAGGGTGAGGGGGATCACTGCCTCACCTGTGTCCCTTTTGTAGCATTTACCTACCCAGTCACCTGAAGTGCCCCTTGTGGTGATTTTGCGAGAAACAAAACAAAACCCAAAATATAATACAGATAAAATGGCTCATACATTCAGTATTAAACTGCAGGAAAAAGCAGACTCTGAAATAATAAGCGCCTAATCATGACAGACCTGAACTGTGAAATTGTCCTCCATACCAAGCTCTATTTGATCTTTTAATAAAGTTGAGTTTGTCTTGTGTCTGTGTCCATGAAGCCGGGGCTACATGGGAGCTCCTCCACCCCACCAAGCCCCACCTGTACACATGGCCCCCATGGCAGGCGGACCCCCTCCAGATATGAGAGGACCTCAGATGGACATGAGAGGCCCACCCATGGGTGAACCCAGAAATATGATGGGAGACCCCAGAGGGCCCCCGATGATGGAGCAGCGGGGACCCCCCATGGAGACCAGAGGTGCCGCTCTACAAAGATTTCATCATTCTAAACTTTGACTTCATTCTGGTTGAATTTATATGTGGCTCTGAGCACATAGTTGACATTACACTTGAAACAGATCTCAGATCAGTTTCAGTCTCAGCTGCTAGTCTAACCAGATGTCACTAAATCCAGTCATTTGTCATGTCTGAAGGTTTTCACACAATAAGAGCTGTTGTTTGTTCTGATAAACCACTTTTTTCCTGCTGAGATGGCTCCACTTGATAAACTTTTCCTCTTTCCTTGTGTTCAGTAATCCATTACCTTATTTTTTTAAAGGTTGTCGAAATCATTTATCTTGCAGGTCGAGACCCGAGGGCGATGGATGCCCGCGGTCCAGTGACTGGACAGAGGGTTCCCATGGCAGCAGGAATGCCAGGCCCTGTTCCTCATAACATGGGTGCCAACGCCCCTCCACCTGCAAGACCGGTAACAGCTGCAATAACAAAAACATATCTCTGTCTTCACTTCAGGGCTCTTTTCCTGTTTTTAAACAGCATAGATACATCTGCATTAGGTTTATTTAGCTTACGCCTTAAGTAAAGAATTTTTTCATGTCAATGAAATACACTGAGATTCACATTGATGCCTTCTCATGATATCCAATATTGAAGCAAATCATCAGCTGCAAGTCTGACAGTTTTTGTCTGGTAACTTTTAATACAAGGGGTGTCAGAGGTGTTCATGCTGATGCTGGAGTGGAAGACCTGTTTTGACAATTTCCACATTAAATATTCACATTGGTAAATTACATATCTGACTATCAGAAGTCAGTGGGATGAGATTTTTGCAAAAGTCATGAGTTAAAGACCCACTCCGATGAAAATCATCTTGTTTTTTTATATGTTCATATGGCATTTTTCTGATGCTACAGGACATATCATGAGAAAACTAAGTGTGAAATTACTTTTCTGAGTATTTCTTCATTCAAATCGCTGTAAATCTCTGACAGACCCAAACAGAAGGTTCAGAAACTGTGAGATGTCATACATAACCAATCCAAGCTCCGTCCCCGGAGCCTCGCTATGCAGGCCAGGCTCTGAGGAATAGAGAGAGCAATCGCGGAACAAGCGTGTGTTAGTGGATTGCAATACTCTTAAGAAAGCTAATTATGATATTAACTTTCATTGTGTCCCTAAAGACATCAGTGTCTAAAAGCTGAATAGCTCCTATGTTACCTGCCACTTCTACTACACCGACAATGTTAGGCCGCAAGCTAGTGTGAAGAGAAATGTGCAGAGCAGCGCTGTCTCCGCCCACGACTCAGAGGCGATTTGCTAATGATCTACTGGAGCGCTGCAGAGGAAAAGCCCTTGAAAATGAGACGGGTAACGTGATTTTTGGTAAAAAATGTTATAATCACAATTTAAAGACCACTGAAAACACTTTAAGGAGTAACAAAAAACAGTTGGAGTGGGACTTTAAGCATGTTGAAGATGCAAGAAGCAAAGACTCCTTTGTCCACAGGCAGCGCCAGAATTGACCAACTGAAAGTTCCTCATAGCAGCTTTAATCCAAATCAATTGAGAACACATGCACATAACAGAACAGCTTATAGTTGGGGTATAAGGAGGGAGGTGGAAGAGCAGGAAAAGGTTTAATTTTCATCTTTTTCTTTTCTGTATTCAGGATATTTTTCCTTTTCTTAAGAGCACAAAGACAATCTGAATTTGTTTTCACAGAGAATTTGATTCTCACCTCCTTTGATTAGTTAGTTATAAGCCTATGAATATTTATTTTATTAAACATTAACTTCCCACTGCATATAAACATTTGAAATGCTTATAGGGACAGATAGATGCATAACAAACACGGCTCTCTGCACAGATTTGTTACAATTACCCTGACGATAAACAATAAAACTAAACGTGTCTTTCCTGCAGGGTCCTGGTGTACCCTCATCTGGAGGAGGCTTCAGTCCGGGACAGAGTCAGGTCTCCACACAGGACCAGGAGAAGGTGGGTATCTTTTCATACACTAACTCCTTTAACTCACAGAACCTATGAATGATCTTCTCTCTGATATTTGCCGCTTGCATACCTGCTGCTTTGGGAAAACACAGATTCTTCAGAAACAGGCTGTGATCAATGAACAGCAGTTCACAGCAGCCATCAATCATCAGCTTGTGAAAACGCCTCTGAGTCAAACTAATCCTAAGCATTCACTGATGTGTAGTCATCCTATGCATGTGTGCATGCTCATAACACCTGAGGCAGTAAAGCTTCTGTGAACTTAGCTGTGATTGTTTGACTTCAACAATAGCCGGTGACGCTCCGAAACAACAACAAGATTATCAGATAAGATATTTAACTGCACTGTTACATAAGAACACCAACCAAGTTCATATGGAGAGCCCTATAGGAAACATTTGAATCAAACTGTTCTGTATTTCTCTCTTTCCAGGCCGCCCTGATTATGCAGGTCCTGCAGCTGACCCCAGAACAGATAGCCATGTTGCCCCCAGAGCAGCGACAGAGCATCCTCATCCTCAAAGAGCAGATCCAAAAGACCGCCGGAGGTGCGACTTGATGGCCTCACAGATGGAAAACCTCCATAGAGAGGTTCCCTGTAAGGTAAGACTTCTGCTCTTTGCTTCAGCATCAGAAATGAACAAACACTTTTGCACTGTCATGTAGCTGTGCTCTAATCCCCGTTTTTCTTCCTTCTTTGTCTGACTTTAGGACAGTCTGCTCCACCCTGCTCCCTCCTTGAACAGCTCTGAAAAAATCTCTTTAGCTCGGATTAATGTATAGTTTTTTTTTTAATCTGTGGTCTTTTTTTCTGTGAGAGTAAAAAGAGAGTCAAGGTTGTGTTTGTGGATTCAGAAATAAGCGAAGCTCCTTTGAACAGATGAAGAACAAATAAAGTTCACCATTGGATTGTCACATGGTTCCAGCTTTTCCTCCCCAAAGTCAGTTGTTTTCATTTTTTTTTTTATTGTTAGATCCAGAAACTCGCCGTAATTTGTTTTTGTCAATAAAATGAACACAAAAAAAGATATTCATCGAACATGTTTATTTATTACAACTAGTTAGGAGTTATTTACAAGGAAAGGGTGTAAAACAATAAAGTGTAAAGTGACAGAAGTAGCTTTGATTTCTAGGAATCGCTGTCCGTGTGTTTGAGGAATGACTAACTTCAGGCAACCGGATCACTTTCTTAACCTACGTATACTTATCACACAGACGAGGAAATATGGGCGGTGTTTACAGGTAATAATAAATCAGTTTTTTTTCGATAAGCTTATTTCCTTAACTGGAAAAGCCTGAGGGGAAACATGAACGCTCAGTCAGATGTATTTATTCCAGAAGAGAGAGTGTTTTTATACATATGTGGTGTTTGTGAGTTTAGGTTCACATGGAAAGTGAAAGTGATGGATAAAATATTTCTAAAAAAGTTGATTTGTGTACAGTTTGTGCAATTAGGCAAAAAAGTCTCTAATCCAAATTCATGAGATGAAGATTTTCTGCCTCATTTCAGATCATAAATCGAGTCTTTTCCCACTTTATTGGGGATGTTTGCATGCACTATGTAATTAAAAATGTGTGATCTTTTGTCTCTGGAAAACCTTAATTATATAAAAGATTGATTAAGATAAAAAGTTGCAGGTTATTCAGTAACACAAGTACTTAGTTGCTCTTAGCACTGGCTGAGCAGCTGTAGTAATAATCTATGAGTTACTGTTTACTGCCTTGACTTAAACATTCAAGTCTTTATTAATACAAAAATATTTTCACATGATAAGTGAACAACAAATGTATAAAAGAGACAAACACCTAAAGCTGCTGATCTCTGTAACAGTGACTTTTTTTTTTTAAATCAAGTCTCAGGATCAAAACTGAAATAGTTCTCAGATGACATGCAAATTAAAATGGACTTAACAGTGAAAACACACGTGACTGAGATATTTCTTGTAACCATGAGTCGAGTTATCAGCGAATAGCAAGTCATGGTTTTATAATAATTGAAACGATCTAAAGAAAGAAAGCCGATCCCTGAGTAGTGCGATTAAAAAAACAACACGCCAGGCCTTTTTTTCAGAGCGCAGTGCGGCAAGTGTGTCCAAACACACCCAGCTCGTGAGGCGGGCTGTCAGGCTGCTTTATCTTTCTGCTAAGATGGTAAACAAAAGGAAATTCCCTGATAACTGAAGTCCTCCAAAAATTCCCCAAAGCTGCTTTATCGATGGCCCTCAGAAGTTTTCCTTGTTGAAGTAAAACTTGGTCTTTCGGGGATCTACGTCTGAGTATTTGGCGCATTTCTTTTCCAAGACTTTAGCCAGAGCTTCAGGGCCGCATAGGAAAGTTCCCACCACCGACCTGAAAACATTGCAAAGAAATTCGGGTTAGATTCCAAGTTCAAAAACTTACTTTAAAGACTTTACACTTAATACTTTATCCAGCTCGACCTCTGGAAACAGTGAAAGAAAATTAAGATGGATGAAAAGTAAGATCTGAGGTTAAATTAGTTTCTTATTCACCCAATCTTTACGCTGTTTTTTAATCTACAAGTCAAAACACAGACATTCAACCATGCTAACTGCTTCGAGGGGCTGTACTAAATCTGTGAATTATCCAGGTAAAATGTTTTTATTAAGTTTTATTCTTTTTCATTAAGTTTTAACCTCCTCTTACAGGGGAGTTAACACTTCCAGATCTCAAACCAAAGTAGTATTAGAGACTGCTGTAAAACCACAAGGAGCTACTTAGACATCAAGTTACACCAGCAAGCCAGATAGAGATCAAGATATGAATCAACAAGATTACTTCATCTTCTGTTAACATGGATGTAAAGGTGTTTTGAAATGGCTTGACCGTGTCAGCACAGTTGTGTGGAGCTATACCAAGAAAACAGCAGCTAGCACAAGCTCTAAAAATGCAGATTTTCAGCCTCTAATTACAGATTTTTGGTGGTTAAAGCTCCATTGAGGAGTTTTTTCATGTTTGTGAAATGGACTAAAATTCAGATTGATGCTTTTTTTATGATATTCAAAAGCAAGCAAGCCCATCACCAGCTAGAGTGACGGCATTTTCATATCATTAGTGCCTGAAACCAATGTGAGGGGGTAAGTGTCAGCAGAGCAGCTGCATAAACAGCCCTGTTTCCACACTATCCACATTTTATATAAACAATAAACTATACATGTGACCGTAACAAGTCGATCCTGGGCCCTGGACCGGTACAGGTACCTGGATCATTTGGTACCAGGCCGCAAAAAAATAATGATTATTACATTTTTTTTTTCATCCTTCCTCCCAGTATCTCATTTTGAAAGACCACAACTACCGCCATCGCCTCACTATCGCGCTTGTCTCTTCAGCACATCATTTTCCTGCATCGGCAACACAAGCTAGCCCTGGCAAAAATGAGCCAGAAACAGAGTTTACTGGAGAGAGAAAAAGGGTTGATTCTGCATTATGGTGAGTTGATGTTAAAGTGTAATGAAAAGTGCCTAATATAAAATGTAATTGTTGTATCCAGATTACATACTATGTACTGATTAAGGTTTTTGTTATCGGAACCTCCACGCCCCGACCCGGTCCTTGGAAAAAGTTTCCTGCATGAAACTGGTCCCTGGTACAAAAAAGGTTGGGGACCACTGAGGTAGATGACTGATTTTCTCTAAAGATATAAGTTAAGCACGTAGAGGACAAAATAAGCAAAGACTGATTTGTCCACAGGGGGCGCCAAAATCAACAAACAGAAAGTTCTTTACAGGAGCTAATGATGTTAGTAGCTTAAGATATAAGCGCTTGTAAGAATTAGTTCGAGACAATCCATCCAGCACTTAATACAAAATTTTATACAAAATCAAAAAACGAAATGGTGGAGAAAAATAGAACCAAAGGTTTTTGTCTTACGTTGGGTTTTCTTTGCGGACTTGTTCAAACTCTTTATCCCATACAGGTCTGCCGTAGTTTGTTTTCTGTCTGAGCCCAGTGACCACATCTGTGTCCTTGTCAAAGTTTGCCCCCTCATAGTCAGTCTATGGAAAAAAAGAGGAGAGAGCACAGCTGAGTGAAGGATGACAAGATCACAGGGTTCATCTGGGCTTTGAACAGGGACTTGACCAGAGGGCGACTGATTTACTCTCTTACATGGCTTTGATCCCAGCCGGTCAGAAAGAGTTTGTAAGTGAGGAAATCCGCCATGCCTCTCTCCTCCATCTCTCTCTCCAGCACCTGAAGGAGGTCGACGAACCATTCGAAGGCGTGTGTTTCCCGGCAGAGCCAATAGAAGTAGATCTAAAACCAGGAAGCAGATGCAGACATGCTGAACAATGATCCTCTTACGAAAGAGCAGCCGATGACTCCTCTTCTAACGCGGCTGTCTTGTGAAATCACACATTGTTCTTTATTTTAGAAACAATAATAGGCTCTTTGTCAGGATGGTGGAATTGATTTACAGGTTTTAATGTAAGAAACAGGCTGACTGTGAAACTGTGGAGGTGTTTGGGTTGTTACCTTTCTGGTGCGCAGTTTGGGGTTGGAGTCTTTGAACTTGTACCAGATGGACTTGAGGATGGAGGCGAATGGAGTGACACCGATGCCAGCGCCGACCAGCATAGCGACCTCATAGTCAAACACATCCTCGCTGGCTGTGCCAAAGGGTCCGTCTACTCCCATTCTGGGGAAAAATGAAACAAATGTTAGATTAGATTATTGGGACAAATTAACCACAGGGGAGAAACTAAACATGAACAAATGTTAAAGGGAAAACTTTCAAACTATATATGCAGTTTCACCTGCTTCTTTATACAAAATCAAATCAGCAGTTTAGTCTCCAGCATCAAAGAGAGCTTCAGAAACTCTGCTCACTGTTCTATATTTGGTTGTTTTTGGCCCAGATGTTTCAGCCTTGAGTTCCCAAAGTCCTCGAACACAAAGTTCAAAAGTTCAGACTTGAACTTTGAAAAATAGCGCTTAAGAGCAAGTCGTTATTTCTCTAATGTTTGCTTTCAACGCCACAAGAATGCAGCATGGACTAATACCACAAAGCACAGCAGGCCATTTATAGCCTGAGCTGGATTGCAAAAACAGCTCTTTGATGGGTCTCTGAAAAATATTTGAAACTCCTAAAATATTTGAAGTGTTGCAGGTGCTTTGAAGGTAGAGTAACTTACAAAAATGAACATAAAATAAACATAGGCAATAACAAAAATGTATGACTGCAATATCTATATAGTACGACAGAGTATTAGGGCCACATTAAGAAGACTTCGAGAAAAGTCGTAATCAACTACTACTACTATACTTATAATATTATGGTGCTGATGTGCCAAAAGATTAAGTATCTCCTTGTTTGAGAAACCTACACAGAAGTACATTTTCACGAAATGCTCCATGGCGCTCATTTCAACAACTGTCATCGTAAACAACAGGTTAGAATATAAGGACTTTATTCTGACTTTACTCTCGTAAGTGATTACTTTAGGACTTTATTCTCGCAAGTAATTACTTTATTAAGGCTTTATTCTCGTAAGTAATAATTTCATTAAGACTTTATTCTCGTTAGTAATGACTTTATTCTCGTAAGTTAGTGACTTTAATCTCGAAGTCGTATTTTTTTTTTCTTAATGTGGCCCTAATTCTCTGTTGTAATATAGTGTCCCCTGAGCTTAAAAAAAAAATTGTCAGAAAAAAAAAACTTGAAAAAAAATAATTAAATCATGATTATTTTTTAACTATTTCTTAAGCAGCTTCTTTGTTTCATTGCTGCTTATTTGCATTTAAGAAGTGGTCTTGAGCTCTGATTTTCAGGCGATTTACAAGAAAAATCGTTCAGAAAAAATGTGTTCTTATTTTCTCAATTTCTTATTTCTCTTAAATCTTTTATATTATTTCCTATTTTCTTTTTGTGGATCACTCAACTCAAAACTCAATCTGTGACTGGCCCTGAAATAAGCAGTTTCATTATAAGAGTCAATTTTTCAATGGCAAATATTTCCTTTAGATTTTATGAATTTCCACCCTGCAGGATCTTTTTTGGAACTTCTGAGAGTTTGTGTGGGAGCTGGTTCAGGTTTTAACCACAAAAAGCTGGCGCTGCTACATAGAGATTGTATTGAACCTCACAATAATTGCTCTGATATCACTGAATGTAAAGATATATCCAGTCTGCTGGCACAATAAGGTAGACCTTTTAAATAAATGATGTACTCACTTGGGTCCCTGCGCTCCCTCAGGCAGCTGCTGCATGATGCTGATGAGTTTGTCGGTCCAGTCCCCAGCCGAGCGAATATGGATGCTGAGGAAGTCTTCCTCAGGGGCAGAGGTCATGGTGAACGGATGCCACTCCAGCTGGGAGATAACCGGGCAGTTGAGGAAAACGTACTGGCCCACCTCCATTTTGAAGCCGTTTTTCACCAGTTGCAGCTCCAGCACCTTGGAAGGCCTCATCACAATCTGGTAAAACCATTGGATTAGATGTGAGTTAACACAACCTGCAGAACAAGTCTCACGGAAAAGATGAATCATGACTCAAACAAACCTTTCTGTATTTGACTGTCTGCATGTACCGAATGAAGCGCAGCAGGCGTTCACACAGATACAGAACCATGGGGCCAATCACCCACATCCAGGTCTGAAAAAATCAAGAAAATATGAACCAAGAATTAGCCTTTTATTTGTAGCAGCATGTGCAGATGTAAAAGTGTTTACATTTTTATCATAGCCATAAAAATGTTTTATCATGGCCATAAAAATATGGATGAAAAACAAACCTGTGGGAATCCTCCAGCAAACTGAGGGATAGGACACTCGGGAATTTTTCCCCATTCGTCACTGCGGTCCTTACATAACGTGAAGTTGTGGGGAGGATCTGTTGTCACTTGACCCCTCACAATGCGCCTGTACATCACAAATACAAGTTAAACCTGCTTTCAAAATAAACAAAACAAAGTGTAAAAAAAAGATGATCCCTTACCCGGCTCCATGAAAAACAAGACCGGCGAAGAAGATGATGAAGAGATGGTGGGTGTACCAGAAGACCTCAAAGTAGCTGCGTCTGATGACCTCCATGGAGGAGGTGATGATGAGGATGAGGGCCAGAGTGATGATGACACCCGTGAGACCGGCGATGGTGGTGAAGACGAGGTAGCTCGGGGTCTGCTGAGCATCCTGATGAAGAACAGAACAAGGAGAAGAACAGAGGAGGTAAAAACGTGTCTCCAAAGAGGTAAATCAGTGCCCAGAACTTAAAGGGATATTCCGGCGTAAAATTAAGTTAGGGTCCAACACGCCTTAAGAGTTGGACACCCATCAAGAGATGAATGTTGCTGACTGCCTGCTTCTCTAGTTATACCAACATTAGTAATGACTGCACGATAGCAATACCGAGAGCCATGCGCTACGGACTACAGCGGGGTGACGCAGCTCAAGGAAGAACATTTATGATCATTTCTTTATCATTTCCTTGAAGTTATAATCACAATATTCATCATTTCGCACTGCAGACATGGTAGTTCTTCTGCCTAAGTGTCTCGGTCTGTTTGCATTTCCATGAAGTAATGATCATAAATGTTCTTCCTTGAGCTGCGTCACCCCGCAACAGTCCGTAATGGACTGGCCCGAGGTACAAACAAGCAGCTGCTGGAAGAAAGTAGGTGAGTTGTGTTTAGTCTCTTTGCTAAAGAAATTAGGCAAATCTAAAAAGATGTTTGGTGGCTAGTGCTGTGGCTAGGACCCTATATGTACTGTTGATGAAGTTAGGTGCTGTTCTGAGCATTATTTGTGACTATAGAGTGGTGTTTTGGTTAAGGGCGTGGCTCTCTGTATTGCTGTTGTTAATAAAGTTGGTTTAACAAGAGAAGCAAGCGGTCAGCAACATTCATCTCTTAAGGGGGTGTCTAACTTGGTGTTACGGTGTGTTTGACCCTACATTAATTTCACGCCGGAATATACCTTTAAATTAGACCCTGGCTCCTGCGTTCAAAATACACAAACTTCCTCAAAGTAGTTCTAGTAAAGTTCCTGCAGATTAAAAGCAAATAATGAGTCCCTCCAAATTTCAAATAGGGTTATAGAAACTTACAACATCAGTGGTGCGGATGGGGTTCAGGTAGGTGGTAGAGTTTGTATCCTCCAGGTTGGACAGGGCCGTGCTGAGTTTATCGTAAACACCTCGCCTGCTGTTGTTGTACCACTCCACGTTCAACAGGTGAGCAATCATATGGACAGCTGTCAGCACACAGAGAGGAGATGAGACTGCTGCTGCATAACTACAATTTAATATGAATCATGCCTCCTTTAGAGATATGTTCTCTGTGTCGAAAAAAAAATGTTTGCAGCAAATTTTGAGCAACATTTAACTTAGTTAAAAGTCGGATCTCGTGCACTAAGGTTAAAAAACTCGAGCAGCATATTGAATGACGTCAGGGCAGAAAATACACATTGAAATTAACGCTATTTAAAATGCTCCCCCCTCTTCTTTGACTTACATTTTACTCTCAATAAAAAAAATCATACTGCTGACGCCACTAAATTTCATCGCATGAATCATTAGATAGTATTAGAAAGACATTTTTCATGCCTTAGCTTTTATGAGTTACTGTCAGAATATTTCCTGTTAGGAGGAATCAGAGTTGTTGTTTGTACTTGTCAACATGACTGTGGTGAACCACAACCATCACAGAACAATTGTCGAGACTGAAAGTGAATCGCATGAATAAATTTACCTGTCATCAGAGCGATCATGTACGCAACCAGTTTGTGGAAACTCAGGTTTTTGTCCAATTGTTTCCTCATTGATCTGCCACAACACTGAAAAGATAACAAAGGAAAGAAAGGAAGTGAGAAGATGGCTGGAGCCAAAATTTACCAAGCATGCATCCAAAAGGAGTGTGTTTTAAAAGATATAAGGATAAATTGTCCAGTTTACTGCTGGAGTTATATATTCAGTTATATAGATAAATGTTAAAACTTCAAGAACATACTCAGGCAGGGGCAAAAAGAGATGAATAAAAGAGAAAACTGCTCTATGCCACGGGGCACCGGTGCACTTATTCCCCTTGCTCTGTAGTGAATGTTAATATGACATTTTGAGGTGGAAATTTCATCATGCAAAGGGAAAATACAGGTTTTGAAACAGAAAAAAAATGCTGCTTCCTGCACAAAGCTCACACATTTCTCCCTAATTGTAAAACTGAGTAGTTTTATGTAGAACACACACATAACCAGATGACAGGACAGAAGTTTCCAAACTTTTCATCCTGTGTCCCCTTAAATGGAAGTGCCAAACTCTCACTGTCCGTCGAGGTAGTTAATCTTGGCTGAAAGTTTCAGTTCAAGTTGTGGTTAACGACTCAGGGGTCATTTGGCAGAAAGCAAAGCAGAAACTGATTGATCGTGATATATTTGCATGGTTATATTGAAACGTATCTAACCATTCTTGCAAAACAAAGATATCTCACAACTTGTTGAAAAAAAAAACTCATCATGCTGAATTGATCTCAATATATCTCATTATACTCCATTCAACCCAAACTTTTCTTGGTTTGTTCCTTGAAAAAAGTTGGTGTTGACCTTCAAGGAAAAATGTGCTTGCTTACGTTTTCAATCATTTTTACTCATTACATTTAATTTAATTCATTTTATTTGGAGTCTGAACCACCTTCAAAGTGCAACACTGACAGAAAATGCTGCAAAATACGCAAAGATAACAACTTCGAATCCCTGTATACTAGTGATGTCCCGGTACCGATACCAGCACCGGCACTTGCCCCGATACTAGCCTATTTTAAGTACTTGTACTTGTACTTGCGACAGCACCCGATACTGTTACGTCATCATCACGCTGCCGTGCGGAAGCTTGTGGGGGGGTAAGAGAAGCTAAACAGGTGGGCACGGTGTGCGTTCCGAGGAGGAGGAAAACAAACAATGTCGGCCGTGTGGACGTATTTTAAGATTAGCGATGCTGACCATTGCAAAGCCGACTGCAAACTGTGTGGCGTGAAAGTGTCACGAGGAGGTGCGAAGCCTAGTTCGTTTGGCACGAGTAACTTGATCAAACATCTTAAGAGCAAGCACGATGCTGAGTACAAGGAGTTTTCCACCGCTAGTAGCAGCAGCACAAAGCAACCAACTTTGGAGGAAACCCTGGAAAAGCGAGAGAAGCTATCAAAATCAAACCCACGGTGGGTCCAAATAACAGAAGCTGTTGCACTACTCCTCCTGCCTCTCACTCCACTCTTTAAGCTCTAGTCCCCTTTACAGAAATGTGTGTAGCACTACTTGTAGCATGTGAACGATTTTTTTTATTTTATTTTATAGATTTATTTTATATTCTCTCTTGAGTTCAGACTGAATGAAAAGGGCTGGGATTAATCCCACGTGTGTAGTGCTGCTGAATATGTTGTTTAAAATGACTTGTCTTCTGATTGTATTATTTTGTTTTATTTATTTTTTTCAACCAAAAGAAAAGAACCTATCTCTGGCTTGTATGAGAAAGGCTTAGTCCTCACAGACAGCACTGGTGTTATTTTTCAGTATTCAGTTCTTGTAGTTGTAACTTGCTGCATGTATATGATACAGTGATAGAGACATCTGATGCAGTTATCACTTATCTGTATGTTTACAATTACACTATGTTATATTGTATGTGCTCTAGGCTATATTTGCATCTTAGATTGTGGAGTAGAAGTAAAAGTATTGGCAATTGGAAATATGTGGAAGTTGTGAAAGTGAATTATGGCAGTGGTGCCATGTTTGTTCAGGGAGCATTGATGAAAAAATAAAAATCATGATTTAAAGTCGTCGCTATGGTATTATTAAGTACTTGTATCGGTACTTGGTATCGACAAGTACTTATATGTCAGTACTCGTACTTGTACTTGGTAAGTAAAAAAGTGGTATCGGGACAACCCTACTGGATACATATAAAAGCTTTAAATGAACAGGGAAAAAGAGGTTTGCTCGGAAACTATGAGATGGTTACCTGTTTAAGTCAAACTAGTTTTCACAATATGCATGACATTACTCCACCTTAGAAGGATAATAACCGTGTATAGAGGGCACCTCGCCCTTCTTGGACATGCAAACATCTTCATCTTACCACAAAGGAGCCGCGCAGCAGGGACAGCAGGTTCCTGCACACCGGGAGCAGGATCAGCATGCAGTTAAAGTTGAGGACAGCAGCGGGGGCTCTGGCCCAGGCAAGGGCAGACTGAAAAAAGATTAAAAAATGTATCATTTATATTACTCTATGGGGAAGAGAAAAAGTCTTAGCTGACTTCTGTGCGCATTTCTTACCCCTAAAAGATGACGAGTGTAGAAAAAGCGATCCCCAAGGTCGTAAAAGAGGTAAAACCAGACAAAAAGGAAGGTGTTGATACCCATCCATACGATCTGCAAACACAGACAACATTCTACATGTAACAGCAAGGAAAATACAGTTTACGCATCTGTGGTTTGGTATTTTTGGCACGAAGTCTGTGCGTAAAAAAAAAACACATTTACCGTTAGAAAGTCTGATTTGCGATACGAACATTGAAATTCCTTCAGTATAAACATCATAACTCACCAGTATGAAGGCAGTAAGCCCGGTGTTGATAATCCAGTTGGCCATCTTGATCACTCCAGGTCGACCCGCAGCACTTCCCCTGCATCTTCAGCCCGCTGCACCTTTTTATCTCTAACCCTGCCGTCAGGACTCCTCCCTCTTTTACAGGTGTACAGGTGAGTCAGGACATAAGGAAATAACATGTGCCAGCTTATGAAACTGTTGATAAAGTTAGAAGGAGAAGCTTCCCTCTTCAGTTGAATGACTACATTCCCGCCTGCTGGAAACTTGAGGCTGGAAAAACAAGTGCAAGAGTTCAGGAATGAGGAAGTTACGCCATGAAGGAAATTCTCACCTGCTGAAATGTGTGGTAATTACTGCTGAATAGAGTTTTATTGTGTGTGACCAGAGGGTGTGTGTGTAGTCTTATCTTGTTGTTTACGAAAAATGCAGTGAAGGCAGAGACTGACATTAAAATTCTTTTATTTATTTTCAAGTAAAACAGCAGTAGTGAAGGCACCGAATAATCAAAACGAAACATAAAAAAAGCAGACAGTGACCGCACTTGGATGAAGTCGGAGTTCATTCAGTGGCAGTTTAGTTAGAGCGTCATTGAGAGACAAACACCTGAAAGTCTCTAAAGGCTGAACTCGGACCTATGTTTTCTTTTTTTTTTATTTTATCAAGGCAGCCAGGCTGGACAGCGAACAACACAAGGCATTCATCACGGCAGTCAGGGTATGAGGAAGATAAATTCCTCCTCTGACCTTTTCTTACCCTCCTGCTTTGTTTTAAGAGTCTGTTTAGTGCTGATGCAAGCATGTGCAAAGAGGAGGAGGAGGAGGGGATAACCCTGAGAGGAAGAATTCTGGGGTAGTCCTGCTCAGTCTTTCAGGGTTACTCATACAAACTTGGCACATTTCCCGCACACCTGGCTCAGGCCTCCTGTGCGTGACCCGCTGCCACTGCTGTCTGAGGCTGGTCTTTGTGCATCTCTGCATGCTACATTCTTTAGTATTCTGGGGCCCAGAGTGTGCAACATGCGCCGTACAGGTGTCACAAGAAGAGCTACATCCACCTCAGAGCCATGGATGAGTACAGTTTTGCACACTTAGAAAAAGAAGGCAAACATTTGTTCTCAGATGCATCTCCTCACTATTCAGGAACACAAGAACACTTTTGTTTTTTAGTGTTGAAAGATTCAAGAACTTGTTTAGTTGTGCAACCTGCAGCATCATCTTCGATGCATGTCTACATTTAAGAAATTGTTCATTTCCTTTCTCACAAAGCGATTCTCATGCCGCTTCCATTATATCGTCTAAAATAGCCGTCTCTCGCTCTCCCAGCTGTCTGGTTAAGTCAGGAGGTTCTGAGTTTTGAGCGCCGAGCAACTCCAGCGGCTCCTCCAGCCCCATCTCCATGGTACCGGTGGTGGAGTACGAAGGCTGCGACTTTCGTTGTTTGTCCCGCTCCCTTCTTTTGTAGCAGCAGACGCAGTGCAGGCAGTCATGGACATTGTACTTGAAGAGGCGTCTGCAGGGGTGGCAGAACTGGTAGAAGAGCAGCATGAAGAGCACAGCCAGGCTGTAGCCGATGAGCAGTTGCACCACCAGCAGCGGCGCGCACACATACTCGTAGAAGTCTGATTTATAGAAGTACCAGAGTGTGATGAGGAGGAAGTTCTCCACAAAGCGTCCACAGTAGTACAGAGCGAGGCGAACCCAGCGCTGCTTCCTCTCAATGAGCTCCTTGTGTGTGAGGTCGAGCTGCACCGCCGACCAACAGAAGACGTTGATGCAGGCGTAGAGCAGCGTGAACATGCACAGCACTATTGTGGTGCCCAGCTTGGAGAAGTTCTTCTCCACGTCCTCTGCTAGCGAGCCTTTTTTGTGCCAGAACTCGGCCCAGGGGAGGAAGAAGAAGAAGAGCAAGTTGACCAGGCCGACGAGGATCACCCAGTATGTGAGCGCCGTGCTGAAGAGGACCAGAGCCGTGATCCGGGTGGCGATCTCCAGCCCCCTCCACACGATCATGCACAGGTAGGCTGCAGGGCGTAAACGCACTTTGTAGTCGTCGTATCTGATCTGGATGGCAAGAACGCTGCACACGAGGGCCCCGTAGGTGATGGAGATGAGGGTGATGATCATCAGAGTCACTGCGAGAACAGACACAAGTTTTCTGTTACTAACACCAACATCACCTCAGTGCAACATACAAAAGTGGGGCTTGTTGTCACATGGGTAGATTGTCACATTGCAATTATCTTTGCCACCAGAGGGCGCAACTAAAAAGTGGAATACTAATTTTATTCCTTTACGTGGTCAGGAGTCGTGTCCTGTCTGAAAAGAGAAGAGCACGTTGTGAGCTGAGATGAGCGCCAATTAACCATTTCGCACAGACAAAAGTTACAAAAAAAACCAAAAAAAAACTTTATATATTTAAAAAAAAAACTTCTTCCAGATAAAAATCTAAGCAGTAATACATGTGGACTTGTTAGAGGAGAGATTAAGGCATCCTGTCATACCTCAGTCATTGTTCTGTTGTAAGATAACTTTAATCTAGAGCTAGAATTAGCAAACATGGTAGTTTGGGGCAACATGTCTCAGTCATTTTGGGGTTAGTTGTCGCATGTTTAAGAGGGATTAAAATTAACATAGAGTCTGCTTTTCAGTAGCTGTCATAATGAAATTTTGACTTAATTTTTACAGAGATAAGACCTTAGCTAATAAATCAGTCTAAACTACAATAAAGGACTTTAATGTCAACTACCATACTTCGGCTCTGTACTGCAAAAACATTTACCCCAGTGGAAATACAATGTTAGACAGCTCTCCAAACTCCAGAGCATGTCGTATAATATTTTATTTTAATGTCTGTTCAATTACTTTTTTCTAACTCAATGATAAAGATTTTCTGTGCCTGACTTTGATGTTCACTTTTATGGAAAAAAATTGGAACAACAATAATTTTGTCCTTCTTTTATTAGCTGCAAAATCCACTGTGACATCTAACTCCATGTAGTGAGACGACTTACCTGATGGTGGGGCAACATGTCACATGTTCACACTCTCTATTTGATTGCTTATAACTCTGCACTGACACAAGATATGAAAATGACATGAATATGAAATATATACCTGAGACTTTGGTCTTTCATCTGGTACATGTTTTGTTTATATATGAAGTATTGATTCCAAGAAATATAGAAGAGTGTAGAAAGTGTGACAACAAGCCCCGGTCTCCCCTACTCTTTTTTAGACTTTTTTGCCGCAGGGAATCCACTTTTTATGCAGAGTCATGTTAGTGACCTGTTACAAATTCACCTCAATAGTTGGGAGATGTTCTTCCAGGTCCTTACAAATTTCTTTAAATGATTTATTGTCCCAGTCCTAACTCTTTTGAAAACTTTTGCTGGTGTGTTTCTTCCAAAGCAACAACTCTTTTTAGTTTCAATCTAATATTTTGTCTTATTGTCTTATTTGTTGCAATATTGTTAATTCAATAAAGGGTTTGGGTCATATTACAACCAACATATTAGGCCTTTATTAAAAGTATACACAGCACATCTTATTTTACTGTCCCAGTATGATTTATTTATTCTTATTTATTTATTTATATTTTGCTGCCTATGTTAAGTTTTGAGGCGATAGAGATGTACTCAGGCATATAGCAGTGGGATGACCCCTTGAAGTGGGTGGAAGGGAGAGTTTTTTTTGTTTATTATTGTTATCTTTGTGTGTATGGATGTTATGTTTGATGTCCTGTCAGGTATGAGTATGTTGGAAAAATTAATAAAAAGTATAAATCTGAAAAAGAAAAAACAGTACGCACAGCGCCTCAACTTTTTGAAGACTTCTCAAAGACTTTTTTTTTTTAATCATACATCTTAAATCAACAAACATCTATTCATACACTGTCTTCTTTAAGAGGGAATGAAAATATAGGAAGTGGTATGAAGTCATCAAGCCTCACTCAGGGTTCAGATTGCTCTTATGTGTGTAGTTTTTCATTACGGTAACAAGATAAGCTCTTACACCCCAGTTTTTCAATCATTTTTAGAGTTATTTGAGTGTTGCTAAGTGTATCAGGATGCAAAAGTGTAAAACTTGTCTGATTTCTTCATGGTGGAACAGTGACATGACCCCTGACCCCTCCATCATTCTTACATCTTGCAGGCTGGAAGTATTTCTCCTGGATGGTGGCGTACAGCTGCAGCGTCAGTTGAGGTGTAGAGCCCAGAAAAGCCTGGATGACCGCCGTGCGTTTGAAGGCGTTTCTGTGCGCGGCCAGGGTCCGCTCTGATTGGCCGATTTCCCACTCCATGGGTAACCCCTGTCCCTTCTTCAGATGGATTTTTCTGGAGATGGTGACATAAGGTTCTTCTTTTTTACCAGCTTTGTAGTAGACCACCACGGCTTCAAGACACCTGAGGACACAAACAGAGGAGCGAAGGAGAGTGGAGTTATAGCTCTGCACCAACAGAGGGCAGTGTACTGTCAGGTTAAAGTTCCCACAGCGGTCCAATGTGAAGTTTCCTCTTTAACATCAACATTTAAGACTGTGTGTGAGAATTTGAAGGTGTGTTGAGCAATAAAAGCAGCATAAAATACTAAATTAGCACAGAGAGAAGATAAATATCACTCATTTATAGTTGCAGATTGTTTAAGTGCACTGAATTCAAATTAAATATATTTAATAAGTATTTGCCAAAACCACATTACTGATTTCATAGCTGGTGAGAAATCTATCGCAAACAGACCTTTCTTTGTCAATCACAGCTCAGCAAACACAAACACAGCACTGAGGGACCACCAGAGGGCAGCCACAAGACAGGAAACACACCCTGAGGCCTTAATGCACACACAGAAAATCTCTGGGTGTGGTTCTCTTAATGTTTGCAAGGTAAATGCTCTCTGTGTTTCAACACAGCCGAGGAAATAAACACCATCTATGAGGAAAAACATGCAAGAGATTTCCTTGTAAACGTGCAGACTACTTACTCTAAGCTGAGTATGCAAACTGTGAACAAACAGCTGAGGTTTATAGTAAATATATGTGTTCTTCTATCAAATAATGACCATTTAAACGCTTCTTAGCTGGATATGAGACCCAAGTGACAAACAAAGCTCAAAATATTTAGAACCAAGCGATCAACGGGGAAACTACCTAAACTGGAAGTGCAAGGTTTCCATCAGCCTACGGCAAAATGTCAGCACAATAATCCCTGAATGAAGCATCTGAATTGATCCGCAGCGTTACACATCTGCGCCGCTCATAAAAACACAAACAAACCCTCCCTTTTCGGAGGATTCCCACCCCGGCTCTAATTCTCACATCACTGCGCAGGAATGTTAACTTTTCCGCCAATATCTCAAAGAATGAACCTCGAGACCCTCAGAATGGAGACTCCCACATAAATCCACTCCATCGCAGTTTTCAGCGTTGTGGTCTTATGATACTCAGGAGTCAGTCAGACATTTTCTGAGTCAGTTGCTTCGGCTGCTGCTCATGAGGAAACTGCACTTCACTGACAGTGCAAATGCGGCACGGTGCCAGGCATCACACATGCCCCTGAACTGTGTCTGACCCAAACGTCTGAGCCTGGCAGGGGAAATGTTGTCGTTATTTGAAGACTAAAAGCGGGACACGCTATATTTACCCCTGCCGTGGGCATACAAGGTCATTCAACTTTAGTCCACATTAGAGTTAGGGCACAAAAACCTGATTTACTGACATCCATTCCCTGGAAATCTGGCAGCACAATGGGCTGAGGAGGCAGTTTGAACGTGCTGAACCAGAGCCAGCCTTCAGTGCACTTAGGATTCTGTAAAGCGACCGAGAGACAGACTGGATTTCACTTAGGGGAAAAGGAAAAGGAGCTCTGATGAATGCATTAGCCAAATGAATTGATACACAGACTTCCAAGGCAGCAGCAGCTCATGGATTTATAGAAAGAAACACGGGCTTCTGTTCTGTATTTGCAGTCTAAACATGCAGTCTGCTCTGCTCATGGTATGTGAACACAGCAGTATGCTGCAACAAACGACGCATGAAGAAGAAGAGGAACTGCCTCTAAGAGGAGTCAACGCACTCCTCTGACATCTTAAATACTGAGTCTTTTTATCTGATGGGCGGCAGAGCGTTCAGGAAATTCTGTCAGCTGTGCTTCAGCGAGAGCGGCTTGTTTTGGTCACTGTGGATTTCACCATCCTGCTCATCGTGCTCATCAGCAGCCAAGAGACTTCCAACCACAAAGAGATGCAAAACAAGCAGCTTGCATGCTCAGACTGGTCCAAGTGTCATTACAGAGTCTCTGCTTTAGGATTACATACTCCAGCAACAAGTTGAGACAAAGCCCACCCTGTGGCGGAGAACCTGACCCTGACTCCTCAGTGTGAATTTTGATCATGTGGAAACTGTCAAACTTTTTCCCCGACTCCAAAACTTACATAAAAGCCCTGAAAGAATAAAAAATGTCAATTTGTGTAAAAGAGGTTTAATTGGTGTGTTTGAAAGCACAGTGACAAGATCAGCCATTACGCTTTCCTGAGTCATACAGGAAGCCTCCCATCTGAGCCAAGAGCAGCAGAGGTGATTTGTTTACAGCAGCACAGCATGCAATAAGAAGAGCTTGAAATAAAACAGAGTTAACAGAGCCTGGAGCATGTACAGTGAGAAATGTTCTGCAATCACAATAAGTGTTTGTTTCCTGGCTGAACAAAAGATGCTTCAGAAAGCAGCAAGTTCAGATAAGACGCGCAGCAGGTACAGTTGCAGTATATCAGAAGCTGTCCCATGAGTCTGCGCTGTTGTAAATCACAAGCAGCATGAAAGCATTCTTAGCTAGAGGAAAGATGTGCTCAGGATCATAAAAAGGTGTGCGTTACTGAGAGGACAGCTGCTTCAGGTTTTCTCAGCTTATTTTTTTTTTCTAGTGGAGGAATCCAGGAGAGTTTCAGCCATGCTAGCTATGCGGCTATCTGCACACACAGTAGAGGCACAGCCAGGACTCTTTTGACTGCGGTGAGCAAATATGGACTCTGGCTTTTGCAGGAGTGGCATGAAGTATGTTTGCATGCACACACAAAAAAGACGCTGGTCCAAAATCACAATTAAAAGTTTGATAAAATGAGTTTACATGCAGAGAAAGCTTTGAACACACACTGAATAACTGATTTTAACATAGGTTATGCCTCCCACAAGGAAAATGACAAATCATTCAGTAGGATTTTAGAGTAGCTAACAGGGTGGCCATTAAGCCACACGGGCCATGGCCACCCCTTTCATTTCCCCCAGATCTGCCCCTGCCAGACTGAAACTTTTATACATTTCGTTAATTGTGATAAATTTTGCATTGAGAGATAAATTTGCTGTTTTCATCTGACTTGTAACAAATCATGCATTTGACAGCTTTTCTTTAAAATATAACAAATTATTTTGAGGTTCATAAAATTACACTTCACTGATTTAGTTTCCTTTCTGGTAACATCAGATAAATGCAAAATTATCTACACAGCAAAACCAAAGTTGCGATTTGAGGGACTGCGTGCTTTTCATATCCTCATGAAAACCTGGTTTCTTCTTTACTCAAAACGCAACTTGATGTAGCCTCGAGTCAGGGGGCCAGACACAGGGGTGTGTAAATTCTTCGGAAGTCTGGAAAACTTGTTTTCTTCTTGCTGTACTTCCTACTTTGTAGTTTTTAAATCACCCACCAATCCTGAATGAAAAAAACTCTCCAACTTTGAAATATGTAGTCCTTCGATAAAACCTTGTGTAAATATACAGATGTCCTTTAAGGCTTTCTGGGACTGATATTGACAATAATTTAAAGAAACAACATAGAAATATATCTTTAAATGTATCTGTGGGTTTTCTTACATAGCACAGTATATAATTAGCTGAGTATTTTTAAACTTGAAATATAAACTTGTCAGTGCTCCATGGTGGCCCAATCCCAAGACTTCGAGACGTTCGCTCACCTTGAGTGTGGGTCATGATGGTGTTAATGAAATAGCACTTTCTTATACCTTTACTTTACTTTACCTCATGACAAAACTGATGAAACCAAGTATGGCTATATAGAATGTATGAATATATGAATATGTAGGTGTTTGTTTTCAGACGTGTGATCTGGGGCAGATCAGGAGGGTTTGCCATGAGTAGCATAGGTCCCGTTGAAATCTTCGTGGCCAAAATCCCGAGATATTGTTCGCTGTTTGCCCTATCAGAGATGACTAAAGTAAAAATTAGCTATTGTTGGTAGCGCTCTGTGCATTACAATTACATTCAGAAGATTTATAAAAGAGTGCAGATTATTTAGTGTTAGTAGTTAAAAGACATTTGTGAGGATAGAAATGGTAAACAAAGCTATTTCTACACCTACTGCACACATTAAAGTCTGGTTCCACCCCTGAGTGTTTTATTAAGAAACTGAGTCTAAGTCCTCATATTTATTCAATTTCAAGCCCCCATGGGTCCACACATTTCGTGCCTTAATTCAGCTTTGTGTAAGAGGGTGTGGTGTTCAGGTTTTAGGGTGGAGTTTGAGACTGCGCCAGTATCACTGTTTAACTAGGTTTATATTAGCCTATTTACAGTATCTGTCTCGCTCTGAAAACAAAGAACCGCCTTCAAGTCAGAGCCTGAAACCAGACCTCCTCACCCTCCAAAGTAAAAGTCTTTCTGTCCAGCTGTGTTGGAAAATCAAAGTAGACATCATGGATAACGTCCAGACTGCTGTCGATAAATCTCCTCCACTGCAGTTTCTCTGCAAGTTCATCACAACCAAATAATTTTAAATCCTGAAAGCAACAGCGAAGATTTCTGTGTTGGCTGAAAAATCCTATAATGCAAAACAACAGACTGAACGTGTGGGCGCTCTAAATCTCTCACTACAGATTGAAATAGACGGTGGAGCTGCAGGTGGTCAATGACATGTGTGGCTTTATCTCCAATGTGTAAACGGATAATTATAGACCTGTGGCTGACCTTGGTCTAGTTAACTGTGGGAACTATGAATCTGCATTTAGCCCCGCGCACAATTGGCCTCCTGGTAAAACTATTGACGTTGTGTGACATTAACCTGATTTGTGTAGTGAAACTGTCTTTACTGTATTCAGAGGAGTTTTGTCTGTTACATGCTCTATATCACATAGCAGTTGCACTCGAGTGTTTGCTCAACACCCACGACAAAATCATTTCCTGTCTTCTGCATACCATAACAAAGAGTTTCACATCTGTAGCTCTCACTAATCTTTATTCTCATGCTTTAAAAAAAAAGCAATACTGAAAATACTTGTGTTTTGTTTCTGGAAACTGTTTAAATTCATTCACACCCTCGAGCAACTCTGCAAATAAGTTCCACAGAGCTGAAGAGAAAGGTGAATTTCCAGCCTCGTAAAAAAGAAACACACCCTTAAATCACACTCTTGTTGTAAATGGGCAGCACCCCAAGGGGAATTGTCCACGACGTCTCAAAGTTCAGAGCGACAGAGAGTATCAAGTGTACATTTGAATCTCAGAGGACTTAGGTGCAAGTCTCCGCCTCTGATGTGACTCACGGTTTGTCAAACAGGTCTCTGACCTCGAATCAACCCACACTGAAGTGCAGCCCTCCTGCTTTCAAACAAAATACCTCCACCAACAAGAAAAAGAAACCAGATCTATCTTTCTTTTCGGCTTTGAAACCCTTATCTTCAGAAGTGATTTAGACAAATTAGTTCTGGCCTGTCGCATATGATTTTTCCCCTCCCCTTTCATTTCCAGGAATAACTCAATCTTTTCCTATAAGTCTTAATGGAAAACTCCTCTTGCTTCATCTCTCTCTCTCCTTTTGAGACAACCCAGTCTGGTCTGTGGACTGACTGGTTTGGACACAGGAAGCATTTAGGTGTCCTAATCCTGAAGCTGATGTCATTCAGCCGAGCAGCTCCCTACTTATGAAGGATGTGTAACAAGGGAGGATGTCAGCTCTGCAGAGCCAGTCGACCAACTTGTTTTAGAGTCCACACTGCAGAGGGGGAGGGGGACAGAGTGACCCAGAGGACATCATAATATCATCACATCACGGAGGATTAAAAAGCTGTCCAAAGTCAGAGCTTTCGATATTTGAAGACAATCTTACAGTAGAGAAGAAAAAGATATTAATATGTGACAGAAATGTGCCCTCTCATTACTGTTGTTGAAAGGCTGTAATCAGTCGATCCACTAATCTACAGCATGCTCAACAGTTGGGAGGATGTGTGAGGTTGTTATGTTCTGTCTCATGTTGCTCACACTGGACAGGCTCTCCATCTGGAGTGTGATTAGGATGATAATCATCAAATCTGCATATCTCTCCCAGTCCATGTCAAAAAATCAAAAGATGCCATGATTCTCCAACACAACTAGAACTGTTTCATTTGGACTATAAGATGTAGCTGATAAACATATGAAAGTGTAATGCTGGCCATACATTATCATTCATATTTCTTTTTAAATCAGAAAAATTATTAAATTTGCAAAGCTTTTACTTATCAGTGTATATTTCCTTTAGTTTTGGCATTTTAAAGACATCCTTCACAGTGTTTATTTTGCCTCCAGGAGGTTGTTCAATCAGAAGAAGGATCAAATCTGTTTTGGGCTCCTTCAGGGTTAACGCCTCCTCTCTCTCTGTCTTTCTCTCTTGGCTTTCTTTCTCTCTCTCCCTTCTCACTTCATGAGGTCTTCATCATCAGGTCTCTTAGCACCAAAAGCCTTTCTCCTCAAAACAATGACTGACAGGGTCTACCCCTAAGCTCTCAAACTGCAGCACTCACTTCTGCATGCTTGACTCTATTGTATGATACAAACAGCTCTTACAACATTTTTCAAAGCTAGATGTGTGCTCACTTACACCAGTTAAGTACAGACAGCAACCAGACCTACGTTAAAAGACAGTTTCGATGATGACGCAGTCAACCTGAGACCCTCTGGCAGGGGTTTGCAAACAGAGAGAGGCCTCATCACTGTAGTTAGAAGTCAAGATTCAGGGGCATTAAGAAAGCTCCTACCAGAGGATCTCACTTGCATCATGGCCATAAAATCTTAAGAGATATGCCTGACCTTGAAATCTTCAAATCAATTCTGAAACTAGCTGTGCAGCAGCATTTTGCATGAGCTAAAATTTGGGAATGTTTCTCTTACTTAACTCAGAGTAATGTGCAGAGGAGTAATCATGATTAATGTGATAAATATGTGAATGACTGAAAATTAAACAAACTGAAAAAAAGAGAGGAAACCTGGGAATAACTCTCAGCTTCTAAGGAAGAAAAGTATCTTCATTTTGAAAATGTGACATTAGTCTGCAGGATATTGTTGGAGTCCATAAATGTAGCTGGATGCTTTTAGTTCCTCTGTAAAAATTCCCTGCATGTATTCCATTTGCTGCACCTGACTGTGACTGATGAGTAGAAGCTGCACATTTTGTTATGTTAAAAAGCTGACTAAATAGAATATCTCGTTTTACATGTTATATAGCTGGGCTTTGCAAACATCATGCACTCTGATCAACCTCAGGGATTAGATTTCGGTTTCGGTTTTGCCCGGACAAGGATGCACACTGTCAGAATATGTATTTCTAGTCTTTTGTCCTTACAACAGGTAATAAACAAAACTGCATTTTTATTGGGAAATGAAGAACTTTCTTAGTTACACAAACTAAAACATCAAACTCAGCTATGATAAATCATGCTGAATATTGTAAGAGCCTTTCTTGAATCTGACCAGTTTGTGGATTAAGATTAGGAATGAATCATCGTGAAAAGGAGGGATTAACAGTCCTACATTTACAAATGTTTTCATTGTCTGTTTTTTTCCATTATGCAAATTTAACAGTGCATCACATTTACAAAGCTGCAACCAACAGACAGGTTGTATTTTTTCCACAAATTGAATTTTCTGTCTAGTTAACACTCAGTATAATGAGCCTCTATGTGGTCAACAATGAAAATGTTAAAACTGCTCTAATTTTTATCATCCGATTTTAAGTCATGACTTTAAAATACTCTGAAATATGCTGACTTGTGATTTTGCGAATGTCCTGATAAGCTGCCTTCAGGAGAAAAATACGCAGACTGTTGTGGTTTGTGGTCAACAGTCATTGTCATGCTGACGATGAGGCTCAAGACTCACCCTTTTATATTTCTCTTATTGCAAATGTTCATTTTAATCGATGATCTTAATGTTTCTTTTATGTCATTTTATCAATTATCTCTGTTCTTAGTCTTTTTTTAGAATTTTTCCATCATAGAGGTTTTTACTTCTTTTACCCCTTTTTTATATGGTAAAGAGCTCTTAATTATTTGTTCATTTATTATGATTTTCTTGTTTTAGTCCATCAGGTTTTACTCTTTCTTTTTACCATTTCATTCTTTATCTTTATCTCCAGTGTTTGCCAAAGGTAGCGCTTTGCTCACATAATGTGACAGTGTCAGGCCATGTCTCTTTAACAATATATCTTGAATTCTCACTTTGTGTAAGCTTGTGTGTGTGTATGTGTGGGTGAGTGAGGGTGTGTGTGTGTCTGTGTCTGTGTCTGTGTGGGTCCATGGGTGGGTGTGTGGGTAAGGTTTTATTGTTGTTTAATTGTTGTATTTTCACTTTCAACTACATCTTTTTATCTGAAAAGTGCCATACAAATAAAGTTGAATGTGAATTTGACCCTCCCCTGGCCCACCTGGACACCTACCTGATGACAGGGCCGAGAAGCAGCAGGTGCATCAAGAGCACGAGAGGCCGGTCCCTGCCCAGGTCCCTGTGGATGAAGGTGAGCGTGAGCTGGATGAGCACGGCGGGCACCAGCATGAAGGTGATGGTGAAGCCCATCCAGATGTTGTCGTCGGTCTTGTGGTACATGCTGCAGAGGACTGCGCCTGTGATGAACTCCGCAAGGTACAGCAGGGTGGCAAACACCACGCTGAGTGGGGCATGGACCTGGCTGTGATTCACTACCATCATGACCCCATTCTCCGCCACGGAAGGTTGCTCCTGCGGCTCTATGTCCGAGATCTCCCTCTCCTGCTCCTCCATGGCCACCTCACACATTGTTTGATAAAGTTGGAATGGTGTGCTACGCTGCGGGACACGCTAAAAGACGCCGGACTGGGCTCGTCCCGCAGAATCGCGTTAAGAAAACATCACTTTTTCAGAAGATTTCCCTTAATGCGTCTTTTCGCCCAACTTCCCACGAAGCTGATCATCGCTGACTTCACATTGCGTTTCGGTTCTCAACTCGGCGTTGCAGTGACTCCTTTTACGTCTGCTGTATCCTCGTACGTGGCGTCACCACCCTGTTAAATCCAGAGGACACACCGCCGTCAGTGTCCGCAGTGATATCAGCGCCGTGTCTACGCCGTCAGTGTCCGCGAGGATTTGGCAAAGTTCAGCCCTGTCATGATCTGCCGTTAAAACGCAAACTCAGCTCGTTCAAAACCTGATATTACCCGTGGCTAAAGTCTGAGTAAACGTGTTCCTCTTCGTGAAAAGGCACACCTGCAGCTGTCTAGTATGGCTGTACGCTGTGGGAGATCCGGGTGTCTCCCTGCCGGCATACTTCAACGGCTGCTTGTTAGCCGTGTTTCACTCTCTACGATTCAGTTAGTGTCGCGGCTGCGTCAAGTTAGACGTCAACGCGGGGGGTGACACCGGAAATGGTGGGCGGCGGCCTTCAAATTAAGAGAGATAAAATATAAGAACGTTTACACGCCCCAAAAAATTACCGTGTCAAGACGTGTCGGTCGCCGAGAGTTGCTGTGATGATGCTCGAGCTACGCAATCTTTGTACGCTTATAGGCTGTATCAAGTGTCAATCATAGAAAACACGAACCCCCAACTAACTTCGTTATCCATTATCCTTTGGTACCCTGATATGATAAGATTAATAACTCTTTGTAATGGGAAAACTAGCCTTGTAATCACTAGATCTGAAAAAGAAAATCTAAAATTAACTCTTATCACAGAGGTACATGTAGCATACCTACTTTGAAAAATCTACAGAATGCAGACATATTGTAGAGCATGGTATTTCTAACAAAGCTGTATTCTACTGAACATAGAATAAGCAGTAATCCAAAAGGCTGATGCCAGCCGGAGGTAGCTGAGCTTTACCTAAAGACTGCATGCAGAGAGAAAAAACAAGCTAAGGTCGTAGGAGAAGAACATTTCCCACAGATTCTGTAGGATTGCAGAATAACTTGTTTGTTTCTCTTTGCAAACATATTATAGTACGACATGTTAGACCTGAAGAAGGTTCTATGTTTGACTCTTTCTTGGTCAATTGCTGTAAACTTATTGGAGTCTACGTCCAACATTAAACTCTATCCTAAATCAGTAAGAAACCTATCACTATAGGTGTTTTGTTCATAACCTGATTTTCACATGAGGCTCACTGGTTTCAGACTTTTCAATAAGCACAGGTAAGTAGCTGCTTGCATCATATTTAGTGAATAATACAGAAGAATCAACAGATCTAACGTCTAAGAACGAAATGAACGAGCAAGGGAAAAAAAGGGAAAATTCATAGTGAAACTTGAACTGAAGATAAAACAAGATAAATTCCCCACAGTGGGGAAATTTGCATTTGAAACAGCGTTGTGTAAAAGTGATTAAACATGTCTTCTGATTGTTAGTGCTATTTTGAGCAGCACACCATAAACTTTAACAACAACTACTACTAAACACTGTAACTAAGGGCTGCTACAGATACCATGATTACCACTTCTGCTGCAGTCTATCTAAAGCAGTAAATATCTGTAAGGAACAAATAAAGGTTTGTTTTGAACCCGTACACATTGTTAATTCTAGAATAATGTGGAAAAATGTACTGTAAATTTTATTATATACAGTATTTGTTCCCTCCTAATGGCAGCACTGTAGAGGGCGAGCACAGAAGGATCAGTTTCTCTACACTTCCATTTTTAGTTTCCACCAGCAGGGAGGTCTTATCCTCGTTGTGGTGACCTGCAAGTAAACAGGTGCAGCACAGAGAGAGAGAGAGAGAGAGAGAGAGAGAGAGAGAGAGACACTCTATCTCCTCAGACACATCTTTACAATGCAATATAAAACTGTTTGATAATGATTCCTGTTTGACAAGTCTACACAAGAGACACATACATTTTGAGCAGGGTTGGAGATCAGTTGGATGTTTTCTTAACCACATATGCAAACAAGGATTACCTTGTTTGAAAAGAGCTCGAGGAGAGCAACAAGCTGAAGTGGCATGATTGTTTTAAAAGCCGCCCTGTCTTAAATTACACTGAAATACCTATCTCTGACTTCCATAATGAGTGTTATTTCCTCTTCAACTTCAAAACAACAAAGGGAAGTTGAACTGTGGTACAATTTCGATACAGCTCACCCCAAACACCCCTGACCTGTCTCCCTCTCCCAGATGACATCCAGACTAAGTCTACGACATCATTTTGGCAGGCTGTATGAAAATGAAAGCTGGTCTTTACTAATGCATGGGTCTGGTGATGCAGCGGTGTGGGTCAGTGATTTCAGACTGCAGGGACTGTGCGCTCCGTGCAGCTGAGGAGGAAATGGAAGACGGAAACATTGTTATCACCAGTCATGTACACAATGACAGTGTCCAGTGAGGCCGGTGAAGGGATCCTCATTTGTCTGTGTTTGAAATTCTTTACAAGCTTCCTGTCTTTGTTGCTTTAAAGGTATAGAGGTACATTTGCGAAATATTTGGTAACACTTTGCATGAACTGGCACATAACCACAGATGTGACTTCAACTTCCTTTTTATACACCAGGATTGTTTATCTTAATCTTACAAGACGAGTGGTATCAATTTTCTAATTCGACTTTGAAAAAGCCAGTCGATTACTGGATTTCATAAATCTAATTATTCCTTTAACATTTCACAACATGATAGAGCAGAAGCTCTCAAACAGCCTGACAGTAACCCAGACTGCAGATTCAGCAGTCGGGGGTCTGTCAAACATGTTTGCAATGTGGAGAGCGGGAGTAGATGGGGGTGCGGTTCTCAGCTGCTGCTGTTTTTGCAATGTGAACGCATGAGTTTGTGTGTGTGTGTGTGTGTGTATCAGCTGACACAGGGCTGTGGTCAGTCTGGGATGAGTCCACTCAGCAGAGGAGGCAGAGCCTGATTGGACGTTAAGATAATGACATAATGAGATCAGGCTTGCTCACACACACAGAATTGTTCCAAGTTAAATTATAATTTCATTTTATTAGCAGATGCTCTGTTCCTTTGCTTCCTGTCCATGTTCCTGCTACACTGACATTGAAATGCATTGGGATAAAACCTACATTGCTACATTGAAATGAACAGTACGATAAAGGGAGGATACCATCTAACATTAAAAAAGACATATTTAGAAGTACAGCTGGGATTAAACCAAGATACAATGCTGGTGAAAACTCTTTTTTTAACTTAGCGAAGACTTGACTATAGATCCTTTATTTTTAACAAAGAGATTCTCAAATACACAGCAGCAGCAGCAGGATGAAAATAGATACCGTGACTGTGACACCATCTAGTGGTGCTTCTCTACAGAATGTGTGTGATTGGCTTAATTGTATTATTGTATTACACTATTATGCAATGCTGACCTGGCCTGTAACCTCTATTATAATCTACTGTCAGATAGTTACATTGATCTCATCAGGACAGTTGTTTAAATACTCATGCATGACGTGTGTGCTCAAAGTACATTGATACTTAATTTGCCTTCTGTCATTTTGGTCATGAAAAATGATGCATACAGTCCTGTGCAAAAGTTTTAGGCAGGTGTGAAAAAATGCTCTAAACTAAGAAATATTCAAAAATATAGATAATGATTGTTTAATTTTTTTCAATTTACAAAATGCAGAGTGAGCGTGCAAAAGAAGAATCTAAATCACATCAGTATTCGGTGTTACTACCCTTTGCCTTCAAACCAGCATCAATTCTTATAGGTACACTTGCAAGAAGTCAGGGGATTTGTAGGATCATAGTCAGGCGTATGATCAACCAACAGGTACTAATGCTCATCAGTGTTACATGTAGGTTGAAACAAAGTCATGAACTGAAACAGAAACCGCTGTGTAGGAGGTTTAAAACTGGGTAAGGAACAGCCAAACTCTGCTTCCAAGGTGAGGTTGTGGAAGACAGTTTCATGTCAACAAGAAACAAGGTAGTTATATTGCATCAGCAAGGTGTCTCCCAGACCAATATTTCAAAGCAGACTGGTGTTTCAAGATGTGCTGTTCGAGCTCTTTTGAAAAAGCGCAAAGAAACGTGCAACACTGAGGATCGTAGACGCAGTGGTCACCCAAGGAAACTTAGTGCAACTGGTGAAAAACACATCAAGCTTCCTTTTGAAATCAAAAGATGTCCAGCAGAAACCAGTGAGACCCAGCAGGTACACCTATCTACTGTCCAGAGAGGTCTGGCCGGAAGTGGTCCTCAGAGTTGCAGCTAAAAAGCCATAACTTGGATATGGAAACAAAGCCAAGCGACTCAACAATGCACAAAAGCATGATGATTCAAAGTTAATGACACATACAGCCGATAGTTTGACAGACATATTGAATTTCCCTTCGGGGATAAATTAAGTTCTTCTTATTCTTATATAAATACACATTTCTCTAAATATATGCCTCAATTTACATTTTCTATGTTATCAGTAGTTTTATCTGCACAAATAGATAACAAATATTCTCATTCATAATGATTGAAAAATAAGTATATTTCATTGGAAATCTTAATTGATTTTCACACTTTTCAATAGGCTGTAAAATATCAGAGCAATAATATCCGAAGGGTTCACTTTTTAATGTTCTGTTTAAGATCACATTAATTCGAACAACACAAACAAAACACAGAACAGCTAATTACACATCTTTTGATTTTTTAACCGATAAGCTAAATGTCATTTTCACACTGTTATTTATAAAACTATCCTCTCACTAAACGTAGTCCAATTAAGACAAGAGAACAAAAGTCCAGAGTAAGCCAATAGTCCAAATTACAACCTCCAACATTGCATGACAACAGCTGCCCATCACCAGAGATATCATGTCTTTATCTTCTTGAGTGACTAAAGTTGTGCAGTCTAAATCTGTCCAATTGTCTTTAGGTGACACTTTCGGACTTCAGCAGGAACAGGTTAAGATCACAGCACGTCACACATCACACCACAAGCCACATTTAGTTCTTCTGGGCGGATACATGCCCCTGCATTTAGAGTCGTTAAAGATGGACCACGCTATCCAATAGGACTAACGATTGGCTGGGGAAACTCAGTGATTGGCTCAAGTACCAATACAACGCTTCCCAGTTTGTACCTCCCACATGAGGTGACTAAAAGCTTAGTGTGAGCCTGATTAGATTTGAAGCTGGTGGGAACAGGATGTTAACAGAGAGCACAACCCAAACAAATGCATGGACGTAGACCCTCTTCTGTAAGTATTCTTATTCTTTCTGTAAGAAAGCTTTATGGATTTTCAGTTTAGTCTGCAAATATAACATTGATTTAATCATTTAATCAGTGATGCTTCCAGCTGAGTGTCCCCTGAATTTAAAGTGCTTCTAGTTGTGGACTTCTCTTTACTTTAACCTCCATGTGCACTGTTTGGTTGTTGTATTTTTGAACCCACACTGGCCTGTTATCTGTGATCTCTTCATCAAAATAAACATATTAGTTTTTATAAAAGAGTCATCTAAAGATCAGTCTGTTGGAGGTTTGATTTTGATTTCAGAAGTTTTTATGTTATTTTGCAACAGCTTTTTGTTTCTGTTGGAGTTTTTTTTCACCCGTTATTCTTTCATGTCATACTTTCTCTCCAATTTTACTAATACTGTTATCACTTTAATCAACATAGATATTAAAAAAAATGCAATTTTACTACCAACACAAAACTTTAAATGGAATAAAACAAAAAACAGACAAACAAAAAGCGATCACGTGTCTCTCATGTAAAGCAAAGACAAACATCTTTTATATCCAAGATGTGACCGAGCTCACAACCTGCACATTTGGTCCTGACAGCTGATCTGGTCGTACGTCACTAACTGCTAGTATGAGCTGTTGCATTAACTTGTGATTTCCGTCACTTTGTCAAATATAGAAAAGCATCCTTAGTTAAACTTTGGGCACATGGTAATTACCTCACTAACTCCTACAGCCAAAACAAAATGGGTCAGCTCGTTAACATCCCTGAAAGCAGGCCGTACTAAAGTGACTTGACTTGAGCAGATTACTCACCCTCAGCAGATGCTCTGACAAAGGACTGGAGATCTGCTGGGGTTTTTTTTAGCATATGGTCTGACTGTCTGAGACATACCTGCTGCTTGTTTATTGGAAAGCTAATGGCTTTGCAATACACAATAAAACAAAATGAAACCATTCATTGGGAAAAATGCAAGAAATTATCATGTTTGAGCTTAACTGCTGATGAAATCCTGTTTATTATGGTTCTGATTGACTATTGATCGAATAAATTAAAGATAAAAAGCACGCAACAGACTGGTAGCTTAGAGCTATAGGTTCTGGGATGGCAGATAGAGACTTTTGGCAGGCTAGGTGTTGCCTGATGTCTGACCACCTGTGAAAGTGTCTTAAGTCCACAGCAGACACCAGGTGTCCTTGTTGTGAACCTGGCCATGACCCAGTGTTGATTCAAGCTATCAGCTGCAATGATGTGTGAATGTTTAAATCACATTAACCATCTGTCTGCAGGTACCAGTTCCAGAGAAAATGGTGGCCGCTGTGCTCACCTTTCTCACTGCAAGTAAACATGTTCAACTTGTTGAGCAACTGCTGCACCTGGGTCTCCAAAATACAGGAGCCAATCAGGTAAAAATAATACTTTATCTTGAATATCAGTGCAAGATACATTTCAGATACATTTGGGATAAATTAAAAGGCAGTTTTAGAAGTTTTCTCACCATCCGCTACTCCTCAGTTTCCCGTCCACCCAGGTTAAGAGTTTAGGTGTCTCTGTCACTCACTCAGTATATTTCTATCTACATAACATCAATCGCCTCTACTCATCCCTCACACCAACATCTACCATTCTTGTTGCTACACCCTGCCTTGATTACTGCGAAACCTTTCTTTTAGGTCTCTCTCTCAAGTCTGTCCACACACGTCACCTAATTCAGGACTCTGGGGCTCATATCACTGACAGAACCCTCTCTATTAATCACCTCTCAAAATCAATACCACATAGATTTACAAATTCTGCTCCTCACCTTTACAGCCATCCATAACCTGGATTCTCAGTGTCACTCTGAATTCCTGCACAACAATACACCCACCTTCACTCTTGGGTCTTTTTCCATTCACCTGACTGCACTACACCCCACTCAACCATCATGGGTCAAGAGTCTTTAGCCCCCTGCCCCTCATCTCTGAAACTCTTCCTTTATCATTTATAGATCTGGACACACAACGCTTTTAATTTTCATGTTTTTCCATTTTTTTATCTGCCCTACAAGAGAATCTTAAGAATTTCAAAAGACATCAACAAATAAATGTATTATATTTCATGTTTACTGTTAATCATAACTTACTGTCTCCCTGTTACTTTGGTGAATTTCCTGCAGGAAAGCCACCGTTCTTGTGGTTGGTCTAGATAGAGCAGGAAAAACATCTTCCATCAGAGGGATGCTAAGAGGTAACTAGAATTTAAAACAAACAAACAAACAAAAAAAAACAGTAATGAATTCACTTTTCTTTCTTTTTTAAACATCCTATTCTTTTTGTCTTTCAGTCCCTCATGGTGTTGAAGCAGGACCAACCCAGGGCTGCATCAGACATGAGCTCAGGGTGGAGAACTACCTGGTCAACCTGCTGGATGTTGGAGGGTCGGCAGAGTCAAGAGGAATCTGGCGGGAGCTCTGCGGGGAAGCCCACGGGATTATCTTTGTGGTGGACTCCAGTGACAGGCAGAGGATAAAGGAGGTCAAGGAGGTTCTGGCTGAGCTGCTGAAGCAACCCAGGGTGGCAGGCAAACCCCTATTAGTGTAATCATATTTTACTTCATACACAGTCCTGCTTACAGTTAAAACAGCACCCTCTGGTGGCTGATTTGCTTTAACTGTGAGTAACCCTGTCCTCTCCAGGCTTGCAAACAAACAGGATAAAATGAATGCTCTGCTGGGAAGTGAGCTGATCGAGATCCTATCACTGGAGAATCTGGTCAACCAGAGTCGCTCTCTTTGCCATATCGTAAGTGATGTTCCAAACTCTACGGAAAATGTGACTAAAAATCTCACAGCACTGAAACAAACCAGAGATACAGTTACAGATTGTTTCTTTCTCTTCCTCAGGAGCCTTGCTCAGCCTTCATGGACCTGCGACGCTGGTCAGACAGAAAAACCTTGCGAGGCCTTCGCTGGTTGCTGCGTGCAATCTGTCTGGACTACCCTGAGTTGTGTACTCGTGTGGCTCAGGACAGCAGGAGACCTTTGGAAGCAAGGGAGAAGGAGAAGAACTGGAAAACAGAGAAAAATCGCAGAAAACCCAAAGGAGAACGGTACAAAAGCTTTTACTTGCAACTCTATCAGACTCCTATTGTGCAGATCTAAGTAAACCTATGCATGACATGTTATATTTAAATGATTCCTTACCTCAGAACCCGATCCAGCAAGTCAGATATTCGACAAGTTCATCGGCCAAAAGGAAGGGAGAAAAACCCCAAGAGTGAAGGAAAACTGCAACCTATTCGAAGCATGCTGCAAAAGGTTAGAGGCAACAACTGTCTCCCTTTACAAATGTTGCATTTTGAACAGCATTATCTTAGAAGTGGCACATATATAGAGAGAGCTGACTTTTCTAGCAGATTGCCAACCTGATTAGAGTGAGCAGGACCTTGGTGAGAAGCAAGGGTTCTTGTTAAACTCTAATTATTGATTCAGATATACTTTAAATGACTAAAAAATGATAATTTTCCTTCCACTGAAAATAACTCTTCACATCTACAGTTTGAGTTGTGTCCATAGTAACTGTAGCTTTTTTAGTCTGCCAAAAATGAGCAAACAGGCCTATTACTAAACTAAACACTTCCATAATGGTGAAGTAAAACAAGACAAGCTTTTAGACTCTATTCATCACTTGTCACTGGGTGTGTTTCGACCTGTATCCTTGGCAACAGTGTATTCTCCATAGCAACAGTCTTCTCTCAAGATGTATCAGACCTTTCTTGGAATATGAACCAATCAGAATCAAGATTTTAACACTGATGTATAATATAACTCAAGTACAAACCCTGCTCTTTTTTTCATCAACAGACATTTTTCAGTCCCTTATTTAATAAAGTGCTAAAAATGGTGACTGTTCTTCTCTGTTAATATTCCCAGGAAACATCTATCAAGAAGAAATTGACGACTAAGAAAAAGAAGAAACCAGTTAAGGTCAAAGAAAGTGGAAAAGATCAAGAAGCAGCTATTGATCATGATGAAGAAGAGGGTGACAGTAACGAAGGAGAGCAAGAAAACTTAGGTCACAGAGAGAAAGCCAACAGTGCCCTGATCCCCCCCAAAAAAGACAAACCTAAACGTAAATCAAAGGCGAAGGAGGAGACTGTGGATGTGCCAGAATCACCTGACAATGAGGAGAAGCCACTTAAAGGTAGAAATAAGTCATTCATTTCCTTTTATTTTGGTTATTAGCGGTTTAGGAGTTAAAATCTCAAATGTTTTCATTTTTTTTCCCCAGCCAAAAGCGAAAAGAAGAGGAAGAAGAAAGTTGTCAAGGTAAAGAGGAAGAATAAGATCAACACAGAAGAGATGTCTGGTGCTTATTCTCAACCTGTGGACCTGTCTGCAACCTTTGGTGAGCCTCATCCACTCCTTTCATCTCAAAATCCAACAACGTAACAATAAAATGACAGCTTTCATTTTAAAAAATGATGACCCTTGTCTCCTGATAGATCTTTACCGAAAAGCAATACTGGCTCTGAAGGAACGTCAGGATCAGGGACAGGGGGAGTGAAAACCCTGGTGTGAGGATGTGGTCAACAGCAGAAGTGTACTGGTCAAACTACAACCTTCCACTAACTTTTGTAACATTTTTTGTGTACTTTTTCTGATTTCTCCATCTTAATTCCTGTCTATAGATTTCGGACCTGACCCCTGAACCTTTGGAATAAATATGAATTCCACTGTGTAGTGAAGGGCATGCCTTCAAAAAAATCATGTAATGGCAGAAATCTTAATAATATAAAATAAGATACCAATCTAATTTAAGGTACATTTATATAAAAAGTAGACATTTTAAAAAGCTTAATTTAAAACTGCATACCTGGCCAAAATGTGAAAAAAATCTTTGTATTGATCCATGTAAATTTTGAATTATATTCTTTTTTAATTATTATTTGAGCAGTAGAGTATGTACTGAAAGTATGAGACATTGTTGATGTAAGATTTATAAAATTGTTCAATAAAATTTTCCACTTCTTGCATGGCTTCTTTCCTGGATCTTATTGTTCTGATCAAAAATAATCCCACTCAAGGGCCTCTCTCTCTTTTTTACCATATTCCACAATTACATATTTTACATCTGAACAGGCAGTTTAATAAAGACAGTATGACAGATTTTTATTTAATACTCTAGCTTCTGGGTGGTTTCTCTATTTCAAGAATGCTTTTAACAGTAATGATTGAAAGTGCTAACTCGACCAAAAATAAGCACAGTTTAAAGTGGTTTGTTGAGATATAACTAGTGTTTCTTGTAAATGCATCATATACAATACATTTTTTATTTTGGAGCTGTTATTGTCTAGTGCCTTCACTTCTACCTCAACTACTATTGCTACTACAAATACTTTCTTTACTGCTACTGTTACTTCTACCACCAGCTCTACTACTTTGACTTCTACTTCTTCTATTCTAAAACTATCACTACTAATATCACTACTACGACTACTTACTATCATACTACAACTAGTACTGCAACTTGAACTTATGCCACTCCTCACTTTTCTGTGTTTTAAGGTAATTTTCTTCTTCATACAAATTATGTGCAATTTCAGACATTTTTTAAGCCTCTTTCCGCATGAATGGAATTTCAATGTATGTAGCACATTCACACTACTTGTACTTAATCACTTTTTGCATTCATCCAACTTGTGTTTCTTTCTCGTCACCCCTTCAACAGTTTTTACATTCATACCTTCCGACATTTTTTTTAATTTTTTTTAGCAATTTTGCATTGCCTTTTCAGCTTTCAGCACTCAGCACTTCCATGCATTTTTTGCAAGGAAATACAATTTTTCTAGTTGATAACTAAATTCAGCTTCTTGATTCTTTTGAAAAAAACTCAATAACGTTTTCAAAATAGATTTAGGTAAATTATAGCATTCATACCACAATCTTGTTGTTAGCCTTGTATGCTAGGTTTCCAATCAGTTAGCTTAACAAAAACAAGGTAGAAAATTGGAAGTTTACCCGGGATTTCAACCGCATCCGGAACGGCTCTGATTTCCGGCGTACGCTAATTCCTACCGGGTCCGTTGGTGAGGCGAATTTCGTCCCGGATTACGGACAGCAGGAATCGTGGGAGCCCCAAATTTCTAGCCAATCAGAGGCGAAGGAGGGCGGGACCTTGCTCTACCATCCTACAAAAAAAAAATCGCATCCGGAAAAAATAGAACTCTTGCAATCAGCTGTGGAGTCTGGCATTCTGCAGTGGAACGAAAAGAAAACTGTGGAAATTGACGCATTAATTTGAATGGTTATGATCAGCTACAATCGGCTGATACGGCCTTTTTGTAGCCGTTCCGTATGCAGTGGAAATAGCTGTCTCAAAGAAAAATAACAACACACCAATTTGCTAGGATTCATAAAACTCTCAAATTTATACTTTTAATCCGTATACGAAAATCCAGAGTCACAAATGTACGCATTTTTTTTGTTGGTTGCCTAGCAAGCCCAATAAATCCGCTATTCGCAAAATAGCTCATGTACCTAGGTCCGTTAAGGCTCTCATAAAAGGAATTCAAAATTTGGTTTGAACCATAGGCTGTATACTATTATATTCTTTTATATATTATATTTATTCTGTTATATTCTATAGACAGTCTATGGTTTTAACAGTTTGTAGGCTATGTTTCTATGTTGTTGTCACACAACCATGGGGGACTTCTTACTTGCCCCATCCCCCTCAATTTGTTTTTCTGAGAATATAGAGGCCATGACAGTCGCCTGCAAATATTAAGTCATCAACTAAATGACGAAAAAACAAAAATGAGATTGATTTCTGGGTAAACTCCGTAAAACAGCGACCATTCCCTCTCTTGGATGAAGTGTGGTTGGAGTGGACGATGGGTACGCCATCTTTGTCGTCTCTCCAGAAGCCCATCCCCCTTGTGCGTCTTCACCGGGTAACCGTCCGTCTGTCATTCTGTTCTGTGGGAAGCGCCAGCTGCACACACGGTGGCGAAAAGATGCCCTCACCAAGGACAATAACCATTGTGGCTCTATCTTTAGCTTTAGGTTTATTTTTCGTGTTTATGGGGACCATTAAGCTCACGCCGAGACTAAGCAAAGATGCATACAGTGAAATGGTGAGTAATATGTAACGACAAACTGTCCGCATCTGTTGGGGTAAAAGGCCATTGTTCTGTGCTCTGGCTGCAGACGCGAAAGCCTCTCAGGCTCAAATAATGTGAGGAGATGATGACCTTTGTGGCCAAAGATATGGAGAATGAACGCTTTCGATGTTGCATTGTTCTTGTAGTTTTCCTCTGCAGAGTATTGGTTAATGTCACACAAGGGATTCTGTTATATAAAACATTTAGTCCTGGTGTAACAGTAACTGCCTCTAACACTACAGTTAGCATGTAGGCTAGTTTTGGCAATATAAATCCTAATATAGCTCGAAATTAACGCGAGTATTCTCTGAGTATTAGATCATATATCAAACAATCAAAATTGTGTCAGCATTTGGCCAGAAAACGCGATACAAGATGGATTACAAGGCTGAAACAATCCTGTTTCTTTCACATGTTGAATTATCTCTCAGTAACGCGAACATACTGTGGGCAATAAACACGTGTAGGTTTACTCGTGAAAGCATGTTGAAGAAGCCTTAGCTGCTCGGCATGTCGTTCAGCACTCATAGCAAGTAAAGGGTTTAAAGCAATGGCGGCGCATTCGAGCAAATTCTGTTGGATGCACCTGCTGGTGCTGATGTTGACTCGTCCTATAAGAAAGATGACAGCATATATAAACATGAAGCCACAGTCAAAATCCAAATTATGTGCCCATGGAGTATTTTTAATTCAGATTTAGATTCATTTGATCTGGAGAGCAGTGTGACAGAGATAAAATGTGCTAATGTGGTGATCAAATTTCACATGACAATGGTGACCTGTGGTGGCCACATGTAAGGCCTCTCTAAAGTACATCTCTGAGTGTTTGTGTGATACTTCAATCAAAGAAACATACATAAGAGGATGTTTGCATTTCTTTCTTCCAGAAAAGGGCATACAAGAGCTATGCCAAAGCACTACCAGGCCTAAAAAAGGTCGGGATCAGCTCGGTCCTGCTCCGCAAGATCATCGGTTCTTTGGAGGTGGGCTGCGGCGTGGTTCTCACCCTTGTGCCAGGCCGGCCGAAAGATGTAGCCAACTTCCTGCTGCTGCTGGTGATGCTAGCCGTCCTGTTCTTCCACCAGCTAGTTGGTGACCCTCTGAAACGGTACGCCCACGCTCTGGTTTTTGGTATTCTGCTCACCTGTCGACTGCTCATTGCCCGCTCAGGTGATGACCGACCAGAGAGAGAGGACAGTAGAGAGGAACAGCACATCAACGATCAGGAAAAGAACAAAGTCAAGCAGTCTTAAGATATTATCATGCTGTGGCTCAAACCACAACAATGGGAACCTAGTGCACCTCCTTGGATGGTAATTTGTCAGAATTTGAAGGAATCAGTCACTCAGTAATAACGCCCCTCACACACATCTACTGTTCTGTCCTGCTGGATGACTGATTACTGTCATATACTTTTGTGCACTCTTAATGTGAAGCTGGGAACTCCTGATCCATACATCCTCTATATATAGCCATGGACAATCAGACCAGTGGAAGCTTTGATGAGCACAGCTCATGCCACAATAACCCATTTTCCCTTCATGTATTCCAGCCCTACACTGTGCTAAACTTGTGTCTTTCTTTTAACTGAGTGTGAATTTGATTTTGTTATAAGATGTTTTGTTGATTTGAGAATGCTGTTTTTCATGAGAGGGTCTTTGTAGCTTGTTTTTCTAATTTGTTTTTTATACTATAGGTAGAAGTGACTAATAATTTATGAATTTTGACAGTTCAAGCATGCTTTATTTGGTCAGCAGTAAAGATTATAAACCAAAATGAACAGTGTTGCAAGAATTTTTACCAACTATGCGTCAAGTAGTATTCCATTTTCATATTTAATTTAATGCAGTGTTACCAGAAAGCAATTTCTGAGAGGAAAAATATATTCAACTTCTAGTTTATGTCACATGTTGTTAGATTATAAAGTACGCATGAACTATTTTCTCCCAAGGTAAAGTTAGCTAACTATCCTCTGTCTCCCCTCAGTTCAGTGATTACATTAGTGAAGTTGTTTGGCCGGAAAAGACAGCGTTTGCTGCCTCAGGTGTCTGCTTCCAGCTTGTACAGCAGAACTTTACCAAATTTTTATTAAAGGAACTTTTTGCCTGATAAAAATGGAAATTTACCTTTTGTAATTCACGGTCTTAAACCCAGTCACTGTCTGTTAAAGATCCTACGATGTTTGGTTTTATGTAATTCTCTCTGAAGATACAAATGCTGGGGATAAATGATGATGTGAGTTGATTTTGAGATTCACAATATTTCTGTAAATTATGTACTGAAAGAATTGGAGGTAAGACATGCTAAATATTGTTTGTCTTATAGGTACTTGTACCTACATAGACCTACATTAAATTTGCTATTAAGAATTCTGTTACGGGATTTTCTTTTTGTGTTGCATTTGCAATTGTGTCATATTAACTATATGCATTAAATGTTAATCATTTTATGAAACTTAAGTACATTTCAGGTAAACTTGAGCCAAGAGTTTCTACAAATTCCTAACATATAGAAATCAATTTGATTTCAGACTGATCTGGCTGGACCAGACTAACGTCACCACACCACAGAAAAAGCCACCTCGTCGGGTGCAGCACAATAGTTTTTTTTTTCCCACTGCTTAAATCTAGCACAGCAGAATCATCTGTGGTGTTCAGGGCATTGAAAATTACATAAAACAAATCTGAACCGACTTATTTCAGTGGCAGTGTCCTAGTTATTCTGAATAATTCAAAGACCGTCTTGTGAACGTTTTTTTGCTACTTTCATCAGGGGATATGGGAATCAGACTCCAGTAACAAATTGCTAAAATCGTAACAGTGCTTAAAACTTTACCTAAATTGAAAAAGCCATAACTAAAAAGAACTTGATTCACTGTTTAAATGTTACGTAAATTGTTGTATGTATTGAGGTGTTACTTTTCTGTCATAGAAAGATAAGGGAAGATGCATACAAACCACACAAAAGAAAAAACGACAGCCGAGGATCAACGAGGATGTTGATCCCTCGACAAAACTGTTTCAGATTCAAGCTGAATGTTAATGATCGCAGGAGAACAGAGAATAGCCTCATGCAAGGCGTGCAGCTTAACATCAGTCTTATGATAAATCAAAAAAATACAGAAGTCAATTCTTTTGTTGGGTGGCTTGCTGCAACAAAAAGTCAAGTATATGCAAGCCTTTTAAGCAGACAGACATTTATCAACAAATTTAAGACAATGACCATGGTCTTTTTTATTCATTTAAATGTGAAAACTATAGTAGATCATCAGAATTGCCAGATTAGTGAACCAAAGTAATCAAGTCAGATCGGCTTCTTAGAGGTTACTCAGAATGATTTATTATGACATGTTTCCAAAATAACAAATAAAATTAGGTCTCTTCTGTATTAAATAATAACAAAAAAAAATGAGAAATCCAACATTAAAAAATAGCTCCTACAAACTTACTAAACTAACTGACCAAGAAATATCCTAGCAGCCCAATAAAAAACAGGACATTTTCATCACTTTAAAAAAACAACCAGGACTGCCAGGACAGGACATGAAAACAGGACATGTCTTGGGAAAACAGGACGTTTGGTCACCCCTAAGCCCATAAAACTGTTGTTTGTAAAGTAATTGATTGCCCATAGTGAATAGAACACTGTTTCTGCTCTTTAAGTGTCATATTACATTCATTGTAAGTAATAGTGTGTACTTCATGTTTTTCACTTGCACCAAAAACCAGTGGACTACAAAGATTTTTTTGTGATAAACTACTTTATCTCTACGTTTGTTTGCCACGAATGTGAGCTTCCCATTTAAAATGTTTATGGTCCTGGTCGCATTAATGTGTTTTAAACTTGTAAAAGCTTTACTGACCAGTTTTGGAAATATTCGGTTGTCAATTCACGTTCCGCTTCTCTCGAGAAACAGCAACACAAACGGCGTTGTTCGTCATGGTGATAGCTGAGGCAAACGGACTACAACTCCCTTGGTACACTCAAGACCATAGTGCGCAGGCGCAGGTCAAACGGTCGCGCGGAGGATTTGAGTTTTGTTTGAATGACTTAAGCCAAACGACGACGACACGACAACAACGGTGTTTTTAAGTTTTAGCAATGTAGAAATGGCAGCTTCTTTTAACCGGTCGGGACCATCGGACTTAGAAACATCATCTGTAAACGACCAATCGGTGTCCAGTCGAAGCAGTAACAGGAGTGTAAGAGTCGCAGAAAAGGAGAGGAGAAAAAACGAGGCGGAGGACCCGGTGGTTCTCGCCCTTAAGTACTTCAACGACGGTAAGACCCCAGCGAAAATGCGTCGATAGCAGATGGTAGCATTGCTGTTACAAGCTTGCCTATTTCCGTCGTTTTACACAAGAAAAAATGTTAAAACCCAAAGGCCAGTGCACACTTTCTGACTTTACTGTTGTTGGATTGGGTGGGTTGAACAACAATGACTTCAAGTGTTGCTTTTTGGCCTAAAACACAAGTCCAGCCCTGAAATCCAGTTAGCAGCTCATTACAAACATCGTAACAAAAGCTCGACACCTCAGGCTCTTATTTTGACAGACCCTATGAAAATTCAATTCAAATACAATCTTGACAGAAATTGCATTTTAGATGTTCATTAAAGTCATTTAAACTCACGGCCATAAAGTCGTACTTACAGTCAAGGAGTACTTCACTGTAAGTACGACTTTCTGAAACTTTACACCAACCGGCCATAACATTAGGAACACCCAGTCGAACAAATTTACGTACTATTCACTCAGGTCAATTCTAAGCTTAATGCTTAGACTATAAATTATGAATAAAGACGCAGTGGGCGTTGGTAGTCTACTGGAATGGGTTAAATTGAGTGATGTACCTTTTATGGAAATTGTAGAAACAGCTTTCATTACAACACACTCCAGTACACAACCAGCAGCTACTACAACTTTAACAATTAGTTTAAAGAACAGCTATCACCTGACTGAACTTCTGTCTGTTTACTTATTCTGTTCAAAATTCAATTTTAAAAGTGGCCAGCAATATTATAACCTGACAACTGGATTGCTTATACCAAAAGTTAGTTATCTTGGGAAAAAAAGTCTTTTGATATCGAGATAAAAGGGACGTCACTGTGTAATCTTAAAATGACAGCTGAACACGTAAGACTGACAAAAGGGATGTCATTTGCCCAAATGTGATGTTGTATACAGCAAGAATGTTCATTTTAAAACATCAGATTATATCTCTGTTATATTTAACCACTGTAGCTGTCTTGTGTCAAAGCAGCTTTACATGGTTACTTAAAGGGATATTCCGGTGTAAAATTAATTTAGGGTCAAACACACTGTAACACCGAGTTAGACACACCCTTGACAGATGAATGTTGCCGACCACTTGCTTCTCTTGTTAAACCAACTTTAGTAACAAACACAGGATAGCGATACACAGCGGTCTGAGGAGCCATAAACAAACCTCAACCAAAACACCACTCTATAGCCACAAATAATGCTCAGAACAGCACCTAACTTCATCGACAGTACATATAGGGTCCCAGCCATAGTACGAGACACCAAACATCTTCTTAGCTTTGCCTGATTTCTTTAGCAAAGAGACCAAACACAACTCACCCACTCTCCTCCAGCAGCCGCTTGTTTGTAGTGAGACCTCAAGCCAGTCCATAACGGACTACAGCGGGGTGACGCAGTTCAAGGAAGAATATTTATGATCATTTCTTTATCATTTCCTTAAAGTAATAATCATCATTTTTATCATTTTGCACTGCAGACGCGGTAGTTCTTCTGCCTCAACGTCTCGGTTTGATTGCATTTCCATGAAGAAATGATCATAAATGTTCTTCCTTGAGCTGCGTCACTCCACTATAGGGCAAAACTTCTAGATTTTGATAAATATTACATGCTGGTGTAAGTTTCAGTGCAGGGCATAGTGCTTCACCGGTCATTAAAAACCCATGAGCTCAACAAAATTATTGCTCTCATCCTCACTTCTAAAACAGAAAATTGTATATTTATATATAGCGAGACTTCCACTGTGATTTTTAGTGATGCATGTACTGACCCATTCATATTTCTTTCTTATTTGAAACTATCCCCCCTACATGAGCGTGAGCCAGGTTACAGGGTGATTGTTTCAGGAGATTGTCATTTTCACCACAATAAGCTCATTAACTTAACTTAACTATGAAAAAGGAGTTGTCTGTACTTATTCAGTATGTGTTGAACTGATGAAGTAAAACCTACCCTCACCAGTGTCACCTCTCTTCTCTGTAGTTGAAGCAGGTACTCCTGTGAACGGGAATGATGAGGTGGAAAAACAACTTGTGCTGGTGGAGAAGGTGGGCTACAGCAGAGGACTCTCCCCAGATGCCATCTCTGTCATGCTGGAGTTTGCCATGAGCCTCCGTATGGGTAAGATTCTGGCAGCAGCTGTGAACTGCGGGTTTATCATGGTGTTTCTAACAAAGGAAATGAGAATGACAACAATCCATTATTTTCTTCTTTAGTCCAGGTAAGACACTTGAGATGTTTTCCCTGGTTCAGGATTGGCTTGTTATGAGGAGTAAGACAGTTGTAGTCCCTTTTCTGAAGACCAGCCTCTGTCCCCTCTCCAAAGGTCCTAAATCAACTTTTTGACAATCTTCCCAAGGCTGTGGTCACCCCTCTTGCTACTACATTTTATCTCCAGTCAACTTTTAATTCATGTGCTGTGACACAGGTTTTTGCTCACAGGAGTGACCCTTTTTAGGAGGGTGTCAGTGCTTGTCTTTGGGACAGTTATCAAGTCAGCAGCCTTTTTCATGATAATAGTTGCATGTTCTAATGTCCACTAAGAGAAACATGGTGTTTAATCTGTTTGAAAAGTCACTATGTCAGACTCAAAATGAAATATTGTATTTTTTGTATTGTTTTGTAGGATTAAGAAGTTTGAGTTTTTTTAGCTGTTTGCCATGATTATTAAAAATTCAGATAAAAAGCTTGAAATGTTGTAGTTAATGTACAATATGTTCAGAAGAAATCACATGTTCAATACTGTGAATAACTGGAGAGAAAAAAAACACAATTTTCATTAAATTTAAATTACTTTTAGATCTGCACCTGTGGTGGTTCGTCCTCTTGCTTAGCTGATCCTGCCCTTAAGTGTTTCAGGTTGAAAAATCTATTTTATCAGTCAAAACTTTACAAAACTAATCTTTGGTAAAGGTAAAAAATACAAAAAGCTGTTTAGACAATGGACTGTTTATGGTGTTGTCTGACACAAACCTGCAAAGTTTTCAAAGGTTTCTCTGATTTTGTTAATGTGAATCACTCTTTCCCAGGAACCACTCTCTGCCCCAGAGTGCTGAAATGTTTGATCCCTGCCACGACAGTGCCACAGGAGGCTGTAGTTCGAGCCGTGGTTTGGCTGGGTGTAGGAAAAATACCTGCAACAACACAGGTAAACACAAATATTTTAAGCTGTTAAGAATTTTGTATCTTCTGCAGTTACTTGTTGACTCATGTTTGGGTGTAACTGTATTAGCCCCGACTCATTATCAATTTACTTTTCATCAACAAACGACAAGATTTGTATGAAGAAAAAAACAAATCTTTCTTAAGTTTTTTATAATTATCAGTAACAGAAATTTGATCATAAAAAGCACATTAGAAATGGATGTTATACAGTATTAAAAATACTATGAGATGAGTACATGTTAGATGTGAATGTGTGTGTAATTGTCAACATTATACCTCACTAAAACCTGTTTTTGTGTTTGTTTGTTTTTTTTTTGCTTGTAAATTGTTTCAGGTCCTTTTCGTTAAGTGGGTGTTGACTGTATTTGACATGATTGATGAAAAGGATCAGCTCCGTGCCATCTACGGCTTCATCTTCAACTTTGTCACAGATGAAAATCTGGTATGTGTCACATTTGTGAACACTCACTGTCCTCTTATTTCATTTTGTTTTTTGTCGATGAAGCAGATATTTAATGTTAAACACCACTGAAATGACAGAAACAATGGAAACAATGCTAATGAATTAAAATAAAAGGTAATGAAAACTTGTTAATGTGCCATATAAGTGCAGATAAGTAAAATGACGATATCACTCATTATGTCTAGTGCAGAAATTACAGATCTGCTACCAGGTTCTAGTCAGCATTCAGACCCAAGGGATGCCAATCCAGCTATCTCGTATTAAAGTGAAACAAGTTCCACTGCTTTACCTTCAGGTTTATGTTATTATATTTGAAAAAAATAATGTCTTCTCTCTAATGTGAAATTCAATCTACCTTAAAATTCTGAGATGTGAAGCTTTCATTTTTAATTATTTTTTTCCAGTGCCCTTTCATCTGTCATCTGTTGTACCTTTTGACCAGAAAGGAGAGTGGTAAGTCAAACATCTACAAGCTTTAAAACATGAGCCACATTTTCCCTTCTATTTTTATCCATGAGTTTCTGTATGTTGTCGTCTCATTTTTTTCTGCCAACATTATTGACTGGTTATCTTGTTCTTCCTGCTATCATAGTACGAGTCTTCAGAGTCAGGAAGCTACTGGAGCTGCAGTCTAAACTGGTAAACATCCTGTGCCCTTAAAGCCATTTATCAAAGCCGCAACATCATTTCTTTTTTCAGATTGAACGTCTACTGTGGGATCATTTTCTACACTCATTGCATTAATTCCATTAACTGTAACCCTTTTCACATCGCTGGTTATCATCACATTCTCCTTTGTTAGAACACATCAATCCAAAGAGGGAGATGATGGGTACATGTGCCGAATCCTGATAGGTTTTTTTCTTTGTTTCAGGGAAGGCAGCCATTCCTCCTGCATCTTCTGTCACTGTATAAAGTCTTTTGCCCTGAACTGGTGACACTCTCCATCCCATCACGAATGAGGGTTTGTACATGAACCATGCAGCACTTACTGGAATATTCATATCAACATAATCTGTAAAGCACTGAGAGAGGTTTCACTTTACTTCTTTTACAGAGTGGGTTTAAGAACCACACTTCTCCCTGGAAATCAGCATTATTGTTTGTCCAGAAGAGGAACGGGTCCCAGGTGTCGTCCAACGTCAGTCTAGCCGTCACAGTTAAAGATAAGACCAGCACCAGGAAAAGGGTAAGGAGGCCTGCAGGTTTCAGATGTGTCTGTAGTGTCTCGCCTCATATAGTCATTCCTTCTGCCAATGTATCTCAAACTTTTCATAATCCTCACCACTATACTGGCATTAACGTAACGGTGTAACCTGAAGTTACTTTTAGAGGAAAAACGATTATAATCACTCTGCTCTGTGTGGAAGCCCCGAGAGGCAAGTGAGGGGAGAAAATATGGTTATCTGTATTTTAAAGTATTGTCCTTTTCCCTCCTGGGTAGGGGCTGATTTGGATACTTCCTTAAAAACCTTTTAGTTTTTTATCGTAATTGATCTCACCAAAACTTTTTTCAATGATTATCAGAGATTTATCAAATTACCTCTGAATTTTCTGATCCGCAATTTCCTCAATCTTTATCAAAATTTAATAAAGAAGAAATTAAAATGGATTACCCTAGCAAATACTTTTTAAAATTATTTCCTCATGTTGGAAGTTTGGAAGATTTAGACCAGACTTTTTTTTCCCTCACATCTGTCACTCTGATCGTGTAGGTCACACATTGTACAAAATGCTGAATATTTAAAGTCAAAAGAAGTCTACTATATTTAATCATCTGCTGTATTTTAATCTCCTCTCTCTCTTAGAAACATCACCACCTGGAGTTGCCAAAATTGAGTTCTGTTGTCAATAAACCAGCTCAGACTGAGACGTCCTCCAGCAGAAAGCTGGTCCCCCTGACGCAACTCCACTCCTTTGCTCAGCTGCTGGAAAATATGCACCGTATTGAGGTAATTTCTCCAAGGTCTCATAGAGAACTTCTTCAACTCTACTCAGCCTCCTCAGTTCAGCTGAGAGTCCCACAAACTCGGCACAGCTGGACTAGGAACAGATGGAATATCATTCATCCATAAGATAATTTATCATCTAAGCAGATGAAAGAAGTGCATTTTAGTTTCTGAATGGCATTCGGGGATAAAATAAGTCTGTTTGAATTGTGTTGTATCCTGATAACCACTGGATGGTGCTGTGCCACTGCTGCAAATCTTCCAGAGAAAAACAGAGCACACGTGGCTCGAGGCTGTGACTGCTTTATTAGATTAGAGCACAAACCAGCTCCACGGGCACATTGTTAATCATTTCTTTTACACAGGCTCTTGTTCTTTTACGCTGTTGTTGTCAGTTGTTTATCCATCTTTTACGAGTGAAGAAAGCAAAAGGCTGGAGATGATGTGTATCTGAGCGATGCACTGGAAGAAGTTCCCTAACATTTGGACATTTACAGAGGAGCTACTCTATAAATGTCTATTTGTCCTGCAGTTTCAGTGTCCTGATAAACTAATATAAGTCTTTTCAAACGGCTGGCAGACTTTATGGGTCATGCTACATAAATTCACCTCTTTCACCAACCGCAAAGCCAACGTGCGCAATAAGGCTGTGAATGGCGGCGACATCATCATGTGTCTTTATTGCAGGGCAACCTCGTGTGCCTGAAAAGACAGATGAGTGCAGTCAATCACACTCATAAAACTATTCAGGAAAAGGCGTCGACAAAATGATCATTGATTATTTTCCTCATCGCGCCGCACTCCAGTTGTCAAAAGCTGAATGGAGCTTTCTCTGTTTAATGATACACTTCCTCGGTAATTATTGAAGAACTGAGCTGTGTCCATTCTCAGTCTGTCTCCTCCTCATTCCAATTTATTTATTATCCTGACAAACTCTCCATATTGGGAGGCAGCTGTTCACGCACAATGAGGGACGGAATAAACTGTCGTGTGTAATGGGAGAAATGTCCTGGCGCTGGCATTATGTGGATTACTGGATGCTGCTGGAGTAGTGGATTTTTGGCTCACTCAGTCAACACAAGGACATGAACATCAGTTTGTTCTTGAGCAGGTTATCAGATTGATAAGAAACAAACTTGGAAGAACAAGTGATGCACCTTTTTGAGAAGGTGGTTTGACTTCCTTGATAGATTCCTCTTCGATCTGCTTACAACTTATAAGGAGTTTCTTTTTTATGTGGTCTTTTTTCTTCATATTTTCTCCACCAGCTGCCTTCTCAGATGGGCTCTTTGCTGGGCTCCAGCATGGCTCTGCACTACCTGGACTGTGTACAGGATGAGTCTGCCCTCCTACGGCTCAACTTCTGGCTCGGCTACTCTCTCCACGAAGGTAAGGGAGGAGGGAAGAAGCAAGCAACAGCTGTGACACTGTCTCTGAGGAAGACTCCTCCAAAGCAAACCTGACCCTGACTTGAACCCTAACACATAACCCAGTTGGCATATCAAAGAGGTTCTTTGAGAGTAGGCTCTTCAAGAGGCTGAGTGGGTGGGGGGGCTCTCACTGTGTGGGGACTGATGAAGCAAATTGCAAATCCTCTGTTTACCTCTTATTCCCTTGGCTTTCTCAGTAACTTAAATTCTCCCTTTTTCTATTTCTGTTAAGAGTTTTTGTTCTGCAGCGATGGAGGAGCGTCTCAGTATTCAGAGGAAGTTCTGCAGTTTTTGAACAGGTTGTTGTCTACACAGCACTTCCTCCAGGTGAGCCCAAACTCTCAGCCTGCACTCACACTTATTGGTTTAAAGTTTCACTCATTTGTTCATGCACCGTGTCCACACAACAACAGCTTTTTGTTATGTTGAAAATATGGAACATTGCCCTGGACCCTTAAGATGGAAAAGCTTGTGATAAGATATGATGCTTGAGGGATTATAAGCTTTCTCCAAGACTTTGAAAACAATGACAAAGGTTGCGTTCATACTGCAGGTTATGATGCACAATTCAAGATTTTTTGTTAAATCCGATCTTTTTGTGCGGTTGTTCACATTACAACAACAAATGCGGCATCAAATGTGAATGGAATGCGTCCATGAAGTGACCTGCATGCGCACAAAGCACAAATTGCTTTCCGCGCCTGTTTATGTTGTCGAACAATGGTGACGTTTGTCGCATATTGATGACGTATAGGTCGGATGAACACGCCTGAGCGTCCACACTGCAGTCACATATCGGATTTATATCCACATACTAAAGAGGCCTGGGTTGCATTTGATAAAATCAGAATTGCACTGTTCACACTTATATGAAAAAATCAGATTTGTGTCACATATGGTTAAAAAATCGGAATTGACCTGCAGTGTGATCACAGTCTAAGTATGACACACATGCTTTCTGTCTGATTTGCCAAAACCACAGACCATGAAATATGGCACAACCGCTTCCCAAGAGTGAAACCAAAATGTTTAGAGCTCCACCTGGTGGCTGGCTGTAAGACAGGTCAAAAAGCCAGCCTCTTCCATTTTAACAGATAGGATTCAAACTGGAAACATTAAAATTCATGTCAAATACATTTTTTCTCAGCCATTCTTTGTGTCCCAGGAATAAGTTCCTCTGGTGATTTAAATGTCTGTTCACTTTTTGGAGAAGCTAAGTTTAAATTAGCTATTTGTTCAAATGAATAATTGACAGCTTTGTTGATAATTGGAGTAGATGCAGGTGCGTTGTCTAAAATAAAGTACAGTCAATGGTCTAATTAAATGACACCGACTAGTAATTTTATTTACTTTATCTAAACATATGGATCATTTTGACCAGGTGGCATGCATATAAATAAAGAGAGATCATTTCTAAAGTAGGAGTAGTAACTGTTCTATATTGCCACTTGGAGATACTGGTGTTGTGCATGTCACCTTGGGCCTCTCTTATCCAACCCTCACACCTGTCATTCAGTACTTCCTGTATTCATCAGCATTCGCCCACATGTTCAGCTGACACCTGCTTAGAAACTGGAATTAAATCCTGATTTCACACACACCTTCCTCCATCAGGAGGGCTTCTCCAGCTCGGAGGCTTTTCTCTACAAATTCCTCACCGTTTGGGACGGCGCGCTCTACCGCCCGGAGATCCTCGGCTTGCTGAGCAACATCCCCGTCATCCCCAGCTCCCGTGAGTTTCGTTTGTTTGTGTGTTCATTCTCTCCTTAGCGTTTGTTTCTGTCAAACATGCAGCGCACGCACAACAGTGAAACTCCACAGCATCGTTCTCCTCTTTAGTAGATTAAAATGCCGCCTCGCTCCTATGCAATGTTAGACTTGACATTGGATGCAGACGGATTTGCATTGTGGTGCGTTGGATTGCAAAACTTGAAAAACTAACCACTTCTGTCTCCTTCACTTCAGAGATAGGACGTCTTCTCTTTGAGCCTCTCATGCAGCTCTTCTTTACATCCTCCCTCTTTTTCAAGGTGGGTTTACCGCTCTCTCTGAGACAGGAGTGAAATGAATTTGCTGGTGCTGCTCTACTTGAATTACAAAAACCTTCCGCTATGAGTTAATAGAGAAGACTAATAGTGTTTGTTTTGTATTATACAGCAGTTATTATGGGTCCTTTATTTGCTTAGTGTTGAAATTAGTGTGCTTCGTCATTTTCCTTTTGTTGTGTGTGTATATGTGTGTACAGTGTGGACTTATAGAGTGTCTGAACAACATGCTGTTGAAGTGGCTGACCTGGCACTCAGTGTATGCTCTGGAGGATGATCTGGACATCAGCCTTCACAGCCACACCTCCATGTGAGTCTCGCATCTACTCGCCGTATCTTGTTTACGCCCTGAGCACAAATAAGCAACAGATCTGAAACACTTTGTTTGTTACTGGAGCGAGCAAGGGTCATCGCTCTTCAAGCTTTTACTTTCAGTCAGAGAAATGCTTCCTCAACTCTAATCAGTCTCTACAGATTTAATCAGTGTTTGGATGTTAGCTGGGTTTTATTCCCTGTGGGTTCGTGTAATGAAAAACCTTTATAGGTGTCACGGGTCATCGACAAAATCTTGTTACATTAAAAAGCTTAAATGGTCTATTAATTTAAGGTGTTGCCTAATTTTGGTTTGAGTGAAGAACTTTCCAAAATATCTAGTTTTATTGGATAAAAAGATAAACTGTGTCTTGAACTTCATGCTGGTCACGCAGGAACTTTTTGCCTCGGCCTTCTATTAAACACGCACAACCAGAGCAACTAAGGTAGAAGTGCGTATTGATAAATTTCCCCTCGCGGTTTGTAGCCCATTTATTCATCAAATCCTTTAAATTGGAATCCATTGGTAGACAGAAACAGCCCTATTATCCAGATAAATGATTTTCCTGCTACTACAGAAAAAGGCAGAGTTGGTTTTGATTAAGTTTTAATACCTGGGATTCATCAGTATCGAGCCCTCACATTTGTATACCTACAATAAATGATCTAATAAGTGGAGAGATCCATTCTCATTCACTCCTATTTTTAAACTCACCTCTAGTATTTAGTGAGAGTAAATTTGATTAGAAATTATTGACTGTGCATTGTGTACACTTGAGAAACTTTATTCCTGATTCAGTGAGTGTCCTGTGAGTTATAATGAACAGTCTCATGCCTAATTTCTGAGCATTTTCTGTGTGTCAAGGGCAAAACAGCTGACTGGTGGTACAAGTTTCACCCGGAATCTCTCATGGTGTTTGGTTAAAACTCTGTGACTCTCTCTTTTCCGCTCTCTGCCCCAGAAATATGACTCTGTCAGGGTTTAAGGATTCGGTGATGGAGCTGGTCCTCTTTGTGGGTCGGCTGGCTTCTGTGGGGCTTCAGCTTGAAGGCTGTCACTCTGTCCTTCTCAGCTTTGTCCTGGACTTCTACGAGACGGTAAGTGAGCCGAGAATGATGATTCAGTCAGCTTTGTGACTTTGTATTCTGGACATGTGATCCTCTTTGTGCAAAACAATGTACATACCATTGAAGGACAGCGGTCCTCCATGCTCACCTAAAAACTTTGGGAGTGAAATTAAAGCTTCTGCTCATAAATTTTCAATCATAGAGTAGTTGCTTTAAATTTTTGGTGCTAATTTTTGAAACTTAAAGGGATATTCCAGTGTCAAACTAAGTTGGGGTCAAACACACCGTAACACCACGAAAAGACACACTCTCGAGAAATGAATGTTGCCGACCGCTTGCTTCTCCAGTTATACCAACTATAGTAACGACCACACGATACCAATACACAGTGGTCTATGTCTCCACGTGCAAACCTGAACCAAAACGCCACTCTATAGCCATAAATAATTCTCAGAACAGCACCTAACTTCACCAACAGTACATATAGATTCCCAGCCACTGCATGAGCCACCAAACATCTTTTTAACTTTGCCTTATTTTTTTAGTAAAGAGACTAAACACAACTTAACCACTCTCTTCCAGCAGCCGCTTGTTTGTAGCAAGACCTTGGACGAGTCCATCAACGACTGCAGCGGGGTGACGCAGCTCAAGGAAGAACATTTATGATCATTTCTTTATCATTTCCTTGAAGTAATAATCATCATCTTAATTAATTTGCACTGCAGACACAGTAGCGTCTCTGTCTGATTGGATTTCCAGGAAGAAATTATCATAAATGTTCTTCCTTGAGCTGCGTCACCCCGCTGTAGTCCACAATGGACTACCGTTTTTTGTGTGGAAGAATAACTCACTGCTTTTCTTTCAGAGTGTTTATGTTTTGAGTTATAAAACCTTAAAATGAGGTTTCAATTAGCTTCATAAGATATGGTTTTGATGGTTTAAAGCCACAAAGCAAAAAAGATCAGCGGTATGAAGTCATATGAATAAATACATGTGTTTATATACATATGTTCATATAGAAACGCTCTGTATATTTCAAAGAAAGTCTTAAAAAATGTGTAGAGTAAATAAACTAATAGTCATAATAACTATTGTGCATTATAGGATGCCTTTGTTCCACATAGAAAGAGCATTCAGGAGTATGCAAGAAAATTAAAGCTTTCCTCTCAAGCTTGTTACGCAGTTGATCCGTGGGTTGTAGTTCATTGGAAAGCAGAGCAAAAAAGTACATTTAATATACTTGTCACTTTAACCCTTCTGTGGTTGTTTTTCCTCCTCTAGGCGTGCGATACATTTCTGAAGTATGGACTCCCCCTGGTCTTGTTGCCTCCATCTGGTGTCTTTTACCCTGCCCTGCTTGCCTCTGACCCTGTTAGCGTGGACAGACTGGCCTACATCATGTACAGGTGGAGACTTCACATTTACCATCCAACACCCCTCCTGAAGCTGACCACCATGGCAACATTGTTCACACTCTATATGTAGTGTGGCGTATGTGTTTATACATATTTAATGACTGAACTGCACCGCAATCAAACATGACATTATTGGACCTCTGTGTTCATGTGTGATAATGAGAGGCTAACAGGCCATGTTAAATTCGAGCATCATTTTTAACATCCGTTTTTTAATGGCACAAATCTTCACAGTGACGGCTAATTTTGAACACCCCGTGGGGCTTGAATAATTCATCCCTGGCGGAGTGTAAAAAACGCTGTGGAAAAATGGAAAATTAAAACATAATTGCTTTTTATTTTTCTGACAGATAATTGAAAGAAAGCTATTTGTGCGGTAATTCATGTTCAAAGAGATCATCAGTCCTTCTCTCCCTGTCTTTGATTCAGGTACAAAGCGAACCTGACATCAGCCAAGAATCAGGAAAAAGTCACAGAGGTACAAAAAAATTATTCTTCTTTAATGGAAAAATTAAATGAATCATTCAGTTATTTCTGTTTCATTGAAACTGTCAGTCTGTAATTTGGTCCATTACACACACACAAAGCATTTGACAAACAATGTGGAGGAAATTATTATTTTTTTATGAGCGGTGATTTGTTTGAAAAGCTAATTTGGAGGTTATCTCAAATCCTGGAATTTAATGCAGTTCTGAGCGTCTGCTCTCTTTTCAAGTGCGACACTGTTTGTTTTGATTTAGTCGAGGACTTTATAAATTTTACATCTCTCACTGCAGGTGTTTGGGAATTCACAAGCATTCACCTACAAATAACCTGTAATACCCTCTCAGATGAGGACTTGAAAGGTTGTTGAGTTTAATACCTCTGCCACTGAAAGCTGTGAATAAACAGGAACACGTCAGGCAGCCAGAACTGATCTTTTGAAATGTCAGAGGCACTTTTTATTAAGGAAAAATGGAATGAAATGGTAAATGGCATCCAAATTAATCAAGACATCAGACTTGAAACTGCAGATATGGACGGTGGTTTCGTTCTTCATTCCTTTTTCTGATTTTGATTACCGAATCTTATTGTTGTCGTTTTTTAGCAGGCCTTTCATATCAGCCGTCAAACTTTCCGAGAGTTCAACAGCTACATCGCTGTGATGGCGAATTACCTGTGGAACTCCAGAGTGTTTCATCCAGGGATGGGAGTTCAGCTGGAGAAGGAGCTGCTACTGAAGAGTAACGTACCAGAGTACTGGACGAGCTTTGACCTCATCCACCACCCAGCCTTCATGAGCTACGCCATTGACTTTCATCGAAAGGTGAGTGTTGGCCATGACCTTGTAGAGAAGATGACATAGTTTTGTCCTGATCTTCTTGATGAGAAGTCAAAGGTAAAACCCCCTGTGATCCCTCCAAAGTCAGTTTTGGGCTACAACTTAAAAACTGTTGAGCTTATCATTGAATATTCCACAAACTGGTTCCAGACGTCTAAAACAATCAAATGTTGACTGAATCAAATATGCCTAAAAAAAAAGCTCCATTGCAATCATTCCCCTCCTGTTCTTGCTCATGGAATATATCAGGTCAGCCTGCAGGGGATCTCCCTAGATGTGCCGGTTTGGGGATTAAGGGTGACCAGGGATCCCAAATTTAGCGTGGTAAAACCTGGCATATTTATTTTTCTACTGTAAAAGAGAATCTTTCCATTCGCAAATAGGTGATAATTAACCCTTTTTAAATACTTCTTTTTGTTACTCTGTCTGCAAAAAAATCAGAGAAATAGACAGATTTTCCATTTTGCGAGTAAATTTTTAGAGTTCCATTGAGCACATGAGGGGTGAACACTGACTAAAACTGTTACATTATCAATAATCGTGCTGCATTTTTAGACGCAGCTTCTTTCCCCTGTTCCTCTGCTGTCTGCATGTCAGAGCTTCATTGGGACAGACTGACATGCAAAATTTGCATTTACATTTGAACACACATAGCGACCTAAGCACCCCACTCGTAAAGGCTATATTGTTCTTGTTGCAGCAATCGCTGGTTGGATTCCCAGCCTTGACCCTTTGCTGGATGTCTCCTCACGTTTCCTGCCTCTCTTTAGCTGTCCTATCCAACAAATGCTGATTACTTTGAGTAGCCACTGTTTGAGTTTGAAGCACAAAACTGATCACATGTACAAATGAATTAAACATCAGTATGTTTTGAGGATGTTTGTTGAGAAAGTATCTTCACGACAGCCTTAATCCTCCTTTAGTTTAGTATGCTTCTGCACTCAGTGCTGTACTGAAATGGACTGGTGTCTGTTTAAGGTGGATGATTGATCCGTATGCTGCCACTCCGCCCGGTTTAGTTAATAGCCCAGCAGAGAAGACTTGAAGACAAATGTAGTATTAATGTAACTTTTATAGAAGATACATTAATAGAGAAGGCCTCTTAAGTATTAATGTGTGCAGTATGAGACGTGGGTTTCATCGTGTTTAATAATACAAGCACCTCTTCTTGATTCGGTCCAAACGCAACATCCAGCAGTGATCTTGTGAGATTTAACTCAGTGGGCTGACAATCAATATTAATGTTGTCTCTTTCTCAGTGCTGGCCAGGGAGAAAGGACATGGACCTCAATTCCATAAAGGTATGGCAGGTCTCTTTTTCCTTCCTGCACCCACAATCGACCTCCCGTGTAGTTTAATTTGCATCAGTCACACTTCAGAGATTAAAAGAGCCTGCTTTGATCATGAAAATCTTCAGATGTCTCAGATCTGTTTTCTTTGTGTGTGTGTTTCAGCTCTCCAAGCCGTGGGGCTGGTACCTGGAGTATTTGTTCACACAGGGGTTCGATGGCCTTAAACTGTTTTTTCAAGGCAATGTCCGCCAGCAGAAGGCACAAGGCGATGGGCAAGGCGACAGCACGCCCACACAGGCGAGGTAGACGCTCAGCTCAGCGAAGAGGGAGAACAACCCTTGGCTTCCTGCCACTTTTTTTTTAAAAAGACTTGTACATATTTTAACTTTCTTTGTGTTCAAAGAGTCAACATGCAAGCTGTCGCAGTCTTCTCATGTACATAGATATACATGTGTTTATCTTTTAGGTCTTTTTTGTCCTTTCCTCCAACAACAGACAGTCACACTTCAGTGGTCATCTACAAGTAGTCAGTTTAAGTTAAAACACATTTAACAGGGATGATTAGGCTTATTGCAAAAAATGAATAAGACACCAAAGCGACTGTAACCCACAATAACTTGTTACATAGGTGAGGAATATTTACAATATCTCTTCATGTCACGATCCACATTTGTCTTGGCTAAAACTAAAACAGCACAAGTTGAACTTTTGTTGACACGTCTTTCAGGTTTTTGTTTTTGCAGTAAACTCAGTCATTCCTTGTTTAGTGTCAACACTCCCACCCTTCACACATCTCTCTTTGGCTTACTCGTTATCGTTTCTTGTACAGCTTTTAATCTTAAAACTTTAAACCCTGATATTTGCACTCTGTCAAAAATAAAAAAGTGTGAGACGAACTGTAGAAGCAAATAAAACCTTTTTTTCCCAGTCGCATTTTAACTCAGCATGCCATAAGCTATCTCAGGTGTCTCTTGCGCCCTATTGTTAATCTGAATTCTCCTCATAACGTTGTTGTATATAATGTTGCATAATAAACCTCTTCTGCTACATTTAAAAATGTTTCATAAAAGAGATCAGCGTTGTCTGAAGCTATATAGTGACCCAGGAATAATGAAATGCTTTTGTTGGGCTTCTGTTTTTATGTTGCTGCCTTCATATCTCCTTTTATAGTGATGACATGTTAAAATGTCAGTATTACTAGTGACTGGTGCACCTGAGAATTAATAAGAAAAAAACCATCTATTATTTCTTTTAGTCATTCACACTCTGCCCAAATGAGATTTATTAAAACTTAAATTCAGATCCGTCTGATGTTATCTACTCTAGATTACTAAAAAATGTCTTTATGGAGATTTTAAGATTACTTTTGCCCCATTATATTCTCTCTTTTTTTGGTTGTCTTATTTTGATCTTAAATCCTCCCAAATGGTTCTCTACATGTCAAAACGTTTCAGCTGAAGTTGGGTTTGTCTTGATGGTGTGAAATCAGAACATTTTTTCTCCCAGTAGAATTGAAATATCTCCTCATTGACAAAGACTGTCATGCTCCAAATGTGCTCCCTTAAATCAGCGTCAAATTTATAGTCATATATTGCTCCCTGCCATAAAATGTTGATGATGTTTCAATAGTTTTTTTTAACCTTCTAGTGCCATGGTCCTGCCACTTTGATTGACATAACTATTTAAAACGAATTCTCCCTTGTTTCATGAAAATTTATGACTAATTGACGCTTATTTTTGTGAATATCTTTGGTAGTAAGCTCTCACTTGTGCCTGAAGAAACACTTTTTTTAAATATAATTCAAAGTTTATTATTTTTTCAATGTTGCAACAGACAAATAAACATCAAACAAAACAGATATAATGGAGGTCAAAAATAGTAAAAATAATAATAAAATAAATAGATACTCAAAAGAAAAAATAAGACAGGCAAGTAAGTTGGCAAGGCAAGAAAGTTAACACATCTACAAAAACTGTCCCATTTTTCTTTTATCATATCATTTTCACAATTTAATCTCCCCAACATCTTCTCACATGCCACAGTCCCCATCATCTGTGTTTTTAATATTCTAAAACTGTATTTATTCAACAGGGGCACCATAGTCCTGTCTCCAAGAGGACATAATCTTGGTGATCTGGGAAGTTTGTAATTTAATTATTTGCTCATATAATCATAACTTTTTCTCACAAGGGGGAGGATCTTGGAACATTTCCATAATGGGTGAATTATGGTGGTCCGAGAACCGCCACTGCTGTAAATAAAAAAAGAAACCATAACGGAAGTTACTGATGCAAAAAAAAAGGAACCCGAACTTGCTGCAAATAAAAAAGAAATGGTGCCGTTTCAAAAAAAGACCACAACGGAAATTAACGACACAAAAAAAAACCACAAACAAACCAAAAAAAAAGGTACTTTCAGCGAAAATATAAGGATGCAAATTTTTTTAAAAAGGGCCACAATGGAAGTGAGCTGCCAGGGACTGATAACGATGATGCACCGGTGTTTTACGATCTAGCCACATAAGAAGACGAGGAAAGAAGTAACTGGAAAGGTTATTGTGTAATTTCGCTTTTCAATGAGTCATTTGGTTAGGCCATGTAAGCGCCTGAGTCGATATGAAATTGGACCGGAGGATGCCGGTGTCGTGTTAGCTTTGGCTAACATAGGAAACACACAATGCAACAACAACAATTGCTTTACTCATAGAAATAAATCGAAGACCCCTCGTTTTTTTCATTATTTGCATCCTTTTATTTTGTTTTTTTAAACTGCACCATTCCTTTTTATATTTGCAATGGGCTTCATTTTTTTTCCTTTCCTTTTTTTTTTTTTTTCTTTGCATCGCCACTTTTTTTTTTTGTGTCATTAACTTATGATTTGGCTTTTTTTTTAAATGGCACCGTTTCCTTTTTATATTTGCAGCGGGCTTCAGTTTCTTTTTTTTTTTTTTTGCGTCGTTAACTTCCGTTGTGGCTTTTTTTTTTTAACTGCACCGTTTCTTTTGTTATTAGCAGCGGGCTTCGGTTTCTTTCTTTTTTCTTTTTTTTTGCATCAGTACCTTCCATTCTGGTTTCTTTCTCTCTTTTTTTGCATTCTTTTTTAATTTGCAGCAGTGGCTGTTCTCGGCCACCGTAGTGAATAAATGTGCCATTTTTTTGCCCCACTCTCCCAACATAGTTGATCATGAATTAAGCCCATTCTTTGAGTCTTGATGGTGTAAAATAACATCTCTGAAGAAACAGTTTTAACACAACAGCTCTGGTTTCAGGTGTTTGAGTCGCTATTATTGAGGTTCTCAGCTCACTGGTAAAAAGATGAAGACTTTCAGAGAGGATGTGCTCTCTCAACCTTGAGCCAAATTTCCTCCTGGCAGGTTTTTGGACGCGTCCCCGCTCAGCTGTGCCTTCAGACTCTCTCTCCTCCTCCTCCTCCTCCTGCAGCTCTCAGTCACTTCACAGCATCGCGGAAGTTTCCTTGCTCTCCATCTCATCTCACTCTTATCCTGTATCACTGAGCTGACAGCACCACATGTTGAAAATCCTGAAACTCTCCAGATGAGCCTCTCGGTGTGTGCCGTGTTGTGTCGCTGGTGTGAGCGAGGGGGAACCACCTTAAAGCGAGCAGCCCGCTGATGTCAGCGTCACAGACTCACCGACTCCTCCGCCGGTACAGCGCTGCGCCGCTCCGCTCCTTCAAATCTCCATCTGCGCTACTGCCGCTGCTGCTGATGCTGCTGCTGCTCTCCACTTTTCTTCAGCTTCCACGGGAGTAGCTTATACCAGCCTTCTCTTCAACACGTTTCACTGAACCGTGTCTGCCCTACTTGAGCCAAATCCGTGCCTCTGGGAGAGAAAGGTAAGATTGTTGGCTGCTGCTTCTTTTGAAGTGTTAAGGCGACTGCAGGAGATGTGTGTTTGGGAAGCCGGGTAACCTCCCTCCTGCCAGGGCGCACTGAGGGGAAGCGGTGTGCTGGTGTGTCTGGCTTCTTGAGCCTCTTTTTGGTCACTCTTGAGCATGTTTGCTGTTGTGTTTCTGCGCGTCGTCCCGGTCGCAGTTTGCAGCTGGATCTCTGTCTGATGGATGAGGCTTGAAACATTATTGTGTTTGTGCTTTTGGCTGATGAAAGTGTCGATGCACAGCTGGACCTTTCTGGAGACAAATTTGAGAACACGCTCCCCCTGATGTTTTGTTTGCCTTACATGCTGTTCGTAATTCAGAAAAACGGAGCAGGAAGACGCGCAGAGCACAGCATCTCCATTCATTCACCACGGATGAGAGGAAGTCAAATTTACAGACAGTGATTTACTGTGCGCGCATACTGTGGAGCCAACAACCCTGCCTGATCTTCCCCTGTAAGTTTCCCCCTCCTGTAGAAGAAAAAGCAGCATTGTTAAGGCTTTTTTTGTGCCTCATCAGTTTGTATAGGTGGGGAATGACGAGTGATGACAGACTGAGGTGTTGAGCCGGATTTGAACTCTGGATGTCGCGAGTAATTATGGTTCCAATTACTCGTTTTGAGTCTAAAACCTCAGGACGCATCACAGGAAAGGCAGCATGGGATAATTTAAGGGGATATTTGTAGGGAGGAGTTTTTACCACCTTTATGAGTCTGGCAATAACAGCCCAGAAGCCTTTATTCTAAGTGTAAACTTAATAGTGTCCCCACAGGCTGCACTAAAACATGATCTGACCATGCGTTTTAAGACTGACAGGAGCCAACGACCAAAAAAGCTGCAACATTATGAGTGCAAACTTTTCTTAGTTGACTTTCTTATTCTACAGCTGTCTGTATTTTAATGCTGATGAAGGACTTTCACTGAAAAACAAGAGAAAATAATCGGGAGAGTGGGGTAAGATGAGCCATTTTTCATATTTAGGATCACTAAATCAAGTCAATCATAGTTTTGTCTCTAACTAGTGTATCTGCATATATTTCAAGATGTTGTGCATCCCTGAAAACCAACAGAATGAGTGTAAACATAACTGTCTTGATAATATAGCATGCCAAAAAAGTGGTCTCCTATGGTCCGTTTTTGGGGTAAGTTGAGCCGTATCCCTACTACCCCCCCACTCTCCACCCCAGCCCTCCCTCACCTTCTCTCTCCCTAAATAACACTCACTTCTTTGCTTACATGTGTATTTTTTTTCCTATTATACACTGTTCAACTGGTGCAATAATTCTTTTTATTATTATTGCATATAACTGCTAAAAAGCTGTTTTGTAAAAATACATTTTAACATGAGAATGTCTTTAGAATACAGCTGTATTTTTGAAAAGCCAAAGTAACACATTTCAACAATCTGAACTGAAACTCTGATCCTCTTATCAGACGTCTTTACTCTCTCTGTTGAGCCACTGACTTAACTTACCCCAGAACTACTATTAGGACTTTATTAGTCCTCTAAGCTAAAATAGTGGACTTTTATGTAGCTCATAGATACCACAATTGATGTATAAAACAAATTGAAAATTATCTTTTTTGGTCTGAACACAATTCTAATAAAATTAATGACAGACTAAATTCACTTTCAAGAGTGAAAAATGTTTTTTTGTAAATAATGTTTAACCCCTTCACCCATGTGCTTCTAACCTTCACAGACTCCATGAATTGATGTCCATCTCCTACATATTTGGTCACATGATCAATTTCTTTTACCATTTCCAAGCAACAGGGGGTGGCTCAACTTACCCCACTCTCCCCTATATGGGCCATTAATGTAAAGTATTTAGTAACATCCGCCTGAACTCATCAGCTGTAATTGTCAGCATCCTCCATTCAGATGTAGGCTGTACATTTTGGCAGAACTATTGAAAATTCATAAAAGTTAACCTTCTCGGATATCACCAAAGAAAACCTGATGAACCTTAAAAAAAATCCACTATGTTTGGTTTTGAATATCAAAAGCTCCCCTTTGTCCTGCGCAACATGCTGGTTTTGTTTTCTTCCATCTTTGATCATAAAGCGGTGTAATTTTTAGAATTCATAACTCAGTCCAGGATTAAATAAAAGGTCTCTGGGGATATTTAACGGCTTGTTTTGTTTTTAAAAAGGCACTGAATGATACCAGTCCCTAGAGGTGCTTGCAATGACACGCTTCCTCACAGAGCGAGTCCTCTGAAAAATGACTTGTGTTGTCATTCTGGAGGACCTTTCAGCGCTATCAATCTGCATTCATTTAGAATAGCTTCAAGTAATTTTCATGGACAGTAATCTTTCTGCACCTACACTGAAAGGTAATTTCTCTCAGAGCCAAAAGCCTAACCGGAGCACATTTAAATATTCAGGCAATCCAATTTGAT